TTATAATAGATAAGTCTAATAAATATCTAATAAATATCTAATAAATATCTATTTTTTAATAACTAATAAATAATTAATAAATAATTAATAATTAATTAATAAATAATTATTATATTATAAAGTAATAATTTTTCTTTTTTTCAAAATAGAGCTAGTATTATATTTAAATAATAATTTAATTATTATCTATTATTAATAATAGTTATTAAGTTAAAAATAATTAATAACTATATAATAATTTAATACTAGTTTTAAAACTAATCATAACTGTTTTAAAACCTCAAAAAACCTTCACTAACCGTCGTTACTAAATGGCCTGGGCCACTACGTAAGTCTCTGCTACATAGACGAGGAAAATCGACTACCTTTTTTGATAAGGATCGCCCTGGATTGATGATCACTGCACAGTAACCAATTAGAGAGAGCTGTTGGGTGGGGAGACATCTCGACTTCCCTTTTCGGTTTAGCGCATTTCAAGACTCGCCAAGAGCTTCCTTATAACATCATATTTTAATTTGTCCAAGGTACACATACTACATATTCCTACAGAGTAGCGACGGTATTCTAAAATAGGATGTGCGAGGCTCAGTGACATAATGCGGCAGTACATGAGACAGGGATAGAATCCTAATTGATGGGCGGAGCACTTTGTAGAGTGATGATGCGGATGGAATAAAATAAAAATAGATTACTCTATATATATAAAACCTACACTCTACTCCACATTTCTTCAAAGCAAAACCTTCAACCATCATTATACCCTCACAACGATGGGATACATCTCGAGTTATGTCGGCTCTGGCATCGGCTTCGTGTCGGAAGCCATTCATGCCTCACGCGATCACTCACGCAGCAAGTCCGAGTCCAAGCAGAGCACCATGTCCCCGAGCGGCGAGTATGCCATGGGCAATGAAGTCGCCTACAATTACGTCCACCAGCCATCCGACGAGCTCCCGGCATTTAATGATGACATGGCTGTCTACCAGGGGCACCAGCGGGCTGACGAGTTCCCTCTCTATTACAATACCCAGGCTGGATACCCAGAGCAAAACACCCAAACCACACCCCCAGCCTACAATAACCAGACCACATACCCAGCCGCGTACGCAAGGAATGAGTGCGACAAGTACAGCGTGTCCAACTACTCACTTGACCCCCGGTACGAGCACGATGAGGCCGCATGGGAGCTGGACGAGATGGGGGAGGAACTGCAAGGCTCAGCCCCCAGCTACAACGAACACGAATCGGGGCCGTCCCCCAATGGCCCCCCGGAGACAGAAGAGGCCCAGGAGGCCCAGGAGGCCCAAGATAAGGATAACGTACGGGCGCTGGTGCGCCGGGCAGGGCCTGTCCCGGCGGACTGGCGGCTTCCATGCCCTGTGATTATCCCCCAGCGCCGGCCGCGCGCCCGGGGACGCGGGTTTGTGCACGCCTATGCCCCCTTATTAGCCAACGCAGGGCTCAACCAGGATGTGTTTCTGCAGTTCCTTGACGACTTTTACCACGCCAGCCAGGTGAGCTGCTCTCCTTTCTTTTTCCATGATGTGTCGACTAAGAATGACTAGTCGTCCATGTGGATCGATGTTGTGTGGGTGGCCGGTGGCATTGTGGGCAATATCCCCGGCACGATCCCAGCCATTGTAAGTCTGGTCGTTCAGACCGTGGCGGGCACTGCGCGCGAGTGTCAGTCTCGGTATCGGGGCAACAAGTACCTGGACCGGGTCAACAGAGAGTTGTTCCTGCCGCGGGGCCTGTACGCGATGGTGATGGGGATCAAGGATGAATTCCCCAGCCAGCCCCAGGGGGAAGAGACCCAACCGCTGTTCACCACAGAGGCAGTGAACATCAACCAGCCCGGCGAGGTCAAGCCGGGGGCCGACTTTGCCCCTATCATCTCCAAGTATACGCACACGGAGCAGCACCCAGTCATGACGCCGTTCAAACAACGGCTCACAAACTTGCGGATCAAGAGCGGCACAACACACGGCGATTTCGCGCTCCCAGAAGCCGCGCCCTTGGTGTATCCGCATCTGGACCAGGCAGTGGCAGAGGGCACTCTTGCGAAGATGAAGAGCGCAGGCAGGTGGGTGGAGGATTACATGGATCGCAAAGCACAAGTTGAATATGTAAGAATTTTATACATGATCACCAGATAGACACCATGATAATATACTAATGGGTATAGGAACACGAAAACCCCGGATCTGCACTGGTCACACCCGCATCAGAGCGCAAGGCGCTTGTCTCACGCTTCAATGACCCAACCCACAAGGCCAACACCGGCTCAATCACGGCTGTGCTGACTGGCGGCCATTTCGGACAGACGAACCTCATTGATCGCATCCGACGCCTGCAGAACCCGAGACGGATTGCGCGCGGCGAACCGCCCGTCGAGCCGATCAAGGAGAAGTGGAAGCAGTACAAGCAAAGGAAGCGCATCAAGACGCTTCGGCCGTCTAAGCTGCTCAGGCAGGACGTCATGTATCTGATTATTGTTAACATGCCGAGCGACGAAGAGCTGGAACAGGCCGTTTCCGAGCTGGAACTGCTTATGGAGATGGGGCAGAAGCCCACCACTGGACATACTGGTTGAGTGGATTGAATGGAAAGTTATGAGTTGATGATAGCTATGGAACATAGATAATTAATGGTTTAGAATGCAGGTTTTTAGATCATTGATGTGGTCGTTTTCTATCTATCTGAGTTGCTTTCCATCTATAGCTGGAGTGTGGGAGATAATACTATTATATACTAATGCTGGTCCTCATGTGAATCAGATTTATATGAAAATGCCCTTATACCTGTCATCTAGTTAATAGCCAAGGGAGAGTCCTGTTGTCCATTGAAAGTTGACATTATATTTAGTATGCTATACTATATTAAAAGGTGCAGGTACCAAGATTCTCCTGCTCTATGAATCATTATTCTTAACTTTTATTTTTCCAAGCAGAATGCTTCAGAGGATACCAAACTGTCCATAGAATACTAAGGAAGAGGAATTTTAGAAACTAAATCTCAAATAAATTCTCTCCTACGACAAAGCTATCAAGGCAGCAGCGGGTGATCGTAGCTCAATGGATCCTCCTGGTTTCCCTCCCATGGCAGTCGTGGGATTGATTGGCGAGGCCTAGCAGGAGGTGGCTGTCATATAAGAGTATAGATAAACCTACCAGATCATGATTACTATTAGTTCTAGATCTTTATATATAAACCTTACCTATAACAGATAATGCCTGTTGCACAAGGTCTTCAATATAAAAATCTCACCTTTATACCTAACATTTGGCAGTCTGGAGGCCTTTATAGCTGTATATTTATTTTATAATATGATAATTAGTAACATTCACAATTAAGATATTAGGTCAGTAGAATCTATATGAGTGAGGCACCTAAGCTGGCGAATAAGACTATATATCCTTGATTACCTAGGGAATATATTATATATCTTAACGTATTTCTCCAGCTCAACTGCCTGGTTCGTGGAATCCATTGTTATTCATGGTTCTTATGAACTATTTAGAACATGATTAAACTCAAGATTTAGGCAGGAAATGCCTAAAAACACCTGATATTAATAAGACATTGATTATATTGACCACTACATATTCTATGCAGTAGAGCTTCATCTGCAAATATGTCTCTATACCTGCCGCGACTTTAAGCACAGGAGCACGAGACAAAAACTGATATTCCCATGCTCCTGATGGTATATCACCTATACATACTATCTAGACATGCTCATCTGCACCAGAACAAGATCGGGTCTATAGTTGATTCCATATACGTACAGTTGTCTTTAATATTATGCCAAAGTGGAAACTTGGACTGGTTCCTCCCCTCTGGTCCGTCTCCAGCGATTGGTTGACTCGATCAGCTCATCGCACCCTGCCATGACCCAAGCCCATTTCCGAAGGAAGCCTGGGGTTGCCTCCCAGCTCTCAGCGAGATGCGGCTCGCCCCAGACGATCAGACCCGTGCGAGACGCGGTAATCTCGTCGTCCTCGGCCTTTGAGACGACGAGTCTGGCCGCCACGGCAGGGATCGTACCTGAAGGGCCTGCATAGAAGAGTGTGGTGTTTATGAGGTTGCCAATGAGGTCCGTCACAAGCTCTACATGGTCAAAACATGCCTGCCAGGTGATGAGGTTGTCGCGCATCCTGGGAAACGGAAACAGGTTCATCCAAGTGGAATGGAAGCAGTCTGTCTGCAACGGAGTCGGCGCCAGACAGCCCAGACGGGCAGGAAGCTGGGAAAATGTCACTGCAAACGCAGGGAAGACGTCGTAGGTGTCGATCGGCACCGTCTGGCCCGCACACGACATGAGAGAGACCGTCAAGCGTGCCAGGAGGATTTTGATCGACCAGAGTGCCCGGCAGGTGTTGAACTGGATGAGATGCAGCAGCTGGTGGTCTGCCGGAAGCGAAGAGTCTCTATCCTGCCCTCCACTCACTCCTCCTGGCCGTCTCGGATCGTTGCTGATGACGGACTCCTCCTGCTCATCCAAACGCCACCGATGGACTCTGAACGGGGGTCGCCGGGACCTGCCCGCGCCTGGATCCAGCTGCTTCAATCTCACCCCTGGTGGATGGATTAGTACGTCTGTTGGAGGAGTCTGGTGTGGATGACGCACTTCGGGCTCTTTGATTCAACCGGTTCTGCATTCTCTTCCGCTCTTTCCCGCCATCGGGCTGTCCATGAGGCCTGATTTGTTTCTCCATGCTGTGAGTTGTGAGGCTGATCGGGTTCATCACTGACCTCGTATTAGATGATTCATAATCAGGTTGATTTTTGATTAGTCTTACAGCGCTAGACTAAAAGGATAATTCATTGAACCAGGCTAGACCGGAAATGGCAAAAGTGTCAGCCAAAATTATATACTTTTTAGTAATCTTAATTAAGTGATCATAGTGACTTGAAGTATAAAAGGCCATTGTAGTTGAGGCACAAGAATCATATTCCAATAACCATCACTCAAGAATTGGCTTTATACTACCTCAATGTCTCAATACGCTGCTGTTTACGCCAACCCTCAGGGTCCTGGAGATGCGCGACCAACCGCCCTGCAGATCGTCAAGGATAGCCAGATGGAAGGACAACTTAAAGGCAAAACAGTTGTCATTACCGGCGTCTCGTCTGGCCTCGGGGTCGAGACTGCGCGTGCCCTTGCTGCGACAGGAGCGACCCTGTTCCTGACTGCCCGAGACCTAGTCAAGGCAAAGACTGCGTTGGGCGACTTCTTGCAGCCCGATCGGATGCATCTGGTTGAGATGGACCAGAGCTCCCTGAAGAGTGTCCGCAACGCCGCCAAGTCCATCCTAGCCAAGACGAACACGGTCAACATCCTGATCGGCAATGCGGGAGTCATGGCCGTCCCAACTCTCGAGCTCACGGAAGACGGATACGAGAGCCAGTTTGCCACAAACCACCTGGCGCACTTCTTGTTCTTCCACCTGCTCAAGGATGCCCTGCTGGCTGGCAGCACGCCCGCCTTCCAGTCCCGCGTCGTGATGCTGTCTGCTTCAGGGCACCGGGTCTGCGGCCTCAACCCGTCGGAGAACTACCACTTCACTCAAGGCGGGTATATACCATGGGTTGCGTACGCGCAGTCCAAGACAGCCAACATCTACATGGCCAACGAGATCGACCGCCGCTATGGCCCGCAGGGCATCCACGCCACAAGTGTTCACCCTGGCATTGTTGCAACCCAGATCGCAAGACATCTTCCGGCGGAGCTAGTCGCGGCAATGATACAAGACGCGACGTTGGTGAGAGCATCGCAAACCCCAGAGCAAGGAGCAGCAACTACCGTCTACGCCGCGATCAGCAGGGACTGGGAAGGCCGAGGCGGCCGCTATCTCTGCTCCTGTTCTGAGACTGAACGGGGGCCTGACGATGGGGTCCCGACCAGTTCGACGTACGTGACACACACGTATAGCCCGGAGGACGAGGAACGACTGTGGCAGGATTCTTTGAAGATGGTGTCCTCTAGAGAGGAGTAGGGAGGCTGCCTTTGTGACCCTGTTTCAATAGATGTGATGTAAACTCAGTTTGATTTATGCTTTGAATTACTATCTACATCTCATCTAATCTAATGCCATTGTGGGTTATCAGACTGCGGCCCGCACGCCACTTCCGCATGGAGTCGTGCGGGGTGCAGTCAGATACCCCGCATCGGATTATCGTCTATTACTGTACTCTAGCGCATTCAGAACCCCTGCCCTCCATCCCCGGAGAATTTCTTCTCTTTGTATCCATAGAGGCCCTAGCAGGGTGAGAAGATGATACAAAAAGCCTGGAATACCCTACCTTGCCCAGAATGACGAGCTTCAAAGGCAGTTGCTCGACGATCTCGAGGTGGCGGCCGACAATGCCTCGATAGACCACTATCTTTCTGTTAGATAGGAGAGAAACAATGTCTTCCACATACAGAAGATATATAGAGCTGCCTGCCCTGAACATGCCGCCTGCAAGGAATCAATCAGCTCATGGCTAATGGAATGAATAAGAGTCACTACCGATGCGAGAATAATGAGGTAGTCATCCATCCGACAGGGGACTTGCTGCCAGTATCGCGTATAGAATCGGGCAGCGACAGCAGCAATCTGGACGATGGAGATGGCGATTGAGACTCCCACCAAGGCGTCTCCATGATCTCCCATCTTGACGGGACTGGAAGATGGAAGTCATTGATTGTGGCTGTTCCTATCTTTCTTATGCAGTGATTACAGGGAGAGTGCAAGGATATGATCCCTGCAGATACAAAGTATAAGGTTACATAACTAGAAGCAGCTAGTTTACCAGTACCTATCTAAATGTTCTTCATAACACAATTTGACAATTACAGAATTAAATCCTTACTAGAGTATAATACTAATAATTTATTAGGATATCAACTCTCTATACTAAATACTAAGATGTTCTCTGAGGTCTCCATGCGAGTCATGCCACAGCACTAACAGGGGACGCGTCAGCATGGAAATAAAGGGGCTGTCAGCATGGATACATTTCATAACTTGACAATTGAATCAGCTTATGTCCTCTCAGAGAAGGAAAGACACCTATTATAGCTATTATGAGTTTCTGGGAAGCCCGAGTCAAACAGATCGACGATCTGACCGCCTCCCTGCAGTCTCCGGATGGCCTCAACCCAGACACTCGGGCTGCCGCCTTGGCCAGCGCGCGAAAGCTCCTGGATGCCCTTGAGTCGCCAGCGGAACGGATCATGCGGGATATGGTCATGGTCAGTTCGCCAACTGAAAAGTCCTACTGCCTCTGCTAAAGATCCAGCCAGTATCCTGCCATCTTGATGGCGATACGGATGGGCGTCCAACTGGGAATTTTCACTGGCATCCGTCCAGAAGGAACAACCCTTGCCAAAATTGCAGAGACGTCTGGTGCCGATCCAATTGTTATCAGTGAGTTAACAATGAGTAATTGTACCGCCATTTCTTAATCCACGATAGACCAGGTTATTCGCCCGCTTGTGGCGACAGGATATGTCCTGCAGGACGGACAGACATTCAAACCGTCTGCTCTCACGACTGCCATGGCGGGCTCAACCATGCAGGCCACCGCACGAGCATGGTAAAGTCCACACATATATCAGCCCATCTCATAGCTCACAGCTGATGGTGTAGCTTCGATGTTGGAAATATGTGCACCGCCAAAGCCCCCGAGTTCTTCCGCAAGAACAACAACCAGTTCCCAGCCTCCATCAACGAGACTCCCTTCCAGCTGGCGATGGGCACGCAACTGCCCTTCTTCGGCTGGCTGGGCGAGAACCCAGCGCTGGCTGCTGATTTCCACAGCTGGATGGCCTGGAAGGAACAGGCCACGCTCAAGTGGACCGACTGGTTCGACATCCAGACGCGGATCCTGGACGGCTTCACCGATGACGGCGTCCTCCTTGTCGATGTCGCGGGCGGCGCGGGCCAGTATCTGACCCAGTTCAGGGCACGATTCCCGCATCAACAGGGCCGTTTGGTCTTGCAGGATCTGCCGCAGGTTGTGGCCAGTATGACTGGCCTTCCTGGCGCAGAATTACAGGAATACGATTTTTTCAATCCTCAGCCTATCCAAGGTATGTCTCTCGCTCTAACGCCGAGTTTATATACTAACAAACAGGGGCTCGCGTCTACTTCCTCCACTGGGTGCTGCACGACTGGTCCGACGCACACTGCCGTTCCATCCTGGCCAATATCGTCGCCGCCATGAAGCCAGGATACTCGCGGTTGATCATCCACGAGACCATCCTGCCGGAATCCGACTGCGACTTGATGTCGGCGTCGATGAGTGTGATGATGATGGCCCTGGTCGCCGCGTTTGAGCGCTCCGAGGGCCAATGGCGGGAATTGCTCTCCTCGGTAGGCTTGACTGCCGTCACTTTCTTCCAACCACCGGGGATGGGAGAAGGGATCATTGAAGCCATCAAGCTGGTTGAGTAGGGACTATAGTTCATGTATATACTGACTCTAAGTGATACCTATGTCTGAAAGGATGCACTTCATGTAGATATTTAAATACATAGCCAGTCGGATATGACTGCATTACTACAGTATATATTCCTTTGATATTTTTCAATATTTCTAAAAGTAGTACCTGCCTATATCTCCTATGTCAGCCGAGGCTTTATCAGAGCGGACTAAGCTTTACAATACCTGCTCTACCTCCTTGGTTTTGTTGAAACTGAAAATATCTCACATGCCTACTTATCATATGTAGAACTCTTGACTTACAAAGCAGTCGATCCGGGGACCCCAGAATACCCCGCAAGTCTCCAAAGTATAATTTATTAAATAACCATGCCTCGGCGATTGCTTTGCTGCCTAACACAACTACCGGCAGATCGGGATTTTCAAGGACCACTCGTTTTGCCAGATGCCGAGATAGAGCTGGGGTCCCCCAGATTCAGGGTCCTTATTACTCATCCATTCGGTTCCAGACTGCGTATATATCATCAACATTGCCAAGCATCCCAAATGATACATCACCAGGAGAGATGCCGAAGCCTCGGATGGTAATACTATTGACATCAACTTCGAATACTGAGCCGAGGGAGACAGAAGTATATATAGCCTCACCGCACGCCTTCGTATCTTCCCAAGACAACCAGATTCATTCTCCAAGAACAAAGCCCAAAATGATGTCCAAGACTCTTGTCATTCTTCTCACCGGAGTGTCTGTGGCCTCTGCAAGCCCGGCACTGTTAGGTCGTGCTACCTCTGGTGAGACCGAGAATGACATATCCCCTTTGACCACGCTGATGGCATTCCAGATCCCTCTGCCTTTGCCGCCCTCCAGCGCTCTGCCGAACTGTCGTCTGCTGCGTACACAGGATGCACCGGCACTGCATTCGACGTCACCATCACATTGCAAATCAACGATGCGGAGACCGACACGCAGGGGTTTATAGGATATTCCACCACTGAGGAGACAATCACTGTGGCCATGAGAGGCTCAACCACTGGTCGGTCATGTCTCACACCTTGATGATAGCCACAAGACTGACTCACCATCTAGTGACTGACATTCTGAACGATATCGACACCACCCTGGTGACTCCAACTCTCTCTGGCGTCACCTTTCCCTCTGGTGTCCAGATCATGAATGGGATCTACTCGCCCTGGTCCTCGGTTCATGACACCGTGATTGCCGAGGTGGCAGCCCTGATTGAGGAGTATCCCGACTATACGCTCGAGTCCACCGGCCACTCCCTCGGGGGCTCCCTCACCTATCTCTCGTACATTGCTTTGGCGCAGAATTTCCCCGACAAGGAAATCACCAGCACGGCTCTGGCTGCCTTTCCCATTGGCAATTCTGAATTTGCGGCTTTTGGCACTTCCATCTCAGGCACCTTGAAGCGCGGCAACAACGAACTTGATGGTGTGCCGGTAAGACTACCTCGGTTGCCTGAATCAAACTATTCACTAATCTCCTAGAATATGTATGTCTCTGCTCCCGAGGACTTTGTCCACTACGGGACGGTAAGTCGCCTAGAATTATACACTAATCCATAAGATATATATCTCATGTGTTGCAGGAATACTACAGCTATGGAACAGAGGCAACCTGCCTGCTGTGCTCTGGAGAGCGCGACACCTCCTGCTCTGCCGGAAATGGCCTCGTGGGTGTAACCATCGGGCACTTCTCCAGCTTCGGCATTGAGATGGGCTACGCTGGATGTACCACTTTGTAGCTGCGTCGCTCACCTTTGTCCTATAAAGTATTGGTCAGGTTGATAGTATACTTATATTGTGATTCAACATCACAAGATTATAAGGAATAAGCATGGTTGGTTTCTTAAGATGTAAACATCATCATCTCTGGATCTCCAGATCGGCCGAGATAGATATGATAAGATAAGATTCATGTAAATACCCCGCATCATCTGCAATGCTTCTACTTTACAACGCATCTCAACCACGAGAGTCCACCGACACATACGCTTCACAATGGATCTCCGGCTTGTCTCACCAGATATTGACCCTGCCATTGTTCAGGCGATGGATCCCGAGTTTGTCCGCTATTTCATCGAGACAATCCAACACCTGACGCCCACACACACTGTGCCCCTGGCTGAGTGCCGCGCCCACCCGGAGCGCTTTGTGACTCCCTGGATATACGATAGCAGCGGCGAGCCCCGGGTGAGCGATCATACAGTCACCTCCGCCGACGGCTTCCCCGTCCCTGTCCGTGTCTACACACCCGATCCCGACGTCTTCGGACCGGGGCCTTACGGAGTTCATGTCAACTTTCACGGTAGAAGAATACCCAACGATTGTATCATGTTCAAACTACTGCTGACTCTCAAGGTGGTGGTTTCGTCTTTGGTAGTCTGCAGGCAGATGCTCTCTTCTGCCTGAAGGTCCGGGATCGCGCCGGTCTGGTGGTTGTGGATGTCAATTACCGACACTGCCCAGGTATGATTGCTACGTGTATAGGAATATATATGCTCATGAATTAGAGGCGGTATTTGGAAAAGGAATCGAAGACGCATGGGCTGCTCTACAGTGGGTACGTTATCTATCTTCGCCTCTTAGACGCTGCACAGCTTCACTCGGCGCATCGGTATGGATTTCATGACACCAGGCCAGACCCATCAATCGAACGAGATAAACATCAACCCCTCCTCGATCTCTATCGGCGGCATCTCTGCAGGTGGGTTTTTATGCTGCGTCGTCCAGCATCTGGCTCGAGATGCCGGCCTCCCTCTTCGTCTCTGTGTCCCCGCCGTGCCTGTGACGACCGACTCGTGCAGCTACACCAGCCTCGATGACTCCCCCTATCCCTCTTTCCGCGAGTATAGCCGCGCTCCACTGTTAAACTGGAAGCGCATGTCCTTCTTCCAGAAGCATGTGTTCCCAGCCAACCAGATGGACCGGCTCAGGGCATCCCTGCCTGACTGGTGGTTGTCGCCGATGCGAGCCCCCGATTCCACAGGACTGTGTGATACCTTTCTCATCACGGCGGAATGCGATCCTATGCGCGACGAGGGGGAGGCGTATGGCGTGAAACTCGTGCAGGCGGGGAATAAAGTCACCATGAAACGGTATTTGGTTTTTGATCCCACGCGTCTTGAATGAAACTAATATATTAGGTATCTGGGGGTCCCTCATCCGTTCATGCACATGGCCAAAGTCCTCCAGAAGGCACGGGATTATGATGAAGATGTGCTGAACGCTCTCACAGTGGCACATCAAGGTTCTATCTGATCTAGCACCAACTACTAGCCATATTTCGATACGAGCCCTTAGTACTCTGGGTCATTCAAATATATCCTTAAACCATCCACATCACAGTCCCAGTGCCGTAAAGAGGGAAACTGCTTTGCATAGACTTTGAAGTCATCTCCATCATCTTCATCCTCTTCATCTTCATCCTCTTCATCCTCATCCTCATCATCTTCATCATCAGTATCTCCATTCCTGTCATCCTCAATGATGCTCAAATCTGCATATATACTGTCGCGCTGGCTCCCCTTCTGCCAACTATACCCAAATGGAGCCTCTTCGTTGTAGATCATATCTTCTTCTGCAAAATTGAGTTCTTCCAATGAATTGCGATGGAGAAGCAGCACGTCAATCAACTCTGCCAGTCTTGCCTCATGCTGGTCGACAAATCCAAGTTCATGGCTTCCATACGAACGGTCATGGCTGACCGTCAGACGGCGCAATGCCCGCGGCGCGTGCAGGATGTTTCGCAGCGCAGGAAAGGCGAGATAACTGCGTTCAATGACAAGAATAGTCAAGTCTGTCGAGCGGTGGAGCCGCGCTTCAATTGCTGTACTCGATGCGTCCAGCAGAAAACCGCGTAGAGTGAGTTTCTGCAGCGTCGTGATCTGAAAGACGACAGGCGATTGTAGGAACGCCGCTTGGCCGTTCTTTTCAACACGATCCAGCGTCACTGCGCTTTTAGTATATCCATCAGAGACGCGATAATCAATTGAGTCATCTTACATGAGCGGAGATTACTTTGTATCCCAGTTTGCAGAGTGAAAAATCCATATAAATCGGCCTCGAGGGTCGCCCATCGTTCGTCTTCCCCATCCCACATCCAGTATCCCCCGTATAGCGCAAGAGCCTGTAACTTTGCTGTGGCATTGAGATAAGGCGCCACGCGGCAGGGAGACAAATTGCTTCGGTTCGTGTCAATGGCCAGGGAATGAATAAGATTGCTGTATTTGCCAATGGTGGGTAGAACATTCTCAAAGTCACATTTAGAGGCTTGGATGCAGACCGATTTGTATAGGAATGGCAGGGTGATCCTGTGGAAGGCTCGACATGTTTGTGAAAGAGCAGCCTGGGTTCTTTGGTCACTGTATTCTAGGATGATCATAAACACCTCTTCAGAAAGGCTTTCCATGGTATCAATTATATTACAATGAAATGAAGAGAGGTCTTTGTTGGCTATTAAAGTGACAATTGATGGGGCTTTATTTATCAAGTGTGACTCAATCTATGCCTAGCACCAGTATTTACAGGGCTAGTTGAGACTCCATATAATCATCTTGATTCGTAGCTAATTGATAGTCTTACTAATATTTTATGCTAACTAAATACTCGAGGACATATTGGTCTGATTGTAGTATTACTGTGTATATCAAGTATATACTATGAGTACTTGCTCTGGGACTGGTTCTGCCCAGGGCTGACATTTTTATCCTGGAAAGATAACTACATAGATTCAGCTGGCTTCAAGGCTTCTCTTTTATTGAAAGACCCGTCATCAACCAAGGATCGAATAGAAGCTCCTTTGCAGAAGCTCGTTCTTCTGGCAGCCAACACAACATGCGACGGAGAAAGCGAAGGAAGTCCTTTTTCTCTTCTCCCTCAAGTCGCTCCTCCAGGATCTCGAGACTGTCGGCTTGGATTGAAGCTGCCTTCCACTGCCCTGGAAGGAAGAAATCAGTTAATATCATTCACACAATGAGGTAATCAGTGAGCTAGTCAGACTGACCATGCTCGTCCCAGAACTGGAGGCTTCTTTCACTCCGCTGGAGAAATTGTAATGGCGGGCGCCCAAGCACGGCCTGCATCTCAGCCAGATGATATTCATCGTCCAGTTGGCGGGCAGGATTTCGGGCTCGAAACAAATGATGGTATTCAAACAGATCCCATATCTAACATGAGCTATATAAGTACTTGGTTTATGGATTATGTCGAGGGGCCATACCAGCATGCCGACATTCCAGATATCAACCTTGTAGTTCCAGGTCATGTCTAAGATAACTTCAGGCGCCCGATATAGGTCCGGCATGATGTCGCCCTCCTGCTGCTCAATGCCCAGCCTAGCCTCGCCCAGATCACAGAGGACGGGCGTTCCGTAGGAGAGAGCGAGTGGCCGTGACAGAAAGACAGTCCGATCTTGCATGATCTTACGTGAAACTGGCGCTTCGAACTCTCTCTGTTCGAACTGGGACAGAGTAGAGTCATCTTTGATGCCGAGCAGGATATTGTTGGGTTGGAGATCTATCGAATTGGAGTTTTCTCTATAAATATACAGTTCTCGTTTGCCCTATACGGATACTTACCAGTATGGATAACTTGTGCTTCCGTGTGAAGGAAGTCAAGAGCAGCGAGGACATTCCGGATGGTCGTCCTGACCATAGCGCTGCTCATCACCTTCCCAGGAAGTAGCCGAGTAAGCTGGCTAAGACTGATCCCCAGCGGTGGGTGAACGAGACAAGTGTGCAAACTATCTCCATTAGGGCTCCTGGCCTGGAAGACGTCAATCAGTGGACGAAGACACGTCTGGCCTGCGTGGTCGGATTGAATTGTTTGTAGGTGGTGGTAGATCTCAACCTCATGCGTCGCTGTGGATGCTGTATACACCTTTAATGATATATAACAGTGGTTTCTGTTATTGCCAAGTTATACAAACATGTACATTATAGTATATTATGGTAGAATTACAGTACTTACATCAAGTCTCGGCAAAGCCACACTGTCGCGCTGGATCCGTAGCCCAACTTGCCCACAACTTGATATCGGCAGTTGAAAACTTCGCCAATATGCACAGGATAGAACTTTCCTGCTCGATAGCTCGGGATTGTCTCTTCTTCAATACGTACAGAAGGATCGATGAGATCCCACCCGGAACGCGGGAAGACGCGCGGTTCCCAAGGGGCGTGTTGATCAGCCATATATCGCTTATTCAAGCGTCTATAACAGTATGAGAATCGTGGGCGAGATAGTATCGATGAAAGGATGAAGAGTCGCCTTTTCTCCATATTTTGTTGCTCGAGGGGGTGAAGGAAGAGCAAGAGCTGCCCAGCTTGTTTCCCTCAAACAATCGGATTAACTATCGGGCCTATTAACTTCAATTAGAAATTACTTATCAGCATTACTGAATATATTTTAGGGATAATTAAGGTTGATAATATCTTTTATAATTAATACGTAGAGTATTACCTGATGGTTGGTTTATTAAGTAGCTTAATTGAGTGAAGTTATATCATAAACACCATTCAGGCACTTTTGGAAATATATACTTCTAAATACTTTAAACTAGCCCACTTAGCAATTCAAAATGCCATAGTGACGAGATTTTACAGAGAATTGAAAAACCCTCAAGTCATCAAGTTATGCTGAGCCAGTCTATTCCTCCCGGTCATACTTTTGTCTTTGCTGTCCTTTGCATATAGAATGACCACAAGAGAACAATTATTTATGTCTATATAGGATCATGATTAACCAGGCTTTAAGTGCTTAGATATAGTTATCTATATAAACTGACATGCAGCCAGCTCGGGAGGGCAGCAATTACCAGCTAGATCCTAATATATTCATCTCTCTATTTTTGAATATTATTCATCAGCGCTGCTGTCTCACCACAGGGTCTATAAATATTTCAGCAGACCTAGTGAAAGTTGCTCGCTATTCCCTGTCAACGTTTACTTCTTTAGTTCAGCCTCGCCCCCATTGCTTTCACCCTTGAAAATTGACCTGCTCATTGCATCGTCAAGTTTTTTTTCACGTCTCCCATCAAGATGAAAGGGTTAGGGTTTAGGGCTTTTTGTTATTTGTTCCTTAATATAACTCATAAAGGTAGGATTGAAGTTAGCTGAATTTTATCATAATAATATTCTCTATCCTTGATCAAGCTAAATTTATATAGTTGGCCTTGATATCTATATTTCAATTAAATCCTCAACTTTTGTTACTAGTATATTTCAGCTTAATATAAAAAGTATGAAATGAAATGTTATTGCATGGTTGCAAAGACTAGCTATGTAGTTTTATTTTTAATAATACTTTATCTTTACTATTTTAGTGATTTAATAGTCCTCTCTATATAAAACTAGAGAGTCTATAAGAATATTTTGAAGAATAATATGGTATATGCATTCCTTTTCAAACGATCTCCCTTGGTTTATTGATAGTTTATTATTGATCTATCTTCGCAGCCATCTCCATCATACCAGTGGTGGGATTCAGCCTCCATGCGGTTGACTCTGGGACGAACTTGATTGAGTTCTCCCATCGATCGCTGATCCACGGTTTTCTCGGCATTCTTGCTGGATTCGTCGGGTCCCAGTTGCTTGGGTAAGAGCAACGTCTGGTACTGGTGGAAGGGTCTTTTCGTGGATGGATTTGAAATGTCTGTCTAGATCTGCGGGGGCAGCGAACATCCGAGTGCACAAGAGACAAGGAATCGTTCGTGGGGGCTTCTTGTCATGGTTTATCTTAGCTAGGTTTAGAATTTATGTAATGTGTTAATATTATACATTATCTAGGTAGCCAGTATAAAATAAAATGCAAAGTACTTATGGTGTGACACCTAGAATGTAATATTGAATCAGGTCTAAGAGAGCGGTGTATATTCTAAACAACCAGCTAATCTTGGTATACTGCCCATGCTACAATGAGACAGCAGTAACATTATCTGACAAAGGCATGCAGTCCATGGAAAAGCTGATCCAGGGCCCCTGACCCTGGGAGGCCGTCGTGTGGTTGTAGGTCGGGTTGAAGGCCATCAACTGGCCTGGGGTGGTACCGAGCATGGCAGCGAGATCCTTGTAGGTGCCATAGTAGAACTCGCCTGGCTGGACGATGCACTGGCTGGGGTAGCACTGCGGGATCTTGATGACTTGGCCGACCTCGACGGGGGCGTCGGGGTCGCCCATGTTCGGCACCCAGGCGGTTGTCAGCAGCGCCTCGACGGTGAGGTTGAGCTTGAGCGCGATGTACGCTATGCTGTCGCCCTTGAGCGTCGTGTACGTGTGCGGGCCGCCCATGATGCAGTCGGCGTATGTTGCGTTGGGCTCCGGCACGATCAGGCACGACCGGTTGTCGGGGTCGCACACCTCTGGCGGGATGAGGATCTCCTCGCCTGTCAGCAGCGGGAGGATTGCGTCCGCCATGCGGTTGTAGCGCGCAATGTCGCACACGCCACGGTTCACTGCCTCTGCGACCTCGAAGATGGTCTCATTCTCGCTGGTGTAGTAGACACCGCTCGTTAGGTTCAGCGCCGTGATGTCACACCACGCGTGGACCAGAGGGAGGCCCAGAGCCAGCAGGAGCAGCAACATGGCGGTGGAGGTATGGAGATTGAAGGAAATGGTGGGGGGATGAGGAATGAAGTCCATTGTACCTGGGGATACAACATCTTTATACTCTCTGCTGGACCTCTTGGTCAAGACAGTAATTCGACTTATGACGCACAGGTCTGCTCTGATTGATCTATTGTCCGCTCCCTGCTTTGGCTGTCCAATGAGGCAGGAGATGCAGGTCATATGCACTCCTGCGGACGGGCTGATCGTTCCTTTGCAGTATAGAGCACGGAGTAACCACGGAGGAGCTAGTCATGGTAGGACTGACTAATATCAACTGATTAGAAGGAGGAGGTACAGAGCTTTACAAGGTAAATGGAATATATAATAGTATACAGTATAGAGTATCGTTGAATAATAGAGAACATGGATAATCAGGGATAGAGTAATGCGCTGGAAGTGATAGGTCAAATTGAGACCAAGATAAGACTGGTCTGCAGCACGGACTTAATTCACTCTCCATGCCCAGCCATCCCCACATTCCACCGCCGGACTATAAATGATCTCCGGGAAGATTACTCAAGGGCGGAATTGAGGTTAAATAATGGTATACTCGGCTGACCAGGCAGTTGCCTACTCCAGAGAAGATACTAAGAATTCCTCTTATGAATAGTATTCTATCTCTTCTCATCGATCTAGATTGTCTGTTAAGATCTTTCCCCACAGGGACATGCTGGTTTGCTCGGAAATACGGAGCACCGAGTACACAGTGTTCACTCCTGCGTAGCCCAGAGTACGGGCTAGTCCTCTTTGGGCTATTCCGTCGTTTTTCCGACGCTATGGAAAACTTTATTTTCACTCACGTGATCCTTTCCGGAAAGATGTTTTCCCGGAGGATCCCTGGATCTGATTCTGGTCTAACCCAAAAGGATTACGCGAAGTTGAGCCGAGGCCGATGAAATGCCATGCTTCACCGCCTTCCTCGAGCAGAAATGCGGGTCCCACATACGTGTCTCTGTCGCGTCCTCTTCTGCTGTCTCAGCACGGAATTACGGAGTCCGGAGTATAGAGCGTCGCAGATATAGTTTCGCGATCAAGATGCATTCGCTGATCCCGGAAGTAATATGCAGCCTATTCAGGCTGTTCACAGCGCACTCTGTGGGTGATCTGCCAAACAAGCTTACAGGTAGAGAGTCAATCAGACGGTTATAGGCCAACCACTATTCTCAGATGCATAGTGTGTACTTTAAATTGCACTCTAAATCCTCACTTCGCTTAGACCTGAAGATACCTGCCTTGATCATACTACTAGCGTCTCTCTCCATGTGCCTAGCAATTAGTTGGCACTCCAAAACCACCATTATCTTGGCTGGCATAGCCCCGATGAGTCGTCACTCATCTTACGCTCGGCAGCATTAAACTTAGCATTAATTTTAGTAATCATGATAATAATAATGCCAGGATAGTATTATTATGCTTTCTGGCAGTGCCACAGCCTAGACCGACACTTCGTTTGCGGTTCTTGGCTCATATCCGTGGCTCGGCGTGAAGCCTCTATCAAATGACGGTGTGGCTTAGACAGATTGCCACAGGTGCAAACTCGATGGAAAGAGAACTCTTTCTCCCTTGCTGCAGTCCATAGTATGATTTGATAATTGTCTCCTTAAAGATGAGACTCCATTTAGTTTCAGGCTAGAAGGACTAGCGATGGATCTGCAGGCGCAATATTAGGTTAGGCAGTATCTACCCTTGTCTAACAACGGCGGCTTTACCTCTGCCACACAAATTTCTACAGCAACTGCGAGCAAGTAATTATGGCAGCCTGCAGACTGATTAACCTTAATTGCGTGACGCCATCTTCTAATCTTCTCCCGTGGTTGACCCACGCGAAATGCCGAATCCGGGCGATCTCCGAAAAAAAGACTGACGCAGCTTGACGGACAAACGTATGCAGATCCACCGATCGACATCCATGTTAATATACTTGGCTGTGGTAAGATTCCAGAATCTAGAGGTATATAAAGAAGTAGGTGTGGCAATTTCTCATCTGATCTGCACACACTTTCCTTCTATACTCTCTTTAACCAGATAGACTACTATACCAACTAAATACTATTTCTATTACTTCTACAATGAAGAAGACCGCCGGAGCCATGCTGCTGGGCAGCATTGGCGCAGCCAATGCCAGCACCTTCAACTGCTCGGCCAGCGCCTTTGAGGCCATCATCCCCTCCAATGCCACCGTCGTGCTCGCCCATCGCGTCGCCCAGAACGGCACCTTCACTCCCCCCGCCGCCGACACTGGCTTCCCCGACCCGGCCTACCAGCTGCCCGCGCTGTGCGTTGTGCAGATTGAGATGCCCACCGATGCCAACACCACCTTCAACTTCGGTCTCTTCCTCCCTGACGTCTGGGAGGGACGTATGGTGTATGTAGACACTATATCCAGCTGATGAACTATTCTGTTACTAACATACGTACAGTGTCTCTGGCAACTCTGCCTTTTCCGGAGGTGTCAACTATGCTGAGATGGTAGCCATCCCCAACATATATCCATAATAGGTTATATACTGATTCATATAGGGCGCCGGTGTCACCTATGGTGCCGCTGCCATGTCGACCGATACCGGCCACGACTCGGCATTCGACAACTCGTGGGCTGCCAACCCCGAGTCTGTGACCGACTGGGGCTGGCGCGCGATGCACCTGTCGGTCGTCGAGGCCAAGAAGGTCATCGAGAAGTACTACGGCGAGTCGCTCAAGTACAGCTACTACAACGGCTGCTCGACCGGTGGACGCCAGGGTCTCAAGGAGGTCGAGGCCTTCCCCGATGACTTTGACGGCGCCGTCGTCGGTGCCCCCGCCTGGTGGACGAAGCATCTGCAGCTCTTCAACATCTTCTCTGCCGAGTACAACTACCCGACCAACTCCAGCCACCACATCAGCGATGATCTGTTTGCCTTCATTGCCAACGAGACCTTGAAGCAGTGTGGTACGTATCACCATCCTCCGCATATAACCCTAAACCCTAACCCTAAACCCTGAAACTTGCTAATACTTTCAAGACCCCCAGGATGGTGTTGTTGATAACATCATCTCCGACCCCCGCCGCTGCGATCTGGACCTGGAGGTGATGCTGTGCGACGCCAACGTGACGGACTCGACGACTTGCATCACCGACGACCAGCTGGACACCCTGTACCACTACTACAACGACTGGGTCGAGGCCGACCAGACCTTCATCTTCCCCCACTACGAGATCGGCAGTGAGACCGGCTGGGGAATGGCCCCGGACTTCAGCTACATCGAGTACTTCCTGGGTCTGGGCACCAACTTCACCTGGGCCGACTGGAACGCCAGCATCATCAAGCTGTCGGACGAGTTGAACCCGGGCAATGCCACCGCCGACGACTTCGACCTCTCCCCCTTCTACGAGAAGGGCTCTAAGCTGATCCACTACCACGGCATGGCCGATCCCTCCATCCCCACCGGCAGCAGTGTCTACTTCTACAAGCACGTCCAGCGCACCCTCAAGGCCCTGGGCATCGATCTCGAGGAGTTCTACCGTTTCTACCTCATCCCCGGCATGGAGCACTGCGGCAACACCCCCTCCAACATGGAGGCCCCCTGGTACATTGGTGGTTCGTCTCAGGCCTCGACCATCGGCACTGACGGCTCCGGCAACCACCTCCACGAGAAGCCCGGCTTCAACGACCCCAAGCACGACGCCCTGCTCGCCATGATCGCCTGGGTTGAGAACGGCACCGCTCCCGACTACCTCATCGGTACCAAGTTCCACGATGAAACCACTCTCGACTACGTCACCAAGCAGCGTCCCATCTGTCCCTTCCCCGAGCAGGCCAAGTACATTGGCAACGGCAGCCTCTGGGAGCCTGCCAACTGGGAGTGCGCCAGCCTCTACTAGACACACTTGTACATATATATATCCCTTTTGTTCTAGATTTAACTACCAGCTAGACTAGTCTTTTAGAAATCATAGACAACTATATCCTTGAAAAATGCGGAATATTATAAAAGAAAATATAAAAGAGAAGATCATTAAGTTGTTATGTAATGTTTGAGGCCAAATTAAAAAGTCTATATTATTTTCAACTTCAAAAAAGTCTGCATCAAGTGGGAAAAAAAGTATGTTGAAATGTGTAATGGACTTGCGATGGCAGTGGTACATGATGGGACTTTGATATGATATTTAGGGGATGGTTAGTGGAGCAAGTACGGTAGGTCAAAAACAAAGCAGTTTGTAGTAGAGCAGAATATGTAGTAACTATTAGTCATGACAGCGCCTTGAGATGGATCATTCTGACTCCAACAGAACAACCGCTTCCTCTTGGCCAAGGGAGGGGGAAAGAAAAGCAAAGAAACATTCAAGCACTGTTGTCACTAGTCAAATAATTACGGCAGATATGATGAAGCTCTTGGAAAATGGCATATCTCAAAATCGGTGAGAGTAGTCCTCTTCAGATATAGGTATGACCTTCTTAAGTACATGACGATTCACCAATTCGCAGATCACCTGGGCTGAAAGGACAACTCGACATTTCCGGTAAGTTCATCCTCACACATAACGAATTGCCCTGCTTCGGGGATTTATTTTGGTAAGAGATGGCTATAACCCGTTTCTGACGCCAGAACAAGCCCATCTTCCGATGGCCACACATCCTTTTTCCCTCTCTGTCTCTTCGTATCGTCGCGCTTCTCTCCTGTATGAGTCGCATGAATGAATTCTAAATGATCCTGGTCCTTCACGTAGCCATGACTTGACACGTGGGTACCACGGAGAAGTTGTTGGTCATCCTTAAAACAGAGAGTGACGTGGTACCCTAGAGGATCTACTTGGTGGACGCCGTTGATGGAAGTAGTCTTATGGATTTCAGATCTGATCTCATGAGACAGGTTAAAAGCGGTTAAGGCCAGCTGAACTCCAATCTATAACGCAGACTTAATCATGGCAGTAAAGGCCCTGTACCTGATAAGAATTTCCTTGGGGTAAAGCTTCTGATCTCTTGCCGTTTGGTACGCCAAAGTGATTAATTGGCGAGCTCGTTCTTCAGTCTTTGGGACAAAGCCCCTGTAGAAGAAATACTTCACAACATTAACAGTAGACATGATGATTATTGAATCTATAAAGGTAGAAATAGATAAGACAAAAGGTGCTTCTATTTAAAGCAAGCTAGATCTTGAAGATCATAATAAATAGAAGTGATTCATAACAATGAGATATATAGAGGACATTTGGCATTGATATAGCTATATTTTATAGAATCAATAATTAGGTGAGATCTATACTGATTACTTTTCCCTAATAATAGTTCACTCAGCAGCCGCGGCCAAAGACTACTGAGTCAAGCGCCTATATGATAGGCTATGGTTGAATCAACTGTTACTAGCAAAATCATAGAGTATCTAAATATAGGCCTTATGCAGTCATAGGGCTTGGTATAAATGAATCAATAAGTATGGTCAAATAGAATTCACGAAAGATTAATCAAAGCAGTAGCATCTATTACGCTGGGTCGCCGGCTCGGAGCAAAGTTCACCCCTAGTTCACTTTGCGCGTGGCTCCTCAAAACCTTCGACTAAAGCCAGTGGATTACGCGCCGAGGGTCAACTTGAAGCAAAGACCTATCCACCCCTCAACCCAGTTCTTTCCGAGAAAATGAAGTTTTTCCTAAGTCCATCCCTCCCGCGGTCTTTGTATTCACCCATATCATTTTCTCGCCTTCATTGCACCGCTGGCAAGATACCAAGGGAACCGTTCCGCCACAGTCAATTTCGCTGCATCTTTTCAACGTCTGCGGCCATGTCCGAGACATCGGAAAGTGACTCAATAGTGCGTCACTTGTACGTTCCCATCGAGGGTGTGGAGAAATTGGAAAGATACAGAGCAGGAGGCTACCACCCCGTAGCGATTGGAGATCGGTTCCACAATCGCTATCGGGTAGTCCAGAAGCTCGGCCATGGCTCGTACTCAACAATCTGGCTGGCTCAAGACGAAAGATTCAACAACAAATACGTCGCTATCAAAGTCTGTACAGCAGACTCGAATCCGCACGAGTTGAACGTGCTTTTGGACCTTTCCAGGTCGCGACAGATTTCGCATGATAGTCTAGGCCAAGCTATGATACCTTCCATCTTGGACACATTCAAAATCCAAGGACCCAATGGCACTCACGCATGCTATGTGACTCGCCCAGCGAGAATGAGTCTCTCAGATTCAAAAGATGGATCTTATATTCGCCTTTTTAAGCTAGAAGTTGCGCGGGCGTTGGCAGCACAGCTTGCAATTGCAGTAGAGTATATACATTCACAGGGGATTGTCCATGGTGATCTTCACTACGGCAACGTCCTCATTCAACTTCCCTCTGGATTTGATTACGAGAAGTGTGGTCAGCCAGAGTCTGAGGCCATCACTCGTTTCGATGGCAAAGAGCTTCCTCCCAGTGTCCCATCCCATGCCATTCTACCAATCTGGCTCGGAGAAGCGAGTGAAAGTCTTGAACTTCCAGAAGCTAAAATTCTACTCTCTGACTTTGGTGAGGCCTTTTCTCCTGCAAAGGACAAGAAGTTCGAGTCTCATACTCCTCTTGTGAACCGAGCCCCGGAGACTCGCTTCGAGCCAGACAAACCGCTTTCTTTTCCCTCGGATATCTGGTCGCTTGCCTGCTCGATATGGGATATCGTTGGGCAAAGTCCACTGTTTGAGGGGTTTCTGGCGGCCGAAGACGATATAACCTGCGAGCATGTTGATGCACTTGGCATTCTGCCCTTTGAGTGGTGGAGCAAATGGGAGACCCGACGAAAGAAGTTCAGCGGGGATGGGAAGCCGATAAATCGCCAGTCATACCGATCGTGGGAGGATCGTTTCGAAGACAGTGTGCAGCAGCCTCGACAAGTAGAAGGAATGCCACTATTTGAGCCCGCCGAGCGTGATGCCCTTTTCTCCATGCTCAGATCGATGCTTTCTTTCAGACCAGAAAGTCGCCCTTCTGCTAAAGAGGTTCTCGCGTCTGAATGGATGGTGAAATGGGCACTACCCGAGTGTGAAAAGGTTTGGAAGTCTGGCTTGGTCAGGTAAGAGGCATGCTAGACTGCTATTCAGGGTAAGATGCAAGGGTTCTTGAATGACGGTTCAATAATTGCCTTCATTTAGAGATGACTTGGGCCTATGATTTCCTCCATGTGTCCAAGTAAAAATTGTCAAATGTATAGAATATATGTAATGATTTAGATAAGCAGTACTACCTATCTCAGTGATTTTCAAAATCTAAACAAAATAAAATAAACTCTAGACAATTATTTAACACCAGATCAAGACTATAAGACACTAGGAATAAATCTAGATATATAAGGTAATTATTTATATTTTAAAGAATCATTTTAGATAGTACAATATATAAAAAGAACAATTTGGGCTATTAACTTCCCATGTAACTACCCTATTCTAGAGGAGTTAACTATAAGGTATTAAATAGTGGGATATTGATCTATTCACTACCCTCTATAGGAAAGCTTATATGTGCCAGTGATGGTTGCCATAGACAACATGACTAAGACTGGAGGCGGTAGGAGAGGCGGCATCTAAGGCGGTGCTGGTATCACATCTATAATTGGTTCACCTGTGAATTGCGGTAGTGATGACATCTCCCCTCCCTGGCAGTTGTGGGCAGTTCCTAGACATCTTTCTTTTCATTTCATCTACATCTACATCTACAACTGCTATCAAGGATTCGCCAAAGATAAAGTGCCTCCTTCTCTCCAGAAGGGGCAGCGGAGAGTCTGTTTGTTTGCAACAGCGCCAGAACACCCAGACTGGAGGAATATACACCTTCTCCACGGACACGGAATCATCGCAGACCCTGCCAGACCTTCTCACAGCCGCTAGGGAGCGTATTGCCTGCTATGAGCCGCAGGGTTATAAGGAGGAAGGCAAATTCAAGGCAGGACTAAATGCCTTTCTCGACTGGCTGCCGCCGGGTGGCTGGGAATCGATAGCAAGAGACATCAACAATGCGACCACTGATAGCGAGCTCCATGATGTCTTTTTCAACCTCCTCACTGCCCTTGCGATTCCCAGTAAGTGCTACATTCTTTATGAGAATCACAGTACTAAGATGCTCTTATAAAACAGTGAAAGCCCGGTCGAATAGCAGTACCGTCACCGAATCCCCACAAGCGAATCGACTTGAGGCCGTTGAGACTGTGGCTTCAACACTAGATGAACCACAGTACCGAGAAGAGACATTTCGAGAGCTCTGCAAGAAGCGAGATAGCTATCGCTGTATTGTCTCAGGAGAACTAGACACCAAGACTTGGATTGAGAGAGGGAGGCCCGACAATGAGGACAATTGTTATGTGGACGTAACCCATATAATTCCCTTCGCATATGCGTCTTGGGATAAATCAACAGTAAGCGGGATCTTCACTGCTTATGGAATTTGATGATTGCTGACCAGTAAGCCACCACCGGGCCAGCGAGCCACTGCCTGGGAGGTTCTCTATCGGTGCTTCCCTGGCGTTCGGCATATCGGAATGGCTGTCACCTCCATCAATGACCTGCGCAATGGTGTCACACTGCGAGAGTCGATACACAAGGCGTTCGGCCGTTTTGAGATAGCATTTAAACCCACAGTGAGTGGATAGCGTAAACCATCATGTTATTCATATAATCAACTATCACATATCTTACTGTCTATTGCAATTAACAAGATGTTAGGGCCATGTCAATGTTTACGAGAGAAAGATCTTCGGCAATTTCCCCAAATCTGAGCAAAGAGGTTTGCCGGGGAGCACTAGGATCGAGCTCACACAGGCAGCCGACACAGAGGGTCTGGAACTACCCAGCGTCACTCTTCTTGATTGCCATTACCGACTGTGTGAGATTTTAAATGCGTCGGGCATGGGCGAGATAATCGAAAAGCATTGGGATGACTGGGAGGACCTAAAGGCGCGTGGAGGGGGTGTGATGCGACCCGATGGAAGCTCTGATATCGGTCACTACCTTGAAGTCGCCTTGTGGGAGAGAGTAGTGGGTTGATGCCTATGATACCTAGTGATTTCATAGATTTATTACATATAATAGAGATGAACTTCATTCCCTTGGTTGGCTGAAGCTGTAGTTCTATATGATTAATAGATATATTTTTTATTAAATATATATTTCTATATATCTGGCCATATTAATTCACTACTTATAATCACCACTAATTAGCTTTAATTATTCATTATCAAAAAAAAGAACCCCGCAGTTGAATAAGATACTATATTTATAACTAGAAAATAGCCTAAGCTATAACATATATCTATAAGTTAATATGTCATCTATCAGCGTGCAATAGACAGATACTGACTTGTTACTAAAGAAACCCTCTATGGCCTTTCTTCAGACGCTCCAGACAGTCGACGACCTTTACAATAGACACTGCCTTTCAGCACTTTCATGAGAGGCGAGGCATCTTCAAGATCTTCCCTCTCGATCAAGACATCCGACGGCCTGGCGTCATCGAGGGATTAGAATGAGCCCCGACGTATTACATGTAGGGCTGTACGACAAGATGGCAAAGACGCGCACACAAGACACAGGCAACTGGATGTGAAGATACCGTCTAAGATTGGATCCAGCAGCGGACCCGTACCAGACCATCAGGGCTTGGCTTGCAGCATCGAAGGTGGGACATTCAGATGCAGGCAGAACTGGTGTTCCTGGGCTGTGGTCTGAGGAGTCGCAGAGAACACTTTGAATAGAGAAGCGACCGTGTTGATGCTATTATGTTATTATACCTGCCCTGGTCATATGAGAGTAGTTATAGCCCAATTCTGCTGCTAGTTCTTCCTCTCGCTTCCTATAAGCCTCAGTTTATACTCCTAGAGTGCTCCCAATTGATACTATATTTCTATGGATAGATACCAATACTATAGAGACAAATCTAGTTAAATTCATAGGGTTATGGTTTAAAAATGGAATACGGCATTAATTTACCACTTGCTCAAGGCTTATATAATAACGGAGACATTCGCACATTCGTCATCTTGCATCCTGCTGTTGTGGGGTTGAGGGGAATGAGCAGGAGAGAGGTATGTGACTGTATATCATGTAGTAAATTGTACTACTAAATGATAATGCAGACGGGTCACTTCTCCACAGACAGGATCATGCTGTGGCCTGTGGCAGGGTCGCATCTTGGCAGAGGCCGCTTGACAGCCAATGCAGCCCGTCAAACCGGGCAGCAGTGCCCGCTCGGAGTGTCTAGCGGAGGAGCCGTTACGCGTCCCCAGCAGGCCACAGGAATGCGGCATATTGAGCTCACACCGCCAGGAATCTGTGGGGAAGCCACCCACAGCAGGCAGTCGGGGCCTCATCAAGCTCCGATGCAGCGCAGTGTAAGCGACGGGCCGAAGGAGCACCATCTTCGCCGGGGTCTGGGGATAGGCCAGCAACCCCACAGTGGAACGTGGAGAAGGAAGTCTAACCCCACGTTGGTGCTGCAAGTTCCCCATAAACACGGCGCACGTTCCCCATGCAGGTTGCCCTGGTTGGGGAAGCGTGCGGGGTAGAGTCGGGGCTCGGGTATAGACCGAGGATGGAATATTCGGACAATAGAGAGTCTACCGGAAAAAAAATATATAAACAGGGGCAGCCCCCCCCGCCATTGACGATCAGGACAGGCAAGCCGAAGTCATCAATTCCTCCCACAATGCACAAGCCCACCCTCCTGGCCGCGACGATGTCGGCGGCGGCCGCCCACGCCGCCAGCCTGACGGACATCTGCACGACGAGCTACATCGAGTCCAAGCTGCCCACCTCGGACTTCAACGAGGGCATCGAGATCGACAGCTCGAGCGTGACGGCGGCGGTGGTGTACAACGCCAGCTCGAGCGGCTCGTACTTCTTCCCGGCCACCAACTTCGACTTCTGCAACGTCACCTTCGCGTACACGCACGAGGGGCTGAATGACACCGTGCAGCTCAACTACTGGCTGCCCGCCCCCAGCAGCTTCGCCAACCGCTTCCTGGCCACGGGCGGTGGTGGCTACGCCATCAACTCCGGCCTGACCGTGTCCGGCTCGCTGCCGGGCGGCCTGGTGTACGGCGCTGCGGCAGGCCTGACGGACGGCGGCTTCGGGGGCTTCGACAACCAGTTCCAGGCGGTCGATCTGCTGGCCAACGGCACTCTCAACTGGCAGGAGATGACCATGTTCGGCTACCAGGCCATCTACGAGATGACCATCGTCGGCAAGGCGTTGACCAGCAATGTTTATAACGTGTCCGACTCGGAGAAGCTGTACTCCTACTACCAGGGATGCTCCGAGGGCGGCCGTGAGGGATGGAGTCAGGTCCAGCGCTTCGGCGACGAGCTGGATGGTGCTATCATCGGCGCCCCGGCCTTCCGCTATGCCCACCAGCAGATCCAGCACATGTATTCCAATGTTGTTGAGCTGACCGAGGAGTACTACCCGCCGCCCTGTGAGTTCACCAAGATCATGAACGAGACCATCGCCGCCTGCGATGGTCTGGATGGTCTGGTCGACGGCGTCATCGCCCGCACCGACCTGTGCATCCTGCACTTCGACATCAGCACCCTGGTGGGCGTCCCCTACGACTGCCCGGCCACGGCGGCCACCCGCCTGCCCGCCGAGCCCGCGTACCCGGCGCAGACGGGCAACGTCACGGCGCAGGGCGTGCGTGTCGCCCAGACGATCCTGGAGGGGCTGCACGACAGCAAGGGCCACCAGGCCTACTTCTCCTACCAGCCGGGGGCCACCTTCACCGACGGCGCCACGCAGTACGACAACGAGACCGACTCGTGGGTGCTGGACATTGACTCCCTGGGCGCCATCTTCCCCGAGCGCTACCTGTTCCTGACCGAGGAGATGACCATGGACAGCCTCACAAACGTCACCTACGACACGCTGATCGAATGGATGAACTGGGCGTGGCAGAAGTACGACAGCACCCTGCAGACCACCTGGCCCGATCTGACCCCTTTCAATGTCGCCGGCGGTAAAGTGCTGCACTTCCACGGCGAGGCCGACAGCAGTGTGCCCACGGCCTCGTCGGTGCGCTACTGGGAGTCCGTCCGCCAGATCATGTACCCGAAGATGGACTATCTCGAGAGTGCCGAGGCCCTGAACGAGTGGTACCGCCTGTACATCATCCCGGGGGCTGTCCACTGCGCTCCCAACAGCGACGAGCCCAACTCGCCCTTCCCGACCACCAACATGGCCGTCATGATCGACTGGGTCGAAAAGGGCGTCGTGCCGGAGCGCCTGAACGCCACCATGCCCTACAACGACGACAAGGAGGTCGAGATCTGTACCTGGCCGCTGCGTCCTCTGTGGCACGGCAATGACTCTGTCATGGACTGTGTGTATGACCCGGAGTCGCTGGCTACCTGGCATTACGACCTCGATGCCTTTAAGCTGCCTGTGTATTAGGCAGGTAATAATAATATTAGTATAACAATACCATCCAGAGTATAGGACTTTTATATCATAGACCTGCTAGATAAACCTATTATATCCGTCTTATCCTAGTACTATATATGAGTACACCTGAGATATTATTCTCAAGGCTCTAACATGGAATCTAATAATCCTGATCAATAATGCAGGAGGCATAGATATCAATATAGAATAGTTATAAGACAAGAATCATATCCTTTAGTCCTGCACTGATTAAGCAGTTATTAATAATAATTAGAATGCTCTTTAACATAATAAAATCAGAATAAACAGAGATTTAGGACTAGTATCTATAGATATTAATATAGAATTAATTAGAATCATTATTACTAAGTGTTATAAGTATGAGCAGAGCAGTTTATTGTAGAGCTCTACTCTATAATATCTAAATTAAATAATAATATTATAGCCCCCTTGAGCCCCTCCAGTGAGGGTATTCGATTGAATATCTCACCTCTGAGTTGTTACCGTCTATACTGTGTCCAGCTCAGTAGTGGCTTCTTCCTCTTCTTCCTCTTCTTCCTCCTCTACTTCTAGCTTCTGGCCACCGCATGGGACTACAACTCGGATACCTGCTATATGATCGAGGGCGAATTCACCACACCAGCGGTGGCGATCCCATACTTGTCCTCTGTCTTCTACGTCTACTTGGACTTCTACTTCTACGTCTACGCCAGTTTCTATCTATACTGCATCTTCCAGTGTCGCTAGCCGTCCTATTCCTTTGATCTCTGCCAGCCATTCCAATTCTTCTGGCTCTCTCGTCCCTTCCAGTCGTCCAGGACATCCACGGTCTATAGCACGACTGTCGTCACCGTGCTGGTTTGTGAACCATACCTAGATTAATTCATCTTAATATTATACACTATTCTATATATCACCATAATCAACAGCTGTTATCTATAGATACCCCCCCCCCTCGTTCTTCCACGACCCCTCGTAGTGATGTTCGACCAGATACTCCCCCCGATCTTTCGGCCACTCGGCTTGGGACGCCGCAAACGCAGCATCAGGCAGGACAAGAACATCCTGCAGCAGCATAGGGCGAGTGACGTTGACGAGATCTGCAAACCCTACCGGCTCGCCCATCTCCAGCCGGAGGTTCTCGAGAATAGCCACCGTCATCGCCTGCGGACCCGTCACATTGACCACGTCGCTGATCGTCTGCATGGTCAAGCCCGAGATGGAGGTCTGGTACTGCGCCGCCGACTCCTGCAATCCCGCGACGATGTACCGGATCACCGCCGCGAAATGGCTACTGCGCGGCTTCGCCATGACGGTCCAGCTGGCGAACTGCTCGCCGTCGAATTCAATCCCCACCAGCACGTTCGTTGCGTTCCGGTACGGCTCGGGGATCCAGCGCTCAATCGCCGCATGGCACGTCACGTCCAGATCACTCCAGATCCCTCCGTCCGCATATAAGATCAACTGGCGCAACACGTCTGCCTTGAGAATCGGCACCTGCAGCGAGAGATAGATCTCTACTAGCTCGGGATACGCACCGTATCGTTCCCGGACGTATTCATCTGCGCTGGCGTCCGTCAGCAGCTCGTGGCGCAGGTAAGGCGTGTGCAGACGCCAGCTTCGTATTCTTTCTTGGTTCCGTTCGCTGATCTCGGAGCTGCTCTTCTGCCATAGCTTCGCGGGGAAACGCTGCCCTCGCAGGGTCTCCCATGCCTCACTAGGGGGTAGGGGGAAAACATTGACTGGTGGAATGGTGCTTTCGATTGGACTGTCGGCCGTGTAGATGGGGTATCGTATTAATACTTTATAGAGAAGCACAACAGTAATGCATATTAAAAGAGTGCGCGTAAGGGGAGCCATTATATGATCAGAGAGAGAGAAAGAAAGGATAAAAGAGCCAGTTTCGGCTTGAGCTGGGATTTTAGATTTGCACTGAAATTGGTCTTTTTTGCCGACATCCAATCACATGCGGCCCTCTTCTATATAGTAAAGGGGTATCAGCCAATATGTATGACTTTTAACCACAGAGTAAAATAATAATATAAACAGGTTAAGATTAAAAAGGATAGGAGTGTACCTAGGGCCCGGGATATAATATCGCCAGCAATGTGATCTTTTGGTGATACAAGGCGTGTCCTTATGAGAATGATTACAATTTCTGAGTAGCATAAAAGGTAGAATAAGGGGAAAGGCAGGGAGAGAGAGGATTCCAGAAAGATAGACTTAGTAGACATTGCAAAGAGCCCTACCAGGAAATGTATAGAGTACGAGCCTAATACCCTCGCTACGCGAGGGGGCTCAAAGAGGGGGCTATAATCAGTATTATTATTATCTTAATTAAGATATTATAGAGTAGAGCTCTATAAATTAAAGCTGCTCTAGACCTACAGCCCTGTATTCACAATTATTTACACTAATCTAGATAATTAGTGAAAGAGTCTAGGAATCGCCTAGGAATTGATGTAGGGATCACCTAAGAATCACCTAGGAATTGCCTAGGAATCATCTAGGGAATCGCTTAGAAATCAGTATATATACTCTATTAAAAGCTGAATTAAAAACTTACCTGGATAATAAGAAAAAGAAAAGAAGAGAGAAAATAAAAGAAATAGATTATATAGGAAAATATGGACCTTCCTAAATAGGATTAGCTAATTGTGAACATTACATCTTGGTGCTAAGTAATTGATATTTCTGTATAACAGAGAGTAAAGTAAAGTAAAGTGTATTCCACAACTTTTAGTATGAAAGTAAAAGCTGCAGGCCACGTCAGCAAATGCTGTATCCCAGCCCAAGGCAACTAAGAGTATACTCTTTACAGGACTGGGTGTCAGTTGAATGCATGAGATGACCCATAATTCGACTAGGAGGACAATATATGGGGTTTTGCATATAGCAAAAAACATGTTGATTATTAAGAAATCAGCGGCTGCGTATTATATCACTTTTAGCTTTAAATCTAAGTAAGGATTCTATTGGCAAATGCAATGTATCCACAGACAGCATTAGAACATGTTTTCTTTCTAGTGAGTAAATGCTTACTGGGATGGTCATGTTTTAAAAGGGCAACTCCCTGCCACTAGAAATTAAACCTGTATTTAGTCTTATTCACTGATTCCTCTTCTTAAACATTAATTCTTCCTAGAGCCCATGACTCTATTATAGTCCACACCATGTCTCGCTCCTTTTCAACTAGTGTTCGGTCTTTGCTCCAGATCCTGTGGAAGAATACTGATCGGGTCGCGAAATACGACGACATCACCAAGTCAATTGAGGAAAATCCCAAACTCAATGGCAAGGTGGAAATCGCGTAAAGACACTGAGCTGTCAGCCTTCATTCAGGGGCGAGAGCACCCGTCTATCCAGGACCCAAAACCCCGAGTTCTAGGCAGATATATAATGAAGAGGGTGTGCGTATCACTTTGGGCACTGGCATCATGATGGGGAAGTGAAACTCTCTAAGAATAAATATAATGAATAAATGTTGTTGAGGACTTTACTTTACTTAGTTTTTATATAATTACAGTACTCTAATTGGCTATACTCCAATATTTTAGCTTGGAATTGTTATCTATATTACCAGTCGCCCGGAGGCATAGTATAGCTCTATGATAGAGTACTCAGTAGCTACAGGGTATGCAAACTATATTAATAATTCTGGCCTGTGTTAAAGATCTAGCTATAAAGCATGTAACTTGCAGGCAACTCTATTAATCATCCTAATATAATGAATAATGGTCTCGCCCAGGTCACTGCTGATGTCTCTATATCAGCTCCTATAGTCACGCTCCTATTTATCTATATTAGTTCCTATTAAGCTGCTTCCAATAAATCAACCTATTGAGGAAGAGTGCACGCTTTATTATAAACTCATTCATTATTATCCTGTGCGCATTCATGAAGTATTCAATAAAAGATACCAGATTGCTGCTAATATTAGATAGGGAACAAGCTTAATAGTGTGGTTGGCATAGGACCTTCATTAGTATGTTTATATTACTAACTTAATCTTCAATGTCTCTAGCCTAATGTAAAGATGGTGCTGGCTCCCGCCGCGCTATGTTGCAGTCAAAGTCAACATGAATAGTTTTTCAAGCTGAAAATTACTCAGCACATTACGAAAGGGGACCCTCACCACGAGGGTCGGTACTTTGTTCGTACCTTGGTCGATTCTTTCGATGTCCAAGGACCCCATGGCACCCATGTCTGTATGGTCTTTGAGCCCCTCGGCGAACCTCTTTGGATATTGAAGGCTCGATTTCAGGGGAACGTCATCCCACCAGACACCCTCAGACTGGTCTCTAAAATGATCATAGAAGGCCTCGACTATCTTCACTCTCAATGTCCGGTTATTCATACAGGTACAGGGATATCTTTCCCTAAATAATTGACCTAGGGGTACCATACTGGCAGCTAACTCAGATACTTAAGATTTAAAACCCGATAATGTATTAATGGCTCTCCGTGAGCATAGCAGGCTACATCTGGTTGCTCAAGACGAAATCCAGGAACCCTTGCCTCAGAAAGGACTACAAGATCGGACAATATACTTATCACGGAATTACTTTGGTCTTCAAGGTCAGGAAATTGGCAGACCGGTAATCACTGACTTTGGACTTGCGGTGCGCGGAGATCAACGTTCTTTCTACCATCATTCTATCCAGCCAGATGAATATCGCGCTCCCGAGGTCATCCTTGACGCAGGGTGGAGTTACAGCGTTGACATTTGGAATCTGGGGGTTTTGGTAACAATATCAAAAGCAATGCGTTTGGAATGAGGATGGCTGAGTAAACACAGATCTGGGATTTGCTCGAAGGAAGTGGCCCCTTTGATATGGCAAAGTCTGGAATGGAGACGCACTCTGTTGAAAGACATTTGGCTCGTATCATCGCTTTGATTGGCCCCCCTCCTATGGACCTTCTTCAAGATGGAAAGGAAAGCAGTCGATATTTTGACAATAAAGGTACTGACCCATAACCCAGCGCTATCTCTTGCACTAACTGAGTCTAGGGAGATTCAAATTTCCAGACCTTATACCGGAATGCCGTGGGATGGAGGATTCATTAACCTCCCTTGAAGGGCAAGATAAGAGAATGTTCCTGGATTTTGTTTCAAGGATGGTTCAGTGGCGACCAGCAGATCGGAGTAAGCCGGAAGAGTTGCTCTTAGATCCTTGGCTTCGTCAACCATAGAGAGTGTTACTTTTCAATCCATCTTCGGATTGTCATTATCAACATTATTGGACTGATGGTGGCAATATCATAGGAGTATTCTGTTGATAAGAAATAGGTATACTGGGAATGAAGAGGGTGGACATTCGATTTTATGTTCTTCATTTACAGACCCAAGAGGCAAATTAGACAGATAAGAGTCCTCCAAGTACTGAAAGGTTTGAGTGTAGAAAGGCCCTCGATGATAATTAGAGACAAGTCATTGATATGTGTTCTTATTCTATAGGCTTCTATATATCTTATATTGAAGGTAAATAACTGAATTTCTTATAAAAGCTGTATTGAGGTTATCCTGCATCTCTTGATTTAAATATAAGGGGCTAGATGAAGAATGAAATGGTGTGCACCTTGGCTATTTTTAATAGTATTCTTCACACCTCCATAGGTCATATATGCTTATAGTGATAATATAAAGGTTTCGAGGACATAAAGTACTACACTTGGAGTCTTAATCAATAATTCCTATAGGACTAGTATGCTCTGCCGTCTCTACAATATATTATCAACTCATTGTGATTGCTATATACTAATATTACTCGGTGAACTTCAGCTGCAGCTCTGCAGAACCATACTCGGACCGGTTCTCCTGCTTGAACATGTCCAGCTTCATTGTGTTTCCAGACACATTGCCAGTGAAACTAGACGCAGTCAGTATGGAGTATCATCTACGAAGTACGTAGGTAAACTATGTACCAATAGTAAGTATCTTCGCCAGTGAAGATCTCAATCTCGCCAGAGGACTGGTCGTACTTGGTGATGGTGCCGGACCAGTTGTAGTTGGCCTTGGGATGGCCCTCGTAGCTCTTGGTCCACTGCCCGACCAGGACAGCCGTGGATCCCTCGCGGAAACCGCCGTCAAAGGCAAAGGAGATGACCTCGTCCACGGCCGTCTTGGAGGACTTGTCCGCCGTGTTGGACGTGCTGTTGAGCTTGCCGACGTAGACGCGCATTTTAGAATGATAGATGAGATGAGAGAGATGAGAGAGATGAAAGTGATGGAGGTGATGGAGGTGATGGAGGTGATCCAGGGGAGGCCTGTATTTATAATTGAATGTGCTTTGACAACACATCCTCATGTAGTCCAGGTTTATGCAGTCCAGATTGTAATAGAGAGGTCTAGACAGTGAGGGGTAGAATAAGTACAAGTACAGAGTATGAAGCGTTACCTGTATTTAATGAATAAATAAATTAAATAAATACATATATGTATTTCTATAGAGGCTATATCTCTACAATATTTCTCCTCTCAAAACTCCATCCAACGAAACTGTAGAGTATTTAATGATAGAAGATTACAATCTACTGCTAATGCACTTATCAGAACTATACTTTAGCATCATTAGTAGAGTGAACCTTCATATTCTACTGCAGCTAGAGATAACTACTGCAACCATAGAAGTACTTGTAACAATGCAGATAGTATATGAGACTGAAAGCCCCTACTCTTCTGAATGCCTCCTCATGGCGGAGTCTCGGCAGGAGACTCGCCAAGTGGGGAATTAGCCGGTACCCCGCACCCCCGCCTCGGAGTTAAGATTAAGAGTACATAATACAAGACATCCACATAATGATAAATAAAAAAACAACTACCACACAAACACTTTATATATCCCTCTACAATGACCACCAGCCCCATTGCTGTCACCGGCGGCCTGGTACAAGGCCACACCGAGTCAGACCCGACCATCACCGTCTTCCGCGGCATTCCCTACGCCGCACCCCCCCTGGGGCCCTACCGGTTCCGTCCCCCCCAGCCGGTGACCCCCTGGGAAGGCGTCCGAGAATGCACACAGAACAGCGCTGTCAACTACCAACTGCCGCCGCCGCCGAAGTTCTACGACACGCTGGTTGGTGTGCCGCAGTCGGAGGATATCTTGTACCTGAACGTGTGGGTGCCCGACAGCGCCAAACATGACGGACCGTATCCTGTGTTCTTCTGGATGCATGGGGGAGGGTTCCGGGAGGGGGGGAATGCAGACAAGAACTTCAATGGCACCGGGCTGGCACAGAAGGGTAAACCAGACACTCTTGCGCCGTGACTATGGATTACTGAGATATTCTTCTAGGCGTCATTGTCGTCGTCCCCAACTTCCGACTCGGCATGCTCGGGTTCCTGGCGCACCCTGAGCTCAGCAAGGCCGAACCGTCTGGCGCATCGGGCAACCAGGGCATATTAGACTGTATCCAAGCATTGCAGTGGATACAGGAGAATATCGCTGCGTTTGGCGGGGATCCCGGCCGAGTGACCATTGGCGGTCAATCGTCCGGATCAGCAATGACCAGTAAGTGTGTATTTGACCCTATTATAAACAGCTATTTGCTGATAGACAGCCATCCTGCTCTTTTCCCCCATTACCAAAGGCCTCTTCCACCGCGCATGCATCCAGTCCGGGGTTCGATCCCCCCAGGACCAGATGATGCCCACGATGGCTCCCTCCTATCGCCAGCTGCAGCACGCCGAGGAAGACGGGGTCGCGCTGCTGCGTGAACTGGGATTCTCCAGCTTGGAAGAAGCCCGCAAGCACCCGGACCCGCTGCTGTTTGCGCGCGCAGCCCTGAAACGCGACGCCCGCTACTGGGGGCCTCCGCCCTTCTTCCGGGCGGTGCTGGACGGACATGTGTTTGTGAAGCCGTACCATGAGACTCTCCGCGACGGGCCCCCGAACGACATTCCCATCCTGACCGGCCAGAACGCCAATGAAAGCGGCGTCTACGCCGAGCCACGCTTCACCCTCGACGATTTCCACCAGTGCGTCCATGAGCGGGTCGGGGCAGCGTTTGAAGACCGATACCGCGCGGTATACCCGCTCGCCAACACGGAAATGGGCCAGGGACCGCTGGAGACATGGAATCTGTCGGCACAGGAGCAGACACGGGTGAGTACGAGCGAGTGGGCGCGGCTGTGGAAGACCAAGGCCTCAAGCCCTGTGTTTGGATACTATTTCACACACGCTCCGCCGGCGTATCATGGATTCAAGCCTGATTTCTCGGCGCCGAAAGTGGCCGGCTTCACGCAGAACAAGGGCCCGTTGACGGGGGCCTTCCACGGCGCAGAGTTCGCGTATACCTTCAACAGCGTTGTCACGAGTGATATGCGGCCGTGGACAGACCGGGATCGATACGTCGGCGAGGTGGTGTCTACCCTCTGGAGCAACTTTATCAAACACGGGGATCCGAATCAGGGGAGACCGGAAAGAGTCGCTCGTTGGCCGGCGCTGACGGAGGATCCAACAACAATGTTAGAGCTGGGGGGGGAGTTTGACACCATCTCCATTGCCAGACCAGAGGCGATTGACTTTTGGACCTCTTTTATCCAGACAGGAGAGGCGTGGTGAGACTGATTAGAATGAATACCATACTAACAATGGATCTATTTATGATAGTTGATTGATCATGCAGGCAGGCTAGAATGACATTTCTCTACTTACATGAGACTGGCCTATAGATTATCTAATATATTAAAATTTCCAAGGTCTGCCCTTTTACACGCCCATCGTAAGATATGAGATGGATGAATCTCCATACCAATATCCAACATATCTATAACTGACTCTTGTCTCAACCCCGAGAATATCCCTAACCTTTCCCCTCACGGACCTCACCGTGCAGCGTGCAAGCTCGAGGGTCTGCACTGCCCGCTGTGGGTTCCATTAGCAAGACGACTTGCGAATAGCTACGGGCGGTTGTCTTCTAGCGAGATCCGCCTGGAAGATTTACCCGGGACGGCTGTATTTCGGGAGACAGCTGGATTGCCAGTCCCCTGCTTGCAGAACGGTTTACAGGCATGGTCCACCAGCGTAATCTTGAGTAGATTCACAAACTATTAGATGACATGACTTATTCTTCATTGCTCTCTTAACCCACATAGCCCCTCCTGGCACTCCCCCAGCGCAGCGTGCAGATATCGCACATCGTTTGCCGTAAGCTGCAGCGCCTCTCCCTCAGCGTCGAGCACGACATGGGCTGCCAGCCGCTCGCGCAGGGCCTGCAGCACTTCCACCCCGTCCTGCAGGGTTAGATGGACCAACAGCTTGTAGACGCCAGGCAGGTGGCGTGTAGGAACGGTGTAGTGGCCGATCTGGGCGGTGGCAGTGGTCATCTGGGAGTCGTCGACGCGTTTCAGCCAGCGACAGGCGCGGCGAATCGCCCACAGCAGGTGGAAAACAGGCTGCGGGAGGGTGCAGCAGCGCTCACAGGCCAGCAGCGCCCTGGCTGCAGCCCACACGGCACTCGTGCTCTGCATGGCGCGGTCGAAGTCTTCGCTGATTTCTTCCCTTTTCGGCTGGGCCATCGTGTCCAGCCCCACATGCACGCAGCCGCCCCCACAGCCGCCCGCGCTGCTCCCGCCGCCACACGGAGCCGAAGACGGCCCCGCGCCCGACCCGATCCGATGATGGCGCGGTGCCAAGCCTCGCTCAATAGTAGTACCTGTGGTATTACTGCCGTCTCCAATGGAAAAGACGAGGCTGTCCATCGTCTCCCCTGGCTGGAGCTCCCCTACTGCAGAAATCTCGCCAACGTACCCTGGTGATTCGCTTGTCGGGGTCCAGTACGGGCCCAGACCTGGCATGTCCGTCATGTCCGTCAGGTTGACGGTTGCCCATGTACTGCTGTATTCCGGATTCACTGGACTGCTGCATCCGGTTGACGTAATATGACTGCCCTCCGGGCTCAGCAGGGCATTGGCTTCGCGCAGCCGCTGGGCCTTCTCGAGGGTTTTGCGGTTGTGCGACCCGCGGGGCTTGCCGATGCGCCCAACATGGCCGTAATGGCAGGGCACACGCAGCTCCTCACAGCGCACACACGGGCTGCGGCCGCTACATTTGACCTGCAAGCTATTAGCCAGCGATCAATCGTCCACACGGCACTGGCAAGCACCCCGTCGTACCTTGGACTGGTGGCAGTAGTCGCATGCTTTGCGGAGACGGAGGGCCATGGAGAGTACAGTATATCAGTAGAGGAAGATGAGAGGATACGGCTGAGAGGATACAGTGTCTATATACATGCCATCGTGTACAGCTCGGCCGAGGCCGTCTTGCAGTTATTTCCACTATGAATGACCCTAGCTTATGCTGTCCGTTTGATTCAGGCTGAGGCATCAATTCAGGCTGAGGCATCAAACAGGCTTAAGGCATCAATTCAGGCATCAATACACCTTCGAATTCAGGCATCAGGCCTAAGGCATCAAATCAGGCCGAGGCATCAAATCAGGCACCAGACAAAGACTTCAAGTTACGACTTCACCCGACATTCTCTCCTCCTCCTCCTCCACTCTCGACACCATGAATGAATCTGCCCGTCCGATCACGTCCTGTCTTCCTTGTCGCCGCCGCAAGGTCCGCTGCGACCGCCGCCAGCCGCGATGCGCCGCCTGCGAACGCGGCCACCACGTCTGCTCCTACGCCTCGCGCCGAGCTGCCGCGACTCCAGGTGTCTCCCTGGAGTCACCGTCATCAACCGTGTCGTCGAATGCATTGCTTTCATCAGCTCCCGGTCTGTCGTCGCCAATCACTCCCCATGTGCTGCGTCTCGCGCGCACCCTGGCGCAGATGCTGCCCGCCGCGAGCCTCGCTCTGGATCCAAGCACGCCTTCGTCTTCGTCGACGGAGACGCCGGTCTCTGAGCAGACGCTGACTCCGTCCGAGACTGAAGATGCGCTCGTGCTGGAGGACGGCGTGCCGCATTATGTGTCTGGCAAACACTGGGTGTGGATGGCCGAAGTATGCGTCTCCCGTCTTGCTGCAGATCGTTATTGCTAATGGACGGTAGGACAGCGATATCAAGTCGCTGCTCAACGAGATGCAAACCGCTTCGTCAGAACCGGCAGACCAGATGCTCTTTGAGCCGGCCGTGTCGCCCGCCAGCGCCTTTCTCCCGGCCACGCGCGAGGACTGCTACTTGCTGTTGAATCTGTTCCTGGCCAACGTCGATCCCATGGTGCGAATCATCCACCGGCCGAGTCTGACGCGTCGCTTCGATGTCTTTGTCGGCTGCCATTATTCCACCAGTCCGGCGCCGGCTGCCAGTGCCGGAACCCCCTTTGACGCCCTCGCCATGGCCGTCTTCCTGGCGGCCATCAACAGCATCAAGGAGGCCGACGTGGTCTCGGTCTTCTCCACGAGTAAGGCCCAGCTGATGCATCGCTACCAGGCCGGCACCGAGTTCCATCTCAGCCAGCATCACTTCCTCACCACCCGCTCGTTTGAAGTGCTGCAGGCTCTCGTCATCTTCATAGTACTCTCCTCGCTCCAAACCGGTGTTTCTTTCCTTCTTTTCCCTACTGACGATGTAGACAGCGAAATGCCGCGAAGACGAGATGGGCGAGGTCTACTCGCTCACGGGGCTGGCCATCCGCATCGCCATGCTGCAGGGCCTGCATCGCGACCCGCTGGCTCTGCGCCACGGCGTCGCCGTCGACAGCGTCGCCGTCGAGCTGCGCCGGCGTCTATGGGCGCAGATCTGCCATCTCGACTACCGCGCCGCAGAGAGCCATGGCTTGGTGCCCTCGATCCGCGACTCGGACTTTGACACCCGGCTGCCATTGAACATCGACGACGGCGACCTGCAGCCGGCCCCGGGCGTGCTGCTCGTCGATTGCCCGCGCTTCACCGACATGACCATGTATCTGATCCGCATCACAGGCATTGCCTCCTTCCGCCGCGTCGTGCAAATCACCCGCGACGGCACCAACGGGACGACAGCCCAGCCACCGACCCTCAATCATTACCGCCAGCTCGTCGTCAAGGCGGAGCAGCTGGCCCGCGATCTCGACGCCTCGCTCAGTCGCCTCCTGCCCCTGTGCGACGAGCGCATCAGCATCCAGGCCATGGCGGTGCATTACAGCCGGCGTCTCACCTGCAAGTTCTGGGTGATGTTCTGGATCCAGATCCCCCGGCAGTATCGCGATCACATCATGACAGCAGAGACACGACAGAGGTATCATCTCACCCTCATCCCTCCTCTTCTCTTCTAATTCGATTGCAGAATCTTCTCCGATGCCGTCCTGACGATTGAAAACTGGTGCATGGCCGCCTCGGCGACAGAGGCCCAAGGCTTCCACTGGCAGATCCATTCGCACGCCGGCTTCTTCCCCATCCTGTACGTCCTCTCCGAGCTGCGCAGCCCGGGCTTCCAGGCGCCAGACCTGGACGCGCTGCGTGCCCGAGGCCTGCAGGCCGTCACCAGCATCGCGCACATGCGGCAGACCTCGTCGGGGCCCTGGCCGTCCATTACGCGCCTCGTCGAGCGCGTGTCGCAGAATACCTCTCTCGCCGTGGAGCACAACCCTCTGCCTCTCCCGGATCTCGCCATGGACGATCCCTTCGCCGGCCAGCTGGATGGCTTTGATTTCTTTGACTTTGCTGCTGCTGACCTGGCATTCCATTAGTCCAGTCATCTCACAGTGTATTGTAAATATAACGCCGGAGGAAAACCTCGGGCCGGCGATATTCGCCGATCGTCATGCCAATATAAGTTTCGCCAGCCTGGCTCTCTCCTTTTTCCATTTCTTGTTCCTTGTCTATCGCCATGTTCGCCATTGTCATTGTCATTGTCGTTGTTGCCGTACTGGCCTATCGTCGACGATCTTCTTCTCTTTTGTCATTCATCCTGCACGTAAGTGTTTTATTGACAGTCTCCTATAGCAAAACCACAGTCTCATTCTATAGGAAATATGGACGACAGCTTCGCCCATCCTTCACCTGGACGGCCACTCCATCCCCGGCCCCCGATATACCCTCCCCCAAGGCCAGGGCCGGGAGAAGATCCTGACGTCGCGCCAGGCCAGCAAGAAATGGCAGCAGGAGTACGGCAGTATCTATCGGATCTGGAACGGGGCATGGCCTGAAATGTATTCCTCCTGACTCTTCTTTCTTCCTGTATGATTCTAATCGACAGAATCCTCACCCACCCCAAAGACGTCGAGGCCTGGTTCTCCGGCAAAGGCGAGCACTTCAAGGCCGGCACAGAGCCCGCCGGCTGTCTGTTCAGCTCTGTCTTGTCCAACGCCATCGGCCTGATCAACGGGGGAGACTGGCGCACGCTGCGACGCAAACTGGACGCGTTTGTCAACTTCCAGGCGTCGAACAAGCTCACCGGCTTGCTCATCCAGAGAGCGCAAGAACATGTCGACAGTCTCGCGGTAGACAGCAACCAGACACGCCAGACCCTGCTTGCCGTGCCCTTTCTGCAGCCTTATCCCTTCTTCACGACCATCGAGGTCTTCTACGGCGCGTTGACCAGCGCCGAGCGCGAGGAGATGTGGTCCATCGGCCTGGACTTTTTGTCCGTGGCAGGATTCGTCGTCCAAGAGGGCCTCAACCGCACACGGTTCACGAGATGGCTGTATTCATGGCCGGCATGGCGGGCTCTGCGCACCTTTGAGCACCGTTGGGCGACGTTCAATCGCCGCTTCGTCCAGGAGAGGGCGGGCATGGATCTGCCTATTGTCCAGCTCTGGGGGGAGATCAACGGGGGCATCACAGAGAAGACGGTATTGACCATTCATTCTATACTAACGTATTGCTAATGTGTTAATGTGTTCTTGTAGATACTCTCCACCTTCACCGAAGCCATCTTTGCCAATCTGGACGTCACCACGTTTGTCCTCGGCTCGAGTATCCTGCACATCGCCAACAACGAGGCCGTCCAGCAGCGGCTGTGCAGCGAGATCGAGGCCGAGAAAGACGATCTGGAGGGATACATTCGCCGGCAGGATACGTTCCTGCACCGCTGCGTGCTTGAGGGCATCCGTCTCGAGCCGATTCCTGGTATCTTCCCACCCTCTCTTCACTCATACCGTTACTCACCTTCTAGCATTCTCTCTTGCCGAATCGTGCTCCGAGGATAAAGTGCTAGGAGGATACGTGATTCCAGCAGGAGTAAGACAGCTCTATACTACCACTATACTACCACTATACCACTATACTGACGTACAGACCAACGTGGTGATTGATGCCACGGCGCTGAACATCAGCAATCCCTTCTGGGGCCCCGACGGCGACGAGTTCCGCCCTGACCGGTTCGAGAGCCTGACTCCGCTCCAGCTGCGGTACAACCTGTCGACCTTCGGGTACGGGGCGCGCAAGTGTCTAGGCCTGCATCTGGGCGGCAAGATGGTGCGCGCGCTGGTCGTCGCCTTGTTCCAGCGGTATATCGTGCGGGTGGCGACGGAGTCCAGACAGGGGGAGAACGACTTTGCGAGGGACAAGAACAGTTTCTTCTCCATGTTTGATGCGAAGATCGAGCTGGAGAATCGATAGACTATTACAATGGTTTTTGATCTACATAATCACTATCTAAAGTCACTGAACATAGCTTACAGCCATGAAGCAAAGCTTGTCTATTATCAATTCACCACGGCAGCCATCCTGGCATGCCACTCTTCACGCTTCATTCGCAGCAGGATCAACGGCAGGCCACAGAGGATGCAGAAGACACAGACGGCAGTAAAGGTCCATCCGTTGCCCATGTTGCTGATCATGGGCTGCGCAATCACCGCCGCCACGCACGACAGACTGTTGCGCACGAGGTTGTTGACGGCGACGCCCATCGTCGACCGTCTGGGCACGAACTCGGTCAGCATCGTCATCGTCACGTTGGTGACGATCATCCCGGCGAAGCCGTACACAAAGTTTGCAACGAGCTGGCCAGGAGCTGTCGTTAGCATATATGGAGTACACAAGTGGAGAGAGAGGCTCACCGGAACAAGCCAGAATTCGTGGTATTGCACCGTCCATCCCCACCACAGCAACGCCCCCGGGTACAGAATGGCGGCGACGAGGACGTTCTCGCCGATGCGGTCTTCCGGATGGACGACCAGGTTGCCCTCGTCGTCGTAGCGGCCAGCTTTGACCGCCGCGCGCTTCATGATGCTGTCCGTCCAGCGGCCGCCCAGCACGGCCGCCACGATGAGGCCCAACCCGCCCGGCACGTACGCGACGCCGACCAGCACGGCGCTCCACGCATACGGCGGCTGCGAGAAGACGTCCTCGAGCGAGATGTACAGCATGTAGTAGGTGCCGAAGACGACGCCCGTGTACAGGACGGTGATGAAGACTCCGGGAAAGCGCAGCAGCGTCAGGGCGTCGAGCGGCTTCAGCACCACGCCCAGCCGCTGCATGACGGGCCCCTGCGAGGCTCGTTCCTCGGCGCGACAACGGCGCACTTCGTCCATCCGGGTGGCCGTCTCGGGCATGCACAAGAGCATCACCAGGAACAGCGCAAAGCCGTAGACGGTGAGCAGCCACTGCGTGCTCTTCCACGTCCAGCGGGTGACCAGGGCGCCGCCTATGATCGGCGCGATCATCGGCCCCAACATGATCCCCAGCATGGACAGACCCATGGCCTTGCCGCGTTCCTCGGCCTTGAACAGGTCGGCGATGGTGCCCGCGCTGACGGACTGCAGGGAAGCCCCCGCGGCGCCGGCCAGCAGCCGCATGGCGATGAACATGCCGATGTTGACGCTCACGGCGGCCAGCACGTTGAACACGCCCAGCAACAGGAACGAGACCAGGTAGACGAGGCGCCGGCCGTGCGATTCCGCCAGGTACGACCACCACAGCGGAGTGATGGCCACCGCCAGCGAGGAAAAGGCAATGGACAGGTTCACGACGGATTCGGTGGTGTGGAAGCTATCCGCGATATCGATCAGGACGGCTATAATTCATTAACATAACCCTATGCTTTGCTGTACTGCACTTACGAAACAAAATGCCGCTGCTCAGAGGAGTCATCAGCCCTCCCAACGCGATGATCGTCGTCAGCATCCATTTCTGCCTGGCCGGGTACTTTTCGGGGTCTTCAATGGCCGGGATGAGCGTCAGGAAGGACAGGACGCCACGCTGGACGGGCTGGCAGGCCGGCTGGACTTTGGCTGTCATGATCGATTGGGCCGTGGTTGATTCAGTAAATGGTATTACAGAATAGCCTTGAAGCTAATACGATATATAAATACCGAACAAATACCTGTCGCTTCCTCGCACGGCTCGTACGAGCTCGGCCGACCGGCCGAGCCAGAAGATTTGTCATAATCTGGAATAGAAAGTCATCAATAGTCTGATCTAATATATCAACAGCCTTCATCCGAGCTGAATCTGCAACTGAGGTATTGCTTTCATGGTAAATATAGCAGCATATTCGTTATTCCTTCTATTTACCAGCGAATCCAGCTCTTCTACCTGCTGCCACCTCCCCGCATATGCTCCCCGCCATGGTCCGGCCCGTCGCGGTACTTCCCGTTTCCGTAGGCAAGCGGATCGACGGCTCCATGCAATGGAATCTTGTCACTTTTGAGGCACAAAGACTCTCGCTGCGGCCATTCTTCTTGCTCTAGTCTATAAGCCAGTTTAATATAAGTATATTAAGAATATTCTATACTACCTAATACAATTAGGTTCTAGTTGTCTTATTCAATACAGGTATTGATATGAGAATACATATCCCTTCTAGAAACTTATTCTACCCCAGCTCACTGCCATTATGGTCTCCTTGGGAAGGCCTTTGACTCCCATCTCCCTCTATCGCCTCTACAATCTTATTGAACTGCTCTTCCTCCTCTTCTCCTCTTCTCCTCTTCTCCTCTTCTCCTCTTCTCCTCTTCTCCTCTTCTGCTCTTCTGCTCTTCTGCTCTTCCTGTATACACTGTTATCTATTACCCCGCAGAACGCGTCAGCTATACACTAGCATGGACACCAGACTACTCACTATTCGATACTCTAATCTACTAAAGGATGCGATTGCATATGACCTGTATATTCTCTCTAGAGTCTGACATCACTCAAATCCTATTAATATTCCTCTTTACTAAGATGTTTCCTCATTGACCCTCTTCTAACTACTCCATCTGGCAGCATGGGGACATATATGGAATATTGTGTTATTGCTATTATATCTATAGTATGTTCTTTGTTGAGATACCAGACATTATAAAGACAACTAATAATAGACCATCCTTCTCTTCTCTCGAGCCATCTACAATGTCTTCTTCCACCCTTTATCCCGCTTCCCCGGCCCTGTGTTCAACGCCATCTCAAGCCTCCCCTATTGCTACCACGTTCTCAAAGGCAGCCAAGTGTACGACATGGTACGCCTGCATGAGACATACGGCGACATCGTCCGTATAGCCCCGAACCAGCTGTACTTCTCGCACCCGGATGCGTGGCAGGACATCCTGGCCTCTCGGCGAGGGGAGAAGAAAGAAGACATGGAGAAGGCCGGATGGTTCTATCGGGCCAGCGATGAGCTGCCGCCGCATATCGTGAGCACGACGAGAGAGCGACATGACACTCTCCGCCGGGCCATCGGCCCCAGCTTTGCAGAAAAGGCGATCCGAGAGCAGGAGCCGGTGGTGCGGAAGTATGCCGATCTGTTGATCGACCGACTCTCCTCTTCCTCTTCCTCCCGGGTGACGATATCCGACTGGTACAACTATACCACGTTCGACGTCATTGGGGATCTGGCCTTTGGGGAATCGTTCGGCTGTCTGCAGGCGTCGGAGTACCATGAGTGGATCAAGGAGGTCTTTGCCTCCATCCATCTGTTTGCCATTGTCCAAATGATGGCCCTGTATCCCTTCCTGAGGCGGTTCCTGAGCCTCTTCATTCCCTCGTCCATGAAACAGGCCCGTCTGCTGCATAAACAGCACACCGTGGAGAGACTGCGTCGTCGCATGGCGATAGACCGACAGGACATTATGAAGGGGTTCATCACGACGGTACCACCTTGATGCACAGAACTTACTGCTATTGACTATTGACTGTTGACTCTTTCAGTGCTTCTCGACCGACGAGCTCATCTCCAACGCGGAACTGCTGACGGTGGCCGGGTCGGAGACTACAGCGTCACTGCTCAGCGGCGTGACATATCTGCTTCTCACGAACCGAGACAAATACCAGAAGCTCGTCGCCGAAGTGCGCTCCTCCTTCCAGACCGTCGAGGAGATCAACTTTGTCTCTCTCGGCCAGCTGCCGTACCTGCTCGCCTGTCTCGACGAAGGCCTCCGTCTGTATCCGCCTGTCGCCATTGCCTCGCCGCGCGTTGTGCCAGAGCAGGGAGCGTACATCCTGAACACATTCGTTCCTGGCAATGTAGGTTGGTAGTAGCGATTCAGATGGTATGTATTGATTGCGAATAGACCACCGTCGCCGTCCATCAATACTCGTTGTTCCGCCGGGCGAAATACTTCAAGCATGCAGAGCAGTTCATCCCTGAACGCATCTCAGACCGCGAATACGCATCGGACCGTCGAGACGCCCTGCAGCCATTCTCATTCGGGCCTCGCAATTGCATCGGAAAGAGGTAAGAGACATGACCGCCGTGAGTGAAGTCGACTGACGAGAATCAGTCTTGCGTATCATGAGATGCGCCTCATTCTGGCCCTGATGGTCTTTACTTTTGATATGGAGCTGTGTGAGGACTCGAGGAACTGGATGGACCAGAAGAACTTTCTCTTATGGCAGAAGGGGGGGTTGAACATCTTCATAAGATAGTACTTCTGTATTCACATTCTTTATTCACATTTTGTATTCCTATTATCAACTATTGATGCTATCCCCACAAGATATTCAATCTCGACCAGCCGCTGGCCTTGATGGGCACATTCTCCGGGTCATTCTCGGCCTCGAGCAAGGCCTGGCGGATGGGAATGTCCTTCAGCGGCACGATCTTGGTCTTCTTCCAGAACTTGTAGCCCAGGTAGAACACCAGCACCAGCGGAATGTCCAGGTAGGAGGAGACAAAGTCGGCGGCACTCCAGTTGCCACGCGTGAAGACGGCAAAGCCGCCGGTCCAGAGGAAGATCTGGCACATCACCAGCGCGAACCACGAGGAGTAGTAGGTCGCCGGGTTGTGCCAGGGCAGCTCGCGCGGGCTGATGCCCTGCGAGCGACAGGCGAGAATGAGGCGGATGTGGTTGAGGGCGACGGTGCTCCAGGAGATCAAGACGCCGGCGGCCGTGAGATCGAGCAGCCAGTAGAAGACGTTGAGGGCGCTGTTGGAGCAGGTCAGATACGCCAGGCCGCAGACGGCGATCTGCAGCAGGGCGCACACCCACGGCACGCCCTGGCGGGTGGTCTGGAGGAAGACGCGCGGCGCATGGCCCTTGAGCGCCAGCCCGTACAGGGTGCGGGTGCCGGCCAGGATGCTCTGGTTGGAGGAGGAGAAGGCGGAGGAGAGGACGACGGCGTTGATGATGGAGGGCACGACCTTGATGCCCGCGTCCGAGGCGGCGATCACAAAGGGGCTCTCGGCCGCGGTGCCCGACTCGTCCGCCAGGCGCGGATCGCTGCTGGAGACCAGCATGCCGACGATCAGCACGGAGACGAGGTAGAAGAGGGTGACGCGCGCAAACACCCGCTTGCAGGCCTTGGGCAGGTTCTGGCGCGGGTTGCGCATCTCCGCCGCCGCCATGGCCAGGCTCTCGACGCCCGCAAACGAGTACACGGCGTTGGACATGACCGCCCAGAAGCCCAGGAACTGGCCCCAGGAGCCCGTCGCGATGTAGGCCACAAACGGGCCCGGGTCGCGCCAGTAGTGGAAGCCCAGCCGCGGCTGCCCGGGGACACCCCCCAGGTCGATGACGAGGCCCATCAGCACGACGCCGACGATGAGCAGGATCTTGAGGATGGCCAGCACGAACTCGATCTCGCCGTACGCCCGCACAAACAGCAGCGCCATCGCCGCCGTCGCCACAATCATCACCGTCACCCACACCGCCGCGTCCGTCTCGCTCCAGTACTGGATCAGCACCACGCACGCCGTGATCTCGCTCGGCACGCTGGTCAATGCCCCGTATACCACGTTCCAGCCCACCGCAAACGCCAGCCCCGGGTCGACCAGCACCTCGACGTGTCGCACAAACGACCCCGTCACCGGCATCAGCGCCGACACCTCGCCCAGCGCAAACTGCACCGCGCACACCACCGTCCCTACCAGCGCGTACCCCAGCAGGGCGCCCAGCGGGCCGCCCGTCTGGATAGAGCTGCCCAGCCCGAGGAACAGGCCGGTTCCCTACAAGAATCCATCGTCAGTCTAGACAGCAGAAGAAGAGAAGAACAGAAGAGAGAAGACGTACGATGGCGCCGGCGATGGCGATCATCTGCACGTGGCGCTGCTCGAGGCCTTTGGCCAGGCGCTGCGACTCGATCTCGTCGACGATGCACACTTCGTGCTCATGGCTGGGGGGGTTGTCTTTCTCCATCTTTCTATCAAGCGAAACAAGTGGGGGGAAGAAGAAAAGGAGAGAGAGGAGAGAGAGAGAGGAGAGTGAAAAATGAAATGGGCGATAACGCCATCTGGGCTAAAATGCCAAGGCAGATAAGAGGTGGGGATTCCTTTGTGGTTGATAAGAATAGGATTGAGAATAGGATTGAGAATAGGATTGAGAATAGGATTGAGAATAGGATTGAGAATAATGTGAGAATGATGTGATAGAAAGAGTGGAGAATTATGATTTAACCTATTCAATATATTTAACAATAGGGCATCTGGTGACTGCTATTGCTCCTTATGCTTACTAACTGTATCCCTCGGCACTATTCCCTAGAAATATAAGCATGAGCAGGGAGCTTGAAGAGGGAGTCATATCATTATTCTAATCAAGATATTGTAGAGTAGAGCTCTATGAATTAAAGCTCTAGACCTACAGCCCTATTTTGTAATTGTTTACACTAATATCATTGTGAAACAGTGTAGGAATTGCCTAGAAATCAGTATATATACTCTATTAAAAGCTTATAAAACTAACCTGGATAATAAGAAGAAAGAAGAGAGAAAATATGGACCTTCCTAAATAGGATCAGCCAGAAATTGGTATTTCTGTATAACAGAGACATAGAGTAACTAAATTCATACATTGTCTGCTAGGAAGAGCATTTGATGGAATCACGCCAAATGGATCCCATATAGCCAGTCAAAAATCAAATCTAATCCGCCAATGTTGACATGCTATTTATTCTAAATCTTTATAGTCTAAAGATCTGATCAGCTGTTCACCTCAGATCTGATCAGCTGCTCATCTCAGTAACTAGGCTTTGAAACAGATTTGCCAAAGCGAAGCAAAGCAGGACTGACATCCTCGGGATGGATGCAGCATTCCAGAAGAGCCAATTTCTCTGGCTCCTGACGAACGCGGTCCAGCGCCATCTGCAGCTCATCATATGTTTTGATCCGCACCGCAAACATGGCGGGATTGTCATATTCTTTGCGTTGTTCCTCCTTGAGATAGGGATTTCCATATCCTGGCACATGCGAGATATTGCACAGTGACCTGGCCAGAGCTGTGTAATTCCAGTTGCTGATGTAGTTGTATGGGCCCTCATGAATGGCAGTCTATCCACGTCAGCATCGTTAGGGTTAGGGTTAGGGTTAGGGTTTAGGGTTTAGGGTTGGGGATAAAAAAAGGAAAAGAATGAGAAATAGGGTGACTACCTCAACGCGATAGCCGAGATTGTTAAGAATAAAGATCACAGGGTTCGTCTTCATGCGGATCATCGTGCTCAGCTCCTGGGCAGTCATCTGAAAGCTGCCGTCTCCGATCATCAGCACGGTCCGGCCCTCGGGTCGTGCCAACTGGCATCCCAGGGCAGCAGGCAGACTCCAGCCAATCGACCCGTACATCATCTGCATCTGGAAGTCTGCTCCGTCGGGTAGCCGGATATTCTGAGCCTGAAACCAGCTGTCGCCTGTTTCGGCGATGAGAGTATCCCTGGGAGTGAGAAGTTTCTCGATTCCATGCACCATGTTCGTTGTTGTCAGAGCCGTCGTAGAAGTAGGTGTAGGGGTGATGGTAGTCGCGGCATCACTCGTACGTGCACTCAACTGGGAGGTGATGAGATCAATCAGTTTCCCCATCTTCGCTTCAACGTCCCCATCAGGTGTTTTGATGCCATCGGGCAGGATCTCGAAAACCCGATTGTCAGGCCCAGGCATCGCCCGGTGGAAATCACTCCATCGACCTCCCACCACCACCCATAGATCGGAAGCCATCACCAGATCATGGATCTCCGGATTGGACGCCACTCCCCAGAAGGTCCCGCCGAACTGGGCATGAGACTCGGGAACAAGCGACTTGCCGTCCGGCTGGCAGAAGACAGGGCAGCCCAACTTCTCAATGAACGAGATGAGATCCTCTCTAGAAAGAGCGTGGCGTGCCAGCGATCCAACAATGATCACCGGCCGGCTCGCCGTCTCCCAGTGACGGGCAAACAGGTCGAATGCCGTTTCCAGTTGACCAGGAGAAGACTCTGACTGTTTCGTCATCTCCTTCAATGAGCCGGCAACCCCACATTCCATCGAGACGAGATCGTTGGGGAATTCAATGTATACCGGCCGGGACTGTTCCAGACAGGTGATGAGGGTCTGGTCGATCACCTGTGTATAGTCTTGCTTTCCGTCCAATCGCACCGAGGCCGCCGTGACCTGCTCAAACATCTTGAGCGGCTGGTTTCTATCGGGCAGGCCAGTCGAGTGATGGAGGATGAGATTGTCTGCTTCAAACGTGCTCGACGGCGGCGCCCCCGACACGACAATCACCCGCAGGTGGTCTGAATAGGCGCCGGCGATGGCGTTGATCAGAGACAGGCCCCCGACCATGAATGTCACAAACACCACGGCCACGCGGGCCGGGCTGGAGCGTGCGTATCCGTCGGCGGCGTATCCGGCGTTCAGCTCGTTGCAGCAGCCCAGCATGCGGAGATTGGGGTTTTTGAGTATCTCATCCAGCAGATGAAGATTGAAGTCGCCTATCACATCAGTGAGTCTGCTCACTACGCTTTCCTCAACGAAGATAGGGACATACCGGGAATCACAAAATAATCCTTCACTCCTATCTCCTCCAGTCGATGCGCCAGATATGTCCCCAGGGTGTGTTTCTTCTGCTGGACAACCTCCTGCTGCTGCGGACACGGAATCTCCAGCACGGTCACGCCAGAAGTTCCCCGATCCATATGTTCCAGGACGGTAGCCAGGTCTTGCAGAGGAGAGACCTGGTACGGGATAGGCACCTTGTGCTGGGCGTATGTTTCCAGGGCTTCCTCTGTTTCCGGTGCACTGGAGGGCTTGACAAGATACTCCGGTTTCATCTCCATTCCGGGTTAGCAAGGCCTTGTTGAGGATGAGGGTAATGGCGCACCTCAAAGTTGTTTTCTATCGCTTTCCCGGACACTCCCATACTCATGATCTGTAGCGTTAGCATGGTTGAAAAGAACCAGGGAAACAGGGTCAGAGGTATACCAAAGCAGCTTCTTCGAGGGTCAGACTGTCAGGGATCTTGACAATATCTGCGGCCTTGCAAACGCAAAACTGCTGAAACACATCGGGGGTGTTCTAATGAAATGAATATATATAGCTGGATAGACAAGTGGAAACAGTACCTGGATGCCAACGCGATCTCCAATAGAGACGTTGACATTTTCTCCATTGGCAACTACCACTCCGGCTCCGTGGCCTAGATAGTTAGCCAGCGCCCTATCCAGGGACATTTAAATCTCTCAATACTCACCAAGTCTCTCAGACCGATCCCCTGAAGGTTAGCTATCATCATACAATCAAGGTGTCACTTACCTCTCGGCACATCACCCTGAGACACGCCAGAGAACTTCATCTCGACCAGAACCGCATCGGGGGGGACAGTTGGGACGGGGATGCGAGAGTACTCCAAACCTAGGGATGATATTGAGTAGAAGATAGTGTCAAGTATGATGGAGAAGATACCTTTGTCTCTGTTGAAGACTTGTGCCCACTGCTGGGAAGAAGAAACTGTCTTTGCCTGCATTTTAGCGGGAAGTATTGTGAGCAGAACTTGAGTAGTGCTATATTGTAGACCGTAATGTAGATGTAAATGTAGACTGGACTGAAATGGCTGTAACCAATATATAGATGGCTGTTTTATATCTATCTTCTATCTCTGTTAAAATCAAGTTTCTATATGAAATCACCCCTTACACTGTGCAGAATGGACAACAACAGAGTCTATGTGACTGGTCAAAACTAGTAGATATTTCTTTATAGGTAGAGTTTACTACATCCAACATGATTGGAGCTACTATTTGAAATATCCATAATAACTCATTTCATGTATTAACCTCATGAATATAGATAGTTCATAAAGTTGGTAGGTTACTCTGTGCTCATTCTATCTAGTGGTATAAAATGCCAGAATAGGAATCCCTTATTTCCCTTATCTACCTAGTATTTCTCTATTATGTAGAGGGCATCTCATCCTGACAGCCTTATGCAGGCAATTGCGTCTGAATAATTCATCCTTAGACAGATCACATCTTAGTGGCCTCTTATGGTTACACAGACATTGTTACACTATCTTAAAGTTCTAACGGCCTGAGAATGCAAATCCCATCTATCTTATTAGAGGTCATGGAGTTACACAATTACCACTCTAGATTACTCTGTATAGAGACCTTGCCACAGTTCTTCAGTACAGCACTGCCTGTGGTACCACCAGGCCCCCTTACTGATCGTCTGAAGATAAGTGACGTAACGGTGTATCTCTCTAAAGGTTTCGGACCGCACGGGTCGTTCCGTGGTCACACCTTGCATAGTACTTTATCAAGCATATCCAGTATATCATCATAGTCTCTCTTGATAATAGGTCCTGTCTGATCGATCAATCCCAAGGATGACTTCATACAACCTCTTGTGTGACATGCCTTGCCGGGTGCATTTGCCTCTGATAAATATGTTTATAGAAGGGTCTAGAAATCTGTGTTTCAGATAGTGAATACCTGAATAGTATAAAGACTAGCCATTAATAAAAGTTATAAAATATTCTACCTTACTGTCTTCTGAGTATCATTCAAGAACTTGAGCGCGCCTTGGGTAGTACAGTTGTGCTATCTACCTCAATTAATTTAATGATTCTTAATATAGCAGGGAGTAAACTGGCTATGAGCCATTAATATTGCCTGCTTAGGAACGTGTGGTCACCACTAGTATATATACCCTCATCCCATGTCTATAACCTATGAGTTATATCCTGCCTCTGTTATAGATGTATAGATTCTAGAATATTACTATCTTTAATAGTGAATCATAATCCTATGGCCTATAGACCATAGACCTCATCTTAACCATCATAATGTAAATAGGATCTTCACATTTAATTAAAGTCTCTGTTAGCCTCGGAAGAAGAAGCTGCATCCCTTCCAGTGACAGCCACCTGCGACGCCACGTGCGCCTTGTCCAGCCCGCTTGGCAATCCTTACAATCCGATTGGTCAGTAATTGCCGGTACCTGCTGATCGCTCCACTCGGGCCGGGGTGCTTTCCTAATTAGGAATCCCTAGTATACCACCTCCAGTATATCCTCTAGAATATATATACTCCATTCCATTCCCCTTCTATTCTGTTGCTCACAGAGTTGCATCTAGTGGCAGGGAACACTCGATCCTATACACAAAATGGGCGCCGCGGCTTCTGTCTTCCCCTCCTTGCCGGAGGACTTGACCACTCCGTACCAGCAGCGACTGGCCATCTACGGACCCAACTGTATGTTTCGTTGCACACCCGCTGAGGGTGAAATCTATTGGGTAATGCTAATTGGTAGCTGTGTCTATCGGCTGGAATACGTACGAACAGCTGAACCAGAGCTGTGTGCGATATGGGCTGTCAGAGACGAACCTCAACCAGGTGGCATGTTCGTATCTGTCGACGACGTACGAGACGTCGCGAACCTGGTCGAGCGCCGTCATCCTCAATGATCTGAGTCCCGCCACGACGTACTTCTACAAGATCGTGTCGACCAATTCCACCGTGCAGCAGTTCATGAGCCCTCGCACCCCCGGCGACACCACCCCGTTCACCGTCGACGTGGTGATCGACCTGGGGGTATATGGTGCGGACGGATATACAGTGACAAAGCGAGAGCTCTCGTCTCGGGAGATCCTGAACCAGAGCATCCCTGCCGTGGACCCTGCGATGGATAACCTGACGACGATCGACCGTCTGGCCGAGACGATCAACGACTACGAGCTGGTCATCCACCCGGGCGACTTTGCGTACGCGGACGACTGGATCGAGGTGCTGGATCTGTTGACCGAGGGCGAGGAGGCGTACCAGAGCATCCTGGAGCAGTTCTACGAGCAGCTGGCGCCCATCGCGGGCGTGAAGCCGTACATGGCCGGGCCGGGCAACCATGAAGCCTCCTGCGAGGAGATCCCCGACACGGAGAGTCTCTGTAACGAGGGCCAGCGCAACTTCACCGACTTCCTGCACCGCTTCGACCGCACGATGCCCCGGCCGTTTGCCTCCTCGTCGACCAATGCCACCGCCGTCGAGCTGGCCGCCAAAGCCAAGACACTCTCCCGCCCGCCCTTCTGGTACTCGTTCGAGTACGGAATGGTGCACTTCACCTTCATCGACACCGAGACGGACTTTGCCGACGCCCCCGACGGCACAGAGGGATCGGCAGGGCTCGGCGCGGGGCCCTTTGGCTTCAAGAACCAGCAGACAGACTTCCTGGCCGCGGATCTCGCCAGTGTCGACCGCTCCGTCACCCCCTGGCTGGTCGTCGCGGGCCATCGCCCGTGGTACTCGACCGGCGGCGACGACAACATCTGCGATGTGTGCCAGGACGCCTTCGAGGAGCTCATGTACCTGTACGGCGTCGACCTGGGCGTCTTTGGCCACGTCCACAACTCTCAGCGCTTCTACCCGCTCTACAACGGTACCGTCGACCCCAACGGCATGCACAATCCCAGCGCGCCTCTGTATATCGTCGCCGGAGGAGCTGGCAACATCGAGGGTCTCAGTACGGTCGGCAGTGAGCCGTCGTACACGGCCTTTGCCTATGCCGATGACTACAGCTACAGCTCCCTCACCTTCCTCAATGACACGGCGCTGGAGATCAAGTTTCTGCGCTCCTCTACAGGCCAAGTCTTGGACACCAGCATCTTGATCAAGGACCATTCTCAGCAGTTTGTGCGGCAGTGATAGTAGCCATCATGGTTAGGGTTGGGTTGACACAACTGGTTGAGATATCGCAAATATTTAACTCTTGTATAACCCTAACCTAACCTGACATCTGGAATAATACACTTTACACTAACCCTACATCAATTCGCTCTACGTATTTGCCCGTAGCAGAAGATTTCATCAATTTACAGGCTGTGTCTCCAGGAAAGGACTTTAATTGAGCTCATGACAATCAGACTCCTCAATTCATGTTCAAGTTCACTCCTATTCTCGACATAAAACCAAAGCCTTCTTGCCTCTGCTTCTGAAGATACTTCTGCTTCTCGTTGAATATAAAGATTGAACAATTCAGCATGCCTTGCTTTGACCTGGTCAAAATCAAGCTGCGGCGGAACCCAGCCGTCGTCATCTGTTTGTAGTAACTCTTGAGTGTATGCCTTGAGTCTCTGCCAATCTTGATATGTAGACAGCTCAATCGCGTGTCTTTGTAGGTCCTCATGTGTCGGTGAATAAGAACAGCAGCCAGAAAGACCCATTTGGCTCCAATTTTCCGAGATTTGCATCATTGAATCACGAAGGGGTATTATTCCAGTCTTTGATGTGTTGCCACAGAACGCCAGCAGGTGTCGGAGCGCGGGGTCAACCCGAGTAAAGGCCAGATATGATTGAAGATGATTCTTCGCTAGTGCTGCTTCGTAACATTTTGATAGTAATGCTCTGTCTCGCTCTGTGATGGCATACGCCTGCTCGTCCTCGTCCATTTCACTAGAATTTGGCGGCAGCTCTGGCTTGACCATCCCGAATTTGTAGTCGTCAGGGGGGGAGAGGAAAGACGGCCACTGAACCTGCATAAAAGCAGGCCCGATTGAGGTGAATTGCCAGTCTATGATGTTGACAATGTTGGTGGGATCCGTGTCACAAACAAAGATATTACCCAGATGGAGGTCGGCATGCCATAGCCTTGGTTTCAAGAATCGCCGTAGTGACGTGCTGGTGGCTAATTCTGGCATGATGGTCAACACAGCCTCCAGAGTCTGGATATGTTCGTCTTTGGAGCCTGGATGAGGCCCATGAGGCGTAAAGGTTGAGGAGTGTTTCACATGTTCAATGCCACGATTGACCAAAGCCACAGCCAGATCAGAAAAGGTTTCCCCTATTGAGAAAGAATTGGTTAGGGACTCTGCAGCTCTCCATGATGATGGAAATACACACATGGACCAGAATGAGTACCACCGTCATTTTGTGGGAACCAAGAAGCATCAAAGGAAGGACCAATGCAAAAGCCATTGTCGATAGGTATACTTGGGTTTGACGACTGGATGGAACGATCAAAGTAGAGGTTTCCATAACCAGGGAAATCAATAGAAGCCAATTGACTTTCTAACCTGACCAGGTTTTGAATGGTGTTGAACTGCTGTGACTGATTCATCTCACCCCATACCTCAACCAACTGTCTACCCTGGGCCTTTTCCATCACGATGTATTCGGCACCGATCGGGTTTGCAGCGTCAGAGCTCCATGCAAGGACATTTGATACTGGAATAGAAGTGTGGGACTTGACTGTCCTTTTATTAGCAGAGAGAACCCCTTGAACACTATTGTCGGATTTACTGTACCATATTCCAATGTAGCAACTTCCGACGCGGTGCTATATTTTGGTGGCACAACACGCGGACAAGGAATCTTAGCAATCACCTCTTTCCCATTGATTGCAGTCATCAACAACGCTTTGTTGAAGCCCCCTTCCATCTTTTCGATCTTTTCGATCGGCGAAGAGATTGAGGGCAATGAGGACACCAGTGTGCAGAGAGCATCAAGATCGAATTCTGCATAGCGTTTCAACACCTGTTCTTTCTCATTCACTAAAAACCGCCCGTTTGTGTATGCAAAAAGTTGCTCGCGTTTAATGGGCTCCCCTAGCCAAGCATTAGATGGGATGATTAGGGTTGGGCAAATGCGTACCGCGGCATATTAACATAACTTTGGACTGTGATACAGACATCCTCATCATCCTTTTCATGGCTGCGGGTTGTGGAGATTGAGGAATGAGTTTGGAATTGAATGCGGAGAGAAATACTTTACCCGGAGTATCCCTTAAAGATGTCTTGACAGTCAATTGTCTGACAATTACTGAATCTTTGCTTAGTAATCTTGACAATCAAGTTTGCATTTTGACTGTCAAAAATCACATCATTTTTGTTACAAACCCTAGGGTTCAATCTCCTTCTATAGGCTACTATTAGAGGACTAGCTCAAATAGGCTTAGATAGGGATCCTAGCCGTAATAGGGTTACCTGACAGTCAATTGACAATGAATTTTACCCTGAAATGTCAATTATCTGACACTTATTTTCACATCCCTAGGAAGAGCTGCATGATATGGTCCGACAGGAGATCCGTATATCTGAGCATCTAATGTCATAGTAGAAAGGTCAAATGTCCTAACCCTAAGAATGAATTTCCTTACGCTTACTCCAACCCGAAAGGTTTTCTTCTCGCCGTGTTTTCCCTATCAAGAGCGACAGACTGAGCGGGTATTGCGGAAACTGCGGGTGCTGCGGAAGAATGTCGTGCAGTTCAGATTATTTATTCAACAAGTTGCCGTTCATATCCATTCTATTTGCTTTCTATCTTCTATCTATCCATCATAATGCGTCTGATGAACCCCCTCTTTTCCTCTCTGGATGACTCGAAAGAGCATCCCCGCCCCCATAAATGGCTCTTCACCTCCATCGTCTCCCTCACAGCTGCGGCGGCGCCGTTAGGAAGCACGATCTTGATGCGTACGATACTTCCCTATACTCCTTTCAAAATCTAATACTAATACTCCTTCCACAGCGGTTCTCGCGTCTATTGCCTCCGACTTTCATACCTCCCCCTCCATCGCCAACCTGTCGGTGGCCTTTTACTCCCTCGCCATCGCCTTCCTCCCCCTATGGTGGTCGAGTCTGGCGGAACTGTACGGGCGCCGACCGGTGTATCTCGCCTCCTTCACCCTGTTCATCGTCTTCAACATTCTCTCTGCCTTTAGCTCCAGCATCGTCATGTTCATCCTGATGCGCGTGCTGGCGGGCGGCGCATCGGCCTCGGTGCAGGCTGTGGGCGCCGGGACTGTCGCCGATCTGTGGGCTGTCAAGGAGCGCGGCCGGGCAATGGGCATCTTCTTCCTGGGGCCGATGCTGGGCCCATTGATTGCGCCCATCATCGGGGGTGCTGTCGCCCTGCGATGGAGCTGGCGGAGCACGCAGTGGGTGATGGTGATCTACGGGGTGATTGTCCTGTTGTTGCTGTTCTTCTGTCTGCCTGAGACCAAGCACAAGCCGAAACAGACGCCCGGAGAGGGAGAAAAGCCAGAGCAAAAGTCGTCCATCTGGTCCATTCTCGTTGCCCCCTTGTCGCTTCTCCCCATGTTGCGCTCCATGCCCATTTTCATCACCGTCTACTACGCCAGCATCACGTTCGCCAGCTACTACCTGCTCAACATCTCCGTGCAGGCCACCTTCTCCTCTGCTCCGTACTCCTTCTCCACCATGCTCGTCGGCCTGATGTACGTCCCGTCCTCGCTCGGGTACATCCTCTCTGCCACCCTCGGCGGCCGCTGGACAGACCGGATCATGCACGCGGCCGCCGAAAAGGCCGGTCGCTACGACGAGAACAACAATCTCATCATGATCCCCGCCGATCGCATCGGTTTGAACGCCTGGATCGCCGGGTTGTTGTATCCTGCCGCCTTACTCACCTACGGCTGGACCGCAGGCGAACACGTCTTCTGGTTCGGTCCTTGCGTGGCCACTTTCTTCTACGGCGTCGGGAACATGCTCGTCTTCGGCGTCACGACCACCATGCTGACCGAGTTTGTGCCTAGCAAGCCTAGCACGGGAGTTGCGCTGAATAACCTGCTGCGAAACTCGCTGGCCTGTATTGCTTGTGTCGTCGCCCAGCCCTTGATGGATGCCATCGGGAATGGATGGTTGTTTACCGGCATGGCGGTCATTTGCTGGCTGAGTGGCTTGACCTTGGTTGCGATGAAGAGATTGGGGAATAAATAGTCTTGTTTAGATTTCATACAATAAAAGTTTGTCATTCTGTCTTATCCTTCGTTCGTTCCTTGTCCTGGTTCCTTTTCTTTGTTCCTTGGTGCCTTAATGCCTTAATGCCTTGTTTCTTGTTGCCTTGTTGCCTTATTCTGTCTGCTGCCTTAATGCCTCAGGCTACTACCTAATGCCTCAGCCTACTGCCTAAGGCCTCAGTCTACTGCCTAAGGCCTCAGCCTACTGCCTCAGCCTCAGCCTGATGTATGCCTCGCGGGTTCATTGCCACGTAGAGCCCCTCCTTTCTCACATAGACTAGACTCACCATCATAGAATCTCCACCTCGCCAAAATGCCTCTGCAATCCCGACTTGACCGTCTCGCTCATCGTCTCTCATCGCATAAACGATCCAAGACGCCCTCCCTCCGCCCGGCAGAACAGAATCTCCGCTCCCCGCCCGCGCCTTCCTCTTCTGTCGCGGCTGCCAGTCCATCTTCAACCTCCTCCAACGTCAGCAAATCGACCAGCTCTGCCACCAGCTTGCAGCTCGCCGGTCTCTGGAAAGAGGCGTACGAAAAGCTTCGATCGGAAGACGAGAAGCTCATCCACGAGTACGAAAATGCCCTTGTACAGAGATGGCAGCCAGCGGGGGGAGATGAGGGACAGAACAAGAGGGAGGGAGGGAACGACGGGACAGGGTCTACGGATCGGAACCTCCAGGCGATAGTCGAACAGCGGCTGCAGGAGATCTCTTCCTCGCAGCTCACTCTCACTGTGGCGGGAAAGGAGATCGTGGTCAAGGATCAGCTCCGTCGTGTTGTCAGGGGCATTCTTGCCGTCAAGGACTCCGTCTCGGTGGCCGTGGGTGCTGACCCACACGCAGCGTTGGCATGGGCTGGTGTGCTGCTGCTCTTGACGCCGGTCGTCAGGGCTGCTACACAAGACGGAGACGCTGCCGACGCCTTTGAAACCATGTCTAGTCTCCTGGTTCGGTATCGGGTGATCGAAGAGGACGGCCGGATTCAAGCAGCGCCAACAGCATTGTCGCGTCAGGCAACGGCAATGGACACTCTTGCGACGCACATCCGCAGCCAGATTGTTCACCTCTACGCGGCTGTTCTTCGTTTCCAGATGCGTCTGTTGAAACATTTCTCGCGCTCGGGCTTCGTCAGGCTCTGGGAAGACGTGACGGTGACGGACGATTGGAAGGAGATACTCGAAACCATCAAGGATCTCGACAAGTCGATCGCCATGGATCTCAGAGTCTTCAATGACCACGTTCTTCCCAGCGTCAAGGTCAAACTGGACGGGCTCCAGGAGGGGCTGAACAAGTCGTTGACTTTGATGGTCGAGGCAAGAGATGAAGCAAAGGTACCTACTTGACAGCACGCACCGCTAGTCTGTATACTGACAATCATTCCAGTCCGCGAAACAGGCACAGCTACTTGGTAGCTTGTCGCCTGCTCCCAATGCAGCGTTCAATTCGTTTGACGATCAACACAAATCGGCTTGTTTGGCAGGCACGCAGGTCGAGCTTCTTCAGCATATCCATGCCTGGTGTGACTCGCCGGGTGGAAAATGTATCTACTGGCTCAAAGGAATGGCCGGTACCGGCAAATCAACCATCTCTCGCACTCTGGCCGCTGCCTGTCACGACAGACTGTCCCTAGTCGCAGGCGAGACCGTCCCCGATCACGTCCGCCTGGGAGCCAGCTTCTTCTTCGAGCAGAGAAAGGCTGAGCAGAACAATGCCCGCAAGCTCTTCACCACCATCTGCAGGCAGCTCGCCGACTCGCTTCCAGATCTCAGGGATGATATCTGTCAAGCAATTTCGGACCATCAAAACATCGCCAACGAAGCAATGAGCAATCAGTGGAAGCACCTCATCCTTCAACCCCTACTGGCCCTGGAGAAACGCACTATGGTACCCTTGACTCTTGTCGTTGTGATTGACGCGCTTGACGAATGCGAATCTAGCCGCGACATTTCTACTCTCCTACGTCTTGTCGCAGAGGCCGAAAGGCTCACCACCACCCTCCTCCGTTTGAAGCTCTTCATCACCAGTCGACCCGAGTCCCATATTCGCACTTCTTTCTTGAATCTTCCCGACACCGCAGTCGGCGAACGGGAACTACAAAAGGTGCAGGTGCACGCGAACGGTGTCAAAGACGACATCACACTCTTCTTGGAGCACGAACTCTCCCAGATCGGGCGCAGGTATGTCCTTTCCGACGCCTGGCCCGGAGAGGAGAAGACCAAGCGGTTGGCGCTCAAGAGCGATGGTCTATTCATCTACGCAGCCACTGTTTGTCGTTTTCTGGGCGAGCAGCGATCACTCACCAAGGCTCGCCTGCAGAGCAGGATGGAGATGATCTTCGACGACCGCGTGTCAAAGGGTTTGCCTCAACAGAGTTTGGATACCATCTACAGAAACATATTGCAGCATTCCCTGTTCGATGAAGCCGTCCTGGATGATGAAAAAGAGGATACATACGATATGTTTCGGTGTGTCGTTGGTGCGATTGTCATTTTGTTGGAGCCTTTGTCCGTCACAGCTCTCGCCAACCTGTTGCCCTATCCGGAGCGAGATCAAATCGACGAAACCCTTGATGGATTGTATTCGCTTTTGTCCAAGGGAGAAGAACAGGCCAATAATGAAGAAACATCCACCGTCCAGCTCCTGCATTTATCATTCCGCGACTTTCTGCTTGATGAGCAGCGATGTGGACAGGAGTTCTGGATAGACCAGCAGAAGGTCCATCGGGAGTTGTTGGAATATTGCATGCAGGCCATGTGCGAATCCCTGAAAAGAGATGTCTGTGAACTTTCCGACCACTCCGTCCTTACGCTCGATGTCCCGCTTGCTCGTGTCAATTGTCATCTTCCTCCGCACGTCCAATACGCCTGTCAATACTGGGTTGAACATCTTCGCAATGCCAAAATTCAGCCCCTCGATGACCACGGCAACAGTACCAGCGGTAGTAGCATCCATGCCTTCCTGACCAAGCATCTTTTGCACTGGCTGGAGGCAATGATTCTTACCAGAAAGATGACTGAAGCCGTTCAAGCTCTGCTGGACCTGTTGGAATATATATTCAGCCTCCCGTCGGAAGGAAGAATAGAACTGCGGAAATTCGTCCATGGTGCACGTCGGTTTGTACTTCATTTCAGGCCGACCATCGAAAGAGCGCCTCTTCAATTGTATGTCTCCGCTTTGATCTACTGCCCCGAGCTCAGCGTGGTACGGGCGCAATTCCAAGATGAGATTCCCAAAACCTTTGTCGGGCTGCCCGAAGTCGAAAAGGACTGGAGCCCCTTGCTCCAGACATTTGAAGCCCATCGGTCGAGTTTTTCTGGAGAAGTATGCTTGTCGCCGGACGGGAAACTGGTTGTGTGTGCTTCTTCCCTGCGCCTTTGGGACACAGCGACTGGGGCCCTGCTCAAGACATATGAACCAGGGGGCGGACCCGACGCGATAGCCACTTTTTCGGCCAATGGAGAGCGACTCATGTCCTTGTGCGACGATGGGTATGTTAGAGTATGGGACGTGTCTCCCGGGCTCCTGGTACACGAGACACCCGGGTCGACAGACAATATCATGAGGTTTTTCTCGCACGACAATACCCTGGCGATCATGTTGCTAAATCCAAACACTGTTGAAATAGTGCATGTCGGATCCCAGACGCCGCGCAGGCACCTTGAAGCGCCCGAGGAGAGAATCATGGATCTGGCATTGTCTCAAGACAACATGATGTTGGCGGCCGCGTGTGAAAAGAATATAGTCCTACTATGGACTCTTGATGCAAACGGTGATCAATTACGATACAAGCTCAGGGGCCACTCCGCTGCCGTGACCAGGGTGGCATTCTCTCCGGATGGTACCAGGCTGGCGTCTTTATCCGAGGACAACACGATTTGCCTTTGGGACCCACGCACAGGAACTTTGGCCAAAGAGTTTCACGGCAGCAGCTTCAAGGACGTCATCTTTTCTTCCGACAGCAGGCTGCTGATATACGGCGAGGAAGACAGGCGGAATGCTGCCCAATGGCTCGACATCTGGGACCTCATGTCTGACAAGCTCCTACACCGAATCCCCAACTTTCATTGCGTCGTCCTGAAATTATCGCCGGATGGCTCGCTGCTTACATCTGTGGGAGAACATGGAGTGTATACATTTGGAGTCACCCTCGTCCATGGGATACAAATTGTAGATGTTGCAAGCGGAACCCTTGTAATGTCTCTTGTAGGTCCTTCCAAGATCAGGGATGTGTCGTTTTCCCCCGATTTGGGACTGGTGGCATCCTCCTCTCCGGGTGATACAATTCAACTCTGGGATTCTTCTGTACGGCCAGTTCTGGATGGCAGTGTGAAGCATGTCTCTGTCAAATCGGTCCAGCTGTCATCCAATTACCAAGTAGCAGTCTCTTTCGGCAAGGAGCTGAATTTCTGGGACGTCAACACTGGTATGTTTCTGGAGACGCTCCGGTATGGCGACGAACCACTCGCGGTCTCGCCTAACATGGAGTTTGTCGTCTTTCGGACCGGTGAAGATGTGATCTGGGGCCCAGCCACGGGGGAGCACTGGATCACCATTGAAAATTGCTCTCAAGCTGGGCGCTTCATATTCAGCTCTGATAACAGGCTTTTCTTACATGAAGATACCCACTTTGAACAGGATGGCAATAGCCCATTGCCCAAAAGGGTCCTCAAAATAGGAGTTTGGGAAACTGCTTCCGGCACGTTATTACACACTTTCCATGGATATTTAGATGAAAGTGTGTGGAGCTTTCTACTGGAACTTTCCCTGGACAATCGGTTTGTGGCGATTGGGCCGTTTGGAGAAGATAGAAAGCTCATTGAGATCTGGGATGTGAGCAGCGGCCAGCTGCATCAAACAGTGAAAGTCGGTAGAATATGCTGGGCCTTCCAGGTAATCTGGATGCCGGATGGAAGGTTTCTCATTGCTTGGCAGGGCTATGAGAACGTTGTTGAAATCTGGGACATGGATTCAGGAACACTGAGGCAATCTGTGCAATTACCAAATGATGAGTATGATCCTCTCGCTGTCTCTCCTGATTCGGAACTCCTGCTCATAGAACGCGAATCAACTCTTGAACTCTGGGACTTGGCCACTCTCGACACGATTGGGAAGCGGTCGCTTCAGCTTGAGGGCCACAGATTATCTTTTTCAGCGGACGGTCGAAGAATTGTCACGAACTATGGTCGATTGGATATCCGATCATTCTACCCTGATTGGAATGGATCAGACAGCCGAGACTTGTTTGTGGACGGTGACTGGGTGATTTCAGGCACTAAAAGAGTCCTCCTGCTTCCCCATGACTATCGCCCGACTGTTGCCGTCGCTGTCGATGATACACTTATCATAGGGCATAGGTCAGGCTTTGTGACATTTCTCAAACTCGCGTCAGTCGAGTCACAGCATGATATACCCTGAGATCAAGCACAATGCATATACTATTTATTAGATATAGGGGTTTTTATCAAAGGTATATACAGTTAACATGCCCAAGCGCCATCTATGAAGAAGGGTATAAACGATTATCAAATACGGGGGTAAAAAGGATTCAAGCAGCTGGCTTCCTGGCGATGATGCGATAGCTGGTTGTGGCCAGACGCATGTTATCCATCTTGACAAAGGCCTCGCCGTCGAGACACAGCCGATTGATGAGGGTCTTGAAGTGCGGCGGCAGAGCGTGCATCTTGACGAGGGCGAGGATCAGCTGGCGCATGGAGCGGAAGTAGAAGTCGACCGTCTCGATGAGAGGCGCCTGGAGGCCATCGATGCTGGCGTTGTCGGAGCGTTCGACCTCGAAGCCGGCCTGGCGCAGAGCCTGTTCCAGACTGGCGGGCGTGGGCGTGCCCACGGCGCCGATGAGCGGCTTCACACGCCGCATCAGCTCGGCGTGCTCTGCATTGCCGGCGTCGTACGCCGGCAGACTGACCCAGTCGAGCAGCGAGAGGCGCGCGCCGGGCTTGACGACGCGGAAGATCTCGGCGAACAGGGCGGGCAGGTCCTTGCACAGACTCAGGGCCTGGATCTGGTAGAAGCCGTCGAAGCTGGCGTCGTCAAAGGGCAGCGGCAGCGAGTTGAAGTCCTGCACGACGAAGCTGTTCGACAGGCCGCGCTGCTGGTTGAACGCGCGCGCCTGGCCGATCTGGTTGGGATCGATGTTGAGGCCCGTCACCAGGGCGCCCGAATAGCGCGCCATGTGCGCTGCGACACGCCCGCGGCCGCAGCCCAGATCCAGCACGCGCTGGCCGGGCTGCAGGCGCAGATCGTCGGCGATGGAGCGCTCGTACAGCAGCTGGTTCTCGCGCACCGAGGCCCCGCGGCTCATCCACGGCGGGATGTACATCTTCTCGACGTCGCCCAGGGCGCACAGGTGGTTGAGCACGCCGTAGTAGGCGCGCAGACACTCGCCCACGCGCTGCTGGTAGTTCTCTCCCAGGGCGGCGACCATCGCGCCCTCGTCCGACCAGTCCAGGTTGTAGATGACATACGAGGCCATGAAGTCGTCGACCTGCTGCGGCGTCAGATGGCGCAGGTACCGCAGCGCCGCCCAGACGGTCTTGTAGCGCTTCGGGGCCGCCGTCTTGTGCTTCAGCTCCTTGGTCGTCCTCGCCGGCGGCGTGCTCTGCGCCTGCACTTTGGCCCGCGCCACATCGTCCAGCGAGCTGCTGCTCTCCGAGCTCCTCCCGAGCGCTGTTGCTGTCGACATAATCGCAGGGCTGGACACACAAGATGCAGAGTAAGAGTCGAGATGGTTGACTACACCAGAGAGAGACCAGGAAAAGCGGGCAAAACGCAGGGTCAGGCCAGCGCAGGGTTTATAAGCGGGCACCGGCGCATTAATAATAATAATACTCACCGTCCAGGGAAGCTCCCTCGTCTCTCCGGCACATGAGCCATACTCGACCAGGTAACTGGCTGCCGGAAATACGGCATCGGGCCATCCTGCCACTTCACTGCTTAACTCCGGATGGGATGCTCAAAGCGCACATCGTCCATGCTCCGAATATGCCGGTCGACGTGTGCCAAGAGCCCCGGCGCGGTCACGTGGACGGGTGGTGGTGCACGTGTGAGTGCTGTGATTGGTGGAGGGCGGTCCGGAGGGTCAGACGATGGGGCGCCAAGTCTGCTCCCGACACTGAAAAGGAAGTCGTCGGCTGGCTCGGAACATACAAAGAAGTATGAGTATCACTGAGCATTTCTAATATTGAAACTATGAGTGTCACCGAGCATTTTTAATATTGATAACTACGTCTAGGATCATGGTTACTTTGTAAGCTACAGTGTATATGGATCTACCTTTATATATTCAGCATAGGACAGGAGGTATTACCTCTATGCGCAGTCGACCTTATCTATGTAGTACCTCTGAACAGCATCGGCAATGCGGCAATCCTGACCCACCGATTGATACTGAAGGATTCATTTACTGGGTTGGAAGAAGTATACCTCCGAAGTGGGATGGATACTCGAGTCTAGACTCATCAAGCTAGTGGATTCTGCACCAATCGCCAATCATATGCCAGAGTTAAATTAATATTAAATAAAATTTGGTAAATATTGAAAAAAATGTTAAAAAATATTAAAAAATATTACATCAAAATATCTCTCATAGACCTACTGTTGCTCCTTGGAATATATATATATGTACTATAGTCTACATTAACTACATTTCTAGCTCTATGAAACGTTGTAAATAATCCAATGCCTCAAGCATCTCAAATAAAGTCAAATGATCTACATAAGCTTATTGCCAGATCAGATGCACCAGTCGGGGGACCCGGCAGTCTTGTCAGGTACAAGCCTCGATGAGGTTCTAAGTATAGCTTCCTGGGCAAGGCAGCCAAGTATAGGTACCCAAGTCTCGAGGTACCTGGGTAACTAGTATACAGGGTGCTTGATTGGGTCAAGAAATCAGGCACAGCACCTAGCCAGGGTGATCCTTTTGAAGGCAGAATTAGGGTGACCATAAGTATAATCGTCTATTGATAATCTATTGTACATATTCTATACTCTATACCCTCTGAATCTATACTCCAACCCTATACTCTAACCCTATATCCATACTGTTATGTCGTTATTAATTCTGCTTGACCAACACCCCCCGGTAGCGCATCTTGCCCTCACGCAACGTCTTCATGGCCTCCTCGATGCCCCCTTCGTCGAGCGAGAAAGTCATCACCGTCGGGGTGATATTGTGCTTGGCGACAAACTGCATCAGTGAGCGCAGGGTCTGGCGCGAAGCAACAAGCGAGCCCTGGATGCGGATGCCCCGGACGGTGTATGCGAGCAACGGGATCGACGTGGGCTTGAGATCGACGGTAAGAGGGTAGACCGAGCCCATTGTATCCAGCAAGGGGAGGAGCCTATTCACAAGTAAGTTTTAGGGTTTTATAAGTAAGTTTTTGGGGGGTTAGGGTTTTAGGTTTTAGGGTTTAGGGTTTAGGGTTAGGGTTTTTCTTCACTCACCCAGTATAATCGACGCCGCCACTGCCGCAGAGAATGAGATGGTTGACCGGCTGGAGGCCTTCAATCTTCTCCCCGGCCTTGAAGACGTGATATTCGGCTGCGCCAAAGCCCATGGCTTCCTCGCGTTTGGCCTCGGAGCTGGAAAACACCACGACGTGGCAGCCCTTGGCGGCCGCCAGCTTGATCGCCAGGTGGCCCAGCCCGCCGACGCCCATGACTCCCACCCGGTCCGTTGCGCGCACCCCGTACTCACTCAGGATCGTCCATACCGTCGCGCCGGCGCACATCATCGGCGCGGCATTCACAGAGTCGTACCCGGCGGGGATGGGGACCAGACACTTGGCATCCCAGATGGCGCCCTCGCTGAACGATCCGTTGTCATGGTCGTTGGTTCCATACTCTTTCTTCTCGGGGCAATATTGATCCCAACCTGAGCAATTAGCATGTGCTAGATGGACAATGTATATGTGTGAATTGTGTACCGGTTAAACATTTTGTGCAGTCGCCACACACGGAATGAGTATATCCAAACCCAACGCGGTCTCCCACCCGCACCGAAGAGACGTTCGAGCCAACCTCACGCACGATACCGACTCCCTCATGGCCGAGCACGAGTCCAGCCTTGAGGAAATGCTCATCTGTGCCACAGAGGCCGGAATGCGTCGTTTCCACGTACGCCTCGTTGGGGCCCAGCGAGCGGCTGATCCGGTCGGTCACGATGCGGCCTTCACTGGAGCCACGGAAGACATTGAAGGAAACCATTTTGACAGTATGAAATAGAGACAATGAAGATGAAAATGAAGAAGAAAATAAAGAGACGAAACAGAAAATTTATAATGCAAAGAAAAATTTATCATCAGGAATTTATAATCAGGAATTGATAATCAGGAACTGATGTGGGTCTGCAGGCAATTTCAGTCAGATCCCGAGACCTACGTCATCTCACTCAGATCATCAATGAGAAACATAAATTATTGATAAGGTGGTTATTTTAAATGATAATATATATATCATTAGTGTCTGAATTACACTTGACATTACTTTCTAGGTATTATTACTTGTGTTCTGTTGGAGGTCAATCGTACCCCATATCGAATTCTTTGCTCTTATTTATGCTTAATTCCCTGCATACCCGCTATTCCCAAAATATCACGCACTACTATGCAATGCATAATTATGCAATCTTATGAAGATCTCTCTGTACATAAACTCCTACTACTTACATCTTAGATGACTATGCAGCAGTATAGCAGTCCTGCAGTAAATGAAATATTTATATATGATAATATGACTCTTTATATCACCAATTATTCCTCTCACTATTCAGAACTACTCCTCAGGTAAAGGTTGTGGCTCAGCACGAACCAGACATCCAGCTAATATATATATCACTTACTCGTAACTATATTGTAGGTTAATTACAAACTAACTTTGTGTTCTTAGCTGGTCAAAATGATACTGGCCCGATTACTTGATCGCACTGCTGACTCTCTCGCTGATTGTGCTCTTCTGGGATCTGAGCCCGAACGAGGCGAGGGTTCCACGGACAACGCAACCGGGCTTCACGATGATTTGCAAGATAACGAAACCACTACACACGGCAGGGATCCCTCATCGCTAGGATATTTCTATTTCAGACTGGGAAACTCCAAGTACCTGCTGTACAATCGATTTGTAGTGGTAGATGCCTCGCTAGGGAAAGCACGCGGGGCACGGATCGCCCCCGTGGGGAAGGCGGACGAGGCTCGGCCCGACAACGAGGCGTGGGCCATGTGGAAGGAGGGCCTGCTCCAACGTCTTGCAGAGAAATACAATAGGCCTCTCAATAATGATCAGCTCCCTCGGCTCGTGCCTTGTAAGTCTCAGACTCGAGACTCATCTGGCTGAGGGCGGGGAAAGCACGTCGCATTGAAACAGTCATTTTTGTCGGGGAGATACCTTCACATCGACCTAGAGGACATGGAATACTCTAACAGTAACCATACCGTCATCAGGCTGATTAATCTGACTGATATGGGGGCCTTGAAGGTTGACAACGCTTCTTCTAGACAAGGGGTGATCATGTACAGGAGAGGAAATCCTAGAAGATATCTTGTGTTACATATATGATCAATCAATCGGACGTATCTATATCTGTAGCAGTTTATCCATAGCTGCTGGCGTGTGGGACTTTTTGAGTCATTCGGTCGATCTGGAGGGTTGAAGCTATCCAAACCCTCTTCTGGAAGATGTACCATGAACAATACAATATAAAATTGATGAGTTTCGAATGGTAGTATTTATTATACGTTAAGATATTTCCACTCTATTTCTACTCTGCCTCTATTCCATTCTACATCTATGTACGGCCTCGCAATTATGTTCTCTTTACAATATTCACCCCCTGCCTCATCACCCGTTACTTCAATGATTTTAAACATTTGTGTCGATATCCCAGCATTTCAATTACAGGCCTCAACAACAACTATCTAGTAGTCTAGTAGTATAAGCACACGCGCACCGCCGCCATACATAATGTCCAGCAATATAGCCGTCTCCATCGCCGCCACCCACGCCATCCGGGAAAGCCATGGCCACGACACCGGCCACCAAGGATGACTTCTACAGCACGTTTTCCTCAAAATATCTCAACATCTCTGACGCCCAAGACAAGACATCGCTGTATTCAAGATGAAGCTGATACTTGCGGTGTTGTTCTGGCGGTACGAGCTGGAATTGACTGACTTAAACCGGGAGTTTGGTATGCCCATACTTTGGCTATGCCGATGAGAGTTATTCTACAGTCTTAACTCATTTACATTGCAGCTATAGTATACACCAATACTACACTGCAGTCCACTCATCGAGTGTGTTTATACAGGAAAGTATCTAGATAGCTAAAGGGGATAGTATAGGAGTACAACAACCGGAGCTGAATTTCAATAATTGTTATTATTAATATATAAAGCTATACATTAATAGTTATAGTATATAGTATTATTATTATAGTGTAATATAGTGCATAATATAGATACTATACGTAGTGTGATACATGCATATCACTAGTTTATATAGTTTTCAAATAATCCACTAATAGCAGCCTTTAATGCCATGTGTTTATATAGTTCCAGCACTAGTGTCTATAGTTTTCTGCAAAGTACTCTATAGCATTATCTGCATAGAGTTGGAGAACTTGATGAAATATAGGTTTAAATACTTTACTACACCATATTAACAGTATATACTGCCAGTGATGTATATAAGCTAACTATACTTAAAGGTATGCAAAGTAATAGATTCTCTGCTAAATTTAATATCTTGCTGAGTAAATAAACTGGATAGCTAAATAGTTTAAATGCACTTTCACATGTCTTCACGGACTTGTTCCTTCATCTGGTAAGTGCAGAATTAGAAGACTCTGGGCATGATGATCTTTACTCAATACGACCATGGCAACGTGCACAGCATAGTTATCTGATTGGACATAAAACATATAAATACAGGTAGGTACCAGGAGTTCTTCATGGTCTCTCCTCATAGCCAAGCGCATGTCCTCCTTTTCTCCTCCCATCTCATCTTGCTAGCTGATCAATATGCTCTTCCTTCTCCTGGCCACTGTCCTGCCCGCTCTGGCAAACCCCCTCGAGCGCCGCACGACCATCGCCTCGGACGAGATCGTCGGCTTCCCGCAGACTGTCCCGGACAACACGACGGGCGATGTCTACCTGGCCTACCAGCCCTATCTTTACGTCATAAACGGCTGTGTTCCTTTCCCGGCCGTCAATGCCGAGGGAGAGACAAAGTAAGTAGATACATCCACCGATATGTATTGATTTTGTTACTGATTCATCATAGTGCCGGTCTCAAACCCACAGGCGCCCAAGACGGCGACTGCTCGTCCAACACCGGGCAGATCTACGTGCGCGGAACCGAATACGGCGACTACTACGCCCTGATGTATGCGTGGTACTTCCCCAAGGACGAGCCGTCGTCCGGGCTGGGCCACCGACACGACTGGGAGGGAGCCATTGTCTGGCTGAGCGACGCCACGTCCACCTCTGCCGACAACATCCTGGCCATTTGCCCTTCTGCGCACGGCAAATGGGACTGCACGACCGATCTGAGCATTGACGGGACCAAGCCGCTGATCGACTACTACAGCATCTGGCCGTTGGATCACTGCTGCGGTACCACCACGACTGTTGGAGGCACCCAGCCCTTGATTGCCTGGGAGTGTCTGCCGGAGGTTGCGCAGGAGGCTCTGGATACCACCGACTTTGGAGATGCCATTGTTCCCTTTATTGATGCCCATTTCGAGACCGATCTCGGTCTGGCCACTTGGTGATCATCTATGATAACATATTATGTGTATGACATTATGTGTATGACATATTTTTCATGAATATAACAGTCTATGATATAGGATTTAATATATTTAATATATCAGAGAGCATCTGAATCAAGATCTTGGCTGATCACCATTGTATTGTTGTATATATTTAAGCAATTAGGAGTAAAAGTATAAGAGCTCACAATGAGAAATTCATGCAATAGTGGTAGCACCTCGACATACCGTAGCCTTTGGCATACATATCTGGTTCAAGGTCTAGATGAACCCTGTTTGGCCATTTCTTTAGTATTAAAAAGTATAACCAAATAAATCAGTTACGCTTCTTTCTGAGGAGATGGAAAAGTAGTGGTATTCAATTGTACTGTAAGTAAGGAAGTGAGACAGACTACTCTTCTTATTATAGCTATCTTGCTGGCAAATTTGACATCCAGAATAGGGAGTACTTGGAAGTAGAAAGGCCCATAATATTGCAGTACCAATCGCAAGATAAGTAATACAGGACTAGCTACCTTAGGGGTCCTAGAAGGTAGAGTAGTCAAAAGTCAACTGAATTGATTTCATTGACTGACATGAACCCTAATCTATAACCCTAACCATGAGCTCAGAAGCTTTATAACTCCTATTCTTAATACACCAAAATCATCATGCCGCATAAAGACACCAAGAGAAAGAATCGCTTTTAGAGATATGTCAATGAACTCTAGCACTACAGCACTATCCTTTTCTCTTCCCTCACTAACATTATATATAGAAATAGAAATGCTATTTACAAGGCTTCATCCCCTTAATAAAAAATATTCTATTATATTTAGCTTCCCCTCAGGGCCTTCCTGCACTAGAGTACGCCTAATAAAGTCGTCTTCCCGCACCGCCAATATTCAAAAAGCAAGACTGATGGCCATGGCGATTATCTCCTCCAGAACAGACATGCAAAGGTATATGGTGGCGTTGTCATCTACAGTTAAGGCCTTGTAGGTAGAGAAATCGCTGATGGTAGAGTAGATGGCGGAGTGGACCATCCTGACTGGGTAGAAGAAGCATAAAGAGCAAATGGCCATGAACAACTTCTTCTGGAGGTTTCACATTGAGAAGATGAGCTCTAAGATTATCTGGTGTTTAACCCTGTCCCTCAACAATGGTCTGTAGACTCCAATGATGGTGATCACTAGGCCGATCAGTGAGGCTAGTGGAACTAATTTCATATACTTAGGAGGCATTCTCTCTTTATATCCCTAAATTACTATATTGGTTGATTCACCCACTTATTAAATTAGACTTTAAATTCAATAATACTTTATCTTTATTTATATTAGAATGCTAATGTATGTTCAAAGTGCAATTCTATTTCTAGATGAAGATGGAAGTACTGAAGATGAGGAAGGGAATGAGCTAGAGGATAGTAATCCCTATAGTGAAAGTAAAAAGAGGATGATTAATGAGGGTAGAAAGAGGTTCAAGATATATTGTGCATCCCTAAACTAGAAATCTTAACTTGATATCTCTCTAGACATTTTCTATTCATCATGATTAAGGTCATCAAATGTACTTATACCCAAAGCAGACTAGCGCGGGTAAAGATTAATCCTTCCTCAGCCCTGCCACGGCACATGGGTTGGGTGGCTGGGACGGGTGTTGGGGGCCAAGAAAAGGTGCGGGCTGCCCCTCTCAGCAAGACGACGCAGATCTTGGGTAGTTATATGTGTCCAGCTGCCAAGGGGGTTGAATCCACTGTCCTAATCATTTTCCATCCCACCATTCCTTCCACATTGACTTGTCTAAATTTGCTATTTTCCTAGTACTAACTAGTCAAAAACCTAGTCTCCGTAGCTGCTTGCGAACCACTCATTTAATAATGACCACGGTGTACAGAGGAAAGCCAGCGCTTGGCTGTGTTCTGTGCCGCAAGCGGCGTCTGTTAGTATGTGTTGAATAACCAGTCATCTTTATTATCATGATTATAATTGACCAATCGAGTGTGATCGGCGGCACCCCTCGTGCTCGCAGTGCCTGAGGGTGCATCAGAAATGCTCCGGGTATCGAGACCCTAACGCTCTAAGAATCTATGATCAGACCATGGAAGTCGTCCAGAAGGCAGAAGAAGCCCGGCTTGCACCATCAACTGCGTCGAATCAACGGCAGCAGCAGATCATTTCTCCACCCATCTCCAACGATGAGCGAGCCATATCCCACGTTCACACCTACTACGTGGGCACTGCCCAAAACCGAGGCATGATGTGGTACTTGCCCGATCTAACGCGCGCAGGTGGTTCCTCTGCGCTCAGAGCCACCATGAAGGCGCTGGGAATGGCTAGCATGACAAGAATGCAAATGCTGCCGCCGAAATTCAAACGCTCGGCAGCCGAGGCATACGGCACGGCGCTGCGGGCTACCAACGACGCACTACGAGACCCTACGCAGGCAACGACTGATGCCACATTGGTAGCGGTGTTGCTGCTCAGTACGTATGAGGTGAGGCTCTTCTTCCCCCCCCCATATGATTGATACCCAACTTGTGGATGCCTGCATTCTAATCAACATCCAGATGATAAGTCACCAGTTCACGAATTTGCAGCGGACGTGGATGAACCACGTTGAAGGCGCGATAAGGCTTCTTGAACTACGAGGCGTAGAGCAACTGGACTCCGACTTGGGGCTGGAGCTATTCACCACCGTCAGACTACAGAGTGTCAGTCAAAACCCTAACCCTAAACCCTAACCCTAACCCTTGTCTACAACATCTTTTCTCTTCGGCCCCCCCCCATACTAATATGCCACTACTTGCAGGTGATAAGCTGCATATTCTTCAGATACAAGCTTCACCATTCACCACAAATGGTAGAATTGCTGGATCTGGCAGAAACCAAGCGGGATGACAACTCCCGGCCCGTGGAAGCTTTGTACAGGATGCTTACCAGACTGAGTCATCTCTGTATCCGGGTTGACCAGGCCCGCAGATCTACTGCTGGCACTCTAATGCCTTTGATGGAAGAGTCTCTCCAGCTTGATGCCGATCTGCAATCATGGACCATGTCCCTGGGCCGAGCTTGGCAGTATACAGTTATTGACACCCCTCCCAACAATGTCTATACCCCAATGCACAGTGATCGCTATCACATGTATCACAACGTCAACATTGTCGGGATGTGGAATCACTATCGTCTAGCACGGATGGTTACGAATACAATGATCAGATCGTTGGCGCATCAGTTGGGATCTGAAAGTCAACAGCTCGTGGTTCAGGCGACTGCTATCCTCAGCCAGATGGTGGAGGATGTTTGCGCTACCGTTGATTACCATTTCATCCTGGGAGCACCAGGCTTTGCAGCCGTATACCGGTTGCAATGGCCTCTGTTTGTCTCTGCCCTTTGCACAGACATGACATCTGCAAGGTACACCTGGATTCTGCAAACGTTCGATATGATTGCAAAGACCACGGGGTTCCAACAGGCGATCAGTATGTTGCAGCGCCTCAGAGATGGCAAGAGAATGGGTATCATTCCTGGCTCATAGATTGTCTAGAGACCTTTTCCAGTATACTACATAATGATCCAACTTAATAGACCTGATGGGTATAACACATACTCTATGAAATCAAAATGATCATTTATACATAGTTACTAGTATATCTTAATTTACCATACACTAAGGTTCATTGGCATTTAGCTAGTCCATGCAACTTGCTTGGAGCCGAGCTAAAACTTGTCGCCAGGAGTGAGCAACGTCATTCTATTACACGGGCGGAAATTGAGATACTCCCGACTGCAGCAGACAAGGATCTATCCTGTATAGTTAGCAAGCATAGCCCATGGCAGCTGGATAGCGTCAAGGGAATAACTGTCAGGCAGTGACAGGATAGTGGACCCCAGCCCCCACCGAACTGGTCCCTGTATTGGGATTAAAGTGTGACTTTCCAATAGCCGAATTCCAAATCAAATGGGAGCGTGAACGCACTTTGCTCCACTACGCTAAACCACATTCAGGAACCGGATCGGTCCCACAGGCTTGACCGGGCCAATCAGCGTTTTGTCTGTCCAATATCTTAATTCAACCAATCCCATGTGGCTGTTCCAGCATCTCGGTTACCCGTTATAGACTAGTCTGATCATGCTGGTGGTTTTAGTTGGGTTTAGTGTTGCCTCATCATCATAGTTACATGTGTATGGAGGTGAAACGCCCCATCATATAGTCACATATCTATTGCTGCGCCAGTGGCCATACCCTGTCGACAGCTAATGAATAGAAACTATTGAGTGGGAAAAGTGACAGAAGCTATCTCTAATCCATCGTATTATAGTGGGTATTGATATGACGAAGCTTTCTACTCCGGAGTAAATCCAAAAGACCTGTAGTATGTTCAGCCATTCTGATGGCTAGATGTTGCCTCAGTCCCCTTGTAGATCGAGTCCTTTTGGTCGGTCACCTTTCCGTAATCCATGGTCCGGTAGAAATGGTGCCGGCTCGAATCAAACCAATACGCGGCCCAGATGTCACCGACGTGAGCAGCATGGTCGAAGCCCAACGCCTTCAGATAGGCGAAGAGATCCTGCGCCCAAAGAAAGCGATCCCAATCCCGGACGTGGCAGTAGACCCGGACGACCTGAACGGCGCAGAGGACCCCGTAGTAGATGCCCCATAGATTCATGCCCTCTTGCCCACAGTACGGAAGACATCGGACCGCTTGGTTGACGCAGAAGGTGGAAATGCGGAGTGCCTCACTTTGCGAATAGTTGCCCGGCGCTTCGGTTTTGGCAAGAACCTGGCACTGGCAGATGAGCGGATGCACGAACGATAACGACAGCCAGAAGAACATATGGAGCAGGGCGTCGTCCAGGGAGGAGAAGCGATAGGCAGGGCCGAATAAGTCGTCTGTGGCAGGTACGCCGGTCTTTAATTCCCCCCGGGCATATGTCGGGGCCTCTCCGCCTGTATTTCCGTCGATCTGGGCGTATAAATCCATGTGGCTCTTCTCCAGGGCCAGGGAGTCTTCCAGCAGAGATTGGCAAGCATTCTGATCGGAGACGTCGATGGTGTCAATAGCAGCAGCAATGCGTGAGATCTCTACCAAGTTCATGATGAAATCCTTCATCGCCCCGTCTCCCCCAAAGGGCTGCTTCAACCACGCAATTGTCTCTTCGGAATGGTAGGTAAGCCTCGCGATAAGCTATGATGGCCGATCAGTCAGGGGATGGTCATTGACAGTCAGGGGGGGGGGGGGGGGATCGACTTCTTACCACTTTGAACCGGTGGTATTGGCCATGGATGACAGCCAGGATGGGACTGGTAAACGTTTTGGGATCATAGTATTTCATAATTGCGGTCAATCCATCTACATGAGCAAGCCATTCCCCCAGGCTGGATGGACAATGGTGGGCCTGGGTAAGTATAAGTGATGGCGGCCGTTGAAACACAAAGAAAGCGAGACACCTCTCACCTGGATCTGCAGGAAAATGACACAGGTATAGATAATGTCATCAGTATACGCCTTGCGGCTGATGAAATACAACATGTACTGGATGGCACTGTTGTACAGTTGAAGCCCATGCTGCAAGAGATGGTTGTCCGAGTGTATCTTGCCTAGAAACACACATGGTAGCGCGGAGAGGGCCTTTTCTAGCATTATATTCTTTCGAGGCAGCGCCGAGATGCCTGAAATGATAAATCGCAATTTATCAATTGAGGATCCCGTCTCGTTGGGGAAGTATCCATCAAGGTATGACGAAAAGACTTGATGCCGCATCATCGGGCTGGTGGTGACGGCTGGGGGTAACAACTGTTGGTGGCCCAAGGAATGGAGGTCGACGCCGGCGCCGGCGTTCAGGTTGCAAGCAGATGGAGTTGAGTGACTGATGGAGCCCATCTTTCTTGCGGTTTTCGCCTTGTGCTGTTTGATGGTTCGGGTTGTCTGGTCGCGGAACACGAGCTCCCATTCATCTCGGTATCCAGGGCACTTTTCCCCCTTGCGCATACACTGTCCACATTGGGGAGTCTGTAGGTCGCACTGTACAGATCAGTCAAGACTTGTCGACAGAGAATAGAGTAGGTTATTGAAATGGAATCACCTACTCGTCGCTTGACAGCTCTGCAGCTGCCACAGCTCCTGGAGGCGGGAAACCCATTCCGCGGCGGCATAACTGTGGTGTCTCCTGGGTTAGGGTTTTAGGGTTAGGGTTTAGAGAGAGACGGGCAGGAAAAAAGTGAAAGAGACCACCGGGTGAAATCAAGGCGGATGTGATGACTCGAGTTGCAGCAGTCCTCCTTTCAATCAGCCTTGCCAGGTGCTTATTATACTGTTCATGCCCTGAGCCAGTGGGGGCTAGTCAATTGACGTAATTACAGGAGTGGAGCTACTACATACATACAGAGTACATCTGTAGTACGGAGCACGGAGTGCTGAGTAGCCGAGAAAAAAACGGGTTCAGCAGCGAAATACCATGGCATTTCATTCGCCAATGTTGATAATTAAGATGATGAAGGATTGCATTCCTTTTTCAACATGGTTTGACGGCGTATCTTTTGCCTCTCTCACCTGGTGGAATCATCATGGCCATGCTTGATGCAGCTGAAGAGTCTTCCAAATACCGACCTGCCTTTGGATCTCAATGAGATTATTAGTTCGTCAAGTCTGTAAATAAAGTTGGGGTGGAGGGGAAGTGGGGATAGAATGGTTTACCGACCGACAGGCCAGAGCGCCATTTGTTTAGTCCACTGATCATTTCCTCAACAGAGGATGGCTCCCGATAAGGAGGCCCTCTTCTACCCACTTGATTCCTAAGTGTCAATGTTACACATCGCAGCATAGATGGAAGCAACTAGGCATATAGACTATAGATATGAATAGATAAAGTATATATTCATCTTAGCTTAAGTTAATGACTAGAGGCTGTAGACTAAGTAAACAGCATTTGTATTATTCTTATATAAGAGATCTAATACTAATGTGCTTTAACTTACTATAGAAGAATAGTATACTCTATCGATTTGTAGCCTAAAGATAAATCATTTGTTCACTGCGCGCATATTGCATCTACTATAGATAATGTCACTAGCTTAGTCCACTAGATATGGATTAGGGCTACTGGGAAGATTCTTATTATTCTCTATATAATAGTTGAAGATGTCATATAGTATTAGAAATATATTTCATCTGAATGAATTCATCTGAATGTCCTATGACATGTCATATACCCCACATTGTACAACTCATCATTCGACAACTTGACCTCTGACTATGTTTTTCTTTTTTTCAGGACTCCCCAGTAACTGTATGTGAGATCTTTCCGTGCACAATGTGGAATATAATACTAGTATTAGCATTGACTGCTCTGTTTATCTTTCTGCTCCGGGCCAAATCCCCCTCACCCCCCGGACCATCGTCTCTATCCGTCCTTGTCTGCCTATTTGCAGCCATCTTCCGGCCACAGAGTATCGAGGCAACTTTCCACTCATGGAAAGAAAGATACGGCCCCGTAGTGCAGTTCACCGTTGGGTTCCGCACGTTCATCATCCTGGGCACCCGGCAGGCAGCACACGATCTGCTCGACCGCCGCGGACAGCTGTACAGCTCACGCCCGCCGTCGGTGTTCATGGACCGGTATCTGTCGCAGGGGATGAACCCGGCCTTCATGCCGTACGGGGAGCGTTGGCGCGTCCACCGCCGGGTGTACATGCAGTTGTTGAACGCCCAGGCTGCGGGCATGTATCGCCGCGTCCAAGATATGCGCAGTCGCCAGTTGGTGGTCGAGATGTTGTCGACCGATGACTTTTCCGCCAGCGTGTATCGGTATACCTCTGACGTGATGGCGGAGCTGGTCTACGGGCAAAGAGAGAACAATAAGATCCAAAGTCAGCTGGATCAGATCAACGAGCGGGCCATGTTCATCCTGAAGAACGCCGCCTTCCACACGACGATCCTCGATCTGTTCCCTGCGCTGGACTATCTGCCCGCCAAACGATTCATGCTCTGGCGAACACAGGCGGCCCATCTGCACGAGCAGACAAAAGAGGTATACGTCGAGTGTGCGGCGACAGCATTGGAGTCACCCGTCTGGAACTGGACCAAGGAGGTTCGCCACGATCACCATGCCCGGTTCGAACTGGAAAAGATCTCCTGGGAAGAGGTGTGTTATTCAATCGGGGAGCTGTACGTGGCCGGCATCCACACCACAAAGATGGTGCTGGAAAACTTCATCACCGCATGTGTCGCGTATCCACAGACGGCCGACAAGGCACAAAAGGAGCTGGATAGCGTCGTGGGCAGCAGCAGACTGCCTCGGTTTGAGGACCGAGAGCGGCTCCCCTATCTCAATGCCTTTCTGATGGAACTCATGCGCTGGAAGCCCATCTCGCCCATTGGAGTGCCGCACGCCCTGGTGCACGACGATGAATATATGGGATTCAATCTGCCGCGCAACGCCACGGTCATTGCCAACCAGTGGGGGTTCAACATGGACCAGGAGGTGTTTGTTTCGCCAGAGGAATTCAATCCTGAACGATACGCTGAACACGGTTCCGACACAGGCGAGAGACTGCCGGGCTTTGGCTTTGGGCGCAGAGCGTGTCCAGGATATCATTTAGCCAGCCAGTCTCTCTTCATTGTCATCGCGCGCATGTTGTGGGCGTTTTCTATCGACTCATTTACACCCAGAATCAGCAATATAGAAGTATTGATCAGACAACCAGCACTACAGAAATAGACTCGAGAATAGCCCACTTGTGCTGTGAAAGTAGTATAGTATAGATAAATTATGAATGGTTGAATGTGATTTCGTTTCTTCTCTTATCATTGTTACAGCATCTAAAAGCTGTCATAGAGAGTATAGAGCTTTCTGTACTCTTAAACAACAGTCTCAACTACTATAGACAGATGATGAATATATTTCAAAACTAGTTGGCCAACCGATCCAATGCCTCGCCGTCAACCATCATCTTGGTCCATTCGTCCATCGGCTTGGCCCCCACGGCCTCACTGACATAGAAATCAATGCTGGGCGTGTTCCACTTCAACACGCTCCATTCCAGCCGGCGCCCATCCACGGCTTTCACCTGCTGGGCTAGGAAGCGCAGCAGACGCAGGCCGTACTTGTTCCCACGCGCATGAGGCTGCACGTACAGATCCTCGAGATAGATCCCCGGCGCCGAGCGCCAGGTCGAGTAGTTGTAGAAATACAGCGCCATCCCCACGGGCACGGTGGCTCCGGCGGGGGTGATCAGCGCCGTATACACGCCTTTCTTGCGCGAGTCTTTGAGCTCAGTGTCACCGGGGAAGGAGAGAGTGGCGAGTAAAGACGCTTCCGTTGCTTCCACCTCGTGCAGCGCCTTTTCGTAGTCGGCCAGTTCGCAGATGAACTGCAGGATGAGGGGTACATCTGCCGGATCAGTACAAGGATAACGGTTAGGATATAATGGAGTATCTACCCTCTGCAGTGGCCAGTCGGATCGTCGGTTCAGACATGACGGTTAGGGTTTAGAGAGAATATTTATGATGATTGAATTGATTAGAGAAATAACTTGGTTTATGAATCAACTCGTTGGTTAAACATGCAGAAATTGTCTTTACGTAATTATGGGGCGGAATAGACTCGTTTGGGTGAGAAGCAGATGGCTGTATGGGGCCAATAATGGGATGACTATAAATGAAGTGGAAATATAATAAGACTAGAAGACTACTAGCAGTAGAATTCTAGATATAATTCATCACTTTGTAGTGCTTTAGTCATTTATCTAATAAGATAAAGGGGAAAATAAGTAAATATTTTATAGTTTTATATAGTGTAGTATTACTAAAGTTGAGCACTTTAACTGTAGTAAATACTTTCTAGTTGCGGCATGAGTATCTTTATTCCATAGAGCAAAGGATAATGCCATTGCTTTAATGTTTTATTGCTTCCCTTATTATCTGCCTTTAAAGTGGTGATATCTGTTAGCTTTCTTGACTCTATATAGATTTATACTACAACAACGGCATCAGCAACTGATCAATGTCAATCAGATAGCCCTGCTCCATATCCCTCACCCGGTCCAGCCATGGATGGTCTTTTGCGTCTGCAGGGGGAGATTCACTAGAAAATTAACATTATCTTGTAATGAATAGGATAGAAGATGATTACCTCCATGGCCCAATCCCATGTTGCCGCAGCGTCCACTTCATTTCATCCAACTGTCCTGTCAGCGCTATTCATTACTTTCATGAATGATTCTCACCAGCACAGCAGCCGTGTTGAAAAACGGCGTCAGTCGATCGACAACCTGCAGCAGGACAGAGAGATAATGAACGGCTTCCCCCTGGAGACCCAACGGATCTCTCGACACGGCGTAGAGCAACTGGATCTTGACGGCGGCATAGCACAGCATCGCCAGCGAGGGATCGTAAACCACACAGCCCGGGCTGCAGCTTTCCAGCAGGGACAAGGTGCTCCCCATTTGTCTGGCGTGCATCACGCATCGGTCCTGCGTCTGGGTGATCCAGCCTGGGGGCGCTGCGAGGAACAAAGCCTGGACGTCGGGCTGGTGCGTCTGCAGGGCGAGCCGGAACAGCTCGCAGTGAAGCATGTCCCACCACAGATGGAGCATCACCAGAGGGCCATGCTTGGCTGTCTCGCTCTGGTTGAGGTTGCTTTCTGTCAGCGACAGTCTGGCGGGGAGGTTTGTCTTCCACCGAGCCAGTTTGCGCAGCAGGAGGTCGTACTCTTTGCCTTGCCAGGGGGGGTCTTGATGAGTGATATTCTCAATGTATCTGTACTCGTGAGTAAATACCTAGGTAGTATACCTAGTATATATATCGGTAGTACCGTAAGATGCCATAGCGGATGCCAACCAGCAGAACGTAATGGCCCATGATTCCCACCCCGTCGCGACTCTCGGCCCTTTCCTCTCCTTCCAGCGTCGGCAGCGGGGTGATACAGGGGATTCCATGTCTGGGATTAGTGTTGCTTCATACAAACGCATAGACAGTCTCACTGGAAACTATATTCATCGGCCGGCAGCTGGATCATGATATCTCGGGCCCGACTGCAGGTCAACTCTTCCCTCCCGGTGGCCGTCATGCGGTCGACCGCATAACAGGCAAACATCAGCCGGCGGTTCTGTTCCTGATCGATCCACATATTGCTAGCAATAGCATTGCCAGTGCCTTCGGTGTATAGACGCAATTTCAACGCGTATCGATTCGCCAACGCTGCCAACAGAAACGCCGTGTTGAATCTCCCGCTGTACGCCGCGTGTTTCGCCAGGAGCACCGCCGCCGCACAGTGCGACACGGAGATCTCGTCGGTATCGAACAGGCGCTGCTGGGCCTGTTCGGCCAGCTGGCTGGCCGACACGGATGAGCCCTGGACAAAGCGGGCGGTGATGGCACACAGGGCCAGAATCAGGGTTTCTGGCACCGTCTGTTCGGCGAGTCTCTGCTGGAGAGTTGCTCGGTGCAGGAAGCCGTTGGCCTGGTATGGAGCAATACACTCGAAGAACGCAGACACATGTTGGAGAGAGATGTTGATGTTGTTGTTGTTGTTTATGGCCTCTCTATTATGAGTTCTTTCAACCTTGCGTAAGCCAGCGGCGAGTCGCGCACTGGCAGCCGGAGTCAAGCTGAGGCCATCGCCAGGTCGGCCAGGGGGATAGACGCAGGGAACGTCTCGCGCGAGACATCGACTGCAGGGATGCCCACGCGAGCATCTCGCCCGGGCCTGTCGACAGGGTTGACAGGCTGGGCGGGTATCTTTCTGCCCGCAATCATTCTGGATTGGCTCGTGCAGGGGATTCGCTTGAAAGTCGCACTGCAGCTGGCGGAGACGGCAGTTCTGGCACCCGCCGGCGGTTTCGTCGCATTTGATCTTCCTTGCTCGACAGGTGATGCATCCTGAATGATTAGTATAGTAGTATAGTAGTTGTATTATAACTCACCTGTTCGCACTCGTCGCGCCATTAGCGAGGCTCCGTCGATGATGAGTTTATCTTTCCAGGCGAGTTTCCAGTTTAATTAAAGCAGGATTGTTACCCCGCGTTAAGCGAGGCTCCAAGCGAGCTGTCTAGTATATTATATATAGTATACTATATTATAGTATAAGTATATACTAAGTATATAAGTATATATAAGTATATATACTACTAAGTATACTACTATGATAGTCACTATTGACTCTGGCAAAGTTGCAGGCACCTCTGCTAATGTGACGGTATTCAAAGGAATCCCCTTTGCAGCATCCACAGCCGGCACAAACAGATGGAAACCGCCTCAGCCTGTCAAGCCATGGACGGGCATCCGTGACTGTTCATCCTTTGGCCCTATTCCGCCTCAACTGCCGCCTGGGCCGTTATTCTGGACCAAGGAGCCTGTGGCCCAGAGCGAGGATTGCTTGAACCTGAACATATGGACGGTATTTGTACGTCTACCGTATATTCATATTTCCTAATGTTTCAACCTTCTCTAATATCTCTTCCAATATCCAGACACCCAGACTCAAACCCGTCTATGTCTGGATCTACGGAGGCAAATTCCTCTGGGGCGCCGGATGCGACAACAACTTCGACGGCAGCCGCCTGGCCGCCCAGGGAGTCGTCGTGGTGACCTTCAACTACCGGCTGGGCATCCTGGGCTGGCTGGCGCATCCGGATCTGTCGGCGGAAGATATACACCACGCCTCGGGCAACTACGGCCTGCAGGACCAGATCGCATGTCTGCAGTGGGTGCAGCGCAACATCGCGGCGTTTGGCGGCGATCCCAACAGAGTCACCATCGGCGGCCAGTCGGCGGGCAGCGCCTGTGTCGGCCTGCATGTCTATGGCCCTCAATCCAGGGGCCTGTTCCACGGCGCCATCTTCCAGTCTGGCTGTCGACACCCGCGCGACCCGTTGATCTCCTGTCTGGCGCCGTCGTACCGTACCAAAGACCAGGCAGAGAGGGAGGGCCAGATGATCGTCCGCGAGAAGGGGGCGGCCAGTATTCACGAGATGCGGGAGATGGAGCTGGACAAGCTGCTCGAGGGCAACCATCGCGACGACGAGACTCTCTGGGGCCCTCCGCCCTTCTACCGCGCCGTCCTAGACGGATGGCTGTTCCCTCGCCGCTTTGAAGACACGCTCCTGTACGGTCTGATGAACGATGTCCCCCTGTTGAACGGCCAGAATAAAGACGAAGGGGGCAATTACACCCATCCAGACTTCAACATGGACGATCTCGAAGCCGTCGTGCCACTCAAATACGGCAAACACTTCACCCCCCGCTGGTTCTCGCTCTACCATCAACCCGGTCAATCCCCCTTATCCTCCTGGAATACCGCCTGTCAGGATAACTCCCGGGTTGGGCCTCATCTACACCATGAGCTCTGGCGCCGGCACGCCACGAGCCCCATCTACATCTACCATTTCACGCATGCGCCGCCTCCCCGACGCGGGTTCCCGACTGATTTCCCTGTAGAAAAGAAGAGCGGATACGTGTATTTCAACGGTTCGCGCACGGGGGCCTACCACGCAGCAGAAATCCCCTACGTCTTCGACTCGCTGTGGACGGACGTCGACCAGCCGTGGAATGAAACGGATAGACGGGTGGCGCGCTATGTGAGTGCGTACTGGGTCAACTTCATCGCTACGGGGGATCCCAACGGAGAAGGGTTACCCTTCTGGCCGAGTGCAGAGCAGGACGGAGAACATGTCATGCAGTTGGGGAGGGAGCCGCAGTTGATCAAGAAGGCTGAGGGGGGGAGAGAGCAGTTTTGGCGAGATTATCTTGCTGCTCAGGGGGGGTGGTAGTTCATTAGGGTTGAGGTAGTGTAAGTAGTGTAAGTAGTGTAAGTAGTGTAAGTAGTGTAGGTAGGGTTAGGTTGACATGGTTAGGGTTGTCCTTATACAGCAAATTTAATATCCAACTTGTTGTCTTGAATTTCTATATTTATACTACATGACATGATACTATATGTACATCTATACTATATGTATATGGACATACATTAATAGTTAGACCCATTTGTACCATGGACAATAAGACGCAAGGTCACACTTTGCAGTATCCAGGGTACTTCAGTACAATAGATGGGCATAGTTCTTTCTTCCTATAAAATATACTGCAAAACACCTAATTATCAATCTTCCTGTGCAGGATATCCTGCCCGTAATTCCCCGTGCAGACGGTGGAGCGGAACTATTCCAGACAGTCAATTCCACGATCATCGCAGTCAGTATTGAACAACTCACCTTTCGTGCTGGAACCTGGCGATGGAACAACTCGTCGATCTGCGCATACGACCGGCCTGTAAAGTCGGGGATGAAAAAGTACGTCACCAACACATCGATCACGCCAAAGGCAGCGAAGCTGTAAATCAGCACAACCCTAACCCTAACCCTAACCCTAACCCTAGATCATAGATCCAAGAACTCACTATAATGCAGAACCGCCAACTCCCAGTCGGTTCGTCTCAAGCATGTACGGAATGGCAACGTTGTAGACCACCCCGACAACGCCATTGCCCATCGTGCCGATCGTCGCCGTCTTGGCCCGCAGACGCAACGATCCGCTCTCCCCGATATAGATCCATCCACACCCGTTCGGGCCGAGCGTGGCGCTGAAGACGCCGATGCACAGGAATCCCAGCATGATTTTGCCGGCTTGCGTGCCGTACGGTTCGCCCATCACCAATGCTGTCACCCCAATGCCAACTGATAGATGAGTATATTAGTATTAAATCAGCACCAACATTGTATACTAACTACCACTTACTCATGGAGAAGAGAAGTCCGGTTTGCCCTGTAAGCAGCAGACGACGTCTGCCCACATGCTTGACTTCACTCAGGGCAAAGACAAACGAGATGCTCACAATGCCGATGGCAATGGCAATACATGTCGAGGCGAGGGAGTTGGATTGGCCGGACAGAGTGAAGAAATAGGTCTTTTGCGGGCCCGTCAACACGTTCCCGGCCAGGCTGGCTGTGATGGGGGGGAAGAAGGCGCAAAAGGTACGCCGGAGATCCTTTCCTTTGAACAGTTCCGCAAAAGAAGATTGTTTCATCTGTTAGTGTCAGCCGACAAGGCAGGGAAGAGAAGTAGGAAGAGGAGTAGGAAGAGGAGTAGGAAGAGGAGTAGGAAGAGGAGTAGGAAGAGGAGTAGGAAGAGGAGTAGGAAGAGGAGTAGGAAGAGAGGAAGAGGTACCATTGCTCTTTGCTCCGCCTCCTGACCGAGGGTATATTCGTATTCGGCATAGATCAGTTCGATCTCGTCTTCCGAGCGACGGGGATACATGAACTTGAGCGTCTTGCGGGCCTGTTCATTCTTGCCGTGGATGATCAACCAAGAGGGCGATTCGCAAAGCAGGAACAGCTGCGCTGTCAAGACCACAACCGGCAGACACAGACACACGCAGAGGGGCATGCGGTACGCCCATTTGTCCGATGCATCAGGCCATGTTTGCTGTCCGACATAGCACAAGATCACAGATAACATATCACCAAAGTTGCCTAGATGCAATATCAGCATACAAGCTATGTAAAAAGAAAAAGACCCCGTTACCAATGAATAGATAAAGAGCAATCATCAGGCCTCTCGCGTTCCTCGGCGCCAGCTCGGAAATGTACATGGGCGCCGTGGCCTGGGTGAGCCCCGAGACAAAGGCCAGGATGAACTTGGCCAGGGCGAAGACCTTCCAGTTCGGCGCGATGAACTCGATCACCACCCCGACAATCATCACCGCCACGTTGAAGAAGATGACCGCTCGTCGGCCGAAGATGTCGGCGATGGGGCCCATCAGGAATTGGCCCATTACCTGTGCGGGAGCGGCAACAGCGCTCCATCTATAAAACGTCAGTATAAGATCAATATATAAGAGACAAAAAGACATCAAATACATTGACACTGTTTCTGGTCGGACAGCGTATTTGCCATTGCTCATGTATCCCTCGCCCATGACATAGCAGAAAGACTGGGAGCCGACGAGGGAATTGACGGCCGTCGTGTCCGTGCCGAGAATGAGGGCGCTGGCCTAGAGGTTTTAATGAAATGGAAACGGAACGTATTTTGATGGATAGGGATATACCAGAGCAGCGGCTAGAACGGCAAACACTTTCCTGTCCTCGCGGAAGGTCTGGCGGATGCTCTTTGATTCCTGTAGAGTGGCTTCCTGGGCGGCGGAGAGCTCGACCAGCCGGGAAGGGTCCTCGTGGAACTCCTCATGGGTGATTTCTGCTTTTTCCATGGCAGGAGTATACAAGTGGATGGGAAATGAAGAACAAGAACTGAAGAGTCAACAATAAGATATATAAATATGGGGCATAGAAGATGGGGATAATGCGGGGTAGGGCTCATGATTGGACGGAGGCTCGTCTAGCCAAGCGAGGCTCCGGCGGGTAATTCTTAGTTGTAGATTACCATTTGTATATTTCTAGTACTGCATAGTAAGATATCTGGCTAGTATATTGCATGTATTGTAAGTATAGGTGGTATAACTAAAGCTTGTATTAATACAGTCTACCACGAGTGGCAAGATCGAATCAGGAAAGAGATTAACAATCGGACTGGAAATCAGGATATTGGGGGTGATTACTCATCCGGCAATTTCTTGCCGAGCAGTCATAAATACTACTCTGGTCCCTATCTCTCTGCTATCAGCAGCCATCATGGATGCGAATGAAGAGATTCGGGGAAATGCTCTGGAGAATGAGACCCAGCAGGGCCAGAGCCGACAGAATGAGAGTTCAATTCAACAAGATTCAAATGACGGGAACGAGAATCAGATTTCAACTGAAACCCTAAACGAAGAGAGTAAAGATGAACAGAACTCGGATGAGAATTCGAACAAGAAGCTCCAAGACCAGACAAATCTCTTACCCGTCAAGCAGCTCTTAATTGTCTTTACTGGCCTCAGCTGTGCATTGTTCTGTGCGTATACCATTAACTCCATGTACTCCGTACTCTTTATACATACATCTGTACTTACAACTACAGGTTCACTCCTCGACCAGACAATGTAAGTGTACACACCGTACATCTATGTATATCTCTACTCACTATACAAGAGTCTCAACTGCCCTGCCCACTCTTGGGCGCGTCTTTCACTCGGCCTCGATCGAGTCATGGGTAGGCACGGCGTACCTCCTGACGTCGACCTCTTGTCAACCACTGTACGGCCGCTTATCCGACATCTTCGGCCGCAAGATGGTGTTGCTGGGGAGCATGGCTTTCTTCCTCTTGGGCTCTATCCTTTGCGCTGTTTCACAGAGCATGATCATGCTTATCATATTCAGTACGTCATGTTATACTGTCGTCATTTCGAGACATTAACACGCATAGGGGCCGTGTCTGGCATTGGCGGCGGAGGCATCATGACGAGCGTGATGATTGTGACGTCGGATGTGGTCTCGCTGAAACGACGGGGAACATACCAGGGCATCATCGGGATGGTGGTTGCTGCCTCCAACTCGGTTGGGCCATTACTTGGTGGTGTGTTCACTGAGAGTGTGTCTTGGCGATGGTGTTTTGTATGCATCCCCCCACTGAAAACCACATGAGGTCCACATAGAGCCTATGGATGTGCTAATATGCTTTGATTAATCTATAGTATATCAACATCCCCCTTACAAGCATGGCTATTTTGATTGTCGCCCTGGTCCTTCCTCTGAAACGGGTCAAAGGAGAGGTCAAGCAGAAGCTGATGCAGATCGACTATCTCGGCTCCCTTCTCATGATCTCCTCTTCCGTTCTCATCCTTCTTCCCCTTTCCTGGTGAGATTTCACTATACGTCTACCGATACTTGTATGCTGATAATAACTAGGGGCGGAACCGAATACCCGTGGGCTTCTGCCGGCGTTATTGTCCCCCTCGTTCTTGGCACGATCCTGGCCGGTCTCTTTATATATGTCGAACACAAGGTCGACTTGCCTCTGATCCCAATGCACATCTTCAAGAACTCGACCGTTGCCAGTGCCTTGGCGGGTGCCTTTTTTACCGGCTTCATGTTCTATTGCAATCTATACTATGTAAGGGCACTCCTTCACCGCAACACAAAGGTTTAGTGCTTATATCTATTGTTCAGCTCCCCCAATTCTACCAGGTTGTGAGGTCTGCCTCCCCCATCCGCTCGGGCGTGATGCTCCTCCCCCTCGTCGTCACCCAATGCGTTGTCTCCTTCACGGCGGGCTTCCTCGTCTCCAAGACGGGCAACTACCAGGTCAACATCTGGGCCGGGTTTGCCATTTGGGCCATCGCCTGCGGTCTTCTGTCTACCATCTCTCCGACCATCCCCGACGCCAACCTTATCGGCTACCAGATTCTCAGCGGGATCGGCTCCGGCCAGACCTTTCAGACCAGTCTAGTCGCCATCCAGGCCAGCGTCAAACGCAGCGAGATGGCCGTAGCGACAGGGACCAGGAATTTCCTGCGTTTATTGGGCGGGACCATCGCTCTGGCTGTCTGTGCTGCCATCCTCAACAACACAGTGAGGTAAGAAAATTCGAATAGAAAACGAGAAGATAGACAAAATGTTCATATTGTCAGGACCTCCCTCGGTATGCTGTCTGCGGAACAGATCTCCGAGATCATCGCCGATCCCACCCAGATAACCTCTATGGACCTGACGGCGGAAGAGAGATCAGCCGCCATACTCGCCTATAGTAAGTAACAATGAGTGTGGAGGGAGCGAGTTGTGATGTGACGCTAATGTGATGTCCAGCCCATGGAATCCGCAATATCTACTACTTTATGATCCCCCTCTGCTGCATCTCCTTCTTCCTCACCCTCTTCTTCGTCAAGGGAACCAGTCTCCGGCGCGAAGATGACGCCAGGCTGCAGGAAGAGGGCAAGCAGTGGGCTGCCAGACATCGCGGATTGCATGTCTTGAAGAAGTGATTCCAGGTTTTATTTTATCCCAAGTGAAGATTTCAGCCAAGATTCCAAACCAGGTTTTTCTTTTTTCACATCTCTGATTTGGGGAAGAGATTTTTTTTTTTTTCCATATTGTTTTTTCCTCGACACCTAGAATGTGGGTTTATGTCTCATCCAAATGACCAGTCAGTAATTATAGATTATAGATTTTTGATCCTTATGGATCATTCTTGATCTGTTAGCGAATCCTGTTGCAAGGGTCCCTTGTTGGCACCATCTCACTAGAACATTCCATTCTTATTTTTATTTCTTATACTCATCCTCCATCTATATCCCATCTACAATACCTTGCATGTTCTAGAGATCTAATTTCAATATACTCACTCATTCAATATACTCATAGTATAGCCTAGCTAAGCTTTGTGGCAGTAGCGGAAGATTCTACCACGCCGTAGTATAGATCTATCGAATGGATCTAGTCAAGATCTGCATGTCTCACTACGTGGACGCATCCTCCATCTGACCGAACCAGTTCTCATGACAAATCGAATAGTTCGAAAGAATCAGTCCATCACGCAATACCAAGAACCTGCCGAATCAAGCGCTCACTGCCCGATCAACCCGACGAGTCGAATTCATCCCGGTTCCTGCAGTCGATCGTATTCTAATTATACAAAGCATCGGGTCGATGGATCTGACGTGGCGGTCTGTATACTCTGCAGTATGGTTGTTCTTTATATAGTCGTAGTGCTCTCTAGTAGTCGTAGAGCGGTGTCTTACAGTGCGTCTTCATTGTCTAATCCAGTCTTGTCTAACGTGGACATGAACAGCCCCTTCGAGGACATCGTCGTCCCCGGCCACCTGCTGGCCACGACAGGCCATACCTGGTACCCGGGATGGGAGCCCGCTCAGCCTCCCCCAGACGAGCAAGAGACCCCCCGACTGAGCCGATCGTCCAGCTTCAGCCAGCTTCCAGAGCAGCTGCCCCGTCCCCCGCAGCCGCTCCGCCGCCGCGCCCGGAGCAGCCCGCTCACCCGAGTCCTCCTGACCGCGTCCCCGCCCCCCGCCTCCCGCCCGTCCCGCCCGGCCCGCTCATCCCCAAGTCCACCGTCTCCGATCTACGAAACCCCGATCCATTCCTCGATGCACTCCGATGCCTCCGAGGAAGAGAACGACGAGATGAATGAGAAGAACTCGAACGTGATCCGTGCGGCGCACCTGTCCTCCATGCTGAACAACAGCCAAGCGCCTGCGCGCCTACCGCAGCGCAGCCTGAGCAAACGGCTGGCCGCCCGCGCGCAGCGCATGGACGTGTACGCGCTGTACGAACAGGCGAAGAAGGGCGGCGCCTCACTGCAGCGGCACTGGTCGGTCCAGTTCCTGCTCGAATACACGGGCTACGCGCTGCTCCTGGCGTTCGTGTACTTTGTGCTCATTGGCGTCCCGCTCTGGAACGGTGCCGTGTACTGGCTGTACTGGGTGATCAAGACCCGGTTCGCCGTCGAGGGCGGCTGGGCGTGCATCCTGGGGTTGTCGACGCTGTACGCCTTCTCGCCTCTGCTTATTGCCTTTGAGCCTGCGCCGTCGCGCTACATCGCCGACGCGGAGCGGCATTCCGTCGAGAACACCGCCCTGCTCATCCCCTGCTACAAGTCGGAGGCCATTCTGGGTCCCACGTTGGAAGCTGCGCGGCGCATCTTCCCCGCCGACCACATCTTCGTGATTGCCAACGGGAACAGCGCCACCCCGCTCGATAACACAGAGCACGTCTGTCGGCTGTACGGCGTGCATCATGTGTGGTCGCCCGTGGGGTCGAAGATCATCGCGCAGTTCGTCGGCTGTTACGCAGCCAGCCGGTTCGCCAACGTGCTGCTGATCGACGACGACTGTCTGCTCCCTCCTTCGTTCCCTGTGGTCAGCGACCGGCTGGTGGGCAGGGTGCAGTGCGTCGGGTACACGATCAAGAGCGTCGGGCCCAACTCCTCGCGCGGGACCTGGTGCCAGCAGGCCCAGGATGTGGAGTACAAGATCTCGGGCCTGCAGCGGGCGTTTGCGGGGAAGATCGGCAGCGCGATCTTCCCCCACGGGGCAATCTCCCTGTGGAACCGCGAGTTTCTCAAACGCACGTTCCACGAACACCCGGGCTTCAGCGTCTCCGAGGACTGGTTCTTTGGCGATAGCTGTCGCCGTCTGGGCGGCCGCATCACCATGTGCAGCGCCATCTTCGTCGAGACCGAGACCCCCTCGGCGGTCTTCTTCAGCGACGGCGGCAGTCGCGGCGGCTTTGGCGAGATGACCATCTTCAAGCAGCGCTTTCTACGCTGGAACTTCTTCTTCGTCAACGGCATGTGGTACAATCTCAAGTATATCCTCGGCAGCTGGTCTCTGGGCTGGTGGGAAATTGGCACCAAGATCTTTGTTTTTCAAGAGGTATCCTCTTTTACTTCACCCTATCCCTATTCCTAATATTGATGTTATAGGTCTATGAAACAATTCTCTACCTTCTCACCCCCTTCATTCTCCCCATCTCCTTCTTCGTGAGGCCGGGCTTCTGTGGCATGATGTTCGGCATCACCGTGGGCATGTACCTGCTTAATGTGCTCATCTTCAACGAACTCCATCTCCGCTGGAAGCGCGAGCGAGTGAGCTGGGGGATTCTATTATTCTACTACGTGAGTGTGACCTCTATGCTCTACGCTCTATGCTCTATGCTCTATGCTCTATGCTGATCTAGAAGACCCCATATAAACTCATGTTGACGCTGATCAACGTCGCAAGCTGCTATTGGTCGCTCTACCGCTACGCCCGCTACTTTGCCCGCCGCCATCCCAAGGTCGTCGAGGACGTCAAGGCGATCGAGGTGGTTCTGCGGCTGGAGGGAATCAACACATCCACCACTTCGCTGGGGCAGACTCTCACCGTCGCCCAGGTCAAGGGCGGAGGCAATACCTATGCGCCAGAGGCTGTCTATCAGTTCACGCGGGATCGACGCCGGCTGCGCAAGTAAGCTATGATATATCATTGTAACATTACGGGTCGTATTATAGCGTCTAGAAGTACAGAAACAGGATTGAATAAAGTCAATATATCCCACTATCTCGGAGTATTACCATCAACTGATCAATCACGGCCTCTGGTATGATTCGCTCGGTGAATACTTGCCTAAAGAGGACTAGCGACGGAAATATACGTGGGGGATCGTCATGAAGTATATTGTATGATTATATATCATATGAGTGAAGGAAAGAGTATAAGTAGAGGTGAATACGAAGGAATAGATGGAGTAGTATAGTGGTATAGTTGCTATAACCTACCCTTACTGCCATGAAGCTCTATCTTTTCAGCTTCTTTCTGGCCGCCGCAGCCAACCCCCTCGTCATCCAGACCAGCAGTGGAATTGGTATCTCTCCTTACTGCATTCGGCCATTCAATCTCTGATCAAAAATAGTGCATGGCGCCGTGAATGAAAGTTACCCCGCTGTGCGCCACTGGCTGGGTGTCCCCTTTGCACAGACTCCCTTTGGCTCTCTGCGCTTTGAACCCCCTCAGGCTCTCCCTGCAAATGCCTCTTCACAGCACATCCAGGCGCAGGCGTTCGGCCCTAATTGCCCGCAGTACGAGGCCACGGCACCCTCCATCTACAACAAGATCCGGCGCGAATACTTCATCAACGGCGACAACGGCGACGCCTGTCTCACCGTGAGCATCTGGGCGCCTGCCCAGCCCGTCAACACCTCGCTGCCCGTTCTGCTGTGGGTGTACGGCGGCGGCGATACCACGGGCGGCTCGAGCGTGCCCTACCAGAACCCACAGGCGTGGGTATCGCGCACCCAGGCCCATCTGGTGGTCAGCCTGCAGTACCGGGTGAACTTCTTCGGCAGCCCCAACAGCCCGGCGCAAGACGGATGGCTGGCGTTGGCGGATGTCCGCGCCGCGACCGAGTGGGTGCGCGACAACATCGCCGTGTTTGGCGGGGACCCCGACCGCATGGTGCTCTGGGGTCAATCTGCGGGGGCGGGGCTGGCCGGGTCCTACTCCCTCGCGTATCGGGCCGAGCCGATCGTCAAGGGGTTTATCCAGGACTCCGGGGCAGCGTACGGGGTTTTCTCCAACTATACCGACTCCCAACATGCCAACTTCACCTTTCTTGCCGAGCATTTTGGCTGTACCGATGCAGCGAATGCTTCGGCTTGTCTCGGTACCGTCCCGCAGGCGGACATTGAGTCTTTGATCCAGTATTGGGTCGACGCGGGCAACGAGCCCGCCTTGAGCTTCCAGTACCAGTTCAATAACGTCACTACTTTTCACAATTCCACGCTTGCCTATCTTGACGGTCACTATGCAGACCTTCCAAAGATTCTAGCTCATAATTTGGTAATTCCCAATCTTACCTAATGACATCATCTCTATACTGTACACGCTGACGATATAGATGGATGGATCATCGCTTGCCGCTCTCCCCGATATCCCTCCGTATATCACTCCCCCCACGCCCGCCGCAGAAGAGGCAAAAACGCTCTACGTGCGCTGCCAGGTCGTCGGGGAAGCCAAAACCCGCCAGTCGCTCGGCCTCACCTCGTACCGTATGATGTACTCGGGCAACTTCTCCAACATCTCCCCCCTGCCGTGGATGGGCGCGTACCATTCCTCCGAGTTACCCATGATCATGGGCACGTACGCCGATGTTGGCGGCGAGGGAACCCCGTTCCAGCACGCTACCAGTCGCGTCATGCAGGACTATTACCTTGCTTTTGCTTATGATCCGGAGAACGGAGTGGAGAGGATGGGCTGGCCGAAGTATAACGGCACTCTGCTTATGGAGTTTGGAAGATCTGATGGAGAGGGCGAGTATCCTGCTAGAGTTATCCCCGCGGCGCCTATTGAGGATGCTTGTATCGGCTGGGAGGGGAATTTGTGGTAGGAAGACAAGAACTCAATTGTGCTGGTTCTTCACTTAAACAAGTGATAAATGTTTCAATTATTTCATTCAAACTATCCAGTTGTTGGTGTTAATACTGCTGAGAATTTTCACTGTTGTTCATAGCAAGACAATAAATATGCTATAGATCCTGTTTATCTGCCGGGAAGATGATAGTCGATTTACCCACCCGTAAAGGCATGCCGTTTATTCGGGCCTGCTCCAGACCATGCAGAGGACCCGTCACGACGAGATCGCAGGGGCTGTCCGGTACGAGAAGGGAAAGGACAGTGCGGAGGAGAGTGATGATAATGCCCGTAATCATGATGACCACCCCGACGACGCTGGTGGTCGAGTCTAGACTGAACCGCCACATCTGCACGGTAGCCCAGGACTTGAGCATCGCATTTTTGTACGGCTGTTGTCGCTCCAGGCAAGCCTGCACTCTGCGTTCTGCCGCGGTGGTCACAGGGTGAGTTTCGCCCGCCGACGGCGAGGAGAGAACCAGGGGCGCTTCATAAGGTCATTTATCCTGTAAGAGAAGCTGGTGGAAGGTGAGGAGTGGAGGAAGAGGGGAGGAGATGAGTAAGATTGTGTGTGGGTACGAAGAGACGAGAGGGTTGAGCCCTAGTGATTCAAAATCGGCATTAAGCAGTGTGCATGTCGTTGACTTTGGACTTCTCATACAATCTTGTATGTATAGACCAAACATTCGGTCATGGCGCGAAGGTTATCAAGGTCTGACTGGATCTGGTTTAGCCCCCGTGGGACTAGGCCACTCCTGGCAGGCACTAAACCCAGTCGGTCATCCGGAGTAGTCAGCCGTCACATGACCATCCTCGGGCCCGACCTTCCGTTTCAGCCGGAGCCCAAACACGATCGAAACTCCCCCTCAGGCCAGCGAGTGCAGCAGCCACGAACGCGCCATGGCGCTGCAGAAACACTCGTGTACGACGTGTGCCCGGCGCAAGATCAAGTGTGACAAGCTGAGTCCCTGCTCGTCCTGCACTAAGACCCGCCGTGAGTGTGTCTATCATCCCCCGGCGCAGTCGCAGCGGCATCGCAAACGCCCCGCCGACGAGGATCTGCTGTCGAGGATTAGTGAGTACGAGGATCTGCTGAGGAAGCATCATGTTCCCTTCCAGCCATTTGATAATTCGTGGATTCCTTCGCCGTTGGAAAGACTGGTCGTCGCCACGCCGGAGCAGCCTCAGAGGGTACAGTGTCCGGCGAAAGAGGTGCAGAAAGACTTGCGGCAATCTGACGCCTCTCGTCTCTGGGGGGAATTACCAAAGGAGGTTTGTCTGGTTGCAGATGGGTTGAAAAAAAAGTCGCTAACGAGGTTTCGTTGAAAAAAAGTTACGAGATCTCTCCATAGATTCGTTCACCCGACCCAAAGATCCAGATGAAGACGCAGGCACCGCTCTGAGCTCGTCTCTGTTGATCCCGGTCACTCTCCACGAGAGGAACAGCCTGCTAGAGCGGCATCCACAGCCTCGGCATATCTTTGCGCTGTGGCAGGCCTTTGCAGAGAACGTCTGCCCGTTGGCCAAGATCGTCCACACCCCGACGCTGCAGCAGCAGATCTTCGAGACCTCGTGGCGGCTGGAGACGGCGACGCGACCGTTGGAAGCACTCCTTTTTGCCATCTACGCACTGGCGATCACCTCGACAAACACTGGGGACTGTATCCGCCTGTTTGGAGAGACCAGATCAGTTCTCCTCCATCGATATCGCTCGGCAGCCGCAGAGGCCCTCATCGCTGCGGATCTACACGCTACCAGAGATTTACAAGTCTTGCAAGCTTTTGTTTTATTCTTGGTACACCCCCTGGAAGGTACTGGAAGCAGTATATAGGGGAATGGTAATATTCATTAATCTATCTAGTTGGTCAACCCCCGCTCCGATCTGTCAGTAACATCGGTCGCCATGGCTGTCCGCATCGGACAGATGATGGGCGTGAATACAGTCGATCCTGAGATCTCCTTCTTCGAGCAAGAACTGCGTCTGCGATTGTGGTGGCAGATTCTTGAACTGGAACAGCGCGCTCGACGAAGAGTGTTTGGCCTAAGATTCAAGATGACCGAATACGTCAACTTGCCTCTTCCCACGAACCTGAACGACGCTGAACTGCATCCAAACATGGGGAAACCGAGCTTTGATGGAGTGAGAGACCGACCGACCGATATGCTATTCTGTTTGGTCAGGTCCGAAATAGTTCAGTACCTTCACGTCGAAGTTCCCATCAACGCTATCGACCTGGTTTTCTTGACGACCCCCGACGGAATGGCACAAAAGAGAAAGGCTGTGAATGAAATCCAGCGTATCATTGAGGATAAGTATCTCCTCTCGTGTGACGCTAATATCCCGTTCCATCATCTCTGCATCACTGCCGCCAGGTTGATCTTCCACCGTATTCGATTCCTGTGTTTTCATCCTCGCTCGCAACCGGAGAATGGCAAGTACATGTCTGAAGTTGAACAAGAAGAGGTTTTTGAAAGCGCTTTGCGTATCCTGCAACTTAGCACGGCCGTGCATACCACACACTACGCGAAACAGCTGCTGGAACCTCTATTCACCCGGTCGACGTTCAAGGCCTTGGTGTATGTGATAAGCGAACTGCGAGTCCGAGTGACGGGAGAGATGGCAGGCACGGCCTGGGAGATCATCCAGATGATCTATCGCGACCACTCGGCCCTATTGCTCCAGGACACGCTTTTCAATTCTACTCTGGCCGGTTTGGCTGTGCAGGCTTGGGAATGCAGACAACGCTGTGCCGGTGTCGGCGACAATGTCCCAGACTTCATTCAAGAAATAAAAAGGAAAAGTGAAAGACTCGTTTCAGCAATGATACCAGTACCAGACCTGGATCCAGGCTTCTGGGATGATCCTCTCGATTGGGTTTGCTGGAACGATCTTCAGCTATAAATTAAACATTACTATACACTCTCGAAGTCCTCCCTGGTGATGGCGCTCCTATCGCACATGGCCCTGAACTTTCCACCTCGATCATATAATTCCAGCGGCTTTCCAATCTCAAGAACCCCGCCGTCCTCAATCACCACGACACGGTCGTAGTTGATGATCGTTCGCAGGCGATGCGCAATGACCAAGACTGTCCGATCTCGGAACGCGTCCGCCATGGTTTGCTGGACCTTACTATCGCTCTCCAGATCGATGGAGCTTGTCGCTTCATCGCACACGATGATTCTCGAGTCGCGCACCAACGCTCGTGCCAGGCCCATCAACTGCCTCTGGCCGAGGGAAAAGTTTGTTCCCTCGCTTTCAACGACGGTGTCGAGTGTCACGCGGCCATCTTTGTGTTCGTCTTCATCTACTAGATTTGCCTGCCGGAGGGCATACCAGAGGTCGCCATCGCTGTGCTGGCCGAATGGGTCGAGGTTGCTCCTCACCGTGCCACGGAACAAGGTTGGATCCTGCGGGATGATCGCCAATCGAGATCGGAGATCTTTCAGTGAGATCGTACTGATGTCCACGTCGTCGATACACACGGATCCCCCGGCCAGCTCGACGAGTCGGAACAGAGCCACCATGATGCTCGACTTACCTGCTCCCGTGCGTCCGACGATACCCAGTCTCTCTCCCGCATGAATCTGGAGGTCCAGCCCGTCCAAAACGAGGGGAAGACCATCTCTGTACCGCATTTGCACGTTGTTGAAGCTGATCTGACCTTGAACCGGCCAGCTTCCGGGCAGGTTGCCGCCCTTCCCCTTGTCCGATCCCTCCCCTGTAAGACCGGTATATTCATGCACACGTTCAACGGCATTCATGTTGTTCTGTGCATCGGCAACCTGTCTCACAGCGAGCAGCAACGCCTGAGTGACAGAGACCAGATACGAAAGAACTAACCCGCTGATACTGGGCGAAACGGTGAACCGGTCAGTCACGACAAGCATGCCGGTGACAATTAAGAAGACAACGCCGATGCCGTCGATCCGAACGCCCAGCCAGCGCTGGTTACCAAACGTGAGATAATACGCCGAGTCCATTGTATCGATTGCATCGGTGAGGGTGCCCGAGAATCTGGCCTGCATACCGTACGCGCGGATCGTGGTCGTCCCCAGGACAGCCTCGTTGAACTTGGCAAAGACATTGCTGCGGAACACGGCTTCGTGGCGCTTGATCGCCAGCGCCGAGGAGCGGTAGTATGCCGCACAGACGAGATAGAAGACGCACAGCGGCACCAGCGCGACGGCAAAGTAATAGTAATATGCTATCGTCAGGATAATGATTGAGATCAACATCGACACCGTCGTGCACGCTGCGCGCAACGACTCGGTCAGATTGTTGTCCATCACGTCGATGTCCTTGGATAGCCGGTTCATGATTCGCCCTAGGGGCGTCGTGTCGAAGAAGGACATGGGCGCACACAGGATGGATTGCATTGCGCGATGCATCATCCGCTTGCTTGCTTCTGTTCCGAAGATTGTGAACCCCAGCCCGGCGAGAAGGAGGAGGATTCCTTGCGATATACCCAGGACGGCGTATACTCCGATCTACATAGTTAGCACAGTGTCTTCTTAGAGAAAGGAAACGCTTCGCCTACGTTAACTCCCAGTGGAAACCCGTAATGATTCTCAGACCACCAGGCTAGCCACAGGTTTGTCATGATATTGCAAGCCTGGGCGGTGCAGAGGACCAGAAGGACCAGCGGCGGTAGCAAGAGGGAACCGGTGGACTTGAAATAGTCGATATACACTGCGCTGGAGATGCCTTTTCTCTCCTGGCCTTCCTGTTGCATCTGTTGCTGCTTGTCTTTGACCACCTCCTGTTCCTTTCCCTTGGCTTGAGGGTGTGTAAGAGCTTCGGAATTCAGCTCCTGCGCCTGCTCCGTCACAAACGTCTGCATTATCTTATTGCTGGCCATCAGATTTTCAAAGGTGTCGCACGCGACGATCCTCCCCCGGTCCATGACGACAATTCTGTCACAGCGAGGGAGAACATGCAGCTGATGTGTGACCAGGATCCGACATTTATCCTTCATCAGACCGCAGATGGCGTGGTCCATGATATGCGCGCCGACATGGGGATCGACTGCCCCCAGGGGGTCGTCGAGAAGAACGATATCAGCATCGGAATAGACTGCCCGCGCGAGACTGACGCGTTGTTTCTGGCCTCCAGACAGGTTGATGCCGCGCTCGCCGATCTCGGTGTCGCTGCCATGCGTCAGGATCTGGAGATCGTGGCTCAGGGCGCACGCGTCCACCACGCGGTCGTATTCCTCCTGAACGAACTCCCTGCCGAAAGTGATATTATCCCGCACAGTGGCGTTCTGGATCCAGGCCACCTGGGCACTCATGGCACGCCGGCCGCGAGTCTGTAGCTGACCGGATGTGCGGCGCATTTCGCCTGACATAGCGGAGAGGAGAGACGACTTGCCAGAGCCGACGCTGCCCACGACGGCGATCAGCTCGGATGGAGATAGTTGGAGGGTGATGTTGTCGAGCGTGAACGGTTGCTGGTCCTGCTTTCTCTCCTCTGATGACGCCGCTCGCTCCCATGTAAACGAGGCATCTTGCAGATTGATAACAAGGCCATCTTTGCATTCATCAGCGACATCCATCGCGTCTTCTGCCATAAAGAACTCTTCCAGTCGTTTCAGAGACTTGGTTGCGTCCGCGACGAGCCCGATAACCATCGGAAACATGATGAGGGGAATCCGCAGCTGGTTGAAGAGAGCGAGGGAAGAGAAGGTCGTCGCGGGCGCGAGGGCATGGTTCGTCAGCGTGGAGGTGATGAAAGTCAGCATCGACGCAAACACAGGGACGGCGCTGCCCATGGCGATTGCGATGTTTCTGTGCCCTAGCAGGAACCGGATGCCGCGCACCTCCTTCCGACGCACTGCCGCCAGCCGGGCCAGGAAGTCACCTTCCCAGGCGTAATATTTGAGGAAGCGAATGGCCTGGAGCACCTCCTGCGTGAGGGTTGTGCGCTCGTCAGTCTGGGCGTTGATCTTCGCACGCCGCCGGAGGATGTTGCGCACAATGAACACCATGACTGGGACTGCGCTGAAGAAGAGAGCCAGTCCAACCAGGGCTGGATAAGACAGATTGATCAACAGCAGGATGATGGTAACGATCAGCCCCAGGGGTGCTGACCAGATCATATGGAACCAACCTGCGGCAGTGTCGATGCGCGAGGTGTCGACGGACATCAGATTGATGATGCGGCCGTTGCCCCAGGCTGTAGTTGTTCCTTTGTCTGTATCTTTTGTCTCTTCAGTGGTTTCTCCCGCCCTTGCTCGCCCTGAGATCGTCATGGCCTTGTTGAAGATCATGGCAATCAAGGACGCGCGGATCTGACCCCCGACGAGCATCCCGCGGTAGAAGAAATGATTATACCCCATACTGGCGAACACTTGCATGATGGCGATACCCACGACGAGACCGATTCCCCTGCCGATAGCTGGTCTGGGGGTGTCTGTGTCCGACAACCGGGCGTCGTAAACCTCCACGGCGTAGGCAACGACAAACCGAACCACAAAGGGGATAAGCACCTGGAGCATGCTGGAGACAAACGACGCGAGAGCGCCGACAATGATGTCCTTTTTAAAAGTTTGGAAGATGGCTCTTGCCAGAGGCCGCGAGGCTCCTTTTCCGTGGTAGGCGTGGAAGCTGGCCTGGAGTCTTGCTGCCATCTCCTGTGCACGACGGTCCGGATGGACAAGCCAGATATCGTTCACTTCAAGAGAGCGGCGATACCCGGTCTAAAGAGGTTAGAAGCAGCAAAAGCTCATTGAATAGAGGTCACTGAATACCGCTATGATGGGAGACATCCACGAGAACGTAAGCAGACTGAAGAAGCCGGCGCCATGTTCTGGATTTGGCTGTCGAGTCTCTGGGATGGGAGGTTTGCGTCCTCTCCGCAGGCGTCTCCAGATGGAGGAATCGATGCTCTTTTCCTCCATTTGCAGTTGAACAAGCAATTATTCCGTGAATATACATTGTTGGTTGGCAGGACAGGAGAAGGAGACGATTTAAATGAAAAGGTTCGGCCGCGACAAGCCAGATCGGGAAGCTCGGGCCCGAGAAAGACGGCATAACGTTTAACATCAATAATAATCAACAATTGAAGAAGGATAGTTAGTAATTGTGTATTTGTCTTACTGTATGGCTCCCTAGTGATATTTATCTAGTGGTGCTTTATTTATTACCTGTCTTGTAATATAAACACTTGCTTTTTGAGTTGAATGAAGTTCCGGTCGACGGCTGTCCAGATACCGGGTCGTGTGTGAATATCGTATCATACGACTTTGTTCTTCAAAAGAAGAGAAATATCAGTCAATGGGAATGAATGTTCATGATTTATAGATTATGAAGTAAAGGGAGAGGACTTCAGCGCTACAGACTTTCTTTAGATTACCATTCTCGCTGCCCGGGCTGGGAGTGAAACTGGCAGATGGGAATTCATATTCTCTTGCATGGGACTAGAAAGACTTTGTGGTATACCCGGCGAGCCCTGGTCCGTGTGGAATTCGTATTTTTCCCCAGCACCCGGCTGACACATCCGGAAGCACAGAAAGCGCCTGGCGAGGTCTTCGTCCTTGCGTTCAAAGCTATAGGTCTGCGAGACGCGCATAACCAGCCGGCCAGAGGGATTGAAATGAGCCTGGATGATACGGCCATGGCGGGGGCCAAAAAAGGAGAACACCTGGACCTGTTCACAGGATTAGCTGGTATTTTGAGGAAATAAGAACGAGAGAAAGAATAGAAAGAAAGAGTGAGAGGAGTTACAGGGAAGAGAGATGTTTTTTGGAATTCAGTCTGACGTAGACGGGCTTGGATTGCCTGGGCCACAGGCCCAATCTCGCCCGGCAGAAGCGCAGACTCGATGTTGTTGTCTTGGACAACAAATTCATTGGCCATGAAGAGCTGAACGTGTGGTATGGTTTTGACTATTTCAAGATCCTTGGAATAGTACTGCACAAGTTTCAAGTATTCCCAGTCTGGCATCGAAGTCTTGTTGAACGGTCTGGGGTACCATCCGTCCATTTCGTAAAAGGGATCGTCTCCCCTAGATGAAGAGGATGGTGTGAGTGGTTTAGATCTAATCAATGTAGACAGGAAGACGCACTCAATACCGTCCCAGCCAGGGATATTCCACAACCAGTCCTGGGGCTTTTTTCTTTCCAGGTAGTCATACAAGGTGTCGATCTACATGAAGATCTGGTCGGCAGCTTTCAGGGGAGTCGAGAGCAGTTTGTCTCCATCTGGTGAAAAGTCAGGGAACTCTAAGGCGCTGAGAGCCCCTTGACCTGACACTTGCGACATCTCGACGTGGTAATCGGCAATAAACTCTGTGGAACGAGGTTGGAACAGACAAGCGTACGATTCTAAGAACTCATTGTCCTCCAAGTCGAACGGAATCAGGTCCACGCCCATATTCTGGAGCTCTAGTGAGGAGAAGGTCTCTTTGTCCCCGGCAGAGATTTCGTCCATCAGAGATTCTACCGCAGCCTCATATTTGGCGCGCAGTTCCGCTTGTCGCCGCGTTTTCCCTCCCCGAGTAGTAATCATGGGAGGAGAAATGGAGAGTGAAAACGGGGCAGGATGGTATATCAACAGATATCAAGAGGAGGTGATGGAATGAGATGGAATGAGAAGAAGAAGAAGGAGAGTAGGAGATGAGATGATGATGAAGTTGTTGTTTTGCTGCTGAACCCTGGATGTGCTTCTGCTTTAGGACTAGACCGGGGTTGTTGTAGCCTGAGGCACATATCTCTGGCCCTCTATCAGAATAAGGCATCAAGGCAGCGATATTGTTTTTGGGTTCTACAATCCAACAGATGAAGTAGCATGGAATTAACAAGGCTAATCTCATCATATGGCTCTAGGTGTCATCAAATCATGCCCTTCTTATTGTCGATTGCTATCATTCCCTATGATCTCAACAGCCTTTCTAGTATTCTTATTGGTTGTACTCCATAAAGTGAGTAAGCCTGATGCATGAGTAGGAAGATATCGATAAATAATAGTCCAGTCTAGATAAATCCGTATATCCGGCTCTGTTATCTGCCATCTTGTACATTCTTCTTGTTATATTCTATACCACAGCTACTATTTGGTAGCATTATACAAGCATTATACAAGCATTATATCCAATATCATACTCTAGCGATACTACTCTAGAGATCTCCTTGAATAATTGACATATTTATTGTCATCATCAATTGTTCTCTTAGCTTATTTGATTAGTCTCACTATTCTAACCCCTCCTATCTGCCCCTCTCCGATCCTTCACTCTTCTCTTCTCCTTCCTTCCTTTCTTTCTTTCTTTCTTTCTTTCTTCTTCTCTTCTTCTTCTTCCTCTTCATCTGTCTCAATGAACAGTCTCGACAGCCTCCCGGGGACTCTCCCCCGCGCCGTCATCCCCGACAATCTCGACCTCGCTGCCTCCGTCTCTGCTGTCCTCACCAACTTCCCCGCCCTGACAGCCGCCCAATTCACCCCCGATGCCATCTGGCGCGACTCGTTCGCCCTGACCGGTACGTTTCGCACAATCGCGGGCGTCGAGAAGATCCTCACGGCCTGGAACGCGACCTCGTCTGCCCACTCCCCGCGCGACTTTGTCTTGATCCCGCCCTCGCTGCACGTCGCCCGACACGACGAGTACGCGTGGATCGACGCCCGCTTTCAATTCACCACACACGGGGCTCTCTGTTCGGGGGGATTGTCGCTGGTGCCTGCTGCGGACGGCTCGCTCAAGATCTGGGTGCTCACGACGATCCTCGAGAACCTGACGGGCGCGGGGAGTGGGAATGTCGACGTCTTGGCCGCGGGGGTTCCTGCGCCGATATCTTCTTCTCCGGATACCTTTGACGTCGTGGTTGTTGGGGGTGGCCAGTCGGGCCTGGCGGTCGGAGGGCGATTACATGCGCTGGGGATTTCGTACGTGGTGATCGATAAATATCTCGAGGTGGGAGATTCGTGGAAGACTCGCTACGACTCGACGAAACGTGAGTATTAGCTAGACCCCTGTTGTAAGGACGTACTAACGATACAGTTCATACACTGAGGGATTATTGTACGTCTCTCAGCTAGCAAACGTCCAGAAAAACACTAATTGAAGCCCATCTCCCCTTTGAAAAAACATTCGACGCCAGCTATCCCCAGTGGCTGACCAAAGACGATCTCGCGCGCGGGTTCAAGGCGTGGACGGACAAGTTCAACATCGTGAGTCTCGACTCTCGACTGTCTACGTCTGTCTAACGGTCCAGAACGTCTGGACACGCTCGCCGCTCAAGTCGTGTACGTGGAACGACAACCTCTGGACGCTTAACATCGAACGCCACGGCGAGCCTCGGTCCCTCACAGCCAAGCATGTTGTTTTCGCCATTGGGACATGCCAGATCCCTTATATGCCTGACTATGCAGACAAGGTAGGTCTCTCCTCTTTGTATTTATGGAAATATTCGGTTCTCAGATGCCAAGCACCTCTTCAATGGAACCATCCTCCATTCCGCAGAATACAAGTCCCCCGCCGCGTGGAAGGGCAAGAAGGGAGTTGTCATCGGCACGGCCAACACAGGCCACGATGTCGCCGTCGACATGGTAAACGCCGGCTTGGAATCCGTGACCATGGTCCAGCGCAGCCAGACTTGTAAGATCAAGCAGTCGTATGTGGGTATTTTCCACCAGCTAACTAATGGTTTAGGGGTTCTTCCACAAGAGAACTACGCCAGACTCAACGAACGTACGTATACACAAGAAGGCAGGATAATTATCATATGCTCACTATCAAGCCCTTTATAACGCCCACATGCCCACCGAGCTGGCCGACCGACTCTTCTTCAGCCTCCCGCTAGGAGTCACCCGCCAACTGCTACTCTACTTTCTGAACATCCTCACGGACACGCAGCGGGAGAGGTTCGACGCCCTCGAAGCAAGAGGGTTCAAGCTCCAGCGCTACGGCGATCTCATCTACGCCCTCTACGAACGGTTTGGCGGGCATTACATGGACGTCGGCTCGTCGGAGCTGATCATCCAAGGCCGCATCACCATGCAGCCGTGCCTCCCCACAGCGTTCACGCCCGACGGCCTCCTTCTACAAGACGGGTCCATCCTCCCTGCTGATCTGGTCGTCTTCGCGACCGGATTCCACGGAAATCTGCGTACAGCCGTGGGCACGTTCGTCGGGCAGGACATCCACGCCCAGCTGAGTGATTTCTTGGGCGTCGATGACGAGGGCGAGCTCCGCGGCGCCTGGAAATTCACAGGCCGTACGTTCTTCCCTTCCATCTTTGTTTTGTCTACGAGATGCTAATTGTTTAGATCCTAAATTGTGGTATTCCGGTTACGATCTGGGCTCGGCTCGTTACTTTTCCCGCTTCATCGCTTTGCAGATCAAGGCAGATCTGCTGGGCAGGCCTTTGGACAGATACGAGATCAGACTGTAGATATAGACAAGTATATAGGAGTATAAGTATAGTACAATACATTCAGACTAACTATACTGACACTACTATACTGGAGCTATGTATCACGACGTAGCAATGCACTGGTAGTAGTACGCGTTGTACGAGTAGCATGACGCTCCGCTGGCACACGCCGTAGCACCGCTCCAGTTGACGCCGCCGCACTGGCCGTACATTGACTGCGTGTCGGAGCTGGAGCTAGAGCCCGCCACCGCCGCGGTGGTCGGCGCAGGGGTCGTTGCGGCCACGGCGGCGGCGGCAGTCGACGACGCAACGTACGAGTCGGCGCTGGAGTCGCCAGAATCATCATCATCATCATCGTCATCGTCGTCATCGTCGTCGTCGTCGTCACCGTCATCGCAGTCACTATCATCACCGTCATCACCGTCGTCGCCATCGTCACCAGCAGCAGAAGAAGAAGCCGGGGCGGCAGCGCTGGTGCTGGCAACAGTGGCAGTCACAAAGGTGGTGGGCGCAGCAGTGATAGACACGACCGAGGCAGCTGCAGCAGCAGAGGTATCAGCGGCAGCGGTATCAGCAGCGGCGACAGCAGCAGCAGTGGTCGAGACAGCGGCAGCAGCAGTGGTAGCAGCGGCGGCAGCAGTAGCGGAGCTATCGTCGGCGGTGGTGGCATTGCCGTAGGAGGTGATGGAAGAGCTGCTCTGGGAGACGGAGACGGCGCCGCTAATGAGAGTCGGACCAGGCATCTCGTAGGTGGTCAACGTGCTGTAGATGTCGATGTACAGGCCCGGATCGGTGGACTGGTACAGCTCTGTTCCCAGAGTGCCGGTCGGGCTCAGGGTTCCCGTGCCGGTGACCTTGAGGTTGAAGCACTGCGGGTAGTTCTGGGCGCCGTCCAGCTCCTCGGCGCTGTGGAGGGCGATGATCTCGTGGCGCAGGACGTAGTTGCCCGCCGCCAGCTCCGGGGGGATCTCGACCAGCCAGCTGGAGTCGTTGTCAATGAGCTCGTCGTCGCCCCAGTAGCCGGGAACGTCGGTGTCGTTCACCAGGCCCACCCCGTCGATGCGGAAGAACTCGAGCGTCGTCTTGTCGACCGTGCTGCAGTCGTCGCCGCAGTTGGCCAGGTAGTCTAGCACGGGGCCGTGGTGGCTGTCCGGCCACGCGGTCCACTGGATGTTGATCTTGTCGCCGGCGCCCACCACCGCGTAGCCCTTGGCATTGGTCGCGTTCTCGTGGCAGATGATGTTGGGCTCAGCGTACTCGCTGGGCGGGATGTAGCCGTTGCCCGTGTTGGGCGTCGTCCAGCCGACCACGACCGGCGGATCGTCCTCGTAGGGGAACACGTCGATGTCGAAGCCCTCGTAGTAGACGCCGTTGATGACGATGTTGGTGACATGGCCGTGGGCGGCCACGGACGCGGCGGACAGAAGAGCGGTCCACAGCGCGGTGGTAGTGGTGGTAGTAAGCTGCATCTTGAATTCAGATGAATCGGATGAATTGAAGACTGATTGAATGCTGATTCAAGAGTGAAAGAGTATAGAAAAGATGCGACCAGTCGCGAAAGAAGGGAATGCACTCAGTCAATGAGCGACAGAAAGGAATGGAAGAATGAGTGAAAAGAAAGAAGACAGAACAACAATTTTTGGTGCAAACAGCGGTCTCAGCAGACTCACTCCATCTTCCTTTTATGTCTTGCCTGCCTTCATCGTCTCCAACTTGTGTAGTTTCATCAGAAATCTAGATGAGACGCCGCCTCCACGCGTGGTTGGCCAGGCGGTTTGGCCTTAATTGCTCGGCGTTTAGAGACGTCGGCGTGTTTCAGAATGCGATGGCAGTGGAGAATAATAGAATCACATATAAGGCCCTGCAGAGACTTGATTCCTGCCTTTTCTATTAGAGACAGACAATGACATGGATCAATTAAACTCAGACCCTCAGGGTCTAGAGAATACAGGTCCATCCATGTAGTAGTAATGAATAGCAGCAATTATCCACAATCCTACCAATTATTAGCAACTACACAACTATTGTACAGCATAATAATAAACGCATGATGAAAGAATAATCAGAAATGTACTTAACATCCTTTCTTCTTCTCTTTGTCTGCCATTTTGTAGTGATTTTCGTAAAAGTACTCCGTATGCCTGAGATCGCAGTGGACCACCAGAAGCTGAAACAACTCCTCGTCACCGGCTAATTTCTGACTGAAGACATGTCAACAAGCCTTCCTGGACTCCTGGCCCTTAATATATGGTCATTTGATGGCCGTTTCATCGTTCTTTGGGCTACATTTGACGCTGGCCGACAGTCGCTGGAGCGGTGCCTCGGTCTTCTGCTTGGTGGAAATCGGCTCTGGTTTATCTAGAAAATGTATCGTCAAGCTCAAAATACACTATAACCATCCCGAAGGAAGCATGTCAGAAGGATCGAAGCAGCGAAGAGAGTGAGAAGAGAAGGAGGGACGAGAGAGAAGAGGAGAGAGAGAAAGAAGGGAAAAGACTCGGATGTCGAATGGTCCGATTGCCGAGTATAGCAACATCAATAGTTCTACTACTGGTCAGAAGAATTATAATGGACATGGGATTATTCTTGAAGGCTCAATTTCTGGCTGGGAGGAATGGTGTATCACAATATCTATATTATCTACTAGCCCACAAGTATGTGGAGTATACAGGAATGTTGAAGGTTTGTATTAGTGCAATACTATATACAAGGCTAGAAATTCATCTACAGAAAGTCCTTGCCATGAGGCCCATCTTGAAAAGGAACGATTAAAGGTAGATATTGGTGGAAAAAGAAAAATGCATTCTCATAGACAACTTCTGGGATCCCGGGTAAGCACTCTCTTAGATCAGGTAGATCATGGCGGAGACAATAGCAGCCACCGAGGCAAACACGCCGGCCACAGCCTGTAACCGGGCGGCAGCGCCGGTGTACACCGGTGAGGCGGGAGAAGAGCTCGTGGCATTGGTGTACGCGCTGCTGCTGGCCTTGGCACTGCTCGAAGCGAACACGCCACTTGCCGAGCCAGTGGGCGTGTAGCCGCCGACCCTGGTGGTAAAGGTGGAGGCCTGGGCAGCGCCAGCACCGCTCTCTGCAGAGACGCCAGAGGAGTCAGAAGAGCCAGAGCCAGATGAGCTAGAGCCAGATGAGCCAGAGCCAGATGAGCCAGAGTTGGAAGAGCTAGAGCCAGACACAGAGCCGGAGCTGGAACCGGAGCTAGAGCTAGGGTTGGAACCAGAGCTAGAACCAGAGCCAGAGCTAGACTCGGAGCCAGAAACAGAGCCAGAGCTGGAGCTGGAGCTGGAGCTGGAGCTGGAGTTGGAACCAGAGCTAGAACCGGAGCTGAAGCCGGAGCTGAAGCCGGAGCTGGAGCCGGAGCTGGAGCCAGAGCTGGAGCCGGAGCTGGAGCCAGAGCTGGAGCCGGAGCTGGAGCCGGAGCTGGAGCCAGAGGAGCCAGAGGAACTGGAGCTGGAGCTGGAGCCCGAGCTAGAGCTAGAGCCAGAGCCAGAGCCAGAGCCAGAGCCAGAGCCAGAAGAACCGGAACCAGAGCTAGAATCCGAGCCGGAACCAGAGGAACCAGAGGAACCAGAGGAGCCAGAAGAACCGGTGGCCGATGCAGTCTCAGTAGCAGTGACCGGGCAGACAGTGGTGGAGACCACGAGCGTCTCAGTAGTAAGGTAGGTGGTCTTGGCACTAGCCGGGCAATCCGTGACCCAAGCGGGGCAAGCGGTGATAGTCGAGGTGCGGGTGGTAAGGATGGTAGAAGTGGTGCTCTCCGGACCCGGGGCAGCGGTGACCATGGTGGTCGGAACGGCAGATGCGGACTCGGCGGCAGTGACGGGGCAGACGGTGGTGGATACAACCAGGGTCTCGGTGGTCAGGTAGGTGCTCTTGGCCGAGGCGGGACAGTCGGTGACGGTCTCGGGGCAGGCGGTGATGGTGGCGGTACGGGTGCTCAGGATGGTGGAAGTAGTCATCTGCTGTTGCTGAGAGACAGTGGTAGTGGCACCACCGGCACCACCGGCACCGGCACCAGTACGAGTACCAGTATGGCCACCTGCACCGGCACTGGCACCAGCACGGGTATTGGTATGGCCGCCGGCACCAGCACCTCCACCTTTGGGGAAGGTAGACGAGGCACCACCGTGGGGACCGCCTTTGCCGGTAGGAGAACGCTGGGCAGATGCAGGGATGGTGTTGTGAGGGATGCCAGTATGGCGGGTAACAGTAGGACCGCCAGCACCAGCAGCACTGCCGGTAGCAGAGGTCTGAGCAGAAGTAGCAGTGTTGGTGTTACCGGTTGGCTGAGAACCAGAACCGCCAGCTCCGCCGGTAGAAGAGGTCTGGGCAGACGAAGCAGCAGTTTGAGCGTTTCCAGTCGACTGAGCACCAGGGGCACCAGAAGAAGCAGCAGTCTGGGCATTTCCAGACGACTGAGCACCAGGAGGACCGCTAGAAGCAGCAGCAGAAGTCGAAGGACGAGAAGCAGCGCCGCCAGAGCTAGACGCCTGAGCGGCAGAGGAGGAAGAAGAAATTGTCTGAGGGTTCGCCGGGGTGGAAGACGAAGCACCACTGCTGCTGACGGGGGGGACGCTGGAGGACGCTTTCACGGGCTGGGAGCTGGCGACGACGGAAGCCGACGAGACACCACCGTTGGGGATGCTCGAGGAGGAAGCAGCCGGCCGAGAGGAGACAGAGGCAACCGAGGAAGAGAAGGCAGCAGAAGATGAGGCAGCGGAGGAGGGAAGGGGTGTACGGGAGGGAGCCAGACTGGCAGGTGAGCCAATGGGACGTCTGGTATAGGTGGAAGAAGCAGCAGCCGAAGAAGAGGGGGAGGCCTCGACGGCAGAGGAAGAGGCACCTCCAGCAGGAGCAGCGACGGACGACGAGGCCACGGAAGAGGCAGCGCCCGAGGAAGAAGCACCACCGACAGGGGTGCTGGAGGCGATCAGGGCACTGCTGCTGCTCGCGGCGACGACTGGGGTGAGTTTGGCACCCATGATCTGGGCCGTGGCGTCGCTGATATCATCGCTGGAACAGGTGAGGAAGTAGGCAAAGTCGACAGACGTGGTAGACGGGGTGAGCTGGCCGGTGAGAACGGTCCAGGCACCGTTGGAGGTCGAGTCGAGCGAGCCGGTAATCAGGACACTGTTTGAGTCCTGGTCGTCGACTTCCAGCGTGCAGCTCACGAGCGAGCTGCCGGTGGTGGCCACGTTCCACTCGACCGTGTAGATGTAGGGGACGCCGGCGGTGACGGGGCTGATGCTCTGAGACAACGAACTGGCCTGCATAAAAGAGCCGGGGATGTTCCTGGAGGAGAAAAAGAGGAGGAGGAGGAGGAGATCAGTTCAGCACGTGAGCTGGGGGGTGGTGACTTCCCAATAGGGATGTAGGGCTAGAAATCGAGGGCTGGGGTATCACATGATGACTCACATGATGATATTGCCGTCCGCATCTTCAGTCGTGGTGGGGAGAGTTACGCTGCTGACGAGCACAGGGCCCGCCACCGCGAGGAAGGCGACCCAAGAACGAGGGAACATGATCGAGAGATCAAGAGAAGAGAAGAGAAGATCAGAGAAGAAAAGAAGGAAACAAAAGAGTGTGAAGGGAGTGTCCGGGCAGAGAGCGAGCCCTGGGAAGAACGAATGGATCGAGCACAACCGGCTCAGACAGACAGGAAGTTGATGGCCCACTGTCTCGCCAACAGCCTTTGCTGCCTCGGGGGCACTTATATAGGTAAGTATTGCCCGTGGACTCCCAGGGAGAAGAGTCTTGGCTAACCAAGCTCTCCTTGGTATTTAGGAGTCCTCCTCTCCTACCATGTACGAACCGAGGAACGACGACCGGGGTGGCCGACCCGAGCCACCACCGCAGGCAGTGGATATCTACGTTCAATAGTCTCGTCGGGGGCCTGCCATGGGCTGGTCGTCGGGACAAGTGACTCTACTTTCAGCAAGTCCAGCACGGAGGGAGGCCGCCAGTTAGGTGTACAGAGCTCTCGTCGGCCAAAGATACCTGCTCTCACCAGAGCCAAGGAGCGAAAGATGCCTCGCCAGAGCCAAGAGGGGACTCATCTCTCGCGAGGGGAGATTATTGTCTGGGCATTCTCTCTACGGTGGGCTAGGAACTCGCTCTGTAGTGGGCTACGCACTCTCTGCAGTGGACTCTCGTATTAGAGTGTCTGACCACGCCGTGGTAGAGTGCATCCTGGCCAGAGAACGCTCGCGTCAAATTCCCTGTGCCTGGTAGAATCGGTGGGGCCCAGGGTCCAGTCCCTGAAGAACTTGATCCCTTTGGCTGGAATTGGCTGGTTTTAGGCAGGCTTTTACGAGTAATTAGTTAGTATTTAGTTCCTTTTAGCCACTGTTTAGTAGTCTTATTGACCAAGCTTATTTGGATTAGTGCGTGGGGCAGACCCTGAACGGTGGAGCTCAATCAACAGTCAGTAGTAAGTATAGGTAGAGTGTTCAGCTATGGAATAGATAAATATTGAGAGAACAATATCAGGTATATCTATTAAGAATATGAATAAGGTTCGATAAGAATATCAATAGAATATATATAAGAAGAAAATATAGGGTTGATTATCAACGTATCTAATTGACAGTCATGGTGACTATACTCCGTACTATACTGATTATTATCTACTATAGAGGGTACCTAGGTAAACATCCAAGGCACAAAAAGTATAATCAACTATACATGAATAGTAATTCATCACAACTGGTTCAAAAGGGCATCTCCGAGGGGCTACTCCAATCGGACACACAGGATACAGCAACTATGATTAAAGTAAACTCTAACAGTCCACAAGATACTAAATAAAGCTGTCCCTGCGGACACGCTCGGACACGCTCAGACACCCTGCTCGGCAGTATTTGCCCGTTGCTGAGAACGTGGTACCAAGTCCTTGGCACCGGGGGCAGGCATGCTTGGCAGGGACCGGAGAAGTGAGAGGACAAACAACAAGCGGCTGTCGTGGCGGAGACGCCGGATGATGACAGCTGGAGAGGGTCCTCGAGAAAAATAAAAAAAGTAAAAAAAATAAGGCAACCAAAGAAAAAAGCTTCCCCCCCTACACACTTGGCTAATACCCAGCCTTGGCGTCCAGGAAACCACAGGCTCCGTTGCCGATAGTGTAGGTGGGCCCGCCGGTGGTGTAGTAGTGGAAGACATCGCCGAAGGAGTTGGTACCATCGCACCGGCCGTCGGATTTCAGGTAGTAGCAGTATCCCGCGGGGCTCTGAGCCCAGCCGGTACAGTCGTCCGTGTTGGCACAGATCACGCAGCAGCTGTAGCCCGTGGTGTCCGTGGTGACGGCCGACAGCATGGTGAAGGCGCTGTTGAAGGAGATGTAACCGATCTCCTGGCCCAGATAGCTGTCAATGCGGTTGTCGGTGTCACACTGGGCGTAGAAGGTCGCCGAGGGGGCGTCCACGGTCACAGTGCTGGTCGTGGTGGTGGTTGTGCTGGACGTCGAGGTCACCGTCGTGGAGACGGTGACGGGGACAGTCACGATAGTCTGCCTTGTTAGTTTCAAGAAAGGGGGAAACCTAACAAGGGGAAAGGGGACTTACAGTGGCATCCGCAAGGGTGGAGGTGCTGGTGACAGTGGCGGTCTCACTGACGGTGGTCCAGGCGGTGATGGGGGCGACGGTGGTAGTGACGGAGCTGGACAGGGTGGTGGTGAGGCTAAGAGTGACATAGTCGGTGACAAGGGTCTCGCAGACAATGGCCGAGGGATAATGGGTCGAGCTGGCCGTCACGGTGCCGACAGCAGGCGCATTGGCAGTGCTCGTGGCCGCGCGATCAGCCAGCTCCCGCTTCGCGTGGTAGCCCAGCTCGCTGGCAATCGCGGTGAATCCCGCAGGCGTGGCGATGGTCGTCGTCGATGAGATGGTCACCGTTGTCGACGTCGTCACCGTCTGCGTGAACGAATCAATCTCGGTGGCCGTCTCCGTCACCGTCGCCGTGTGCGAGGTTGTGTACACGTCGGTGGTCTGCGTATCAACCACATCCACCTCGGTCGACGTCGTGGTCACCGTGCTGGTCACCGGCGCCGGCGTCAGCGTCACCGTCGGCGTCTCAGTCAGATGCAGGATCAGCTCGCTCGCCGTCGTCAACCCCCAGCCGGTAGACTTGGGGCTGGCCACCGAGGTCGACGCATACGCCGTCGAGCAGAAAATCTCGGTCGTCGCCGTCGCGGCGTACGCCGTGCCGGCCAGGGCGAGGGGGGTCAGGAAACGCATGGCGAAAAGACTTGACAGAAGGAGAAATCAATTAGCAGCCTGATAGCCAAAGTGATATAGCAGGTAAAGGGATGCTCCCGTAGCTCAGCAATGCCCCTCCACCGTCGTACTGGTCGCCTTATATAGCGTTGCCCCTCTGCCTCCTCTTCCCAGTCCCTGAAGCGAAGAGGCCCAGTCTCTCGCCTCGGCTACAATAGCAGCCCCCAAACCCGCAAGCAAACCCAGCGGAGACCCTTTTCTTGGCCTTTTAAATTCGATACGGACGCCACAGATCCGCCGGAAAAGCTATCGAACCTTGTGTTCACCCCCGAACCGCCTGTCGCTTGTCGTAGCCTCGAGTGTTGCAGAGCGAGAGTCGGAAATTCTCCTCTCCAGCAATGCCCAGGCCCAAAGCGAACAGGAGCCAGCACGTGAGGGCAGCGGGGGATATAAGGCACGCGGAAGGCGCTTTCTTTCTTCCGACCGGCTTTTCACCAGCACAAAACAGCAGCAAGAATCATCTCTCCTCGCTACCACCACCCGCTGCTCATCAGGAAAGATGCGTCTGGGTGCGGGCATCGTGGCAGGGCTCGTGCCGGCCCTGGCGCTGGCCTCGAAGTCACGGCTGAAGGCCGCGGTGCATCCTGAGATGGACACGACGGACCTGGCTCGGCTGGAGTCGAACGGGTCGGCGTCGCTGTTCTACGTGAAGAATGGAAAGCTGAGTACGTTAGAGAGAGAGAGAGGGGGGGAGGGGGGGAGTGCTGACGTTGTTTTGTAGGCGAAGGAACGCAGCTTGCCGCCCACCTGGAGGCCGAGTTCCACCACCACACGGTGATTCTGGACCATTCAGCGGCCATCGCAAACGTGTCGTGCTATACAAACCACATGATGGTGACTTTCACGGGTCAGAAGGCGTTTGATCGGGCGCAGTCGAACTGGACGCGCGATGACGAGCTGATTCTGGTCAGTTCGCAGTCGGGGTGCCACCCGCTTCACGAGGGTCAGTACGGGTATTTCAATGCGACTTCGATCAGCTTCACGTCGAAAAACCTCACTGCCATTGCGACCGGTAGCCAGTCGTCGGTTCGTGACGCGGTCAATGTCTACAATCTCTCGTGGGGGAACTACACCTCCAGTTCCAATACCACTTCCTCGACGGCCTCAGCAGCGTCCACGTCCGCGTCCGCCTCTGCGGCCGCTGTGAAGCGTGCCACGACGTGTGGCGCGCTGCCCGCGACAATCCCCTCCAATCTGCCTCAGTTGATCAAGTCGCTGGGTTGTGGCACGGGATTTGACGCGGCCATGGACGACTATTTGACTTACATCGGCGATGACTCCAATCTGGACGCCGCTCTCGCTGCCTTCGCGCCCGGGGTCTCTGGTCTGACCGTGGAGGCCTATGAGGCTGCCACCGGTACCACTCTGCGGAAACGTGGCTGGTTTAGCGATGTCTGTGATTGGGTTGATGACAACATTGTCGAGCCTGTGGTGGACGCCGTCGTGGATGTCGTCGAAACCGTGGTTGAGGTCGTCGAGGTGCTCTCCGAGGCCGCCGAGGAGGCTGTCGAGGCGATCAAGGAGGCTGCCGAGGCCATTCTCCCCAGCTGGAGTCCCTCGGTCTCCTTCACTATTCCGGTGGACATGTCCGCCCCCAGTGCCATGCTGGATGACTCCCCTTGGGGTGACGCCTACCAGATCTGGTCATTCGAAGATGGCGAGAGTGATGTCAACTACGGCATCAACGCCGAAACTCTGGCCAAGTTGACAGGTGCCGATGAGCTTATCGTCTTTGACATCGATGGCGTCACCCAGATGCCCAATCCTGGCGTCCAGCTGTACTGTGTCGACTGCTATGTCACCGGCTCCTTCACCGTCACGGGTTCCGTCACCTACACCCTGCTGGTGGGCTTCACCGAGATGTCGCTCGACCTTGCGGGTAGCCTGAAGGCCAGCATCCAGCTCGGTCTCAATGCTTACGCCGAGTACGAGGACGATATCGCCTCGGTGCGCCTGTTGACCATCCCCATCGACGGCTTCGACATCCCGGAGATCATCGATGTGGGCCCGGCCATCACTCTCGACGTCGATGCCACCGTGGAGATCGACGCCCTGGGTCAGGTTCTGGCGGGTGCCATCCTCGAATGGTCCAACATGGGCGCCCATTTGGACGTCTATGACATCCTTGACACTACTGGCCATGGTTTTGCCCCGCAGGTCACCCCCGTCTTCAACGCCTCGGGCCAGCTGAACGCCACGGCGTCTGTCGGTATCCCCGTCGGCTTCGGTATCGAAATTGACATCCTCGATGGCGAGTGGACGAAGGAGATTGCCCTTGTTGACCGCCCAGCCCTGGAGCTGGTCGCCATCTACACTGTCGACGTTGACACCTCGGGCGTCACCGTCGATACCGACGGCTGTGACGGGATCTACTGGTATGTCAACTTTATTAACGAGCTCATGTTCGAGCTGCTTGACGAGGACCACGAATACGATATTGGCACCTGGGAAGGACCCGCCTTCCTGTCTGGTTGCATCGGCGACAACGGTCAGTCCTGGGTCTCGGAGTCTCAAGAGCCAACTGCAGACGACGAGACCCTCGCCGGCTGTACCCTCGTCAACGATCTGATCACCAATAACGGTTTCGACACCATCACCGACTCGGAAGTTCTGCCGTGGCGTAACACCCAGTCCTCTGGCACCTACATGTACGTCGAGGAGGATGATTACACCAGCTCGGCGCCGTACTCCATGTAAGATCCCCTCCCATTTTTTGAAAATAAAATAGGTTCCCTGCTGACAGAACAGGCGCTTCTACGCCTCCGACATGGATGATACCCAAACTTATACTGGAACAGTCCTCCAGCAAGTTACCGCTTGCACGTAAGTTTTATTATTATTATTATTTTTTCTCAAACCCCCTCGTAGCAACATGGCCCGGCTGACATTCTCTTTTTCCCTTCAGTGACGCCCAATACGATGTGACCTTTACGGCGCGGGTGGTTGACTGCGGCACTGGCGTTTGCGAGCTGACCAGCATCACCGTTTGGAGCGACACCAATGCCGAGCTCGACGTTAGCGTGTACCCCAACTTGTACATCGCTGCTGAGACAGGCACACAGCAGATGAACACCTACGGGCCATACGACTTTACCATACCCTCCTTCAACAACGACGCCAGCGAGTCCGTCTACGTCGGTATCACCTTTACCGCCCAGTACACCCAGTCGTGGGATATCCGTATCGACGACGTGCATGTCAAACCTGACGGTAGCGACTACAGCAACAAGAAGCGTGATGATGTGGCTGAGGAGGGAGATGGCCGGTCCGGCACATTGGTCCGTCGCCATGTCGGCGAGCTGGACGTCAACCGCCGTGTCTATGAGGGTAACACCCCTGTGGAGCGCAGCCACATCAAGCGTGATAGCAGCGTCGATGCTATCCCCGTCATCGCTAGTGGAACCGCCATTCCCGCCATCGGAGTTGAGACGGCCGCACCGGCCATTGGCGACTTCTACAGCACCGCCATCCCGACTCTCACCGGCGCTGGCGCAGCTCCCGCGGTCACGGCCGACTACGCAGCGCCCAGCCTTGCGTACGTGAGCGAGGCTGTAACTGGCACTGTGGCGGCCACGGCGGACCCGACCGCCGTAGCGTCACTGATCGGGCCCTGCAATTACGACTTCCCCGCCAGCTCGGTGCTGATGGCCTCGGCCACCGTGGGCAGCTATCCAATGCTGCCGACTTCGGGTGCCACCACCGACACCGACGGCTACACACAGCTGCCCGACCTCTCCGGGACCGTTCAGCTGGCCGCTGCTGACGACGGCAATCTGTACCTCAGCCCGTATCCGGGCACGGAGCCGGAAACCCTGTTCTTCAGCAAGGGCTCGGTCATTCTCCAGGACACGAGCAGCCGCAGTTTCCATTACTACCCAGACACCATGGATGCGTATGGCGTATCGCGCCTCCGTATCGCCGACCTGGCCGACACCCCGCTCACCGCGCAGCTCATCACCCTCGTGCCCTTCTCGACCTCAGCAGGCACAGCCTACGCTGCCCTCGACACGCTGGGCCAGGTCTTTGTGCTTTCCTGGTGTAATGCTGCGGATTGGTTGGGCGCCAAGGTCTTCCTGACTCGCGACTACTCCACCACCCTTGAAACCCTTGCCAGTGCTGACGTCCAGTGGATCGTCACCGGTGACGAGGTGACCGAGTGCTATCCTTTGCTTCTCACCAGCGACGCAGCTACATTCTAATCACTCCTTCTTTCTTTCTTTCTTTCTTTCTTTCTTTCCTTCGATCTTTTGTATTACTCTAAACATCTTGCCCCTTGCATACTCCCATTTGTTTACCATCTATATATATATGTATATATATATATCTTTCTCTTTATTTTCTTCTTCTCTCTAACATCTTTCTATTCCTTCTTCCTTATTTGTTCTATAGAAATTCTGATCAGCTTCTAACAATAATAAAATCCATCTAATAAATAGTAATTCTATAGTGTTCCTTTTCTTTGCTAATTAAATGTCTCTTGAGTAATAGTATAGGTCTACATCTCTTATTATTATTAATAGTATATCATCTTTTTATACCTGTCTTTCCAGCACCACAGCTTCACTCTTAAGGTGATTATATATATTTACTTCTATAGTAAAGTGATTAGCCCAATGCTGGTAAGGTGAAGTTAACAGATAATATATAATAAAGGTATATTAAACTAATAGTTACTATCTATATATAATATTATTAATTGATGATTAATGTCCTACGGGTTTTAGTGGTGATAAGTGGCTCAACCAGGATCAGGAATGCTTGGATTTATTTAGTAAAGGGACTTGAATACTTTGAAATTAAGAGGTAATTACTTGAGAAAAGTGAAATAATAATAAATACCTGACAGTTAATTTGTTATATTCCATAGTAGGGAGTTGACAGTCAGATTATATCATTGGTGAATCGTGTAGTCTCTTGGACAATCCAATTGTTACACCAGACTAGATCGAGACAAGGAATTTATCAGTGTGCTCCAATATAAGAGGTACTCCGTATGCCTACATTCCCAGAATATGACGCACCAGTAAGCCGTGATCGATTCGGACTCTCTTGTGTGATCGATCTGAACCGTGGGTCTCTCGATCAACCGATCAGGACGCAACGATCGAGACACATCGAGACAATCGATCGAGACAGAGTTTCACTTTGCCCATCCAAGCAAATCAGCGTGTTTCGATTTTGTGATCGATCTGAACCCTGATCGAGATTGATCGATTCTCTGATCGATCTGAACCTTGATCGAGATCGAAGGTAGGGATCGAAAATATGAAGTAGTGATCGAACAGAAAGAATGGTTATACTCAAAAACGTGGGCTCCACTTAACTATATCGCGCGTTCCGGCCGTTTAAATGGTTCATGCATGTCATTTAGAATTAATTGACTCGTCCAAAATAGAAAGAAAATATATACGCCACGCTCGAAAGCACCCTCTGCTATTTACTCTGATCGCCTAGCAGCGGATCGGTCGCCTGGGGCGTCTCTCCACGACTGACTGCTTCTTGGGCCCCCCTTTTCCGGAGGTATCCCACGTCGATCCGATGGAGGAGGTACGTCATGGCGATGGTCAACAGCAACAAGAGAAATGCACTCTCCCAGCCGTACCGGTAGTATGGCGCCTGCGAGGCCGGCCAGAGCAAGACCTGCGACCAGGCCGAGACGGCGTAATACCCCGCAACCGACACCCCGACGATCAACGAGCGGGCTTCGGGGTCTTGGGGGAGGAGATCCGATACCCATGATAGAATGAGCGGGGCGGTGCCAAGACAGGTATACGAGATGAAGTAGGAGGCGTATGCACCCGAGATGGCCATGGACAACGGGTGAGACGTCCATATACTCATCACGATACAGGGGATGATTCCGATGCACGCTTGGATAACGATGAGTCTCCAGCGGGTCTGCAGGACATCGGATAGGATGGCCCAGATCCAGACGAAGACGACGTTGATGGCCGATCCGGCGATCGGGATCGAGTTCACCTGCGACACGCTCCACCGCGGGCTGCCATCTTCCTTCTGGAGCGATCGCAGGAACAAGTTGAAGTAGCTGTACCCCGTTGTCCCCAGGACGGTCGCAATGTAGAGCGTCGCGATGAAATAGACGACCCAGCCAGAAAACGTTCGCCGGATACCGGTCAACGTCATCTGCTTCGGCTCCGAGCGACCATGTCGCGCGAGCCGATCCATCGCCAGCTCGGCGTGGCTCCGTCGGAACCAGGACGCCAGACGGTTCGGCCTGTTGGGCAAATCAGGGATCATGAAGAAGCCCGCGAGTCCCCAGACGATGGTGATCAGGGCGTTGATCACAAATAACCAGCGCCAGCCCGCCAGTCCCGCGACGCCGTCCAGTCGAACGATGGAGGCCCCCAGAGCGCCCGAGATCATCTGGCCGACGGCCTGGCAGGAATGGTAGAATCCCATTCGTTTTGCGAGCTCGGTGGGGGTATACCAGTACACTTTATCCGGTGTTTAGCTCATTTCGACCAGTGTGGAGAAGAAGTAAGGATTCGGTTGACTCACTGAACAACGTCATCATACCCGGCCAGGCACTGCTCTCACACAAGCCCAGGAAGAACCGCAGAACGTAAACCTGTCTCGCGTTGCTGGTCGTCGCAACCAGGCCAGTCAGAAGACCCCAGACGATCTCCAGTCCAGACAACCACGCACTGGGACGGACATAGGTCAGGATGACTTGGGATGGGATAAGCATGAGCCCGTACGCGATATTGAAGTACGTTGTGAAGTAGTTCAGTTCGTCGCCATAGAGCTCCAAGTCTTCCTTCATTCCCGAGACGTAGGCATTGTTGATGTTCTGTTGATCCAGGTATTTGATCACTGCACGTCAGCTGGGGCTATACTGATTAAACGGAATTTTTCAAGCTGCCTAGACACTTACCTTGAGATAAACAGCCAAAGGTGAGCAGAAACAGATCCAGCCGTCGCACTAGGGCTGCCTCACCGTCTCCCTCCTGGTTTCGGCGTCCACTCCAGAACGCCATGACGATGAGACAATCAACACGGGGAAGTCGAAAGACTCGGCATTCCTTCTCAGATACACAGATCCACCATGGTCAAACTGTCGTGAGTAGAGAGAGAAAGAGAGGGAGGAAGAGGTAGAGAGAGACAGAGAGAGAGGGAGAGAGAGAGAGAGATAAGGAGGGAAATAGGGAGATAAGGAGGAGGAAGTCACGAGACACGCTGTTATCTCTTGCAGCCTCAGGCAGACACTTTTCGACAACATCAACACCAGTTTTTTCTTGCTACAGATACACTGTTCAGTGCAAGAGAGTGGGAGCCAGTATAAATTACTCTATAACTCAAACTTCTGATTCTTGTGCCTAGTTATCAAAGACGAGCAGACGATGATAGTTTCGGATATGATCGCACGCTATCACATAGGGATTGTATCCATGATGTATCGAAGCAAGAATGAGGAAGACTGCAACGACTGGGTTTATTACATACTGACGAACAGAGACTGACAAGAGAGACTGGATCTCAGTAGTTGAGATAGGATGAAACTGCCGACTCGCATTCGCCTTGGTGCTCACGCTCACCCCGTTGTACTTGAGACCAGTTCCATAGCAGGCCTATATCCTTGCCAGGACGAGACTCGAGACTCTCCAGTTGTCGATACAAGACGCCGAGTCGAGGCACAAAGTTATTATCATATGTCCCTGTCTGTGTCTGTTTTACTCTTGCTACGGTGAGCCAGGGACTGCTCCTTCCATTCTGCAGCTCGATGATCCCAATATGAGGTGTTGGCGGCTGCCAGAGCAGCATTCGTCTCCAGCTCGCTCCATTCCGAATAAACGCAGCTTCTTTCTGAGAATCGCTGAGGGAAGAGAGAAAAAAGAAGGGATCCCGAAACTCCCGAGAAACATCAAAATGATGTTATCTATATCTAAATTAGGTCTGAAATCTTGCTTTCACTACCTTGGTAAATAAGACTATTTATCATAGGATAAATCAGTCAGTCTAGTCTATACTTACTGAATATTGTTGGGCTACTCAAATATCAAGACAATAGCATTAGTTCTTGATGGCATTGAATATGACTGCTTTAGTTACAATATAACCCTATTAACTAATACCTACATAGGTATTTCTTACCTACTTATTATACGATTCTGGCTATATGTGAAAACCACCTAGGGCTTACTTCCAGGGCTTATTCTAGCTCATCATCCATTTTATATTGAGCCTTGTTTATCTTGATATTTACATCTCTTGACCATCTTCAAGTCAAATATTCTTTCGTCGATTCCTCTTCTTCCAGGATGAATCCTTATAAGAGTGAATGTCCTCTGATGCGACTAAGCCCAACTGGGCGACACTCCAGCCATCCCAACTTCTTTTTGTCTGTAAAAGTTTCCGCCTGTTTGGAAAACACTCTCAAGCCCCTCCTACCATCACTGCACCCCCGTCAGGACATCTTTGAATCCAGAAACGTTACAAAGTAGCAGGGATTGATCTGTTCTTTTCTTAAGATGATTAAGGTCGCCATCGTTGGCCTGAAGCGAGTAGGAGTCAACAGTGAGAAGTTGCGGTCCCAGAGGAAAGTCTGCAAGATCTTCGGGTCTAGGAAGTAGGGGCAAGCTCCCTGAGATTAGCAGCGAGGGGCCTCAAGCTTGATGAGGTAAAGCGGAATGTTTCCCTCGTCGAAGATGCGCACGTCTGCCATGTCCCAAGGCTCTCAGTACGTATAATGAATACAAATCTATTATTACACGGCATTGACAATGGATAGAAGACCCTTAACTGCTACGACGGCTGTTTCGAACTATCCTGACAGAATGAAGGCGTGCATTCGAGATTGTTGCTATTATAATGTGGACGTTTGAAGGGTGGAGGACAGATTGACGATGAGTCTCCACTTTGGAACAAAACTGAAGAAGAAAGCCTTCTTCAGCCTGGGAAAGAGGAAGTGACGGCTACACGGATTATTCCCTGTGGTATGGAGAGAGACCCGAAACAATCCTCAAACCTCCTGGTCGCAGAGGCCAAGAGGTCTGGGGAGGCTTCCGGGGAGGCTCAGCTCCTTGCCTATATGAGTGAGTCAATCTCGTGACTGAGAAGATCCATCATTACTGACCTCTATCTACTAAATTTAGGAATGGTTCTCATAGCCCGTCGCAAAGAGCGCAGAGAGAATACTACGGTCTACGGGCTTCTTACGGATAGTCATACAATCACATTCTTCTGTCTACAGAGCGGCCGCCGAGTAAGGAGACACAAGTACCCTTTACTATAAAATATTTTGCTTATGTTGGTACTAGTATACAAAGAAGGTTCTACTCTGGGGCCAAGGCGAGAGGCAGCAGGACGAGATTGTCTCCCTGCGAGCCAAAGTGATGCGGGAGGCAGCGCTTACCTCCCCCAAGAGTAGCGAGGCCACCGAGGATACCAGCGATCTGCGCATGGAGGGCATGGATACCAGGGTCTAAGGTTCTGTTTATCATTATGGATTTATAGTATTCTTTTGATCCTGCAGGAGGAGAGGCCTGAGGCCTGAAGAATCGAGACAATCGCTTATCTTGCAGCCTCAGGCAGGATTCCCCTCCCGCTTCAGCTGGAATCCTTTTCATCTCAACCTCATCGCACGATCAGAAGATCCTATCCAATTCTCTGGTTAGACTCAGAATTTATACAGTTTTGATTATGTCTGCATACAGCGATCTGCCGAATAAAACTCCCGGGTTGAGCTACTGGCAACGCACGACGCGCGGATTCCCCTCCCTGCATGCGAACCGGGACGACTCTGTTCCATCCACAGCCAAGTATGTGATCATTGGTTCGGGTCTTTCTGGTGCCTTGACTGCGTTTGAGCTGCTGGAAGCCGGCGTTCCCGGCGATGAGGTGGTGATTCTTGAGGCTCGTGAAGCGGCCAGCGGTGCAACGTCACGCAACGCGGGGCATGTCCGACCAGGTAAGACAGTGCCCGATAAGAACCAGACATGCTGAATTATTTGCCGATGTATTAGAAAGATGCATTTAGAGGCTTTCCAGCTTATTCCAGAATACACGGGGAAGAGCAAGCGCTGAAGGTCATCGCCAATGAACGACTGGTCTTGGAGCGTGTCGATGAATTCGTCCAGAGACAGAATGTGCCATGCGACTTTCACCTAACGACGACGTTCGATGTTTGTATGAGCGAGGAATTCGCAGAGAACGCGGCGGACAGCTTGCGCGCTTATGCCGCGGCAGGAGGCGATGTCTCACACATCGTGCAGTACACCGACGGCGAGATCGTCGAGACCAAGACCAAAGTCAAGGGCGCTGTCGGGGCATACGAATGGCCGGCTGCGTCGATCCATCCGGCCAAGCTGACACAGTTTCTCTTGCAGAGCGTGGTCGATCGGAAGGTCAGACTCTTCACTTTCTGTCCGGCAACAGAGATATCGAAAAGGATGGATACCAACATCTTCCTGCAACAATGGGATATCCACACCCCACGGGGTACCATCACAGCGGAGAAGATCATCCACTGTACCAACGCACACGCCGGAGCCCTGCTCTCCATGGTCAAAAAGCATATCCTTCCAAACCGCGCCCAGGCACACTCGTTGATCCCGACGCCGTCGTTCTCCGCCACGAACAAGCTGACCAGCACGCTCTCCCTCCGCTACGGGCTCTATCATTTCTACTCCCTGATCCAGCGCCAGGAGGGGGACGGCACACTGATCCTCGGCGCGTCGCGGGTGAATCCGACCTTGTCGCCCGAAACGATCGCCAGCCGGCTCAGCAGCGACGATTCCACCTTCAACCAGGAGATCCTGGACGACGCGCTGCGCAGTTTCCAAGAGATTTTTCCCCAGTATGGTCTCGACACAGCCATGCACGGCGAAGGGCTCGATCACGTCTGGACGGGGATCATTGCCATGACGCCTGATTCGGTACCTTTTATCGGCGCCATAGATTCGTTGCCGGGTCAATATATATGTGCAGGGTTTAATGGACATGGTACGTTATTCTATTCTATATCCCCATTGTTTGTTCTTCTGCTAAGTGGTAGGAATGGCTCGCATCTTCACCTGCGCCCCTGGAGTTGTCAAGCTGGTCCTCGGTCAGGAATGGAGTTCTACCGGCCTCCCAGAGTGTTTTCAGCTGACTGCCCAGAGACTGGAGAGGTTAAGTAGATAGGAGCATCCATGCACAAATAGAATACATTTTGGTAAGATGGTCAATAAGATTCCTTATGATCAAGCCAGGAGGACATGCTTAGGACGTACATGAATCGCTGTAGCAGCTTTTAAGGATTGTATTCTGTCGACTATGAGACACAATTGCCATACGCTTGGTATCTGTCCGACCAGTAGTCATGATATAGAGGTCTTCCAGCCGTGCGAAAGCATCCAAGAGCCAGAGGCCAGCCCTAATCATACTCTATTGATAGAAACAAGAGATAGGGTTAGCACATGCGAAACCCTAACCCCCGCCCAAGGGCTTATTGTTCATGGTCACGTGTATTCACGTGTATGATCAGTATCACGTGCCCATGTCCACTGACTTCAATACCCGACACGGCTATTGAATTCCCTGGACAGGGCCCCCCACGACGGCGTCTGAACGACGGCAAATGACCGCGAGCAGCTGCAACGCTCAGATGACCCTCCCAGAATGCTGCCATTCGCCGCCATCATATGATGATCTCAGCGCTCTCCATGCGGAGAAAACAGGCTGAGCCATGGGGATCGGCTTCTGCCGGCGTGGAGCTGGGCTCGTCGTATTGGCTTTCAGTTTACTCCGGTTTACTCCATCTTTACGGGGATGCCGAGTGGGGGTGAATTGGCCGGTATAAAGGAGGGATTTCCATTGACTCCGTTCTACCAGTTATTTCTCATTCATCATTCTTCTTCTCGTACTTATCTTCATCCTTCTTATTTTTATATTTTATTTTTTTTTGTTGTTATTGTTCAATGGCAACTAAAGTCAGCCATGAAACCTCTCACATCGAGTCGGCTTCTCGCATGGAAGACATCCCGAAGCCCACTCGGCTGGGAGAAGAACGCGTCCCCCTGACAGAAGAAGACAGTCGACGCATCCGACACAAGACAGACCGGGTGATTCTCGCCCTGCTGGTCTGGGTGTATTTCCTGCAGATCCTGGACAAGTCGGTGCTCGGGTACGGCGCGACATTCGGGCTGGAGACCGACACCGGCCTGACGGGCAACGAGTACTCGCTGGTCGGGTCGATGGCGCCCATCGCCCAGCTGGCCTGGCAGCCCTTTTCGTCCTTCCTGATCGTCAAGGTGCCCCCGCGCATTCTCATGCCGACGCTGTGTCTGGGCTGGGGCATCGCGCAGGCCTGCATGGCGGCCTGCCACAACTTCGGCTCCCTCCTGGCTGCGCGGTTCTTCCTTGGCCTTTTCGAGGCAGGCTGTCTGCCCCTGTTCAGCATCATCACCAGTCAGTGGTACCGTCGTGCAGAGCAGCCGTTGCGTATCGCCGCCTGGTACAGCACCAATGGGCTGGCTACCATCGTTGCTGCTGCTTTGTCTTATGGACTGGGACATATCCACTCGACTTTGTTACGAGAGTGGCAGATGTAAGACGCTTTTCTTTTTTTCGAAAGCACTGAAAAGTACTATAAAGCGTGTTGCTAATTATGATTCTTGCTATTGTTAGTATCTTTCTGTTCGTCGGCTTGGTGACCATCGTCTCCAGCCCCATCGTATACTGGAAACTGGACAACGACATCCCGTCGGCACGATTCCTCACTGAAGAAGAGAAGCCAAAGGCAGTGGAACGGCTGCGCGCCAACCAGACGGGCACCGGCTCGCGCGAGTTTAAGATGCAGCATCTGGTCGAGGTCGCGCTGGAGCCCAAGAGCTACCTGTGGATCGGCATGTCGCTGACGCTCAACGTGGGCGCCAGCGTGTCCAACACGTTCGGTCCCTTGATTCTCGACGGGCTAGGTTACGACAAGTACCTGACCAGTCTGTTGAACATGCCCTTTGGCGCCCTGCAGATCATCGTCATCCTGCTGTCGAGCTATCTGGCGCAGCGGGCGCGTCGCAAGGCCATCATCCTCGTCGCCTTCATCCTGCCCGTCGTCGCCGGGCTGGCCATGCTGTACGCCCTGCCGCGCACGAGTAACGTCCAGGGCGGACTGCTGGCGGGCTACTACCTGCTCGCCTTTCTGTTCGGGGGGAACCCGTTGATCGTCACCTGGATCGTGGGCAACACCGCCGGGTCCACCAAGCAGTCTGTCATCATGAGTCTGTACCAGGCTGCCAGTGCAGCGGGAAACATTGTCGGACCCTTGCTCTTCGCCAGCAAGGATGCCCCGACGTACCATTCGGGGTTGCGTGGTTGTCTGGGCATCTTCATCGCCCTGGCGGCCATCATTCTGATCCAGTGGGCGAACCTGTTTGTTTTGAATCGTTTCCAGGAGAAGAGACGCGTGCGCAATGGGAAACCTGCCAAGCTCGTCGATCACTCCATGCAGAGCGAGTATCATGGCTTTGATGAGGAGGTTGTCGACACCCATGTGGGAGAGAATGCGTTTTTGGATCTCACCGACAGGGAGAACGACGAATTTGTATATATCTATTAATTTTTTTTTTCTCTTCTTCATGAAAATCTCACACCCGAATTTATACCATCAATTCATTTCAGATACACTCTCCACTAGTTAGGAAGATGAACGTTCAAAAACCTTAAGACATTCAAAGACGCAATCTCCTCCTTCTGACTGCCTGTCAGCGAAGAATGCTGTAAAACCCCCCCGACGGTCTCTTCTCCCAGGGGGAACGGATAATCGCTGCCCAGACAGATCCGGGCACTGCCTATCTTCTTGACGAGAAACTCCAACGCGTCCGGATCATGCACGAGACTGTCGACAAAGATATTCCCCTGCTGCAAGACGCTCTCTGGCGTGGCGGTGGTCTGCGTACAGAGCAGATCCGGGCGACATTCGAAGCCGTGCGCGATTCTCCCCAGCAACGCAGGAAAGACACCTCCGCCGTGCGCAAAGGCAATCCGCAGGCTCGGATGGCGCGACAAGGTGTCCGAGCATAACAAGGCGAGAAAAGCCAGTCCCGTCTCGCAGGGCATCCCGATCAACCACGCGTTCCAGTAGGGACCCCAACGATGGCTTTCGCAGGGGAGGGTATACCCCAGTGGATGGATGAAGACGGGGAGATCGAGTCTCTCGCAGGTGCTCCAGAATAAAGCGAGCGACGAGTCATCCAGGTTCTTCTGGTTGACGGTCGTTCCGATCTGCACGCCGTGCAGTCCTGCAGCCTTGATGTACTCCAGTTCGGCGAGACAGGCGTCTATATCCTGCAGAGGCACGGTTCCCAGCCCGAGAAAACGAGTAGGATGTTTCTGACAGAGCGAGAGGATGTGCTCGTTGAGCTGGCGACAGAGCAGCGAGACGTCTTCCCCTGGTCGGTCGTAGAAAAAAAGAATCGGGACGGTGCTGAGGACCTGCATGTCGATGCCTGAGGCGTCCATTTCGGCTATGCGGACCGCCTCGTCGAAGCAGTTGGCCTGGACAGCGCGGAAGAAGACGCCGTCGACGAGGATGTCTGTTTTATTTCCATTCTGCTGGAATCTGATCCAGGGGGTATCTAGGCTGGCAGGAAGAATGTGTGTGTGTAGATCGATTTTCATGGTGTCGTTACTTCTTGTCTGTCTTCTATTCTATTCTTCTCTCTTATACTGTCCCGGTCCGTATCCGTCGGAATAGCTATATTACTTATATTTTACTTATATTTTACTTATATATTACTCATTGTACTATTATATTACTATTATATTACTATTATATTACTATTATATTACTATAATAATACTATTATATCACTTACTTCTACTCACTATGAACATCTCCAACTTCATCAACGGCTCTCACTCTTCCCCCTCCTCCTCCCCTTCTTTCTCCTCCATCAACCCCCAGACAAACGAGTTTATCGCTTCCATCCCCCTCAGCTCCTCCCAAGAAATCGACCTCGCCGTCCAGGCCGCCCACGCTGCCTTCCCCCGCTGGTCCGCCACGTCTCGCGCCCAGCGATCCGCGTATCTGACTGCCATCGCTGACGCCATCCACGCCCGCCATGAAGAGTTTGCTGTCTGGGAGAGCCGCGACCAGGGCAAGACACTGGCGCGCGCGAGGGTGGAAGTCGACCGGGCGATTGCCAACTTCCGCTACTTCGCCACGTTTATCCTGCATGAAACTTCTACTGCGCGGTTCACCCCGGACGAGCGCGTTCTCACGTACGAACACCGCTCGGCGCGAGGCGTATTCGCCTTGATTTCACCGTGGAACATGCCTCTTTACCTTCTTACGTGGAAGATCGCGCCGTGTCTTGCGTTTGGGTGTACGGGGGTAGCTAAACCGAGTGAATTGACCAGCATTACAGCATACTGTATGTCTATTAACTGAATTGTCTAATTGGTATATGCTGATAGATGAAGTACTCTCGGAAATATTCGTTCAAGTCCGTCTCCCCCCCGGAGTGATGAATATCGTGTACGGCGATGGAAGCACAGGCGCCGACCTGGTGCGACACGGCTTCATACAAGGCATCTCCTTCACAGGAGGCACCCAGACGGGAATCCGCATCCGACAAGACACAGCAGCAGACATACAAAAACATCTCTCGCTGGAACTTGGAGGGAAGAACGCAACGATTGTGTTTGACGATGCAGATCTCGACGCGGCAGTGGACGTGGCTGCCAAAGCGGCTTTTGAGAACCAGGGAGAGGTAGCATAACTATTTTCATGATTGAGTTATTATACTGAATTATATACTGACTATTCAGATATGCCTGTGTGGATCACGAATCTACATCCACCAAAGCATATATCACCAGTTTGTGTCGAAATTCGTTGAACATGTCTCGAGAACATACATTCCAGGAGACACTCTCGGGGCTGTCATTTCTCTCGCTCATTATAACAAGATCCGGTCGTATCTCACTCTGGCAAAACAGGAAGATTTCCTCCTTGGAGGTGTTCCCCCTGAGAATCCTACGAATGGGTACTGGATTTCCCCTTGCATTCTGAAAAACAATGACAACCAGTCTCCCCTTTGTCAAGAGGAAATCTTCGGTCCAGTAGTGACGGTCTCCCCCTTCGACACAGAAGAAGAGGCAGTCTCTCTCGCCAACGACAGTAAATACGGCCTGGCAGCTATTCTGTTGACAAAAGACGGGGCTCGCATGCGCCGTGTTGGCGAACGACTGCAAGCCGGACTCGTCTGGGTGAATTGCTGGCTTGTCAGGGAACTCGGCACGCCGTTTGGAGGGATGAAGGCTTCGGGGGTGGGCAGAGAGGGGGGGAGTATTCTAAAGATGTGTTTTGTGTGGTTCGTGTTTTGCATTGCCCTATGTAGTATGCGATGCATAGTATGCGAAGCGAATATATACTTACTAAATAGAGATATATAGTATAGTATAGTATGTATGTATACTATTAAAAGAAAATAACTGCAACACACTTCATCTCAACAAGTAACCGGCTATTAGGCAACGCCTTCACTCCCACCGTCGTCCTCGCAGGCGCCTCTTCCCTCTTCCACACCCGATTCCACTCCTCGTTCATCCCAGCGTAATCTCGCTCCAAGTCCGTCAGGAAGACAGTCACATCAACCACATCCATCAGATTCCCCGCCCCGTCACTTGCCAACCGGATAATCTCCCCAATATTTCTCAACACAGCAGCCGTTTGGGCACGGATATCCAGTTTCAACCCTCCCTCGGCATCCTCACTCACTCCCTCCCATGTCCCGTCGCCGTTGCGAGAGGATGTGCCGGAGATGTATAGAGTTCGTTGGCAGGGGGGTGATTCTCTGCCAGGCACAATTCGGGCGTGGGGGTAGTTTGCGAGTCCTTGTGCTTTGTGAGGGGGGAGGAAGAAGGACATGATAGTATAGACAGTATAGATGTATGGATATTATAGACATAATAGAGAGATAGACAGTATGATAATGTATATTGTATTTTGATCCGTCGGATACGGACCGCTTCCGTATATACGTCATGTTTATGCCTCAGGCAACATCTTATTAATGCCCCAGGCAACAAAATAGCTATTTCGCACTTGCTCTTCTCACTCTCTATTCCTCTCTGTCATTCATTCTATTCTACCATTCTATCTCCATCGATTCTATTCTTTCTCCATTCTACCATTCTATCTCTCCGTGTTCTATTGTCGAATCACCATGGCCCTACAAGGCAGCCAATACCAGGGCAGCAATACGCGCTGCGCTGGCTTTACGACGAGGGGAAATACTGAGAATTGAATCACCTTAGAAATTTCGAACTTATATCTAATGACTATGTCTTCAATGAATGAAGAATATACCGTGGCGTGGATCTGCGCTCTACCAGAAGGACTCGACGTCGTCCGCGCTCTTCTCGACAAAGTGCATCCCCCGCACCACCAGCCGAGAGAAGATAGAAACGCGTATCTGCTAGGCACGATCGGTCCACACAACGTCGTGGTGACGTGCTTACCAGTCGGTCAAGGGGGTATCGCCTCTACAGCGACGGTGGCAGAGAGTCTGGCTCGAACGTTCCCTGCCGCCCGGCTGAGTCTGCTGGTCGGGATCGGGGGAGGCGTCCCTGATCCACGAGACAAGAGGAAAGACATTCGTCTGGGCGATGTCGTGGTCAGTGTGCCCGGCGATGAATTTGGAGCTGTTGTGCAGTACGATTTTGGGAAATATCTCGTCGACAATGACTCCAGCCGGTTTGTCCATCGTGGCCAACTGGATTCGCCGCCGACCAAGCTGCTCTCTCATGTCAACATGCTGAATAGTCTTATTCGAGGCCGGTGGTCGCGGGGAGCCGGTGTGAAGGAGAACGAACTGCAGAGAGAGCTGGAATCCCTCGGCGAGCAATATGCATATCCGTCGAACTTCCCGGATAGGCTGTTCTGTTCCCAGTATCCTCGTACTCACGACTATCTATCTTGTGGCTGTGATACAGGAGAATACAAGCGTCCAGAACGAGCTAGTTTTCTCCCTGTTATTCACGAGGGAACAATTGCCTCCGGAGACGCCAAGATGGCAGATGGCACGACAAGAGACCGCGTCAACCAGGAGTATAGGAACGCCATCTTCTGCTTCGACACGGAGGCTGCCGGTCTGATGAATAGTCTTCCCTGTCTGGTGGTTCGTGGGATTAGCAATTATGCTGATGCACATGGCAACGACGGCTGGCGACTGCGTGCCATTGCCACAGCCTCCAGCTACGCCAAGGCGTTGATTCTGCAGATTCCTGCAGAAAGTCAGACAGGTAGGTTTATCATCTAACATGTATATACAGAACCAAATAAATCTAACCTGCTACAGAGCTGTCTCGGAATCGCTTTCTGCAATGGCTGTCTCCGATCGACCACGCCAAACAACAGCGCGACTATATCGAAATGCATCATAGAGGGACAGGCGCCTGGCTTTTGCAGTCTCTAGAGTTTACTTGCTGGTGTGAAAACGGGGAACAGATCCTCTTCTGTCCTGGTATCCCTGGAGCAGGCAAATCCGTCCTCTTCTCGACTATTGTCCGGCATCTGCAGCGAGAGTTCATCGAACAGGACCACGCCGTCGGACTGGCGTATTTCTATCTCAGTCACCAATCTGATCAGTTGCGCAGCGCAAGAGAACTTCTTGCATCCCTGCTCATGCAACTTCTTCTCACGAACCCGGGTTCCATCCACCGTTGTGAAGCCTTGCAACGGCAACATCGCGAGAGACAATACCCTTCGCTGGACGACATCCTCGATGCCCTAAACGAGGTCATTCCGGGTCATTCCCGGGTGTTTTTTCTCATTGACGCTCTGGACCAGTATCACGACTCCCATCGGGAGAATTGCCTCGACCTCCTCCACGCCATCATAGAAATCAACCAGCAACACGAAAACTTGTCTATCCTAGTCACCTCTCGGCCGCGGCAGAGCATCGAAGACCACCTTGGATTCAACTGTTTGAAACTAGAGATATCGGCAAGCGACACTGATATACGGAAATACCTGGGGGATAAATTGGCGGTTCGACCTAGGTGCCTACGAGGAAATGTCCTTCAGGAGGAGGTCATCAATAGGATCGCAGCCATCGCAAATGGAATGTACGTTGAAGAGAGAGATAAGAAATAAACTATCAACACTGACTATCTAGGTTTCTTCTTGCAAAGCTTTACATACAGCCTCTTCACGCCGCGCTGTCCCCGAATGCGATCCGAGAGATTCTAAAACAGCTGCCGGCTGGGTACGACCAGACCTATACAGCAGCGATGGAAAGAATAAAGGCACAGTCTTCCTGGCCTACTGCGCGGCAGGTACTAGCCTGGATCGTCTATTCCAAGAGGCCCTTGACGCCGTTAGAAGTGCAGTACGCCCTCGCCGAGCCCTACTTCGAGTCCGACAGTCTCCCAGACATTGCCGACTTGATAGATACGTGTCATGGGCTGGTCGCTATTTATCGGGAAGATGAAAACGAAGTGGTTGGCTTCGTCCATGCATCTGCTAGGGAATATCTTGACACACGCCGGGACCTGTTCGACTACGCACACGAAATGATCGCCATAACATGTATGAATTATTTATCGACAGCAACAGAGCCATCTGTTCTCTATGATTACGCCTCGTCGCACTGGGGCGAGCATGCCCAGCTGGCCATGCGAACCGACGGAACAGGCGATCTTGCAGTCGTGATGAATGATTTCCTCACGAGTAGTGTCAGGAGTATTCCAGACCATCTCTTATAGCGCCTATATAGTATATTAATATAACAGGATCTACAATAAGCCAACTTCCTCAACTCTTTCACATTCACTCTCGTATGGAAACACCAGAGGAAGATTCCTCTGCCTGCGCCAGAAATTCGTCGACTGCAAAACCGTCCCATTGAGGGTCTTTTGTCTAGTCTCTGGTCCTACTTCATCATTGAGTTACTCCTGGCTTCCTTTGACGCCGTTCTCCTTCTATATGTCCAAGACACATTTGGCTGAGAGCAGACGGGCCAGGGTCTGATCTTTATTCCCATGTCAATCCCTCAGCTCATCAGCCACGACCTCTCCTCCCCCTCCCAGTGACAGCATGTAGGGGCTCGCAAGGGAGGTTATATTCTTAAATGAAATGAGACGCGTGCAGAGTATAAGAGATTATAAGTGAGAATAGTAGTAGTTACTATTCATTTATAACATATCCAAAATTACTATATACAACACAGTCCTTATTCCTAGAATATAGGTCAATATGCGTTTGAATGTCAATAATTTACAACAACCATAGAGACGACAAGTCTTCTCATACTTCAAGCTGGTTTTGAAGCTGAAATGGCCACATAATGCCAGTGTTGACGACCACGATAAGACTCCACTCCTGCGACGGTATTGATGAAGAAGCGTTCCAAGCCGAGGAAACGAACAATGATGAAAGGAATATAGGCGAGCAGATAGAAAAACCGTGTCATGGGTTGAATATTGGGAGAATAGTCGCGGACAACGACGTCGGTGAACCCGGCATCTTCCAGCATTGCTTGGAAGACTCCAGGCTGGGAGACGCTGTTGGTCGGCATGGCTGCGATCTCGTTGATCTTCTTCATCGACAGAGCCATTGCTTCCTCTGGGTCATCGACCAGTTCATGGTCGTATTCGAACAGCGCAATGCGACCGCCAGGCCGTAAGACGCGAAAGAAATTCCGCAGGACCGCCTGGGGGTCTGTAGCGTGAACAAAGGTCTCCATTGTATACACGCCATCAAAGACACTGTCTGCAAAGCCGTCCAAGTGGTGGTAATCCATCTTGCGCACAGCGAATTGGTCGTCCGAGAGACCGTGTCGGACAATGTTCCGCTGAGATTTGAGGAGATGATGATCGACAATATCGATGCCTTGGATTCTGAAGCCGTACTTGGTGACCAGATGGATTGCGACGTGACCGACACCACATCCTGCATCAAGGACATAGGCACCCTGTTGAAGGTCTAACGCATCCGCCAGTCTATCCTCCATGGCACGCAGTGCGCGACTCAAGGGAAACGGCCAGCTGGTGTCATGGTCGTAGTATCCGAAATGACGCGTTCCGCCGAGAAGAAGGCGATATCCGATTCTGGATTCGAGAGAAGTATAGTAGGATTGTAGTTGAGGGTTGTCTCTGATTAAGGCCTGTTCTTCCTGTGCGGTTGTCATTCTCGCGAGAGTTGGAAGACGACAGAAGAAAAGGTTAGGAAAGGTTAGAAGAAGACAGAGATCTGGCTTTCAACTAGCAGGGGTCTTGGTTACATTGGTTTATTATGCAGTATAGAAGAGGAGGAATTAATGTAACTAATATAATTCAGCTATAAGTATTAAAGCCATGTGGATTCGTGCTACTTCCTGTCTAGAAGGTAATTCTTCCTCGATTTATATTATCAGTAAATAGTATAGTCGGTCTATCTTGATCAATATTAGCATCAGCAACTACAGTATAACAGCTGTTACCAGCTTGCGCAGTAGTCAGTCTGCTTCTATTGTATCGTATACCTGTCTAAGAAAGCTCCTGTCTACCACAATAGCTAGCCTCATCAAGCTATCTTCAACAGTATACTATACTACATCTAACTATACTACATACATCTAAATATCCGCCGCAGTGGTCTCGACAATAGGACCCGTGTACTCCTTTCGCGCATGGAAAATGTAATACAGGACCGAAAACAACAGCACCGCCCCGATGATAAGAACATTATAGTTCATGTTCACGGGGGTAACGGGGTAATATGACGGCCAGAAGGACCAGAACAGCGCGACAGTAAGGTACACGACTGAAAAGGCGTTGATAAGCACACCCATCACACCCGGGATCCTCCACGGTCCCCAGACGAGGCGACGGCCGACGTTATTGACAGGCTCGTAGGGGGAATCATCAGCGCCCGGGACGGAAATGGCGCCCGTGAGACGGCGGTAGAGGAGGAGCCCGCTCGCCATGAGGTAAGAGGAGTAATAGCCTGATGTGACGAGGGAGACGACGTCGTTGAAGGCGGTGCTGCTTCCGATGTTGATGAGGGAGAGGAGGGCGGAGACGACGATGGTGAAGAGGATGCACCGGACGGGAAGGGAAGTGCGTGAGTCGAGCTGGGAAGATTAGTATCAATCTTATATAAATAGTAGGTGTAAGTAGTACCTTAACGAAAAAGCGCCATCCTGGAACAGCCTTGTCTCTAGCAAAGGACCACCACATGCGCGAGGCGGCGGCCATGTCGGCGACGTTACCAAAGGTCTGCATGAAAGTGATGATAGAGCCCATGGCGACAGCCCCGCGGAGAGAGCCGATGCCCTTCTGCAAGATGTCGAGAAACGGATATCCTGCTTCTCCGGCGGGACTGGCGAGGGTGTCGTCGATGTTGGCGGTGGCATACAGCGCGGCGAGAAGGATACCGAAGCCAAACGCGCCATTGATGCCCATACTGGCCATGATGGAACGAGGCACGACGACCGCCGCGTTACGAATCTCCTCGGACATGTGGATGGCACCGTCGACTCCTGTGAATAAAAAGATGGACATGAGCAGGCCGATCATCGTCGACAGACCTTGCGTGGACCAGCCGCCCTGGTTGATGAACAAAGCCCAGACCTCTGACGAGTCGCGCTTGGAGCTCAGCACGCACAGGGGCACCAGCACGCCGAAGAAGGCCAGGATGTGGATGCACAGCACGGGGCCTTCGAGGGTGGGCAGCAGCCGGCGGGCGGCGGTGTTGATGGCAAAACCGAACAGCAGCACAGCGAAGATGATCAGCGTGCCCTGCCAGCTGGTGGCTTCGTAGCCGGGCACCGTGATGATCACCAATGTCTGGATCAGGGTGCCGGAGATGTAGCCCGTCGACGCGACCAGAGCCTGCCATCCGACGGTGGTCATCCAGCCGGTCAGATAGGAGAGAAAGCGCTGGCACGAGGGGGGGGAAAGCATGGCGACCCAGTAATACTGTCCGGAGGAGATGGGGGCCCTGATTGAATGAGATTTGTGTATCTTGTTATTCTCTTATCTCGGTGTCTTACATTGAAGCCAGTTCGCAGAGAGAGGCAAAGGTACACCAGGCACCCAGCCAGGCGAACAGGTACATGTAGATCATTCCGGCAGGACCGCCACTGTCAGATTATACTTGTCAATTGAATTGAAGAGATGATTGGAATTAAGAGAGAATTGGAATTGAGAGAGGAATTGAGAATACTTGACAAGACCAATGTCGAACACAAGGAGGACGCCCTCCCAGGTGACGAGGATGGTGGTGGTGAAGCCGAGAATGGACATGAAGCCGTACGTTCGCTGCTGCGATTAGACGAAGGAGAGAAGAATAGAATAGATAGAGAATACCTTCAAGACTGGCCGCTTGCCCAGACGCATGAGCTGCGCGCGGTCGCGCTCGTCGCTGTCCATGGATTTGGCGTCCATCTCGCGGGTGGCCGAGACGTGGCTCTTGGACTGGAGTTCGATTTCCATGATGATGAGTGAGATGGAGAGAGAGTGTGAGAGAAAGAAAAGAATTAAAGAATGAAAGAAGAGTGAAAAAGAAAAAAAGAAACAGGGATAAGAAGAAGGGGAAGAGGGAAGAGGGAAGAGGGAAAAGAAGAAGAGACAGGGAAGAGACAGGGAAGGACAGGAAAAGACAGGACAGGACAGGGCCGGGACAGGGCCGGGACAGGGATAAGATGCAGCACTAAAGTCACATTAAGGATTAGTTATTACAGTAGAGTATTAGGATTACTATGTACCTAGAGTATGTAGTATCACCTGCAGTATTACTGCATAGTATCAGTATTACAAGTAGAGTTCTTCATGTAGAATCCCTGTGATTCTGCAGTATACCTTATGGCTGACCATACTTATTCCATCTTCTTCCTCTGTTCTTCTTCTATTCTTCTCTTCTTCTCCTATATACTATCTTTTATATCTATATACTATACTATACTATGTCAGAACGAGTCCAAATCACCGCCACCAACAAATCCCCCCTCCTCCTCATCGTGACATGGCTTCTCCTCGTCCTCGCGGCTTTCGCCTACATTGTGCGCTCCATCGTCAAGCTCTCGCGTCAGGCCATGCGTCTGGAATGGGACGACTACCTCCTCACCGGCGCTCTGGTCTTCTGCACCGCGCAGTCGCTGGCCACAATCATTCGCGCGGCTGACGGGTTCGGTCAGCCTCTTGCTCTGCTTTCTACCGCCAAAGTAGAGGCGAGCATGCAGGCGGCGCTGGCGGCGAGCATCTTGTACGTGCTCTCGCTGGCGCTCTCCAAGATCTCGCTGCTGGCGCTGCTGGCGAAGCTCTCGCCAAATCGCCGCCATCGCCGGGTGATGCATGGGATTGCCCTCTTTGTGGCGGTGTTTACGTCCATCTCGGTGTTTGTCGTCTCGTTTTCCTGCTCGGTGCCGAATACGTGGGACTACACCTCTGGCAGGTGTATCAACAGGGTATCTTCTTCACTCATCGATTCGATCATTCTTGATTTTTTTTTTTTTCTAACCTTTAGCCCCTCTGGTGGACCTTCTTCGACGTATACAACATCGCAACCGAAAGCGCCCTCATCGTGATCCCGATCTACATCATCGGCCTCGTACAATGGCCGCTGGCGCGCAAAGTGGTGTTTTCCATTCCTTTTGTGTTACGAACGTGGTATGATTCTTACCGTCTTACGGTCTTACCCTGCATCGTATTCCACTAACTACAACTACTGGCTAGTACGATTGCAGCGTGCATTGCCGACATGCTGCTCTGGCACCGGCTCTCCTCCTCGCCAGACCCCTTCTTCGCCGAATGGCCCGTCTCGGTGACGACGCAGACCATCCAGTGCAGCTGTCTGGCCAGCACGTGCATCCTGTACCTGCGCAACTTCCTGTCCAGCGTCGAGACGGGCTTCGGCCTCGACGGCGATCTCAGCGCGTCGATCCCGCTCGAGCTGCGCACGGCCACGGTGGGACGCAGCGGATACAATCTCTCCTCCGAGGGCCTGACGGGCTCTGCCAGCATGCCGGGCCAGATCAAAGTCACCACGCGCTACGAGGTCCGCGAGGAGGTGTACACAGTGTTGGGGGGGGGACACGAGACGGAGACCGATCAGGAAATGATGGACAGGAGAGGGTGATTCGTATCCTCTTTTTTTTTCTTTTTTTCTCTCTTTCTCTCTTTCTCCTTTTCTTTGTACTTTTGTTTCTTTTGCATGATGTTACATTAGATTCCAATCTAGACTGCAGGATCCCTGTCGACACGTAGTCCTGATAAGCATCGAGTCCAGGCGTCTATCGAGTCTCTAGTAATCTCTTGGTAAATCCTTTAGTGTCGAGTTAGTATCCAATAGACCTCGTTTAGTGTCAGATCCCTGTCTCTACTAATTGCCGTTGTCGTTAGAAGTATAGTTGACTAGATATTAGTAATTGACTAATAATCTTGGTAGTATTAGGGTAACTTCATATAGTAATTATGGAGTAATGCAGAAGTACTATGTAGTAGAGTAATAAATAGTATACAGCAGTAATATAATAGATTATAGAGTAGAGAGTATAGAGTATAGAGTGAAGAGTATTGAGTAACAATAGAGAGGAGAAAAGGTAGTATGTAGTATCTATTGTCTACATGATTATTATAGATATACTTATTTCTTATTAATATCTAGTTAATATCTAGTTAATGTCTCATGGTTTATGACTAGTTGATATTATCTACATGGTTTATGACTAGTTAATGTCTATAGTAATGTCATAAGAATATCATACGATTGAAGTACTAGAATTAATATCAAGTAAATAGTAGATATTACTTCTATTATTCTTTATTCTTTATTCTATTATTCCATCAGTAGAAAACTACTCTCAAGACATAATGTCTTACTGGCTGTCTGCCTCTACTTCCATCTGTATCCTCATCACTGTCATCCTCTCAATACTCTCAATACTCTCAATCCTCCCTCTCTTCCTCTCCCCCATCCCCCGCCTCTTTGCCATCCCCAACGCCCTCCCCATCATTGGCCATCTCCATCTACTGGGAGACGATCACGCCTCCGTCTGCGAACGTCTCTGGCGCAAGTACAACCGCTCCGTCTTCCAGATCCGCCTGGGGAATACCACCGCCGTCGTCGTCAACTCCTTCCAGGACGCCCGTCGCATCCTGCTCGCCCACCAGTCCGCTCTCATCGATCGCCCGACTCTTTATACCTTCCATGGCGTCGTCTCTTCCACCCAGGGCTTCACCATCGGCTCCAGTCCGTGGGATGCGTCCACCAGGAACCGTCGTCGTGCTGCGGGTGCTGTTCTCGCCAGACCTGCCTTGCGTTCCTACCACGACATGTTTGACTTGGAGTCATTCAGTTTGATTCAAGATCTCTACAATTCTACAGGAGAAGGCTCTTCGCCTTCTTCAATCGACATCCGACCATACATCCAACGGCTGGCGTTAAACACCACCCTCACCCTCTGCTACGGCATCCGCATGCGAGGCGTCTACGACGAGCTGCTGCGCGAGATCTTAGAAGTCGGTTCTGCCATCTCCCTGCTGCGCTCCGCGTCAGAAAACTACCAGGACTACGTGCCCATCCTGCGCTACCTGCCGGGTAACGAGAAGACGCAGCGCGCCAAATCCCTCCGCGCACGACGCGACAAATACCTGTCCTTCCTGCTCGACACGGTCCGCGACAAGATCCGCCGGGGCACCGACCGTCCCTGCGTGTCGGCGGCGATCCTCAAGGGCGAGGAATCCGCCCTGTCGGACGTCGAGGTTTCGTCCATCTGTCTGTCGCTTGTCTCGGGTGGGTTCGAAACCATCCCCGCCACGCTGACCAGCTGTATCGGCAGTCTCGCCACGTCGGAGGGGCAGATCCTCCAGGAAAAGGCATACGAGGACATCCGCCGTCATTATCCAGACAGTCTGGCGGCAATGTTTGCCGCGTCGTTTGTCGAGGAGAAGGTTCCCTATATCAACGCCCTGGTGAAAGAGGCGGAACGCTACTACACTGCTTCTGCGATGAACCTGCCGCGCAAGACAACCGTCGACATTACATGGTCGGACAAGAACCATGATGCAGTCGTCATCCCTGCCAAGACAATGGTCTTGATCAACCTGCAGGCTGCAAACCATGACACTGACCATTTCGGCCCCGACGCAGACCAGTTCAAGCCAGAGCGCTGGCTGGAGTATCCCGAGAACGTCCCCGTCGAGAAGCCTCTGCAGGGACTCCCGCATCTGTCGTTTGGGGCCGGGGCAAGAGCCTGTTCAGGCCAGCTGGTCGCCAACCGCGTGATTTATACCGCTCTGGTTCGCTTGATCTCCTGCTATCGCATCGTGGCCAGTGAGTCGCATCCCCCGAATACGCATTACGCAGATTACAATGCTGTCAAGAGCGCGCTGGTGGCTATCCCGCGACCCTTCAAGGTGAGCCTGGTACCAAGGGATGAGACGGAACTTCGGACTGTGCTGCGAGAGGGAGAAATACGGACTGCCACATATTATGTTGACTGATACATACATAGTAAATACTACAATTAACTATTATACATTATATTATAGAGTGTACATTCGACATCAGATCGCTCTTATTCATCATCAGATCGATCATCTTTGGCAACACGGTACACCACATAACGGTACAGATTTCGCAACAAGGCCGCCAGCCAGAAGAGATTCAGCCCCTGCAGGGCAGACAGCAAGACCAGCGTGACGGCATTCGACAGCCCGCATTTATACTGCTCGGCCGCCCAGTCGAGCGTGTAGGGGCCTACCGTGCGGAACTCGGTGACCAGCGACACCAGGATGCGCAGGTTCTGGTAGTTCCGGAGGTATATCCAGGAGAGAAGCGTGAAGAGGTACATGGGGGGGGCGGCAATACTGTTGACATACAGCATACATTTTGACATCTGCAGTAGCATTATCATTAGCATCATCAGTAGTAGTAGTGGTAGGAGGAGGAGGAGGAGGAGGAGGAGGAAAACATACTGCAAGAAAAAAATCACTAATATCATGCGTCAGATAAACCGCCAGACCGATATAGACGAAATGAAACCTATAGCTGAGCGCAATCAAGGCCAGCGTGACGAGATGGTGTCCCACCAGCTCTGCATAGTCTCTTCTCGGTCTCTCCAGGCCCAAAACCATCACCAGAGCCTGTTGCGCCCAATACGCCGCCTGGAGGAGGTAATACCCCTTCACGGCCGCCGAGTGCATCCGGTGCGGATACAGCTCGTACATTCCCCGAGTGTTGAAGTACCACACGGGCGTCGAGCGCATCACATATACCCCCACGGGACCCAGGATCCCGAAATATACCACCGTGTATGCTTGTTCCATGAAGCGTTGTTGTTTGCGGCGTGAGCGCAGGCCCCAGGTCCGCGCCAGGGGGAGGAGGATCTCCTGCATGACCAGCTCGCGGGTCACGGAGAGGACGAGCGTGTAGAAGGCAACAAAGGCGAGATCCCACGCTCCTTTTCCATACAGATCGTCTTCCCCATCCTTGTAGGAAAGGAAGACGAATCGTCGGAGTACCGGGGATGGCGTTGCGAGTAGGACGGCCACGAGGAGGGAGAGCGGAGTCGTCCAGGAATGAGACTTCCAGAAGCGATTCAGCGAGTCGATGTCGCTCTGCTTCTTTCGGTGAGACGCCATGGTAGAAATAGTTGTCGGTCAGTAGTCATAGTCAGAGGGAAGGGCCATCCATATATGTAGGACTTGTGTTGACTCGGGATCCGCGGGTGCCGCGGGTCCGCAGGATCATAATACGGAGTACATTTAGGGGTTGAAGGTTTTCTAGACATATTGTCAGTATACTGGTATTAGAGTATACTACTAATAACTATATCTATTATTTATTGGTCTCTTATAAATGACTACTAATCACTGATTATTCATCAGTCTATCGTAATATCTCTTCTACCCCACCACCCCGCATCACCAACACTATCAACAACATTATCACCACCACCACCACCACCACAATGGCTCTCAACCCTGGAGACAGCTTTCCCAGCGACATCACCTTCCAGTGAGTTTTCCTTCAGGTCGAGAATACAACTGACCATCAGGTATATCCCCTGGACCGAGGAAAAGGGCAAGATCACCTCCTGCGGCATCCCAATCAACTACAACGCCTCCACGGAGTGGGCAGACAAGAAGGTCGTCTTGTTTTCCGTGCCAGGTATTCTTAATTATCATTCATATGAAGTATCGATCATATGAAATGTTCTTCATTAACTATTAAGGCGCCTTCACTCCCACCTGCTCGGTCAACCATCTCCCACGGTACATCGAGACGCTCCCAACCCTCAAAGCCAAAGGCGTCGACATCGTCGCCGTGGTGGCCTTTAACGATGCTTTCGTCATGAGCGCCTGGGGGAAGGCCAACGAGGTCAAGAACGACGATATTGTAAGGTATTCCACCACGTGCACGCTCCGTCATGCTTATCCTTCAGCTCTTTCTCTCCGACCCCGACGCCCAGTTCTCAAAGAGAATCGGCTGGGCGGACGCCTCCACCGGCCGGACAGGTCGGTACGCGCTCGTCATCGATCATGGCAAGGTCTCGTATGCGCAGATAGACACCCAGAGAGGGGTTGTCACGGTGGGTTGATCACTTTCTATTCTTGATTATTTCAACTGACTTTGTAGGGATCCGGGGCGGATGCAGTTCTGGCATCTTTGTAGACATTCATTCACATTAAACAATATTGAATACAATCAACACTAAAAAACGATTCAGACCAATTTGATATAAACTACATCTCATCCAATCTCGGCGCCTCCTCGAGTATCACATCCTTCTTCTTCGCCGGCGTCGCTTCTTGGATCTCGCCTCTATCCGCTTTGATCTGGGCAGTCAGCATCCAGTATTCCCTCACAGAGCACAGTTCATACAGAAGCCTCGCTAGTGCTGGCGTTCATCTCCTCCCACTTGCCCATCCGTACGGTCTGCGCATCCTTCTGGCGCTCGGAGATGAATTCGGGGGCGTCAAAATTATCGGGAAAGGTCGATGCAACGAACACTAAATATCTTTATCAGTATATCGTATATCAACTTGATAAAACAATATAGAACAATAACGTACATTCGCTCCCTTTGGTGCTGGGCGAGTGGGACTCCTTGTGGAGGGCTCGCAGCCTGATGGCCTGGAAGAGAGGACGGGTTCGAATGCGAGAGGCGAGCATCTTCAGTATAGTAGTAGAAGTAGTAGTAAGTAGCGGTAGAAGTAATGGTAGAAGTAGTGATCAATGTGAAGAAGTAGTACAGCAGTTTATAGTATAGAAGTAGAAGTGATGATGCAATGATATATGGCAGAGTGGCGAGGGAAGTATGTTTTGTATTGGTATTACTTGTTATATACAGATTTAATGCCTGGTTTACATGTAATGTGCTGTATTACAGTACTGAATATTCTTACAGAATAAGCTCAGTTGCCACACGTCAGGTGTGTTTATATAAAGATGCAGTATACTAATAAGTGAACTAGAGTTTAGCTATTTTATAATTTAAAAAGTAGGTTTATTCAGATTAGTAGCAGCTTATTATTTATTATCATTAGCTACTAGATAGACACTTATATAATAGAGTGTGTGAGAGAAAGAAAAGAAGTAGAGAATGAAAGAAGAGTGAAAAAGAAAGAAAGAAGCAGGGATGAGAAGAAGGGGAAGAGACAGGGAAGAGACAAGACAGGACAGGGCCGGGACAGGGCCGGGACAGGGATAAAAAAATGGACTTGGTGGGAATTGAACCCACGACCTCTCGCATGCGAAGCGAGCGCTCTACCACTGAGCTACAAGCCCGGTGTGAAGGACAATTAGAAAATGCAGTACACATACTTCTCACAGTTATTCTGGACTTTCCATTCCCTGTTTCTGCATTCTTCAACTTAATATTGCATGATGTAAGGGAGGATCGATCGATCGATATCCTGTTCTGCTGTCGATATATATATATATAGTTATAGGCACGGTGGTAGTGTGATTACCATAGTTGATGACCATAGTTGGTCATTATATATTTATCATGCCGCAGAAGATAGCTATTATTGGTGCTGGTGCCGCAGGAATGGTAAGAATATACATCAAAATGAGAAGACGTATCCATTAATATATCTAATAATAAGTCCTGCGCTGCCTCTCTGGCCGCCCATCCTGACCGCTTTGCCGTGACGCTCGTCGACGTCGCCTCCCTCACCGGCGGCCAGGCAACGTCCATCCCCCTCGACGCCTCGCAGTTTGGCGCCAGCTGGCTCAACGACGGTGTGCAGGGCGGATCGCCCATCTTTCGTCACACGTTTCGCTTCTTCCGACAGCACGGCCACGAGCCGCAGCCCGTCCAGCTGCAGGTGGCCTTTGGCAAAGGCCGCGACGCCTTCTTCACCAACGTCTTCCCCAGCCCGCTGATCGAGGCGTCGCGCCCTGAGATCCTCAAGCTCGGCCGCGTCCTGAAATGCATCAAGTACGCAATGCCCATCTTGGGTCTCGTGCCCGTCAAGACCCTGCTCTCCCTATTTCGCTTCAGCGCCCACTTTGGAACCCGTGTCGTCTTGCCCCTGCTGGCCCTCTTTCTGGGCACGGGCAACCAGACGCCCAACGTGCCCTGCATCCTGCTTGAGAGATTGTTCGATGACCCGCAGATGCGGCTGTGGGAGTACGACGCAGACTCGCTGCTCCCCAACCGCCCGACCATGTACACCTTTCCGAACCTGGGGGATTTCTACCGCGACTGGACGGCCGATCTGCAGGCTAGGGGTGTTGAGGTCCTGCTCAACACCCGCACGGAGATACTGCGTCGACATCCTCGCGACGGAGTGACCCTCTCTTTCACCACCTCAACATCAACACCCGCAGAGTCTGCCCACTCGACCTCTGTCAAGCGCGACTTTGACTACCTCGTCCTCTGCACGCAACCGGACGAGTCGAAGAATTTGCTGGGAAGCCTCGCGACCTGGAAGGAAAAGTACGTGCTAGGCGGGGTGCGGTTCTACAACGACCTCACCATCACCCACTGCGACGCAGCCTACTTCACCCGTACCTTTGAGACGCAATGCACGCCTGATTTGTGCGTAGAGAAGAAGAAGGATAAAGCCCGCGACGAGCGCATCGCCTTTGCACAGTCTTCCTCGGCCTGCCAATCCGACGGCTGGCAAGGTTTCCATCCAATGTACTATACACACTCATACGCAAACGCTCCCGAATGCATCGAGATGGGCTTCGACTGCTCCAACTACCAGCATCAATTCCGCCAGGCCCTGGGCGAGGGGAACCCCTCCCCGCCGCCAGACAGACACGTCTACCAGACCATCTTTCTGGATGACTCGCGGCGCGACCTGTGGACATGCGACGAGATCGACGCCGACAAGGTCATCGCTAGAAAGGAGTGGCATCAGTTCGGCCATCGCTGGCAGCACTACCTGCGTGTCGTCCCGGGGATGATGTTCCTCAACGGCAAGAATAGGACTTTCTATGCTGGCAGCTGGACCATGGTAGTACGTCAAGACCTTAGATTTTCCCTTAGACTTTTCCTTGGACTGTTGAGAAATACTTACTGGTATTCAGAATATGCATGAAATCGCCTGCATCTCCGGGATCGCAGCCGCCCATCGACTCGGTGCCACATACGAGCCTTTTGACGATCTCGCAGAGGATTTGTTCGCCAAGTACCTGCTGGTATGCCATGGTGTGAGACACAAGAAGCAATCAAAGAAGCAGTCGTGAAACAATATCACTCTTGACTCTTATATTAGCTACAAAACATATGCCTACGGCCTTCTTCCATAAACGATGTAGATATTGCCGTACTGATGGACCGAGAGACCGATATCTGGACTAATAGCAAGGGCGATTGATGGAGTAAAGCACCGTCTTTATATTCTAACGACGACCTTTTCCGAGTCGTTTCTTCTCGCATGATGCCTTCAGTATGAAGGCCGTTTTCCCCTTAGTCAATGGAGACATCACTGAGAAAAAGAAACCCCCATTCGCTGTGTAGTCCCTCTTTGTTTGACCAAAGTACGATGACAGTCGGGACCTCTGTCAAGAAGCCGCGCAAGCAAGCATCGAGATAAAGAAAGGCCATACCAAAGCACCAATTCAAGAGGAGGATCCCATATGAATGTCTGTTTTCCCATATTATATCGGCATGGGAAATGCCCAGTTCATATTCGAATACGACAATGAGCAACTATATAACGGGGGATTTCTCGTGACCAAAGCGTGATCGGATTTCGCCATACAAAAGCCCTCGAGTCATGGTTCGGAAGCAATTGGAAGAAGAAAGCGGGACTACCATGCAGAGGGGTCCATCCAGGCAGTTGCAGTTTGTAAATCATGACTCGGTGATGCGAGGGAAATAGAACTTCAACTGGCTTCAGGTAGCCCCTCCTCCCAGACGATGCCGGCGTGCTTCCGAAGCACTGCCGTTTGCTCCAAATTTTCTGCTTGCCTGACGTGGCCGGAAGCAAGAGGATGCTTTGCAACGCTGCTACACACGCAGCTGCCGTTTAGTCTTGATTTCCTGGATTCTCCTCGGGGAAGATCTCGGTCTCTGTTGTCTTTAACGCCCTCGGAGGTAATCCATGTACTCAGATCAACCAACCCATTTGCCATAGACACGGGGAAAACAGGGTACTCACCGCGGGTTTAGGAGCAGTTCATGCAGTGAATCATCCACAGGGAGAGGGAGAGTCGAGATGGAGGGAAAGGAAGGAGCATTTGCGTCATGTGATGCTTGTTCACATGACTAGTCACGGGTCTAGTCTTTAGTACTTGGGCTATCATATCATATAACTTTTGATTGATTATTATTAAAGACCAGCTTCCTTTTGATATCGCCATCACTATCACTATCACTTCAGTGCCGCCAACAGCTCGTCCACGCTCTTCATCTCCTTGTCATTGTTTTCCCCCACGTCCAGAGCCACCAAGACCCGACTCACACAGTTATACCCGGCCACTCCGGTGGTCAACTCGACGATCTCGCGGTCCGAGAAGCCGACGGTCTGCAGCTGGGCAAAGACGGCGTCCTCCACAGTGACCTTCACGGTCATCTGGTCTGTGTACGCGATAACGGCTTTCTGCTGGGCACTCAGGGTCGCCGTAGCTTCCAATTCGGATCGATCGTCTACCGTCGACGGTAACGAGCGCGCAGCCTGCAGCGCTTCCCCGGGGATCCCGGCCTTGAGAGCCAACGGCGCATGGGCGTTCCACTCGTACACGGCGCCCGTCAACACCGCGACCCGCGAGACCGCCAGCTCGAGCAGACCCTGGTCCACGACCGTCTGCGTACGAATGGCGCCCAGGAAGCTGTTCCAGCCATCCGCAACAGGCGGGGAGTGCAGCAGCGAGAGATCAAGCGGGATGAGAGGACGCGGGCGGCGGCGAGCGGCGATGCGGGCGTAGATCTCTGCCGTCTCGGGGCTGTCGTCTGCCGGGGTGTTGGGGGCGTAAGGGAGACGCATTTTGATGTTTTTGAAGAAGATTGTAAGTAGTAATGAAAGTAGCAATAATGATGATATAACCCTGGAGTAATTGTCGCTCGAACTTCACACTGGTACAGTCCGGAAAAGCGCTCTACCGGAATACCCCGCAAACCAGGCCAATCGATCTTATCAGCGAAGGTGGGGGATTGAATAGAGTATTCATCCTGCCATTCTTTGCTGTTGAGATACGAATCTACTTGGTATCTAGTGGGGATCTGTACTGTGAGCGTACTCCGTAGTAATAGTAGTAGTAGAGTAGTAGCAGTATGGAGTACTTAGTTGAATCATATTACCAGAATGCTCAATAACAGCAAGATAAGATGTCCTGACGAGTTCTTATAGAGTAGAGTGAGCCAGGTAAAGAAAACTATCTCAAAAGTAGCAAATAATCCCAGCGATGGCATACGAACTGCCTCTATTAATTTGCCAAATTGTGCAGAGGCTTATATCTCTGCCTGAGGCGCTATTATTCATGCCTGAGGCCACTACTACCCACCAATCAGAACCAATTCTCAACCACTCCGCCCCCGGCAAGTCACGGGATCCCAACAGCCGCTCAGCGGAAATTCGTTTTGCACCCGGCAAAGGCTCGAGGCAGACAACGGGGAAGAAGAAGAGGAGAAGAGTTCAAGGCCGGTGGAGCCAAGACCGCTGCTGCCATCGAGATGAGTTGAATTTAATGTCGTCTGACCTTTGTCTGACCGAGTCTACACGTCTTTTGAATCACAGAACCGCGCCTGTCTGCTAGAATCAATCATGAAGCACCACTTGATGGTCGGGACCTGGACCCCTCCGGGGCGCATCTACACGGTGCAGTTCGACGATGAGGCGTTGACGTTGACCCTCGTCAAGAAGACGGAGATCCCAGAGGCGGAGCCTATCTCGTGGATGACGTTTTCACACGACAAGAAGACCATCTACGGCGCGGCGATGAAGAAATGGAACAGCTTTGCTGTTCACAGCCCGACGGAGATTGTCCACCAGGTCTCGCACCCGGTGGCTGGCCATCGTGAGTTGAGATGATGATATACAGTGTATACGAAGGAGGTGCCTCTTTGCTAATTTGACGATTTGACAGCTCTCGCGCCCAGCTCCGAGACCAACACGCGTGCCATCTTCGTGCTCGCCGCCCACCAGCCCCCGTATAACGTGTACGGCAACCCTTTCTACAAGTACGCTGGCTTTGGCAACGTCTTCTCCGTCAAGGCGGACGGCAGTCTGGACGAGAACGTGCAGAACTACCCGTATGCCGAGAACACGGGCATCCACGGCATGGTCTTCGACCCGACCGAGACATACCTCTACTCGGCCGATCTGACGGCCAACAAGATCTGGACGCACCGTAAGGACGCCCAGACCGGCCAGCTGGAGCTCATCGACTGCCTCGAGGCCCCCAGCCCGGGAGACCACCCGCGCTGGGTCGAGATGCACCCCAGCGGCAAGTACCTGTACGTGCTGATGGAGGCCGGCAACCGCCTGGGCGTGTACGTGATTGACGAGAAGCGCCACGTCCCCGTCTTCACCCACATCACCTACCCGCTGCTGCCTCCGGGCCTGCCTTCGCGCCAGACCTACCGCGGCGACGTCGTCTTCACCTCGCGCAACGGCGAATACCTCTTCGCCACCACCCGCGGCAACGGCTTCGACTACACCGGCTACATCACCGCCTTCAAGCTGGGCCCGCACGGCCAGATCGAGCGCCAGCTCTTCGTCAACCCCACCTCCACCAGCGGCGGCCACTCCAACGCCGTCAGCCCCTGCGACTTTAGCGACGAGTGGCTGGCCCTCTGCGACGACCAGGAAGGCTTTGTCGAGATCTACCGCTTCAAGGACGAGCTGCTGGCCCGCGTCGCCCGCGTCGACATTCCCGAGAAGGGATTCGGCATGAACGCTATTTGGTACGATTAGAAATACACCTTTTTTCTTCTCTTCCGTGTAGAAAATAGTAGAAGTTGTAGAAAACAGTAGAAAATACGTACGCTTTTACTGCATTGTTGCTGCCTTACTGCCTTACTGCCTTATGCCTGATCTGCCTTCAGCTTCGACTTTCTCTCCTCCCCCTCAGAGTCACCAACTGGCAACGAATCCCTGATCCACCCACCTTACATAATAGAATGCTGAACCAGCTGTCAACCTTAACCAGAGGACCAGCCAATGGACTCATCCAGGTTTCGATTATCCTAGTGCGTCGATGAGCCATCGGCAGTCGTCTCGGTCTCTGCAGCCGTGCACTTTTCCGCCGCGGGGAAATCGAGGGGCGAAACAGCCGACCGGAAGGCCTCTACGACAGCATGTCGCCCGTTGGATTTCGTCTCGAGACAGCTGGCTGTTGGCAATTAATATTCTACAGGAGATAGAGTGCGTTCGATTGATTTATTACGATTTATTGCTGTCTTCTACGGTCGAATGCTAACCATCGCAGACCCGACCGTACAGCTACTCTTGTTGCTGGAGAACAACCACGAGTCGATACTCATACACTGCTACGGACTCGATAAACAATAGTCCATCGAAAATCATCCATCATGGTGTCTGGTCTGCTCTATGTCACGATGCAGCCCCAGGCGGGCTTGCCGGATGCCCAGTTCCACGACTGGTACAACACGGAGCATGGCCCGCTGCGACTGCGGCTGCCCTTCATCACCAACGGCCTGCGTTATCGGGCGGTCGATCTGGAGGATGAGGACAAGAAGGGCAAGGGACTGCCGGAGTGGGTGGCGCTGTACGACGTCACGGACATGGACGAGATGCTGCGCGAGACCTACCTGGCCCTGCGCGGGGACGGGATCAAGACGCAGCGCGAGAAGGACACCATGGCCCAGATCGCGGTCGATCGCATGCTGTTCGACCTGGTTGACGACTCTCGGGCCGACGACTTCCGACCTGTCGAGTCACTCGACGATGTCGCCGCCACAGGATCCGTCCTCGTCGCCGTCTTCACCACCGTCAAGCCCGACGCCGAAGACGAGTACAACCGCTGGTACCGAGAGGAACACTGCCCCATGCTGAGCCGCGTGCCGGGCTGGCGGCGCACCCGCCGTTTCCTCACTGCTGCGGTCGATCCCAAGGCGCCGCGCCAGTTCCTCGCCCTGCACGAGTACAGCCCCCAGAACGGCCTGGGAGGCCCCGAGCACCAGGCGGCCACGTCGACGGCCTGGTGCAGCCGCATCGAGGCCGACGCCGTGGTGGCTAAGCTGCGTCGCGTCTACAAGTGGTACTACACGTTCGGCCCTGCGCCGCGCGAGCTGGCCTCCCTGGCCTCGACCTCCGTTGCTGGGCCCTGGTCGTCCAACGACGGCCGCACACGCACCCTGCCGTCCACGGAACGACCGGCCGTCGAGTCCTTCGTCACCACCGCCGACGGAGTCGAGCTGGCCTACCGGCTTGAGGGGGCCACGGACCCCAACGCGCCCCTCGTCGTGCTCAGCAACTCCATCCTGGTCGACTACCACATCTGGGACGGCTTCGTCGACGCCTTCTTCGCCCGCCCAGAGAACGCCAAGTACCGCGTTCTGCGCTACCTCACCCGCGGGCGCACCAGCAACGTGGGCTCTCAGCCCGTCACCATCGACGTGCTTGCCGCCGACATCATCGCCCTGCTGGACGCCCTGCGCGTGCCCCAGGCCGCCGCCCTGATCGGTGTCTCGCTGGGTGGCGTCACGGTCCTCAACACTGCGCTGCGCTACCCGGCCCGCGTCGCAACTTTCATCTCCTGCGACACCAACAGCTCCGCGCCCGCGTCCAACAAGAAGGCCTGGGCCGACCGCGTCGCCATGGCCGAGACCGAGGGCGCCCGTTCTGCCGATGAACCCATCGTCGGCCAAAATCTCGCAGAGGTGACCACCCGCCGCTGGTTCGTGCCCGCCACGTACGAGACCAAGCCCGCGCTCGCCGAGCGGGTGAAGCAGATCGTCGCATCCAACAGCCTGCGCGGCTTCAGCCAGGCTGTCAACGCCCTCTGCGACTACGACGTGCGCGCCGCCATGGCCGAAGCCGTCGTCCCCGGTCTGTTCGTCGCGGGCGCCAGCGACGGCATCCTCCCGCAGACCATGCAGCAGATGGCTGCCGACCTCAAGGGCGATGCGCAGCTGAAGCTTGTCGAGGAAGCGGGCCACCTGCCTATGGTGGAGCAGCCGCAAGCTTTTGAGGCTATTGTTTCGGAGTTTATCAACAAATAGCTTAGAAAGTAAATAAGTACAAAAATGCATTTTATTCTTTTTCTAGTTATTTATTACCTTGCTCATAGTTAGTTGCCACCTTAACCCCTCTCTCTGAAGAACCATAGTTTCCTCGCTTCCCGCTCCGGCATCTCTTTTGCCTTGGAGCGCACAAACCGCCGGTACAGCAGCTGCATCTTGCTCTGGGCGGCGGCAAAGTCGACCTGGGGCGGGACCCAGCCGCCCTCATTCGACTGGAGCAGCTCAAAGGTATACTTGCGCAGATTGAGCCAGTCGCGGTAATCCGCCATCTGGCGTTCGTGGCGGTCGATCTCGACGCGGGAGAAGGAATACGGACAGGGGCGATCACCGGGCACATTGAGACGCGGCCATTCCTGGTAGAGACGCACCAGGCAGTCGCGCAGGGGCACGATGCCGTCGCGGTACGTGTACGGACAAGAAGTGAAGAGCTGGCGGATGGCGACGTCCGTCTCGGTGAGGGCCAGGTAGGATTCGAGATGGGACTTGAGCAGCGCCGCCTCGTAGCATTTGGTCATCAGGGCCTGCTTCTGTTTCTCCTGCGCGCTGGTCACCCCCGTGCTGGAATACTCTTCGTCCTTCTCCACGTCCTGGTCGTCAAAGTGCGGGGGCAGCTCCGGCCGGCCCATCCCCGTCTGGTACTCCTCGGGTGGGTTGAGGAAGAGCGGCCACTGCACCTGCGTGAAGCGCGGCAGGATCGCCGTGAACTGCCAGTCGATCACGCCCGTGATGCGCGTCGGGTCCTCGGCCGCCACGAAGATGTTGCCCGGGTGGAAGTCCGGGTGGCACAGCACGGGCGTCGAGTGGTGCTCGATCGCCGGCAGCGTCGCCAGCAGCGGCATCACCTGCACGGCCATGCGCAGCACCTCGACGTGCTCGGCGGGTGTGCCGAAGTGAGGACCACGCCCGCCGTACGAGGTCTTGAAGTGCTCGATCTGCCAGATCCCTTGCTGCGCGAATGCTATCCCGAGGTCGGTCAACGTGCGCCCTGGAAGTAGTAAATATTTCTGTTTCACCACTGGTCTAATGGCCTAACTGGAGAGAGGACAGGAAGAACGTACATGGACCGGCATATTGGGCGTATTCCTCCGGATTAGCCGCGTACCCCCCCGGCCAGGAGCCGTGATACATCGGTCCTAGGCAGTATCGCTCGTCGACGTCGATAGTGCGTCCCGGCTCATGGAGCGGCGGTGCAAGTCGATCACGCATGAACAGAGAGCCGTACGCAGGGAACTTAATGCCGGTAAGTTGGCTCTCGAGACGAGCAAAGGCGCGGATCAGCTGCACGCGGTCCTGTTCTTTGAGGTCATCCCACAGTGCAGTGAGCTGCGTGCCGTGCGATTTCTCTAGAACGATATACTCGGACCCGACGGGGTTGCTCTTCGTGTCCGACCAGGTAAGGACTTTCGAGACCGGGATGGACGTCTGTTCCCTTACTAACATGTTTTCTCTCAGCATTTTGTATAATAGTTAAGCGTGGTATGTGGCATACCCATCTGTAAGACGGCCACCTCCGAGGCCGTCCCGTACCATGGCGGCACGATATTCAAGCAGGGAATCTTCGCGACAACCTGCCGCCCGTTCTCCGCCGTCACCAGTAGACCCTTGTTATATCCGCCTTCCTTCTTGTCGATGGAGGCGACGGGCGAGCTGACCTGCGGCAAGGCAGCGATTATCTCGCACAGCGCGTCGACGTTGAAGGGGGCGTACCGCTTGGCCAGCTCATAGCCTTCGTTGATGAGGAAGCGGCCGTTACGGTACGAAAAGAGCTGGTGCCGGTTGATTCGCTGCCCTAAGGAGATTCAGCTAACAGACTTGGGTTCGTCTCCTTCAGATGATTCGGTATACCGTTCTGGTAGATCGTATATCTTCTGCGGGTGGGCGGGCGAACTAGAGTCCGCGTGTAGAGTCGAGACATGTCTCATACCATTGAGAGGGATTCTCTTGTTGAATTCGTTCACGGTCTCGTCCGGAGACGTACATCGAGTTGGGGCTGTGTACGTCATGGTGGTGAAAGACCACACCCATGGTTCTGGCATAGATAGGAAAAAAAAGTACTTCATTCTCAATCTCATCTTCTCATAACATCATGATGCGCGTCGATTCCATCATCTTTCACAAGTCATCCAGATTGCAAGTGTCCAGTAGATCCTGCGTCAGCTTGCCCTTGCGACTGTAGCTCTCCACATACTTGTCCCCCCATTCGCCGACGGTGTTGTCATAGGTGGTCTCGGGCTTGGTCACGCACAGGTGGCACATCACCTCCTTGAGGCCCTTCATGAGCTGCAGGCGTGGGTACTCGGCCACCACCCGGTTGTACTCGTCCCAGGTGAGCAGTCCGCCGGGCACACGGTCGGGTCCCTGGAAATCGGCCCAGATGCCGAACGAGCAGGCCTGAACCTCGGCCTCCTTGTGAAAGACGATGCTACCGATCGTATGTAGAGCGATGGCATCCCACACGAGCTGCAGGCGGTGCTTGTCCCACTCCGCAGCGGCACCCTCGCGGCGCAGAAACTCGCGTGCCGCGTCGGCTCCGTCCACCTCGAACCGCCGGTCCTTGCTAATAAGCTCTCCAGTCGGGTCCCACCCGAGATCGTGCATGATTGCAGCGACGGCATGCACCTCCAGATCGCGGCCCTGCAGCTCAGGGATCTTGCCCGCGATGATGAAACCGAAGAGAAACGAGCGCACAATATGGTTGTAGGCGTAGTCGGTCGAGTGGGCTCGCGTGAACTCTAGCGCCTTGGTGATCAGCGGCGTGTCGGGCACCGTCACACCAGCAAGAACCTGTGTAGCCATGATGAGACGAGGGTCTTTATGTTCGGTAGTCTCGAAATTGTGTGCTGTTTTGGTCGTCGAAGGAGGTCCTTCCCCTCTCCCCCAGAAGGCCAGATCTGCCGCCGTATTTATCCCCAATTTTGCATCATTCGATGTGTTCCAACTAGTTCCTGGTCAAGTCACTAATTCCCCACCGTCACAGTCAGCACTGGCACACTCACCATCGCCAATCCACCGCGTCCCACCGCTAGCGAAGACCAAAAAGCCTGAACGTCAAATTGTCCACCCACCCGTGCCGCGCCAAGAGCCACCAGACTGATTCGGCGAATCCAGAGCCTTCAATGGCGGCCGGGTGGCGGCGTCCGTTCGCATAGCAGCCTCGCGAGTGGTTCTCAATGGCCGACTGGGGTGAGGAGGAGTGGATGTTCGATGAAGATACGGAGCAGAGACAGAGACGTTGTGCTGTCAGACGAAAGACAGTCGAAGGATTTCCTCGACTGTCCGAAGAGCCTATCTGAGACTAGGTTGAGACCCCGTGACTGCCTGCCCACCTTCCAGGCTTTCCAGTTTCCACCTCCCACTTCACGTTCCACCGCCCCTCTTGACAAGCTGGAAACTGGAGCTGAGGAGAGATAAGGGTCAGATCGAGAGATTGGGCATCGTGGTTTCTGGTAGCGTATAGATACGCCACATCGGGCCCTCCCAACCTGCTTGACGGATCTCATCGTTTCAGTGCTCTTTGCTTTTGCTATGACTGACCAGCAACGTGCCTCGCCAGAGGTAGAGGAGACGGTCTCGCCTCGGGAGGAGACTGTGTCTTCTCAGCGAGAAGGAACCGTTTCCCCTGTCGAAGCAGAGGAGACTCTGGGTCTGGAGATCGCAGTGGTAGGTTCCCCCCCCCCCCGTTGAACGTGGTGATGACGCGGGGCGCCATTGCTGACCATGTAGGATCCGGAGCATGATGGTGCAGATTCCGCTTATGGAGATGACTTTCAGTCGTGAGTGGAATGGCTGATTTGTGCGGTGAGATGACGACTGACAAAGGCAGGGATACGACATCGGTTGCGTCGAGGATCTACAACGGATTGATGGAGAATGGACGGCGGTACGAATCTGTTTTTGGGGTATGAAGTCGGCTTATGCTTATTCTGGATAGATATCAGGTCCTTCGAGAAGACAAGTACTGGTATGATCGAACGGGTGGAAATAGACGGCTCATCACTGACCAGATAGGGGCCCGTCGGACGAGCAACAGTTCGAGACTATGGAAGCCGGGTATGTCTCACGCTCTATTCGTCTTGAATACACTCTGATATGCTTTGTTTTCCAGACACTTCATGTATATGGTGCTCGACTACCACGAAAAGAATCGTCTTCACCGGGCGCCGATTGGGGACTCCCCGCAGGTGTGTTTCCAAGTAGATACATATTTTCTCGTCATACTGACTGTACAGCACATTCTTGATATCGGAACAGGCAAAGGCTCTTGGGCACAGTGAGTCTTACCACAAGGCATACTGAAGTGTAATTTCCGCTAAGTCTTCCAGGGACGTCGCAGACATGTACGAGATGGGTAGGTGGTACACTGCTCGTAGCCACCGTAACAATAAACTGACTGCTGCCAGCCACTGTCCGTGGGGTCGATCTGTATCCTCCCCCGGATACATGGGTCGCGCCAAACTGTATTCTGGAAGTCGACGATGTTCTGCAGCCGTGGACATGGCGGGAACCGTTTGATCTCATCCACATGCGACTCATGCTAGGCGCGTTTACCCCAGCAGAATGGGATCGGGTGTACCAACAGTGCTACGAGTGAGTTGCCGCTTACTTTGACTGGACATCTCTTTTGTACTGATTCCTTCCACAGCAATCTCCGCCCCGGTGGATGGATCGAACAAATCGAGCTCGACGTGCGGGTCATGTCCGACGACGGGACGCTCCCCGAAGACAGTCTGCTGGCCGGTTGGGGGGAGACCTTCCTACGCTGCGGCCAACGGTGCGGTCGCCCGCTAGATACCCAGACAACGATGCGTGCCGCCATTGAGCGGGCCGGATTTGTCAACGCCAGCGAGAAGTTGTACAAGTGCCCGATCGGCGCGTGGCCCAAGGACCCCCAGTTCAAAGACGCAGGCTCGATCAATCTGGCGCACTGGTCGTCTGGGCTGGAGGGCTGGGCCATGTGGCTGCTGACCAAGTATGGTGAGCCCGAGCCCTGGAAGAGAGAAGAGGTCCAGGTGTATGTAGCCAAGGTGCGCCAGGAGCTCAAGCGACCGGGCCAGCACATCTACCATCTGACGTGAGTTTTCTCGTTACCATATCTCGTCTGATACTTGCATCAGTACTAACGGGGTGTAGACGTCGTGTGTGGGCGCAAAAGCCAGAGAAATAATAGAGTGACAGTGTATAGCCATGTTGATATCATAGAGTACAACGGAAAATCCCTGTCCACTACATATGTCATCGTGTCTATAAACTACATACGGAAACGCCACGATTCACCCTTGCATATATCCCTGCAATGTAAGCCGTATCCTCCAGTATACCCCTGCCGGCTCCACACTTGGCCACAGGGATATTGGATCAATGGTAGCACGGCTGTATACTCGAGATATGTAGTATTCATAAGTCATTAATATTCACGCCTGATGCTTATTTATAGTAATTCCTTTTTTTTTGCGATGAAAATGCTACTGCTCCGCCTTGGCCTTTTTCTTGCGGTACACCCGCTCATCGTTGGGATCGAAGCCGCCCTTCCCCCAATACGCCCATTCCTCCGTCTCACGCATGTAGTCCTCGGGCGTGAAGGGGGTACCGAGGGATTTCTCGCGCTCGAGCAGGTCGAAGAAGCGGTCATAGTTGATGCGCGTGTGCCACTTGCCGTCGACGTGGAAGCGGTCCGAGGCAAGAAGCACGCAACAGCTGTGGGCATGCTCGGCGGCGATGCCGTAGCCGAGGCCGCGCCGCTGCAGCTCGGCGTGCAGGGCTTCGACGAACTGGGCGACCTCCTCGTAAAAGGGGACGTTTTGCATGGTCAGGCCTGCGCCGGCGCTGGTGCTTGTGCCGCAGTAGGTGACGCCCTTGATCTCGACGAAGCAGGGGAGGGCCTTCTCGACGAGATCGGCGTAGCCGCTGACTTCTTCGTCGACGTTGAAGCCCTTGACGAGGGTCAGGCGGAAGACGGTGCGCTGGACGTGGCGCTTCTCGCGCAGGATGTCGAGGCAGCGCTGGAAGCGCTCCCAGAAGTCGCGGTGCAGGGGGCGGTCGATGCGGCGCAGGGCCTCGCGGTTGCTCGCGTCGATGGAGACGTACAGCTGCGTGACGCGCTGCAGCGTCTGCAGCTGGTCCGGGTGCTGCGCGTTGCACACCAGGAAGCTCGAGATGCGGTCGCCGTGCAGCAGGTCCAGGAAGCGGTTGATGTGCGGGTAGAAAATCGGCTCGCCTACCAGGCTCAGCGCGCAGTGCCGGATGCGCAGCGCCTCGGCGAACCGCTCGGCACGCACGCCGGGGATCCCCCGCATCATCTTGATCTTCTTGTAATGTCCTTCCTTGATCCCGTCGAAGATCAGCTCGGGCGAGTCCACCTGCCAGCGCCATGTCGTGCCCACGGGGTTTGTCCCGTGCCGCCAGCAGAAGATACATTTGTTGCTGCACGACAGCGACGGCGTTGCCTCCATGCACAGATGCGACCGGATCCCGTAGAATGAGTACTTGTAGCACGACCCGCGCCCGCGCAGCGCCGACTTGGTCCACCGGCAGATCTTGACGCCCGAGTGCGAGCCCACGATCGTGTACCCCTGTTTCGTCAGTGCTGCATACGTCGGCGACGTCTTGGGAACCATCTCTTTGGCAGTGGCGGTGGTAGTAGTAGTGGTGACGCCGGACTGTCCGACCGTTGTGAAGTCGATCGGCAGAGGAGAGCTCGAGTCGCCCATTTGGATGTCCTCCACGTCCACCACCGTTCCCTTGTTTCGCTTACGGTTCTTCGCAGGAGCCTCATTCTCATCCCCATCATCATCCTCTTCTTCTCCCTCCTCGTCGCTTTCCAAGGCATCTCCACTCCCCGGAATGCCCTCTCCGAGCCCGCCGTATTTCAGCATCTCCCCCAGCGTCTGCTGCAAGCCCGCCGACCACTCGCGCAGGGCGTCATGGGCGTCGCTCTTGACATCACCGAAACCGAGCGGATACGCACGCTTCCGACCGGACAGTTTGGCCATCCAACGGTCCAGCTCCGTGGCCTGCGAGCAGAAGCCTTCCTCCTCCGTGGGCCAATTTTCCTTGTCGCCGAATCCGAACACCGTGTATCCCGCCAGGGTGGAGAGTGAGCCCGTGTCGATGCGGAAATCATTGTGTGTTTCATCGAGATGGCTCAGGAAGGTGTTGATAACGGTGTCGATGTTGTAGCTGGGCAGCAGGAGACAGTAGACGTACCGTGTCCCCGGGGCGGTCGCGGGCGGTTTGGGCGCGCTGGTGAAGTAGTCGTCGAAGTCCACGTAGGCCAGGTCGTGGATCTGCGGCGCCAGGAGACCACGGTCGCTATCTTCCCCGTCAGAGAGCGTCTGCGCGGCGGCACGCAGGTCTTCCAGCAAGATCTGCGCGTACCGCTCCGTCGAACCCGTCAGCGAGGCGTAGAAGATGATCGGCTGGATGCAGGTCAGCGACTCAACCGCCTGTCCAGCACCGCTACTCCGAGCCGGTTTTTTGCCCTGGACCCTCTTCGGGCCATTCGTCTTGACGGCAGGTTTTTTCTCTATCCGTTTCTCCACGGGCTTTTCGGTGATGACGGGCGAAGAGGGGGGCGGGGAGGAGGGCACCGAGGACGAGTCGGGGGTTTTGAGGCGGGGCTGCGACTTGCGCGAGGCATGGACAGCGAGGATGACGGCGGAGAGGAAGAGGACAGGAATGCGATAGGTATGCCAAACGGACAGCAGGCCTGTTGGAAGCATAATTGTCAAAATTATTCTTGAAATCTCGGTCGTTAAATCCACAAACCTTGAGCCGCCGTGGGCACAGAGGCGTCTGCCATGATGAAGCGCCGGTTGGCGGAGCTTTTTCACAATAGACTTGAATTTTAATCACTGGCAGTAGACTCTGGAAATATTCAGTGTCTGGAGGAGATATTCAGTGGACTGGAGTGAGACAAATTGTTTCTGAGAAGAGATGGAGGGAAGAAGTTTGGGTGGAGAAAATCAAGAGAATCTTAAATCAAAGAACCAATGATAGTATTTATTATTCTATCAATTAATTGGATCAGTTGTTGATTATTCATTTGATTATTCAGTTTTATCCCATTGTTATTATTTGAGTATATGTAGTTTTATTGTTTTATTCCTAGAAATGTCGGTCTTCCATTGCCTCGAGAGGAATGACTGTACAGAAAAAATATAGAAGGTACTGTATATATATAGAGATGGCAAAATTGATAATATCTATTAAGATTATTATATCAATATAATCAATAATTCTCTGCTCTGTAAGAGTGGCAATTAATTTCTCCTGCAGAGTGAGAGTGACGCTATCTCGCTCGCTATTATTTATCTCGCTATCTCCCCTCATTGTCTCCTCATCTCCCCATCTCTCTGTTCTCCCCTCTCCCTCTCCTACCTCCATTGCCTCATATTCCACGCTATTTATTTTATTTGTCGAATGCTACGATGCCCCAAGAAGAATCACGGCCCCTCATGGAGGCCTACTCGGACGATCCCAACGCCAGCCCCCTCACCATCTCGCATGACGACCCCCAGCCCCCGAAGAAGCGATCCTACACCGGACGCATTGTTCTCCTGTTTCTTGCTTTCATCGGTCTGCTAGTTGCTCTGCGCAATATCCGGGGTCCCCGGCTGCCTCTTACGCGTGACGAGCGAGTCCACCGTATCCTGTCCAAGACCCCGTTGATCGGTAGGCCCCCTTATCTCTGGGAGATCGCTCGAGCAATCGCCGGCTGCTAACAACAAACAAAGATGGCCACAATGATCTGCCTTGGCTCATCCGGGCAAAATTCCACAACCACATCTACAACGAGGACTTCACACAGCCGTTTGAGAAGGGCAATCTGACCGGTCACGTCGATCTGCCGCGCCTGGCAGCCGGCCAGGTCGGCGGCAGCTTCTGGAGCGTGTTTGTGCCCTGCCCGCGCGACTGGGAGGACTTTTCCGACGCGACATACACCGAGAGTGTGCGACAGACCATTGAGCAGATCGATGTTGTCGCCCGGCTGCGTCAGGCGTACCCCGACACCTTCTCTGCGCCGCCCAACGGAACCACGGCGCTGCAGGCGTTCCAAGCGGGCCAGCTCATCTCCCCGCTGGGCATCGAAGGTCTACACTCGATTGGCAACTCGCTCGCCTACCTGCGCAGCTTCTATGATCTGGGGGTCTCGTACGCGACGTTGACCCATAACTGCCACAACCGCTTTGCCGACGCGGCCCTTGCAGAGGTTGCATATGGCGACCATGGCGCCGTCGAGGTGGCCCGTCCGCGCTGGTACGGCGTCAGCGAGGCCGGCAAGTCGCTCGTCCGCGAGATGAACCGCCTAGGCATGATCGTCGACCTGGCGCATGTCAGTGCGGCGACCATGCGGGACGTGCTGGGTGCTGGGAAAGACGACTGGCCGGGCAGCCGCGCGCCCATCATCTTCAGCCACAGCTCTGCCTTTGCCCTGTGCCCGCACCCGCGTAATGTACCAGATGACGTGCTGGACCTGGTCCGCGAGCGCGACTCGCTCGTCATGGTCAACTTTGCCCCGGAGTTTATCTCCTGCACGGCCTCTGACCGGGCGGATGGACTGCCCGATTTTTTCCCCGGAAACGCAACCCTCGCCCGCGTGGCCGACCACATCGTTTACATCGGCGAGCGCATCGGGTTCGACCATGTCGGCCTGGGCAGCGACTTTGACGGCATCGCCTCCACGCCCGCGGGGCTCGAGGACGTGTCTCGCTACCCGGCGCTGATCGGGGAACTGCTGGACCGCGGCGTCAGTGATCGCGACGCAGCAAAGGTCGCGGGAGGAAATGTGCTGCGCGTCTGGCGGGCGGTTGACCGGGTTGCCCTGCAAATGCAGGCCGAGGGAGTCCCCGCGGAAGATGAATAAATGTAAACCAGCATGTACATAACAATCACTATATACATCTATTGTTCATATTGAACCCTCTGAGACACGTCTCCCTCTGCACGCCGATAAATTTGTACCGATCGCCCTGAACGTCCGCCTCGGTCGCCCAGACAAACGCCCGATGCTCCTTTGGATCCAAAAGCACACGCTCCTCCTCCCACCCCTGGTGGGAGTCTTCACACACCCTGGCCAGGAAAACAATCTTGCAGAACCGCCTCGCGGCGCCGTGCTTGACGTCCTCCCATTCATCGAGGGAAATCACGTCCTCGAATCGCCGCACATGCAGGCCCGTCTCCTCGGTTATCTCCCTCGCCGCGCCGGAGAGCATGCTCTCGTCGTCTTCCTCGCACGCGCCGCCCGGTCCTTCCCAGTGGAGCGGGTACGAGTCGCTCTCGCTGCGTTGCAGCAGGAGAACCGTTTTCTCGCCTTCTTTGCTGGAGTAGATGTACGCTCCGACTGCGACGTGGGTGAATGGTCTTGAACGTAGGAAGGTGGAGAGGGGGACGTTGAATTCGGTCAGATGTTGCGAGAATTCAAATGTCATTTTTATACCATATAACCAGGATAAAATCGATAGAGATATAGGTGTAGGTAGGTAGATAGAGGAAGGTATACTAGGTGTAGACAGAGGAAGGTGTGGTGAGAAATAAAGGTGAGGGGCAATATTTATCTTAGGCACTTTTCTTCCGAATCATGATTATCATTCTACACTTCTATCATTACGTGCACACGCCAGCGCGTGCACTACAGGAAATACTCGCTGCGTCCCGGCCGCGACTGCGGGACATGGCGCTGGTCGTCGCTGACGGCGCTGAACAGCTTGAACGAGGGCTTCAGGTCCTCGCCGACCTCACACACAGACGCCAGGTTGCCGCATCGATAGCAATAGTTGGGCGCGCTCCACACCGTCACCACGTTCTGGTTGGAAAAGTGGTATTTGTAGCCCTCGTTGACCAGCTGGTGGGCGCGCGCGATCAGCGTCAGGTCGTTGACGTGGCAGAACTCGTCGGCCACCTTGTCTCCGAACAGCCAGCCTGGAGGATTGTTAGTCTGTGTGATGTACCACGTAGTCATCGGAAAGGCAAGTTACCAGCACCCCGTGGACTCACGGCCCACGTCTCGACATCATCCGGATCCGACCACACCAGGTCGCAGAAGGCCCCTTCGTGCGGAATCTCTTGCGCGCGCGCCACAACACGCACCTGGTCCAGCGTGCGGATCTCCGGGCTCAGCCCGCCGTGCACGCACAGCACTTTGCCGTCGATGATGGCGCCCAGGGTCATGAAATCGAAGACCTGGCAGCACGCCTTCCAAACCGACGCGTTACCGTACTTCTGGAAACACTCCTCGTAGAAGCCATACACTTGAGTGATCTGTCGGGACTCGTGGTTGCCGCGAACCAGGGTCACACGGTCGGGATATCTACCTTTGTGAGCCATGCAAAATATAAGAAGACAGACTTGGGAAAAACAACATACTTTGCCTTTAAGCACAGCAGGAGAGTCAACGTCTCCAGGCTGAAATACCCCCGGTCGACGTAGTCTCCCAGAAAGACAAAGTTGCGATTCAGCTGCAGCTCGCCTGATCCAGCACTGCTGCTCGACCGTGCACTCCCGTCCGTGTTGCTCTCCTCATCCCCATCTCCACCACCGATGCTCCCCGGATTCCTCAGCTTTTTGCGCAGTTTGGGATCTGTAATCGTCGTTGGTGGCTCGATCGCGTCGGACGTGATCAGCGGCGCGGGGGTCGTCTCCGGCCTCTCCAACTGCTCCATCCCCGCGGCGCTGGGCATCCCTCCAGACACACGGAACAGTTCCAGCAGGTCGTAGAATTGTCCGTGGATATCGCCGCAAATCGTCACCGGCGTCGAAACGGGTTGAATATTCGACTCTGTGGTGGCAGCGGGGTCAGCATGGCACAATCACCTAGAAAAAAGAAGAAAAAAAAGAAAAGAAAAAACCCACCCTCCATCATATACTCCTTGACCATCTCGCACAGCTGCTTCATATGGTGCTCAGACAGATACTTGCAATCTTTGGCCGCCGCCAGCCACTCGTCCGGCCCTGCATTGCGCTTGAGTTTGGCCGGCCCTGGCTGGGGGACTTTGCTGTCGACCATGCTGAGAAATAAATAGGAACAATACAGGCTCCGATAGGGGTTCAATACACCACAAAACCAAACAGATTGGCAAGCAGGAGTCCTGTCTGCTGGGATGCGTTCAGTGAAGAGAGACGCTCGACGTTTCCCCGCGGATGATTTCCAGCTGCTCGCCTGGCCGCCCTCGTGCTCCGTAGCGGATCGTCAGTCCATTTACTTGCCTTCCCACCCTGGATCCGACATTCCATCCCACGCTTCCCCTCCCTTCAGATTAACGAGTTATGACGGAGTGTGTGGTTGTCTTTGAGAGGAACTACGACGCAGGTTTACTGAAATAATGGTTTTCGCCATGACACAGGGCCCAGGGAAGTCGCCCGGGGGTGTCCTGCAGATCTCTGCTGCTGCAACCCAGAAGAATGCCACGTCGGCGCCCTCCAAGCCAGCAAAGCCACCAACACCGCGGCTCAAGCTGCTGGTGAGACGTCTGCCGCCCGGCTTGACGCAGGCCGAGTTTGAGAGCGCGTTGGGGGACGAGTGGAAGACTGGCGCGGGCAAGGTCGATTGGCTGCAGTACAAACCGGGGAAGGTTTCAAAGGAGTATGCACCTTTTTCTTTTCACTTGATAAAAACAAGGCTATCTTGCTCATCAGGTCTAGTGCTGCTAAACCGTCTCGTCCGTCGCGTGCGTATATCCACGTTGTGGCCAACGAACACCTTGCCCCGCTCTCCGACACGGTGCGCACGACCTCGTTCCTCGATGCGCGGAATACCGTTAACGATCCGGTCCTGATGGGCCCGCCGACGCTGGAGTTCGCTCCCTACAGCAAGGTGCCTGGGAGCCGGGTCCGCAAGGATGCCCGACAGGGGACCATCGATCAGGATCCAGACTTCATTGCCTTTCTGGAGAGTTTGACGCAACCGATCACCAAGCCGACCGCGTCGGCGGACGCGGCTGCAGACGGCGGGGAGAAAAGGGAGACCATGATCACGCCACTCGTGCAATATATCAAGGATAAGAAGGCAAACAAGGCCAAGGAAAACGCCGCGGCCGCGAAGGCGGCGAAGCATGCCAAGGGAGACAGAGAGGGCAAGGCAGAGAAGGTCCAGGCGAAAAAGCTTCTCCAGCGACCAGACAAGGACGTCTCTTCGACGTCTGACAAGAAGAGCCGGGCCGACAAGACAACCAAGGAGGCCGTCAAGGCCGCGAGCAAACAGGCTGCCAGCATCGCAGCCAAGGCAGCAGGCGGCAAGACGAGCGCCGCGGCGGCTGCTACTGCTACTACGAACAAGGACACCGGCGCCGGCGCTTCTTCAGACCGCAAACGAGACCGTGGGAATGCCAGCGCGGCAGCCAAGATCGTCCAGCGTGATCTGGGCTTGTCGCCTGCATCCGGGGGTCGCCGTCGCGGCGGCAAAGGCTCGGGTGTGGCCGAGGGCGAGAGTCCCCGTGATCGCGCAGCGACGCCCACCGAGAAGAAGGATGTACCCCTGACGAAATCTACCAAGGGAGCGGCGGGCCCTAAGACCGGCAAGGAATCCGCTACGATGTCGCGCGCGGCGTCCGATGCGGGCGGTACGCCTTCACTGAAAGGTACGGGACCTGCTGCCTCTACAGCGAAGTCCTCGAAACCCGGTAGAGGGAAGAAAGAAGGCGCGGCAACACAATCGCCTGTCTCTACAGCTACGCAGGCGTTCTTGAAGCATGCAAACCCGTCGCAGGGGGTGACCGAGGCGCTGCTCGAGACGGCGTTTGCGCCCTTCGGCACCGTGACCAAGGTGGAGATCGACAAGAAGAAAGGATTCGGGTATGTTGATTTTGCCGAGCCAGAGAGTCTACAGAAGGCTATTGCCGCGAGTCCCGTGGCTGTCGCACAGAGCCAGGTGGTGGTACTTGAGCGCAAAGCCACGGCCGGCGGCGCTGACAAGGGAGGAGGAGGGGGAGGAGGAGGCCGCGGTGGGAAGGGCTCTATGGGCACCAGCACCAGCGGCGTCGGAAAACAGGACAAGGACAATAAGGAAGGTCGTGGGAAGAGCGGGGGAGGAGGCACCGCGAGCCCAGCAACGAGCGCTGTGGGCGCAGATGCAGTGACCGGCGCTGCCGCACCGGCTGCTGGCGGTGCCTCTCGTGGTTCGCGAGGACGAGGACGTCACCGCGGCGGAGGATCCAAGGGGAACAACGCAAAGGCGAGCGAGACCAAGTAGAGCAGTAGAATAACGATAGATGAGTGATACCCATTCATGACAGCTTTTAGCATGAGTCTAGACATTTTGAGGTAGCTTCGTATTAAAATACTGTAGTACTAAGTACCTTGTAGGAACCTTATCGTACAAGATTTATACGGAGTACTCAAGTGATTTAATGACTTAATAATTCAATAAAATGATTTAATGATTTAATGATTCAATAAAAAATTTTCATATTTCAAAAGGGTATCTAACTAAACTCGCACACAATTCAAAGAATTGAAAACCTTTCAGACCTCCTCGACACCCACCAAGTCGGACCGACCGAAGTCAAGACATCACAACCAGGTAAAGATCATCACCACTCCCTAGACCCAAAACGCCAGGAGTACGCCGCGTTAGACTCGCAAAAACGAGTCGTAACATCGAGTGTCCTGGCAGGGTCGAGGCGGAAGTATATCGGCTTCACTTTAGGGCATCGAGGACATAACAGTCATCAGCAAGGGTGGAGATTCTGTGGCTCTTTTAAAGAGCTTAATGGAGGACGTCTACTCTAAAGTGATTCTTTGAACTGTAGAGGTCAGTCAGTAAATAATCTTCCACAATTGTTTTGGTTTTCCCAAATGTAGGGGGGGGAGGAACGCACGTAGAGTCGCTTGAAGTCCAAAAGGATGAGGGCCGACGTGCCTTTTATATTTTCCCTGCGCCCGCTAGCGACGGCGCTAGCCACAAGCGAAGCTCGGGCTGTTTGCGCTGTTTGTCTCGGAAGATGTCCCGGGCCGGAACAAAGCATCCACACCAGCTCCACAGGCCACAGAGTTTTCACTTTCTTTGCTAATACTTTGATAACCTTTGCTAATACTTTGCTAATCGAATGCGTTGTATGGTGCCCTGCCTTTTTAGATGTGTCATGGATTGGTTTGAGGGAATATCAGTACCGTCTATTGGTCAGTTGTATGGAGGACTGGTAAGAGCCATTGCTAAGGCAGCTGACATAAACTCAATATTCACGTGACACAGTTTTGACTTTGCTGTCACCGAAGCTACGCTAGCTTGAAACGAGCCAGCATGTCTTGGTGTATTCAGTTGAAGGCCTTCTAGAATACTGTCACCTATGCTTCGTCAGAGACATCCTCTATATACAGCACTGTCATGATTCTAGCTCATAATTTCAGTCGAGCAGCCCGGCACTATGTAGTACAGATATTACTCCGTACTTCCATTTCTACCCTGCAAGCCTGTACCCCGGCGTTGAAGCTATAGTTGGCCCCACTACAGACAAGCCCATGTATCACTACCAGCTAGGATAATTAGCTGAAACATATACAGCTTGAGGATAGTCAAGCATTAAGAGGGTTAGTGATACGGATAACTACGGAGTAACTAGTTATCCACTTAGTTACTCCATAAGTACCTAATGTATGGAGAATACTATGTAGTCCATATAGAGTAACTATTGTGCTTTAAATATATTCTAGATCAATCTATAGCGTAGAAGAAAATTATAAGTACTATAGTATAGATCTATTGTCTAGCCATTGAGACAAAAATTAATTACCCTGGCCGGCGGAGGAGGCAATGTCGGTGCTAGCAGCGGCAGCATCGTAGACATCGCTGGAGTAGCTCTCGAACTCCTCGAGGACGCTGGTGTCGGCGTCATCGGTGGACCCGGAGTCGGTGTAGGAGTTGGCGACACAGGCGCGGCCGATGTAGTCCTCGCAGTCCGAGGCGTTGTCCGAGGTGGCGGCGAAGAGGGCGCCGTCGTTGTAGTCGCTGTCAACGATGGTGGTGACGTTGTCGAACACGTTGCCCTCGAGGAGGACGTAGACGCCGTCGTCGGTCTCAAAGGCGTGGCCAGAGTTGTCGTACCAGTAGTTGTTGGCGGCGTGCACGATGGTGCTGCCGGCGACCTTGGGCGCACGCCCGGAGGTCATGTACAGGTAGTTGTCGACAAAGGTGATCTGGTCGCTCGAGCCGTCAAAGTACGCGTTCCAGTACGTGTGACCGTCGCAGGTCGCCGAGTAATCCGTCTCGCCGTCGAAGAAGTGGTTCGAGATGGTCACCCGGTTGTCGGCTTCCGTGCCCAGGACAATGTGCTGACGACCAATGCGGGCAGTCTACACCGTTAGTTCTCCTATCAATGCTAACAATCGAGAGAATAGACCTACCGTAACGTGGTCAATCCAGACCAGGTCCGACTCGTCGATGGTGATGGCATCACCACCCCAGACGTACTTGGCATTGATATCGGTGATGGCAATGTTCCTTCAAGATCAGTATTGACACGATGTATCGGTCTGACACAGGGTATCGGTGATGTACTCACTGAATGATGACGTTCTCGGCGCCGCTGACAATACGGAGACCCTTGCCCTTGATGACACCCGAAGTACCGGAGCCGACGATCGACTTGTTGGAGCCGACAGTGATACCCAGGACACCGGCAGTGTAGTATTCAACGTCGACAGTGGGAGCGTCGGGCTCGTAATCGGTACACCAGTCGTCCTGGTTGATCGCCTCCTGGCACCCCGTCGCGGTACCCCAGGGGGCACAGCCGGTGCCAGTGGTGGTTCCCTCGCTATCGGTGAAGTCGAAACTAATTTGTCAGAAAAAAAAAAAAAAAAGGAGAAAGAGAGTTGAAAAGAGAAAAAGAGAAACGTACGTCTGGGTCAGAACGATAACACGAGCCTCATCATCTCCTAGATACGAGACCAGCTCGTCGGTGGTGGTAGGAGTGACGGCGGCAGCGCTGCCACCACCAGTAGCAGAAGCAGCAAAGCCCGGCGCAGTGCCGGTGACGCTGACACCAGCGTTGGCAGCAGCAGCCGAAGAGGACGCAGCGGTGGCAGCCTCAGTCGCGACCTGAGCAGCCGAATAGGACTCGGCCTCCGGGGCAGCCTGGGAGGCAGCCTGGGAGGCAGCCTCAGGAGCAGCCTGAGACGCAGCAGCCGGATAGGAGGCCGCAGAAGTGACGGGGACAGCAGCCTCGGCGACGCTGGAGGCCGCGGAACTGCCTGAGTCTCCGTAGCTGCCAGAGCTGTCGGAGCTGCCAGAGCCGCCGTAGCTGTTGCTGCTGCTGCTGCTGCTGCTGGACTCACCGGAGTTGCCGTAGTTGTTGGAGCCGCCAAAGGACTGGCCGCTGCTCCCACCGGCGTTGAATTCCTGGTTGCCAAACCCCTGGGGAGCAGCCGCAGCGTGGCCTACCAGGGCGACGGCAGCAGCGAGGAAAGCAGTAGCGTACTTCATCCTGGAAGTAGTCGAGTGCTAACGAAAGACTGAAGAAGAGGAGGAAAAAAAGAATGAGAGAATTAATGGGAAGGAAAGAGAATGACTGATGAGTGAGCGAGAGAGAGACAGAACATGCTCGGTGCCTTTGAGGATATAAATAAATAGAGAACTGCCGGAAGTACTAATTGCCTGGTATTTACTATTTACTATAGATTGTTTCATGATCCCGCGGTGGAGCAGACATCCCCCTTCCTGGTTATCTCCGACAGGCGTGTTTGGACTAAGGAGACCCAGTCTCGATAATAACCTTTGATATAGGTTGAGCTATTGGGTTGAATCGGCGATGAGATCCATCCATCACTTTAATCAGGGGCGCTTGGTCCACGAGCCAGAATGGTAGGCCCGGCTTTTCAAGGGATTAGCTGGGATGGTGATACAGACAGTGTCAGGGGAATTATTACAGAGTACTAGGTAACTATCTATCTAGTACAAAGTAGCTAGTAGGTACCTACTAGGTAGTTAGTTTTAATTTTTATTCATGTAGTTATCTGGTTATACCTAGACAAGATAATTTCTCTATGATTTAGTGGAACTGTAATCTACATCCACTCCACAATAGAATTTCATCATAAATATTTATTTATACTCTAGTATAGGCCATAATAATAATATTATTATTATTGTCTGATTCAATCTATTTATGCTAGCATTTACCCCGTACTAATCACTAGAGCTGCTTTGAAACTGGAACTGTAAGGCCTAAGATGGAGACTCCACTGACGCGTCATAAGGGTTTACAGTATTACTATGAGGTAGTTCTAGTTGGAATTATTAATAGTTGTGGGAACGATCTTGTATGAGATAGATTAATATTACCAGTATCAATAATATGTAGTAAGTAGTAGTTATAACATACTGAAGGTATTATTAAATATATCTCAAGTATATTAAACTTATATCTTCCTACTTTTTTAAACTATAATCCAGGAACTGCTGTTCATGCAGCCTTTATACTGATCTATTAATTATACTATAAGCTTTTATTATTCTGAAGAGTCATCTACTTAATATAGAATATAATCTAATTTGTGACCTTTAGTACTATGGTTCAATTTCTACATCACCGCTCCAGAATGACTAAATACTCTGTACATACAGAGCAACTCGTGTTTCCCCACTGCATACAGGAAAACTACTACATAGTCCACAGATTATACCACACAAGTCGATATTTTGACTACTCTCACATATTAACATGACACAACCGACTGTTGTCCTCGTCCCAGGCGCCTGGCTCACACACGCCTTCTACGCCCCGTTCCTCTCCCTGCTGGAACGACAAGGCTTCCCCGTCCATTATGCCGAATACCCCTCTCTCGACGCCGCGGACCCGTCATCTGCATCCTGCCAGGTCGACTCGGACGCCATCCTCGCCCACACCGTGCGCCCGCTGATCCAAGACCAAGGTCGTGACGTGCTGGTGCTGATGCACTCGTACGGCGCCATGTGCGGGTCTGCAGCGGTCGCCTCCTTCTCCAAGACCGATCGTGCTCGCCGGGGCCAGAATGGCGGTGTCCTCGCTCTGATCTGTCTGGGGGCATTTCTCGTCCCAGAGGGTCTCAGCTGTGCAGGGTTTATGGGGGGAAGCTTACCTCCTTGGATTCTTCTGGAGGAAGTAAGCACAGAGTATTATTTTTCTCTACTTTGGAAATAAACTCAAAAGAGACCCTTGCTGACTTTCCAAGGCATCTCAACTGAATACAGTCGAAGATATGACCGTCTTATCTGCAGACGTGCAGAACCTGGAAAACATACGCACCCAGCTCAAACCCCACGCAACCCTTGCGTTCAACTCGCCACAGCCCACCCCTGCGTTTGCCGAGGAAGCGTTCCGCGACCGTCTGGCCGTTATTCTACTCGACGGCGATCGCGCAGTGCCTCTTTTTGCACAGGAGGGGATGGTTCGAGGCACAGGCAAGACCTGGATTGTGAAACGGATGGAGGGGAGCAGCCATCTTGCGCCATTTGCAGAGAGGATGGACGAGTGTGTTTGTTTGATAGAGGAAATCCGCAAACTTCTAGACTAGATATCTAGAGATATTTCAAACTAGATGGGAAAGTATATTCTGAATGTCTAGCATTCATTCACCAGCTTCGTGGACTGCTTCTCCCCAAATACGCAAAGACAATACCTCGCTCTGTTTCCAGCAGGGTGCAACATGGCCAGCAGGTCTGTTCATCCCCTCTCCTGGTGATACAGAGACTTGCAAGGTGTGGGTGTTTGAGAGAGAGGCAGATCACGCTGTGAGGATCGGGGGCAAACGAGCGGAGCTGGAAGAGGGTGTACCATTTTCTGCTTAGATGGTAGAGGAAACGCAGAGCTGATAGCGTCTACAACTTTATATAACAAGAATGGTTTGGAATACTGTCATATAGCTCATCTACCTGACTCCATGGAACATACAGGATTCATACTTAGAATTCCTTCTAGACACCTGAATAATACTATCACTTCAGGCTGCTAGATTATATTCTATTATAACTATTACTACTTTCTAGTCTATCAGTAAGGAATGTTCTAGTCGAGTGGCTCTCCGTGACGAATGTGGCGCCATGCGGCCGTACTGTAATCCATGCAGAATAGCAGAGATAAACGAACACTAGGTATGATCTAAACTGTAATCTAAACTGTAATCATTTTCCATGCAGATTGTGCCTAAATACTTATTAGTGGCCACCAGCTGCATCTGCAGGCGATACAAATAGGAAAAACTACTATATCATAGATATCTCTGACAAGAAATTGTGACTGCAGAAATCTTTGATATACAGACTTAACTTTTTATTCTTTCTCCCCATTCTTCTAGTTATGTCAAGACAAAGAACTATCGAGTGGGCTTTATCAAGGCAATAATGTCAATTGATACCTTGCCTTGACATTATTACTGGTGTCTAGACGAAAAGTGAAGAGGGAAAACCGATGTTATCTGTCGATCTGCAGATTGCTATCATGGTGGCTGAGTACTCTCATCATCGAGGTCTTTACTCTGTCAGTGGAGGATTTAGATAACCCTCGGGCGAATGGATGTGACCAGACCCTATCTTTCTTACCAACTGTCTCAAGTTAATCAATGATGGCCAGCAATCGCATCCAGCCATCGCCAGAATGTCTGTATAACCTTGTCATGACCCCTACAAGCAGTAGAGATTCTGGTCATTCGGATGTGTGATTACGTATGGCCCTCAGATGGCACCATTGCCAACACTATCATCTTCTCTTGTTTCCACCCGATGATATGAGTGGCGTCGGATACGCTGTGTGAATGGAATTCCAAGTAAGGATTTGGTTCTTCATGAAGCTGTAAAAGAGCTATCATGTTCCACGGTATGCCATGCAGTATCGAGATACCTCCTCATTGGCTATTGACCAACCGAGATCATTCGACATGTTGCAGGGCTCTGATATCATTGCATGGGCACTGTAGTTGAGTTATCCGGAATATTCCTATCCTCAGGTTGAGTATGAGTGCCTGGAGCAAGATATAAAGGACTGAATCCGAGGGAGCATTCCCCTGTCATCCTCACTGTCATCCATCAGAACTTCATCATGGCTGCTTCTGTGATCTCCCTGATTCAAAGCCTGAACTTGGACTTCAAGACCTTTTGGAGATGGATCCCATCTCGCCACTATTCGAGCGACGCAGTCGACACGCCGGTGACATGGGAGAGGCATCAAAACCTCTATGCCCGGCCCTTTGATCCCTTTGAGCAGTTCTTCAGCGACTACTGCGCTCACCCTGATCGACCCGGGTTCCGTAGCCTGGATGTGGTTGCCACCGTCAGCGTTAGCTTTGCAACCAAACCACCACCGCCAGCAGAGCTGATCAAGATCATCAAAAACGCATGGATGAGAATGCGGTACCTTCACCCTAGCCTTGCGGCCGAATCCACCCGAGCCGGATTCCAATACGCCCCCTTTACCAGCCGGCTGTCTGTAGAGGAGTGGGTGGAAGACACCTTTGTCCTCTCCTCACCGGAGTATGGACAAGAGCTGGGCGTCCCCGCCTCGAGATCCTCCAGCAGGGTGAAACTGTACTATCTGCCCAGCCAGGACGGATTCCGCCTCACCCTGTGCGCAGACCATATGGTCCTGGACGGGCAGGGGACGGGCTTCCTCTTCCACGACTTGTTCACCGAAATGGCGCGTCTGGAGGCTGGCGGTCAGGTGATCCACGAGCCACTTGGGGCTGACCTCCAGAGACTGCCGTGTGGCTCGTTCGACACGCTGGGAATTTCCGCCCGGCAACAGGAGCTGCTTCCTCCCTTGTCGCTGCCTCCTCTTCGCCCAGACGCAAAGGCATTCGAGACTCTCCCCGTCACGAAGAATGCCGCTCTTGCCGCTGACCAGCCTGGCATCGGTCGGACGCAGGCCTGGACTCTCTCTGAAGAGGAAACCAGCGCTTTGTTCCGTGCGATCAAGGCCCAGGGGCTCCGGTTCACCCCCTTCGTCCATGCCGCCATTCTCCATGCCGAACGGAAGATGAACGGTCGCCAGCTTCCCGCCAACACCACCTACGGAACCTCCCTCATCTTCGACATCCGTAACCAGTGCCGGGATTCCCATACTGCAGCCCTCCGGATTGGATTCTGGCCGATCCAACTCAAGCTGGGAGACAGTATCCGCCAGACCGCGCACCAGCTGAACTACGAATACACGAGACTCGCGCAGAACAAAGCAGCCGCCATTCTGAAGATGGTGCCGTATCTGCGCCAGGCAGCGTCTGTATATGCCGCGTATACAGAGTCCATCCATAGCTTTATCGGCGATTACTCCCTGAAAGTGCGTGAGCAGTATGGGTCGTTCCGTGTGCAGGATATCTCGGCCGTGGCGCAGCCAACGGACCAGCGCGTCTATGTCGGGATCCAGACTTTTAGGGACCGGCTGACATTTAATGTGGCGTATAACGATGCCTTTCATGATGCTGCACAGGTGGAAGAGTTTCTCAACTTGCTGAGGGAGACTATCAAGGTTTGATACTGTCAAGAGAGACTACATGGCTACATAAGAGACTGGAAGTAGAGTAGCATGCTATAGAATGACATGGATTTGAACAGCCAGACATTTTCTTATAGAAGAAATCTATGTCTTGCTAGCATAGTAGATGTAATCATAAGTATCTACTTGCCGACTTGAATTGATTATATTATACAATTTAAGTATCAAGTATGTAGATATGATGACATCATCAATCTTATCTGAAGCCAACTTTCAGTAATGAATTGATTAATTATCAATCTACATAATCTCTAATGAAATGTCTTCCTTGCAACTCTGTCGAGGCCTCCCTCGCTTTCGCCCTGGTTTCGTCTCTCGCTTTTCCTTGACAATACCAACAGCAAGACAATTCACCCACCCAACACATTTGATCCACGCCAACAACACACCGACAGACTCCGAACCACCGCAGAATGAGATCCTCCAGCTCTCGCTGCGTCTGGCTCGCGCACCGCTCAACCACCGCGCCACACTATCCGCAACAGAATATTTCCCGCGCGACACCGACCGCGCCCCCGTCCGCCGCGAGCTCGCCAAGCTAGACCTCGTCGCCGACTACGGCGTGCAGGCTCGCGACCTGCGCGATCTCGACCTCCCCTCGGACGCGAACCCGCATGTCCTCGTCCGGCCGGAGACGGTGCTCGTGGACTTTTTCGATCTGCGGTTGCTCATCCAGGCCGGTCGCGTCCTAGTCGTCGACACTGCGGGAGGGGGGAAATCGAGTCCGAAAGCTGTCTTCTTAGAACAGATCAAAAAGATCACAGAGAATACTGATAATACTACTACTAATAATAATACGAAAGCAGCGTTTGAATTCCTCGTCCTAGAATCAAGTCTCGTGGCCGTGACGGTCTCCCTGGAGGCAGAGTTCCTGCTCACCCGCCGACTCGTGGAAACACATCTGGCAAGCCTCAGCCTGGCCGCCGTGGAAACCCGACATGCAGATCTGGACATTCTGCTCCGCCAGACCGAATCCCTCGCGGAGATCGAGCATCGCGCACGACTCGTCCGCGCGGCTATCCAGGAGATCCTTGATTCCGACGAAGACCTAGCAGCCACGTATCTGACTGACGCGGTGGTTCGGGGCAAACCGCACGCCGTCGCAGACCACCAGGAAGCAGAGTACCTGTTTGAAACGTATCTGAAGACCACGCACGGGGTCGTCGAGTCGGCTAGCTCGTTGCTGCGTCGTATCCGGCGCACGGAAGCTACCGTCGGGGCCCTCCTCGATGTCAAACGTAACCAGATCATGTACCTTGATGTTCGGTTGTCGGTTCTTGCCGCGGGGGTTGCCTTGGGGACCTTTGTCGCGGGGCTGTACGGTATGAATCTCGTCAATTACCTCGAGGAGAGTCCTGTGGGGTTTGTCGTCATGAGTACCGGGTGTGTTCTGCTTGGTCTGGTTGTTGTTTGGGCGGGAGGGAGGAGAATCAAGGGTATCCAGCGCATTCACAAGTAGCACGAGTCTGTATAACCAATCATACTATGTATATAGTTACAATTTATAATGTAGTACAGTACATCAGATCAATCTACAACGCTAGAGAAAATAATCCCGAACAGGAGGATGCGGCACTTGAGACAAAGACACCCCTTTACATGCAGCAAGGATCAGGCCGCCAAAGGGAGAGGGCCCATGGACCCGGCCAGCGAGGAGCAGACCGGTATACTCGTGCAGCGATACCATGGTGGAAGCCTGGGGCAACAGACCGGCCGAGGCAGCGAGCCAGCTGTCAGCACAGGGGGCGTCCCAGAGGGCGGTGCGCAGATCAAAGGGCAGGGCGTCGACGAAGGGGGTGCGCAGGCCGTACTGCCGTCTGCGCAGCGAGTACACGTTGCTCAACACGAAGCAGGTGATGATCGTCCGTCGCACGCTCTCGGCGTACACCCAGGCGCGATACGGGCTCAGCGTCGACGACAGCTGCACGGGCGCCTGCGCCCACAGCTGTCGCGCCAGGCTGACGAGCCGCTCGTTGGTTGTCTCTGCGTATTCACTTGATTCGTCGCTGCTAACGTTGTCGTCGAAGATCAAGGCGCACTGCGCAAGAATCAACGCCTGTACGCACGCCAGCAACTCATTGAAATTTGCCGCATGTTTGGTCTGCCGGTGGATCTCTGTTGACGTGCGCCGCAGCAAGTCGAACAGTACTACTCCCGCGGGCAGCCGGCCGTCCTGGTGCAGCTTGCACACGGCGTGGATGGAGCGGATCGGCGGCGGGAGACCACCCTCGTACAGCGTCGGATGGATGAAGTGCGTCTTCATGTGCTGGCTGAAGATGAGGGGAAAGTCACGGAACTCGCCGACCAGGAAGCGGATAATGGCGTGGTTGTGTGTCTTGATGATCTCGAGGCGGAGCGGCGGGCGGATCTGCGACGAGCCAACGACGGCAGCGGCGGACGACGACACCTTGCGTACATGGCCGCCATGAGCGATGATGGCCAGGGATCTGGGCTTGGTGGTCTTCGCATCCCCGACCAGGGGGGCGTTGACGTATTCGCAGGTGAGGCCCTTGGCGGCACACCGGCTGCACGTGGGGGCCGCCATGTCGCAGCGCCGCTTGGATTTGGCGCATCCTTGGCAGGATCGACGCAGGGAAAACGCAGTCGACATGATTCAAGAAAGAGGTCTAGATTGAGCTCTACTCGGCCTTGACAGCCGCAGACGAGGCGTGTAATTGGAAGGACTTCAGCTGTCGCCGACACGCAGTCGCTGGCGAGTCATGTGACCTGGCGGAGTCTAGTCTGTTTATGGACTAGTCTGTTATCACATGGATCCACGTGGATTGCTGTCACGTGTTGGTCTTGGACCCTTGAGATTATGTGATCAAATATAAATAAATGTTGGAGGTGCTAGCCCAGTTAGGCTTAGCGCCGTCCTGCTTGCCTTTTCTCTCGCCTGCGCGCATCCTAGATAGCATCATCTATCCATCTATCCATCTATCCATCCATCCATCCACCATCATTCCGCTGAGCTCATCCCGGGGCATCGCCCCAACAATAAATATTTATGGAAGTCTTCTTAGAGGTATTTTAGCCTTTAAGGCTATGAGTGATGGATTTCCTCTGGCATAGGTTGAACAGATATTGAATTCTAGCCTTTTCTATGGCAAAAACATTGACAACGATGTATTCGGCTGGCAAAATATCAACTGAGTAATCTGCCATCAATCTCATGTCCTTTACTGCTATGACTCGAAGCTCTATTGATTATATAAAACCCTGTTTGAGTGATCTCTATATAATTCACTATCTCTATATGCCTCTCAATGCCCCCCCCCCCCTCAGCTGTACTTAAGCCATCTCTTATCCCCTTGGAACTCTGAATAGATATGATTTATTTCCCCCCTGCAAGGCTAGAGCTATCAGTTGCAGTCGACGAATCTCAACATAGAAATACACAGCCTCTCGAGTCGCAGCATAGTGATTGGATAAGACCTGTGATCATATAGCCGCTCATGTACCCGTATATGCAAGTAGCAGGGCATTTTTGACTGTATGAGCTGGCTTGTTTGCTAAACAAGGCTTTTTCACTCAGCCTTGCCGTCGCCCATCATTTGACCTTCCCCCCAAATTCCCCCCAAATTCAACTCCCCCAAATTCAACTCAGTCAACACATTCAACACATTCAACACATTCAACACATTCAACACATTCAACCATTTATTACATACTTGATATTCACTATGTCTGATCCTTTCTCCGTCGCAAGCAGTGCAGTCGGGATTATTTCCCTAGGCCTGGCTGTCTGCGGCGAAATCGTGGCCTACGGACGGGCATTTCGGGACTACGGCGAGGAGGTGCGGAACATGGTGTCCAAAGCCGAGTCTCTATGTCATCCCCTCAAGTCCCTCCGAGAAATGATAGAAAACAACCAGATCCACCAACCCGACGTGGCGATCAATATTTCCGAAAGGATCCTGGACATCGAGGGAGCTGTCAAGCGACTGCAGGACAAGCTCAAGCGATACGGACCAAAGCATGACGCCAAAGGGGTTTCTGACAAGGGAAAAACCACCTTAAGAGGGTTGTGTATCATTTTCGGAAGGATGCATTGCAAGAGATGACGGCAGATCTAGAAAGCATGCAGAATATTCTCCAGCTAATCCTTCAAATGTATGCTTAACTTCCACCTCTTGAGTGATGGCATGCTGATTGCAAATGGGACAGCCATACATTCAAAAACAGTCAGCACGCTATTGAAATTATTCAGCAGATAGTAAACTAATGCTCCCATCCCCCCTGGGTAGTGAGTTTCGCTTACATTTATAGCACTCGACCCTGCGCCTATTGAAGAGATGGCGTGATGAAGGACAGAAAGCGCGCCAACAGGATGGCAGTATCTCACGCTGGCTGGCATTTTTGCAGAAAACGAGAGTCGGCACGAAAAGACGTATCTTTTCGAGCAGCTGGCTGGGTATCATGGTCGAAAACTCATTCGGCATGACGACAGGGGCTGGCGGATTCTCCCTCAACCCGGGCTTCAGAATTCAATTCATGGTTTGCCAGGGGACAGAAAAGTATGAAGAGATCTGTACAACTCTGGACTCCCTGCTGTTAAAAAGAGATTTCGATGCCGCAGTTTCAACGCTCCAGAGCAAGTTCTCAAGCCAGGAACTCCACCCTGCAATGGTTTTATCAGGAGAGAGTGGTACTGAATCACTGCTTGATGTAAGTGTCCTCTATATCACCTATTATACAGAGGTTCTCAAGATCGATAGGTCGCTATCCGGAAAGAAACAAGTCTTTTAGTTGGTATATTCGACCTCCAATACATGCTCAAGCTGCTGGGTTTCCTGTTGGATAATGGTGTGACGTCAATTGGCGCGGATCCCCGTTCTGTGAATCATCTCTGGACTGTCTCTCACCTTGAAGAGGATCATGTCCCATTGATGGCGCGTATGGTCGATGCCGGGGTCAGCTTGGATATCAGTCATGCTCATAGCGCTGTTTTCTTACCTTTAATATCTCCCATGAAACACAACCTGCAGCTTATACTTGCTAAAAGTGATGAAGGTATGGTATTTATTACTTATAATTACTTACTCATTCCATCAGACTAACCAGTTATAGTGGTACAAATCCCAGAAAGTATCAGACTTGTTTGTTGCAAAAATGCTACAGAGCTTAGGCAAGCCCTTGATGAGAAACGGGTTTCTCCAAATGAAATTATTCATAATACTCCATTGCTTGAATGGGCCTTTGGCTGGCCAGAAGGCATAGAGATTCTTCTTGAATTTGGAGCAGATCCGGACTATAGGTTTGAATCTCTTCTTTACCCTGGCATAGAATACCACCGCTCCGCAGTGTTATTGCTGCAGGCAGGGTGCAGGTTCAGCAAATATGAGCTTAATAGAACTCTTTATTATGATGATACAGGAGAAAGAATGCAGCTGCTGATCAAAACACTCACTACACGACGAGAAAACCTACGAAGACTTGCAGAGGCTTCGCTACCATCCACCATGATCCCCAAGGGGAAGGTTCTTGATGGGCCAGAGTGTCTTGAGGTCTACAATTGTCTGCTTGCTCGGAACATTTCCCCTCCCACCTTGGATAACCTCTGCATGTCATCAGATGGAGCAACTGTTTACCATGGGTTGGAGCGACGGGAGTGCGCCGAAGCATTATACAATGCGGGATTCCATGATACGGATACGCTGGATCTGAAAGGGCACTCTCCTCTCAGCTACTTGGCAGATCATTATACCATTACCCCAAACAAATTGATGAAACTCATTGATTGGCACATATCTAAAGGTGGAGATCTCAGCCGGAAGCTACCTTGGACAAATGAATCAGTCGGTCATGGCCTGGCCGTGAAGATTATCAAGTGTTGCTTGTGGCTTGCGTATGACCTTGAATGCCACGGCTTGAATCATTCAGACCATGCTGGAGCTATTAAGACTATCCTACAGTACTTGGGCAGAGTTGGTTCTGCTGTCTTCATGCCAGCCATTATCCCGGATGGATGCTCATGTCCCTGTTCCCCTGGCGGATGCACCGCAATATCAGCCATTATCCGAGAAATGACCTCTTGCGACTGGCGCTACAAGGCCATCTATTGCGGCGAACTCTCTAGCATGATATTTGACACGATCATTGAGTGGAATCAATTATTCTGGCAGGATGCACGAGCAGTCATCAGGTCTTTGACCTTCAATGCGTTGGATCTCAATCACACCTGCTTTTCCAATACCAGGAAAGGCCTGGTTCTTGGGCGAAACAAGTGTCCGGGCGGCGAAGATGGAATCGACTACATCAACCACGACTGTGATGAAGGAGAATCACTAGAGAAATTTGAAGAGTTGCTGGCAGAATTGAACCGACAGTTCGATGAGCTTCATCTTCCCCTGAGAGAATTCTTGGCCGGGTATTGGTACACACGTGTCAAAGACCACCTTCTTACGCGACCTTCCCCTGAGGAAGAGGAGAAGTATATCGCAAGTGCAGAGGACGTCGGAGCCAAACTAGAATTTGTCGGCCTTTCTGTGCCATGTTGGATTGAGAGACTGGTGGTCAGGAAGGTGGAAGAAGTGAGATGAATAGAAGGGGCCATTGGTGACATAAGGAGGGAAGGTAATAAAGGTTAGTATACTATTAATAAATATCTAGTTATATATATAGTATAAGAGTACTTACTAGTGCTTATATTACTCTAAAAGTCTTCATCAAACCCACTGACACCTATAACATCCTTATTTACTATAAGGTTGAGGGGATGACAGAGGATGCCTCCTTCACAGTCTGTCTCTGCAAGAGAGGTACTATCTATTTCCTACGCTACAGGGTAGTTCACTAAATGAAGTAACTAGATCATAATATTGCCTGCTAAAAAAGGTAAAGGTATATATATTACGTAGTATTTGGCAACAACTATAGTCTTTATACTAGGCTACCCACGCGGGGGATCACAACAGAACCAATAGCTACGTCTATTCATAAGGAGTAGCAGTATCTATCAGAACTTCTTGTCTTTCTGTGGCTATTCCTGTACCTTCATCTAACATTAAACCATTGACTTGTGGTGGTTGTACTCGCCATTAGTTAGTTCTCCTTGCCCGAAATCCCGTGGCGTGTCGAAGATTGTTGCGATGACTGTTGCTCAGAGACACGACGTTCGTGCTGCTGTTCCTCAGCTCCAGCCTTGGGCCGCATAGTCAACGGGCGGTTCGCATTCGGCGAGGCTATTGCCAGTGAGGGCAGTCTGCTGACAGCGAGAAGTCGTGCGATATTCGTAGCGCCGCTTCGAGCCAGGACGCTGATGTCATCATAATCCTGGAGGGCCTTGTTGATAGCTTCGGCACGGCCTGTCGCATGAAGTATATTCGCAATCGCAGCGTGGACCTGCAGCAGGAGAGGAGAGGGAAGTTCCTCTCGGCCGTCGTGGGTGATGAGGTTGACGATGCCATTCTTAGGCAAATACCACCGAATAGTCGTGGGGAGGCGGGGGAAGGTCTTCACGCGGTACTGGCTGGGCACTCCGGTGGCCTCGAGGGCGATGTTGAACTTCCCAAACTGTCTGTGAATGATAGAAACAAGCATCATGGCATTTCGGGCTTCGTCTATGCTCTGGTATTCGAAAGCGATCCGCGAGCGGATGCCCGGGAAATAGCGATACATCGTGTTCCATACACTGGTGATGTACCGCTGTTCCGCAGGATCTTTGAACGAGGCAAGACAGAAAGGTATTATGTGCGCTGCCTCCAGGTCCGCTGTCTCCTTGCCGGGGGGGGCGTCCTTGTCGCTGTCGAATACCCCTGAGATAACGCACATGTCGCCGTCGCGGCGCGAGCACCGCTCGCGCAGCTCCTTCTGCTTTCGAACCATCGACGAGTCGATGGTTGAGCCGAGATTTTCAATCGACTCTTCTAAGCCGATTCGTGGCGACGGGGTAATGGTCGCTGTCTTGGCTCCAGCAGCCTTGATGGGAACCAACAGCCCTGACTCGATGTTCTGGGCCAGCTGCCGGATGTTGTCGTCTGAATGACACTGCAAGAGATCGTCGGCGAGATGGCTCTTGCCATCCGACGGCAGGTATCTGAAGACTTGTTTCAAAAACTCGGCAGTATCGTCGTTTCCATCAGCCGGCTTGTATCCCTGAAGCTGTCCGCGCACGTCGCTCGGCATTTCGACAAATAGAGTGACATCAGTCGTGGTCTCGTTGAGGTCGGAGAGACTGTGTGCCCGAGTCAAATCCATCGTGAAGGAAGAAAAGAAGTGGACAGAAGAGCTGAGAAGATATGAAAGAAGGACAGAAGAGAGAGAAGGACGGAAGGACGAAGAAGAGACAAGGTAACAACCAAACAGTCCATGGTTGAGTAGGATAAAGGTTTAAGGCTGCATAAATGCAGCCTGAAGACCTTGTATAAGACTGAATAATTATGCCTTTAACGCCTTAAACTATAATGCTGTTAGCTATTAATTATAGACCTAGAGATCTTTATCTTAAAAAATGCTGGCTTACTCTAGTGACTATATCTTAAGCACATATAGCTTTTTATATGAGCAGATTAATGATGAGGGAATCACCCTAAGAATAGTCAATATAAGGTATATTAGAAGTTAACCTAGAACAATAGATAAAAAAGATGTTTTATCTAATTATTACTTCTAAACCTTAAAATACTATATTGATTTTTAGCTATTTCCTACTCTAAGCATATACACCTAGTAAATGAATATAGACTCCACTTACATGCGCTGGATTACCAGGAGTGTATTTTATAGTGGCGGATCCACCTGGGGCCATATTCAGAGAATAATAGTAATTTTAGATAGGCCAATAAAAAATGATTATCTTAAACGTCAACTGGCTTGGTGTGTAACATTGAGCTGGCTTTCTACTTATATATTTTGATGGAATCTCCTAGGCGGCGCACACTTCCCCTGGTGTCCCATCTAGTCCATTATTAAATACTCTTTGTCTTAGTAGTCTCTATTTTAAGTAGGACGCGGCGACCAGGCACATCTTTATAAGGATCACCATGCATAAGTACAGGTGAGGGAAGGCATAGATAAAGCCAAAAGGATGATATGAATGACTATAACTGCCTTAAGGGAAGGGTAATCATGGTATATAATATAATATATTATATGTTATTTATATTTGTATAATCTCTTAAGAGAGAAGGTGATTTAGAAAGGTAGTATATATAGTGGATGATAGACTGCCCAAACTTTCCTCCTTACTGCAATTATATATACTAACTATACCATGCCTATACTACTAATTATGAGTTACTTAATCCTTATCAGTATTATATTAGCTCTCTTTTATATGATTAGCTAAATAAACAGTCTATGGTTGAGTAGGAAAGATATTATTTCTAAGGCGGGGACTGATTTCTAAAACTACAAGTTTAATCAGACTATGATATACATATCTTGTAGTGATTAATGTTTAAAGAGATTTAATAAGTGCATATTTACTACTCTACCTATTACTAACCTTATATTAATACTATATATCTAGTAGTATACTATAACTGCTGGCAGTGTTAGGATAACTTAATCCTCCAGTCATGTTTCGCATGTCTCGAGTCAGTATATTGTGCTATACGTCCCCCCAGTCAACCCTCTCTAGCGCGTCCAAAAGAGGCGTGTCGAAGGGGAACAGGTCCTGCAGAAGCACCTCCTGCTCCGGGCGGATGGCGTCTTGCAGGGTCTGCTGCAGGCTCCGGATGCGCTGCACCCAGGGATGATTCTCCTGAATGTGCGTGTGCCTACTTGAAGGTGAGGATGATGGTTGCCCCGGGGGGGGGGGGAAGAATTCCTCGGGTCGGCTTACCGTAGTTCTTCGCGGTGCTCGAAGATCCTGTGCTGGCGGAGCATCCGGCGGATCTCGTCGAACTAGCATTGTCAGCACGACCGCACTTGGTTCGGCGCTGAAGAGAACAGGAAAAATGGACGTACCAACCATCTGGCGTGGCAGGAGTAGCGGGTCATGGGCTCGACCTGCCCCAGCAGCAGATCGACCTGCCGGCGCAGATGGGCGCGGGCGTCCGGGTGTGCCTCGACGGGGAGCATCAGGAGCCACTGCAGCTGCAGGCGGACAGACTCAAAGACACACATGGGCAGGCTGGTGTCGAGGAAGGCGTGGTCGTGGTTGTGGTTGTGGTCGGTCTCGGCGAGAAGATCGACATGCGCCCCGACGGTGGCAAAGGTCTGGGCGATGCCCCGGGCGTGCTGCACGCACGCGAGCTGGTGCTCCTCGACCCAGCCGATGGGGGCGTCCAGCAGGGTGGCGGTGGGCAGCGTCTCGGGGTAGTTGGGCATGGCGACGCGGTACAGGTCGGACAGGCACTGGTCGTACCAGACGTGCAGCATCGTCAGGGCCGGCAGGGCGTGCTGGGCGTGCCGGGCGTAGATGATGTCCGCGCGCAGCTGGCATTGGGGGGGCAGTCGCTCGCGCCAGGCGTGCAGGCGCTGTTCACAGGCGCTGAACACGGGGGAGGTCCAGGGCGGGTCCTTGGCCGGGGAGCGGGTGTAGCTAGACACGTCAGAGATGGAACCGGCGGTTGATCGAGAAGACGCATACGTGAGGATGTCAGCCCGGATCGACATGAGCTGGACGTATTGCCCGAACAGGCTGCTGCCCGGGTTCTCCTCGCCCAACAGAGCACCCCGCCCCGGCATCCCCAGCTGGAAGAGGTGCTCGTCGCACGGCAGCGGCGCCGTCGCGAGCCCGGGGCGGATCAGCGCCAGATCGGGCCGCCCGGGGGTCAGCATCCGGTCCAAGCAGAAGCACGCCCAGAACAGCCGGCGGCGGGTCTCGCGGGCCACCGCGTCCGAGGTGCTGCTCGCCGCCGCGGCGAGACCCTCCCGGTGGAAGCCGAGATTCAGCGCCGCGCTGGTCGCCATGGCGCCGAGCATGGCCGCCGTCTCGAACTGGGCGCAGTACATCTCGTGCTTGGCCAGGAGCAGCGCGGCCGCCACCCGGGGGGCACTGCGCATCCCCTCCCGCACCAGGAGCGACTTGGCCTCGCGCGTCCACACGGGCTCCTGTGCCGAGGGGACCGGCAGGAACCGCGTCGCGATCGCGCAGATCGCACCGACCAGCGCCCGGTCGGCGCTCCCGGCGTGCACGTCGCGCAGGAGCGTGCCGCGGTGCACCACCGCGTTGGCCTGGCACGGCGCGACGTGGGTGAAGAAGGCGTCCAGGTGGGCTGTGAGCGTGGCCGCGTCGGGAGTCCCCGGCGTCAACTGCTTCTCGGGGGCGTCCTTGGGGCTGCTGCTGCCCTGCGGGGAGGGGCCACTCCCGGGGCTGCCGGCGCTGCCGGCGCCCCTGTACCGGCAGTCCGCCCCCGTCGCCCGGCACCGCGCACACGGCTGCTCCCCCGAGCACCGGCACCGCGCCACCCGGCACCCCTGGCAGGCCACCCTCCGCGGGCCGCCGTCTGCATGATCCGTGAGCCTGGGGTTTTGGAGCGGAGACGGGCCCGGAGATGAACTTACTGCCCCGTGGCAGGGGGACCACCCCGAGTCCCGGCCAGCGACACGTCAGCATCACCCGGCGACAGTTTGCGCACCGCTCGGGGGTCTCGTCACATTTGATCTGGCGGTCAGGGGAGAAAAGAAAGAAAAAAAAAATTATTCTCCACTTACCTTTCGTGCGCGGCAGGTAAGACAGCCTAGATGGTTAGCCGTGTTGCAGAAGACTCAGGCATGGCCCATACCCGTTCGCGTTCGCTTTTTGGCCTCGCGGGGCCCGCGTGGTGAGCTGGATTCGGGCATGATTATCTGCAGTGACAGTCGACTGTAATTGCATTCTTCTACTTGTAATTTGTGGAGGAAACCGGGGTAGCTTCATTCGTTGGGATGCGGGGTTGTCGGGCGGAGCAGCGGAGGGCCGAGAGCGGACGGATATGCCGAGGCATTTGTTTACCCGGGTCTTGCTTAGTGACAATTAAGAGTAGGTAGTAGCTTAGGATGGAGTCTATTCTAGCCGCGAGTGTCCTGGATAGGGTGTGTATCTAATATATATATTCTATGAATACCAAGTACATAATAATATTAAACAAATCCTATATATATTTAGGGCCAATAGTATTATATCTCTATATAATTTGCACACCACCCAGCATATCTGATATTAATTAGGCCAGATATGTTGAGTGAATAAAAATTAGTGTGTAAAGCTAAGTATATTAGGCGACAATGATGCAAATATACACAAATCATCCTATTTAGCAGCCTAGAGATTATCCTTTTCTATAATACTTACCCCTCTAGTATTGGTGGATTGTCAAGATCAAGATGACTCGCCCCATGTAGGCTTCTATCATTGGACTCCCTTTGATTGTCTGTTCTTGGAAGGCGCTGGACAGAATAGAGCCATCAAAGATGCCAAGTTCCGGTCCCCGGGAGCGTAGATACAGTTGCTCGATCCAATCCATGATTCCGCCCTGTGGATCTTCCACGTCCTGGTTGATGATTGAACATTAATTTAGCATATCATTTTTTTCATCCTGTGTAAATATTGAAAGTGAATATGAGTTTTTGCCTATTTTAGACATCAGGCCAGTGTGATGAGGCACATATGCCACTCCCTGAATCAATGTCTCATCCACACCACGGTTTCTTATAATATAGTAGCCGAGTGCTAGTGGCTTTTTATATCTAAGAACCATATTATATACTGCCACCTTAGCACTGTTCTCAGTAACCAAGTCAGGCTTTATTTAAAGTTTAGTCTCCAGTTAGGTTATAGTCTTCTGCAAGGCTTAAAATCTCTTATATGGCCAGATTAATATTACTGGAAAGAACTATTAGAATAATTATATAATAGTCCCTAATATAACATTTAACCATTCTCTGGACTAGTAATACATCTTCTTTAATTATAATGCCTTCTATTAGGGTTCTTCAATTAGAGTTAAATAGTCTTGATTAGGTCTATATAACTTAATCTTCAATACATCCTTGCTGAACACAACACCACTACTTGAAGAGGTATCAATTCGGATCCCCATTCGCAAGTTGACCTGATATAGCATCGATATGGATTTATTAATAGTGAGTATATGGCGAGCCTGCTCACCTTTGAAATCTCTGTATAATGACTTCAAAAACCTTTAGGAGATAGGTCTGTAGAGTGGTATTATTACACAACCTCTTGATGCTTGTCAGATGTGCATGGCCCCGGGATAATAGTAATATTCACTTGAGAGATAGAGTCATGACGCGAGGTAATCTGTGTTGCGTAGCGGGTGCAGAGTTCAAGATCATATGGGAATAGTATGCCTATCAAGCTCTAAAGTAGAGAAGACTTGCCGGAGCTTTAATCGCCCAAAAGAAAGCAGAAATTGGTTTAAAGACGCTTCAAATCCAGTAGATCATACCTGTGGCAGAGGGACATGTTGCCCAATATTTTTCTCCTGAAGCTTATCAATCTTCCTTATAGATTACTATATTATATTATATCAGCCTACCCCTGATCAGAGACCAGACTAACATATTAGAGGGGGAAATGCAGGACATGACTCATATATCCAGTTAATTAAGGAAGCGTGTCACCTGCATGATAGTACAACTCATGTTATATAATATCTCTCCACTAATAGTTTGCCACGCTGTCTGCGACTCACTAGGGTTTAGAGATCACAGTGACATATATATCCTACAGCCTTATACAAGACCCTCGATATCTACATCACATTTCCTGGACAGTAAACATGGTTTACAATTAACCTATACAATCAACCTATACAATTAGGCCTATTGATTATCTCTCTAAACATTCAACAGCAATGGCGCATAATCCATTCTTTTCTCGATTCCCGGATTTCTTACCGGATCCATCGGCATCTGTAGCCAGTGAGTTTGACCGACTTGCACGGCATATGCACTGGCAAAAGCATTCAAAGAAATATAAACTGGAGTATGCTGCATTTGTCAAAGACCAGTTTACAGCACACTTTAGTTCCAATGGAAATAAACTGCAAGGTTGGCAGACGCTCTGTATTGAAGTTAGGGCTCCTGGTCCTCATGATACCATCACTCAGTGTCGGAAGGTATGTGCGAGTCACTTACTTTGATCATTCTACTCTAAGATAGACATTCGCAGGCTTTATCAAAGACACATGTCAATCTCATTGATGTGGTGGACGCCCGGCGCACGGGGAATCCTGTCTCAAAGTTTCCAAGCCTTCGAGCCCTCAAGGAATACACAATAAGGACAGGCAAATTTTTCCCCAAAAAAGCTGCTAAGAAAGATGGCTTTCTTAAGGACCTTTTGCGGAATATTTCACGTTTTTAGCATACTATAACATGTGGTCATAATCATTCTATGGATTACCTACTAAGCAGTTTGACAATATAGACTATCCCATATTTAGATCAGGATGCGAAACTTAGTGTGGCTATATATATATACTAAGAACAGTCAACTGAAGAAAATAGATATAGAGTTATCAGATCTTGGGCCAGCAGCTCTCCTCTTCTCTATATTGAACTTACCTAGCTCTTCTAGGGTTGCGCGACTGTAGGGCGGCGCCGGTAGGTTAGTAGTTGGGTGGGTGACCACCAGCGAATCCCTACTGTTGTTAGCTAGGGGTAGGGTTGATTGATGTTATCCCAAACACGTCATCCCAGAATGCTTCCAGATCGAGGGGCTGTGAGCGTGTCATGCCCGGCTGGCACAGGCAGTTCTTGAAGAACTGTACCAATGCCATGCGGTTCTCACTGCCCAGCACAGCCCATAGACGGAGCATGCGGATAGCCCTCAGTAGTAACTGGATCTGGCACTCATTGGCGTCTAGTGCTCGTCGTCTGCTCTCTGGCCGCTGATATTGACTCGCCAAGGTCTGCAGGAGAACGGTGAGGAAGCCGCTGCTGGTCAGGGTGACGTGGGATCCATCGTTGACGATACTATACGCCATCAGGCTCGCCTGCAATGTGCGCAGCAGGGTCTGAGCAGAGGCGAGCCCGGCAAAGTTGCGCGACTCCCATAGTTCGGTGACCAGAATGTACAGCGCTACCAGATAGCCGGACGGGGAGGCGTCGCGGCCAATGTCGGCGCCATGGATCGGATCCTGGAGAAGGTTGACCAGCGGGGAAGTGTCTAGCAGCCCGCGCACCGTGACATCCTGGAAGACATGCGACCAGTCTCTTGCTGCCCCCGCCAGAGTGGCCACGGCCTCGAGGGCGCAGGCCAGATCGTGATGCCAGGGGGTGAGGTCTGCAGGCCGCCAGTCGTTGACCGTACAGATCAGCAGGTGGCCGTAGTGCATCATCGGGGAATGAAACCGGTGGAGGACCGCCTCGATGCCGCCGTGGGCGACGAGCACCCGTTCATAGGCCGTGCGGTGGACCAGACCACCGCGGACCGTGTCGTTACAGGCGATGAAGGTGAGCGTGCTGAGAATCGAGCCGGTCAGTTCGCCCTGGGTGGCGATCTCCTGCTGCAGACTCTGATATCCACACGCCATGGCAGACACCGCAGCCAGCGATTCGTGGCCGCGGGCAGCGGCCAGGGCGCTCTCCGCCGTGGCGAGGAACATCAGACACCGCGACCGCGACAGCTGGGCATGCTCCAGGGAGCCCTGCAAGATGAAGTTGTTCGGTCCAGACAGCGGCATGCCAAACAGCTCACGCGAGGTCAAGTCCATCACTGCGCACAAAGACACACGTCAAACCAGACACTGACTGCTGGGGGTTGCTTCCCCAGGGACTCACTGAAATACACAGCGTGTCAAGGGACTCACTGACTGAAATATACAGCGTGTGCTTGGGAGGGACTCAGGTGAAGGCCCGTGAGCTGGAACGCAGTAGACAGTGAGGCCAAGCGCTTCTGCGGCGCCCCCTCTCCCATCTCGTTGTCCGTCTCAATAGAGTCACTCGATGGCGGTGGTTTGGGTTCTGGTCGCTTGGTCGGCCACACGGCACGTTTCTTGGGCGCGGCGCCCACCCGCCATGTCAAGATGGGGATCTGAGGCCCAGGCGACATGGTTGGCGGCGAGGATGGAGGAGAGATGGAGGAGGATGGTGAGGAGTAGCCATGATGCTTATACATCTGCCTAGTGCTTACCAATCCTTTAGATTAGGCTGAAAGCATGACAGCCTATGCAATAGTAGGAGATTGTACTTAATAAATTAATATATATTAGTGGTCCCTACCAATCAATATAGAATCCATGAGGGGGAATATAAAGATATAGAGAAATGCAATATAAGGGCTGGCAGCCAGCTCACCTCTCTTCTATATAAAAAGTTTTCTACTATAATCTAGGCATTTGATATTAGGGCCCTAGAGCCATATATTTTCTAAATTCCATAGACTACTAGTTATAACTACAGAGTACTAGATCTTGTTTATAGGGATCAATATAGGAATGCACCAGGAATCAAGGGAGAAATCATAGCAGGAGAATAATATAATAAGTTATATAACTCCAAGCATACAGTGCCTACTATATAACTATCTTAGACCTAGATTATATAGTTATATGGTAGAGAATTCTTATAGAAGAGAGGTGTCACTATATTACTTTATATCTAATATAATTAGAATATAGAGTGTACTACACACTATACTATATATACTAATATTCCTAGGGATAGATATTAATTATTATTCTAATAACACTATTAACTACTTAGTTGTGCCTCTATACATCACCTTATATCTTTTATAAGTGATAGACTTAAGACTTTATATATTATAGGGATTTAGATTACCTGCTAAGTGGTATCACTACTTCTTATAGGAATAGTTCCTTATTCACTTATTAGTAGAATCCTGACAGCACATCTACTAAACTGTCAGTAACTAGACTAGATATAAGATAGAATAGCATAAATGATGATGCTAGAAATATACCCTATATATAGCTAGTCTAGCTGTGATAATAGGGGTGTTAGGCATTAGCCTGAGGTAAATTATGCTAATTCATGTCTACAGACCCTGGAGAGAACTATAAAATATACTATATACACAGTACTATCTAGACTGATATAGTGAGGTTACTGTAGATCTGTAGCATCCAACTAGCCACGACAGTTAAAATAACTGGTCAAGAAGACATCCATGCCAAACACTCTACTTTTAATATAGAATAGATTCTGCGATGATATCAGTTGGGACAAGCCGTATCTAAAAGCCGAATGCAAGAATGATGCGGGTGACTATGTCTCTGCAACGCTGGACCTGGACAACTGTATTGGCAATGATAATGGAGTTCCAGTTGTAAGTATCACTTGTGTATACTTGTGTATATACTATATACTTAGAATGATGCTGACTACAGTTATTCAATCTAGGTATAGTGAGGAATTATAGTTGAGTATGGAGATCATAAATCTACACTATGGAATCTCAGCATACACTCTCCCCCCCTCGGTCGGAGGCGCAAGGAAATCCCCCGGCACTTGCCCAGGTAACTGATTCATCTCTGCCCACTCCCTCACGGCGTCAAAGTTGCGACAGACGTGCTGCGTGTTGAAGTCGACAAACGGAGTCGGGTGGTCTGGGGATATCCAGACCTGACCCAGCACGCCGATATCGACGGTACACATGAGCTGTTGACGGATGATATCGAGACAGTGTGCTATTAATTTAAATATTAGTATATAATTATATATATGTATGTATGTGTGTGTATACTTACTGGTGTGTCGTTGCACAATAGTGTCGTCGTTCTGGAACGCCCCCTGTCCGAGAGCATGGTAGTAGTCGTAATTCCAATGTAGCGTCTGACGAAGAAGGTTCTACCTGGTTAGACAAACTTGAATTCCCTTCCTCTATGCCTTTTCTTACTAAACAGTGTAATTGATGCAATCCCTCCACGTTCGCCGGATACCCTCCGCCGTATTTCTCGTTGATCTGCACCTGGTCGTTTGCCAGGCCGGCTTTTCCGGCTTGATCGGGGGGAACTCGAATGCTGCGATCTAAATATCATTAATAGCAGTTAGTCTTAGCATAGGATGAGGATGAGTATGAGTATTTAGGAGTACAGTTCACGCCTAATGCCTCCCAGGCAGCATCCACCTCGGGACTGGCCTGTTGACGGAAGATGTTCTCCTTGAGCAGCGATCCATTGAATCTCTGCACGGTATATTCGATATCCACGTCTTTGAGGAGAGGGGCTATCAAAGCAAAGAGTTAGTATATGATAATAAATAATGAATACAAGATATGCCCACAATAATGCGATACTCGCCGTGTGCAAGCTTGATCCGTCTCCCGTCTCTGCCAGACGTACCCCAATGCAGAACCGATGAAAAATGCCAACAGAACAGCGATAATTTGTAGAATAAAACCCCTCCGACGGTGCCAGAGACTGCGAGTCGGCGCTGGAGTCCAGGGGAGGGCGTCTTCGTCTAGGAGAAGTCGTTCGTCGGAGTCGTCGTCGAGCTTAGACATATTGGGGGTAGGGTCGGAAAACACCGAGTAAATCAAGAATAGTCAAGAAGTGAGAAAAACCTGGATGAGAAGCAGAGCTGATAATAAGATAGTCTGTACGACCTCAGCTGAGGCCTCCCACGGAGTGATCGACATGCTATAAAAAGCAGCACGATCAGGCAGACCAGCCTTCCTGCTTGGCAATGTTGATTTGTCTCACCTGTTCCTTCTATGAAATCCCATAGAAAAAGTACCTGTACTCCATTCCATGTTACTCTCAGGATATTGCTGAGGATATCTGCATGTCTCACTGTAGCCAGCTGGCGATGAGCTCCGCCGGTGTAACATTTGTGGATCAAGTGAAAGAATAGAATAGTAAAAATTAGGTGTAATAGGATAGTAGTAGGAGGAGGAGTAAGAGTAGGAGTAGTGTCTAAAGGCCTATATAAAGTGCGTATCTTCTCTCTCAAAGCTCGACAACATCTTCAACTTCTCACCCTCAGTACTAATACAAGACCAATCATCAATTCTAGTTACTATCTACCATCATGCACGTTCTCCTCCTCGCCGTCCCTCTTCTGGCCAATTTCCTGCCTCTCAACGCCCTCCCTCTCAACGACTACGGCGATTATGGCAGTTACGCCAACTACGGATCCTACGGACTGACCTCTTCTACCTCTTCCACCTCTTCCACCACCTCAACCACTACTGAAACGGCGTCCACTGTGGGGGAGAAAGTCAAGCGAGACGGATATGGGAATTACGGCAACTATATCAACTATCCAGCCAGTTACGCCGGCTACGGTAGTTATGGAGAGACAACCTCAGCATCTACCACTGCTCCTACTTCTACCAAAACATCAGCCTCGACGACTTCTACTTCTACCGAAACATCTAGCACTGTCGCCAAGAGAGATGGATATGGCAGTTATGCCAACTATGGAACCTATCCGGCCAGCTATGCTGGCTACGGCAGTTACGGAATGACAACCTCTACCTCTACCTCTGAACCAGCATGCACTGTCGCCGACCATAACGTCAAGAGAGATGGGTACGGGTCGTATGCCAACTACGGCTCATACGGCCAATCTCCCACGACTACCGACTCGACAACTCTTCCGGAATGTACAGTCACGGCTGACAAGCGGGACATGGCAGATCGTGCCGTGACGGGGGAGGACGCCGATTACGGTGACTATGGCGACTACGGTAACTATGGAGACTATGGCAATTATCTTTCCTATCCTGTTCCTCCGAGCACCGCTTCCACTTCCACTGCTTCTACTTCCACTGCTTCTATCTCCACTGCTTCTAGCACCACAGCAAGTGGTTCGGCATAGAGAGAGATTATCTGGAGATGCAACTCCGCATGAAGGTATTAGGTAGAATGGGTGATTCGAATTTAGTTCAATTGAGTATCATGATATCAGTATACCTACCCTCATTGCTTGGCTAGCACGAAAAGACACTCTAAACAAGCCACCCTGGTAGTTGGAGTGCTACTCCGTGGTGTGACCAAATAGTCAATTTAGGAGTAATTACCTGTGTATCACTTGGCAGGGGCTTGAGTAACAGGCAGAGTGTTGTGTACCTACACCATGTCCCTAGGCGAAAAAGTAAAGACAGCCTAGGACTTTTCACCGTTATAAAACTCATATTCATCACCCACACACGGCTCAGATATCCAGAAACGTAGGAAGAGGTTGGCGTTATATTCATATAGAATCCCCTGCTGCCTCTCATGTAGTTCATTCTGTCGCCGCAATCGACTAGATCGAGTATCCATGCGGACACAATTTAGGGAAAGTTGAGTTGTTTGTGGGAGAAGAAAAGGTTTCTTGCCTTTGTCTTGCGTGTTTGTCGTGTTTGCCTGGGTCGAATCAGAGTTGCCTTGGGACCGTCGATGCCTTCCTTTGCCCCTCCATCTTCCTCTCTTGATTCTAAACCATCATTCGCCTTCTTCTTTTCTCACAGTCTGTGAGAGCATACTCTCCTTCAGGTTCTCTGGGATACAAAGGCTCGGATGGATGCCTCAGAGATCGGCTTAGACCAGTATCTCACAGCAGCGAGGCAGCTGCTCGCTGACAAGAGCGAATTCCAGGCCTTCTTTCAGGGGCTGGGGGCAACAACAGCCGAAAATCTTAGCAAGATTGCTGATATGGGGTCTTGCACAGATAGATGGATACTTCTCAGTCGGACGGTTCCTGCAGACCATTCTTCCCAGCTTCTAAAGTACTAGTTTATCCCCATCTAACTGTATCATGAGTAGGGAATTCCTGCTGTCAAGCAATGGACCCGAGTGGCCTCTTCGACTCGCTCGCTATACTCATATCGGTATATGCTTGGCAGACGCGCCAGACTGGCCAAGAAAGACTCCCTCATCATGAAGAGATACGGGCACTGGTCCGCCAAGCCCTGGTCTATCAACGAAGGGGGTGGTATGTAGTATTTGCAACTCCTTGGCGGAGCGATAGGCGTCCGCGCAAGATGTTGGGAGTATCTCGAGAGGGAAACTTTCTGATGCTGCTTTTACTTTCAATGGTACCCTTTTCCTTACACCGACAGCCCCTTCTTCTCTCTTCTTAATGGCAGAGATTTGAACATAGGTGCATTGAACATGTCGACGGGCTACATCTGTTGCCAGACTAATCCTCCTTGACGAAACTCTGTGAGGTAAGATGCCTTCCCAGCGAAACACTCGGCAATTGGGAAACCGGGGTTACATTTCAATCCGATATGTACTTTTTGATGATAAGACTGATCGACATCCATGCCCTTATCATGATTCGGACCTCGATCGGCTAAAGACAAAACGTGATGTTTGCGGTACAAGAAAGCGAAAAAAAAAAAGGGTCAACTGTCGCTACTTCTTATACTCCAGATGGAAGGTGGCTTCTGAGACCACAGCAGGGGTTGTTGTGGACTCTTAATTGCCTGTGATGTTTCTGCGATGGCATAATAATTCTGCACTATGGTGGATCGCGGAGACTGCCGTGCTGTCCACAAAAAGTGGAACAATGTTGGATAGTGAATGCCGTGTCCCCCTCTTCCCCCCTCCCTCTCCCCTCTCCCTGCTAGCTGTCATTGGTCTTCTTGATTCTGTCGTTAGATATGGCCCAATATCTTATCGCATGCACGCAATATGGCGTTCAACAATACTATCACATGGTCCCTATCATGATTCGAGATTCCATTTCCATCAGAGCATACGTCTGTCCCTCGTGGATCCCGCTTGGGAAGATGTATATAAGGTGGGAATGCCTGTGTCACTAGCTGTTCCCCCCTTCTGTCTGTTCCTTTCAGCACAAAGAAAAAAAGAACAAGGGAGAGCCTTGACTGTACCCAGTATCACACAGAATGTGTATGTTTGATATCCCTCCCCACTCCCCCACGACGCGTGTCGGCGGTGGACCAACTTGACTGATACGAAAGGAAAATATCGAGTAGCAACCAGCGCCCCTGAGAAGGTCTCGGTGGAAGTAGTGCCACAGCCCGTGGATGATGAGAAACATGGCTATGTAGTCGGTTCCGTATTGGGAGTCGTCGAGGACGAAAAATACCCGGTGCCCACGGAGGAGGAAAGCCAGACGCTCCGCAAGATCGCAGCAAATCCGCCCATGATTATTTTCGCTCTGTGTTTGGTCGAACTGGCGGAACGGGCCTCGTACTATGGTGCATCCACGGTCTATTCCAACTTCATCGAATTTCCCCTGCCTGCCGGCGGCAGCGGAACGGGCGCCCCCCCGCGAGGGACCCAAGAGACTGCCGGTGCGCTGGGCATGGGCCTCCAAGCGAGCGACGCTCTGGTGCTGCTCTTCACGTTCCTGGCCTACCTCGTCCCCATCTTCGGAGGCTGGTGGGCCGACGTCCACATCGGAAAATACATGGCGATCATCATCGGGGTGCTCATCTGTGGTGTCGCTCATATCATCCAGATCATCGGAGCGATTCCCTCAGTATTGGAAAAAGGAAAGTCCAACTCCTTTCCACCGTTTCTCATCGGCTTGCTGCTTCTGGCTTTTGGAGCCGGCGTGTTCAAGCCGAACGTGGCACCGGTCATTCTCGAGCAGCTCCCCAGCCAGAAGCCGTACACGAAGACTCTGAAATCGGGTGAAAAGGTTATCGTCGACCCAGAGCGCACCATCACCAGGACCATGCTGCTCTTCTATGGCTTCATCAACATCGGAGCCTTTTATATGCTTGTCACGACCATTGCCGAGAAATATGTCGGGTATTGGTGTGCATATCTGCTTGCCGGATGCATCTATTTCATCCTCCCCATCGTGCTTGCTCTCATATATAAAAAAACAAAGAGGTCTCCCCCTAGTGGCAGCTCTGAGCTGGGGAAAGCGTTGAATATCATCGGTCGGGCCCTTCGGGAAAGCAAATTCCAGATTTGGCGCAAGGATTTCTGGGATGCGGCCAAGCCAAGTGTACTTGCTAGGAGGGGAGTGACGGTTGACTGGTCTGATCAGTTGGTAGATGATGTACGCCGAACCTTGGGTAAGACACTGCTGTAACTTTTTTTTTTTCGATATTCAAACTCTTATTGACACCTATCACGCAGTCGCCACCGAGATTTTCTGTTACTTCCCCATCTGGTCGGTGAACGACGGTGGCATTGGGTCCGTCGCGAGTAACCAGGGTGCCTCGATGACGACCAACGGCGCTCCAAATGACCTGCTCAGCAACTTGAATGCGTTAGCCATCATCATTGCCATCCCCATCCTGAGCCACGTCATCTACCCCTTCTTGAACCGCCACAACATGATGCCCGGCCGCATTACCCGCATCACCTTCGGCTTCGTTCTCGCCGCAATTTCCGGTGTGTGTGGTGCAGTCGTGCAGTACCTGGTGTACAAAAGTTCGCCGTGCGGATACTACGCCTCCACCTGCACCGTCGGCGTCAGTCCCATCAGTATCTGGTGGCAGGTCCCCATGTACGTTCTGGGTGCCTGGTCTGAGTGCTTCGCCAACGTCACCGCATACGAGCTGGCTTATTCCCGCGCTCCCAAAAGCATGAGAGGTCTCGTCATGGCTCTCTTCCTTTTCAACACCGCCCTGGCCAGCGCGTTGGGCGAAGTCCTCGTCCCTGTCACCGAGGACCCGTACCTGATCTGGATCTGGGCGGGCCCGGCAATCGCCCTGGCCGTACAGACCGTCGTGTTCTGGTTCCGCTTCAAGAGCCTCAACGATGATAAGTATATGACTGATGACTCTTCCATCCAGGAACGCGAAGAAAGCGATGATGTGGAGATGTCTGCTAGCGAGACTGTGTCCGTGGGGGCCAAAAACTGACTGTTTTGTCTGAGGGATAGTACCTAGATCTACACGCAGATTAGTAGCTCGCCACTGAATGCATCATGTCAGTATGAAACAAGCTTCTCATCATGGCCTCATAGGCAGATGGAACGATGGGCGATTGATTCTGTATGGCAGGGAGCTGTAACAGTAAACGTTGAATGATATCGCTGCTGCCTAACTTGGAAGGGGCCACCATGTGACATCATCACGTTACATTCACGTGATTGAGGCCTGAGGCACCGAATCCTTCCGACCGATCCGAGTCACACTTCACTTCACGGAGTAAGCTGACGAAAAGGAGAGAGGGAGAGAGAGAGAGAGAGAGAGAGCTGCCATGGCTCCTTGGAATCGCAAGAACAAGAAAGAGCAGGCGTTGAAGCCCGCCACAGACAGCGCCCCGACGATCTCCTTGGAGGGGTCGGTGGGTGAGCCACGTCTGACTGCGCACGCTGCCCTGTCTGCTGTGAGTGTCGGCGACACGGTATCCAGACTGGTGAGTGGGAACGACTGAAGGAGCCAGAGCATTGCTGACAAGGTGTTGTATGGGACAGGATGAGGCTCGTCTGAAGGCGAAACGCGACGCAGAGTTCGGACCGCTCAACCACCCGTCGCATCTCTACGTGAGCCAGCACCCTGGCGGCGGCATCCCAGACCCGATCATCGACGAACCGCCGTACTTCTTCCTCCTGACGACGTACATCAGCTTTCTGATCCTGATCGGCCTGGGGCACTTTCGCGACTTTTGCGCCCGGTGGTTTACCGCCCACTCGAACCGCCACCTACGACACCATGACGGGTACGCTCCCATCTACAGCGACTTTGACAGCTTCTACACGCGTCGTCTGAAGCTGCGGATCAATGACTGTTTCGACCGGCCCATTACGGGCGTGCCCGGGCGGACGGTGACGCTGCTCGACCGGAGCACCAGGGACAACCTGCACTTCCAGCTTACGGGCACCACGACGGACACGTTGAATCTGAGCTCGTACAACTACCTGGGGTTTGCTCAATCGGAGGGGCCATGTTCAGACAGCTCGGAGGAGTGGATTCGGCAGACAGGCATCACCGTGGGGGGGCCCTGCGGCGAGGCGGCGACCGCACAGCTGCACGTCGAGGTTGAAAAGCAGGTTGCGCGCTTTGTCGGCAAGGAAGACGCCATTATCTTCTCGATGGGGTTTGTCACCAACGCCAGCATGTTCCCTGCCATAGTCGAGAAGGGCTGCTTGATCCTCTCGGATGAGTTCAACCATGCCTCTATTCGGTTCGGAGCCCGCCTTTCCGGCGCGAGCATCCAAGCCTTTGCACACAACAACATGACCGACCTGGAAAACCGGCTTCGCGAAGCCATCTCGCAGGGACAGCCCCGCACCCATCGGCCGTGGAAGAAAATCCTGGTGACCGTGGAGGGTCTGTACTCGATGGAAGGGACGATGGTCAACCTGCCCCGGATCCTGGAGTTGAAGAAGCGCTACAAGTTCTATCTGTACGTTGACGAGGCGCACTCGATCGGCGCGGTCGGTCCGCGCGGTCGTGGGGTGTGTGATTTCTTCAAGGTCGACCCGGCCGAGGTGGACATCCTGATGGGTACCTTCACCAAGTCGTTTGGGGCCAACGGCGGGTACGTCGCAGCCAGCAAGGAGATCATCAACAAACTGCGCTGCACAAACTCGGGCCAGAGCCTGGCAGAGGCGCCCTCCCCGCCCGTACTGGCGCAGATCCTCAGCTCGCTGCGCCTGATCGCGGACGAGGACCCGCTGCACCCCGGCGAGGGCCAGGAACGGCTGCAGCGACTGGCGTTCAACTCGCGGTACCTCCGTCTCGGGCTGAAACGGCTCGGGTTCATCGTGTACGGACACGACGACTCGCCCATCATCCCGCTCATGCTGTACAACCCGGCCAAGATGCCGGCCTTTTCGCACGAGATGCTGCGCCGCAAGATCTCCGTCGTGGTCGTGACCTACCCGGCAACGCCGCTGGAGCTGTCGCGCGCGCGGCTCTGCATCTCGGCCGCACACAACAAGGACGACCTGGACCGCCTGCTGCGGGCGTGCGACGAGGTCGGCGAGGCGCTGAACCTCAAGTTTTCTTCCGGCGTGGCCGGCGGCCTGCCGGAGCGCCCTGTCCCGGGCACGGAGTCGAGCATCATCAAGCCGCCTCGCTGGCAGTACGCGGACGTCATTGCCCGAACCGCCCACGACGCCAAGTTGCCCATGTACTAACGAGTGTCAGAGATCTGGAGATAGCCTAATGTTTAATCAATGTAATAAATGAATGATGCACATCCATCCACTCAATACATCATGACGCTGTACCTATTCTAATCAACTACCTACTCATAGTATATCAGGAGATAAGACTAGAGCTAATCAAATAATCCGGAGATCCGCTTATCCACCACTTCAAACTCCCCCTCCAAACTCTTCTCTCATCGAAATGGCTCTCCTCTTCGTGACAGGCAACGCCAACAAGATCGCCGAAGTGCGCGCCATCCTCGCCGGGGCCATCGCCCTCGAGACACGCGCCCTCGACATCCCCGAGATCCAAGGCCCGAGCGAGGAAATCGCTCTCGACAAAGCCCGTCGGGCGGCAGACATAGTAACTTACCATCTATCTATCTATCTATGTATGATCTATTTTTCTAACGATCAGGTAAACGGACCTGTTCTCATCGAAGATTCCTCGCTGGAAATGAACGCCTTGAACGGACTTCCAGGGCCGTACATGTAGGGTTTATACCCAACTAGTACCTTGGTATACTCCGTCCACTATGCACTATACTGATAGTAATGGAGTAGAAAACCATTCCTCGAAACACTCGGCAATCAAGGCTTGAATACCCTCCTCGCCGGGTTCGACGATAAATCCGCCACGGCAGTCTGCACGTTTGCCTTTTCCGAGGGCAGAGGATGCGAGCCTGTCCTTTTCCAGGGCCGATTGGAGGTATCCTATGTTCTTATAAGTTATCAAATACGAGGGGACTGATAAGTATAACTAATCGGTAGGGCCGTATTGTTCCCCCGCGTGGTCCGCCACGATTCGGTATGTCCATTGAACCCGGCTGGCTAGAAGTACGGAGTAGAATACTGAGTACCAGGGTGGGAACCGATTTTTGAATACCAGGGGGAAACACTGGCGGAAATGGAAATGAACAAAAAGGTGATTGACCACTACTCCAAACTGCATCCATACTTCCATATCATTTGGCTGACGGATATACGGATGTCGGACGGTAGAACGGCCTCTCGCATCGATACCGGGCTTTGGTCAAATTTCAACAGTGGTTTCAAGGTTCTCAGCAGGTACGCGATATTGAAAATTAGAGACTTCTATTTCTGTTCTTTACAATCGTTTCAATACGACTACTCCATTTGTCCGCTTCTCTAGAGTTCGGTGTATTCCCGCCGCTCGGCTTATCTCGCCCGAGTTCAGGCATGGGTTCGGGCAGTAATATCCCGAGTCTACCAGTCTACCAGTCTACCAGTCTACCAGTCTACCAGTCTACCAGTCTACCAGTCTACCAGTCTACCGGTTTTTATTCATATTTTCTTTGATTTGTCAATAAGATACATGTCAGTAGATACATATCAACTCATAATTGTCATAGTCATAAAACATCTCCGCTTTTAGCCAAACAGGGCGTCCGCAGTGCGGATGTGCACCGCCTTGATCTGCGTGTAGTTTTCGAGAGCGTATGAGCCGAGCTCGCGACCAATACCGGACTCCTTGAAGCCACCGAACGGTACCTGGTAGGAGAGCATGTTGTAGTTGTTGACCCAGACGGTACTAAGTTGGTTAGTATTACGATCGTCAGGAAGGAAGGAATAGATAGGTAGGAAGAAGGGAACTCACCCAGCCCGCAGAGCGTTGGAAACGCGAATGGCGGTGTTGATGCTCTTGGTGTGGATGCCGGCGGCGAGACCGTAGCTGGTGCCGTTGCCGATGCGGATGGCCTCGGCCTCGTCCTTGAACTTCTGGATGGTGACGACGGGGCCGAAGATCTCCTCCTGGGCGATCTTCATGTCCTGGGTGACGTCGGTGAAGACGGTGGGCTGGATGAAGAAGCCCTCGGAGCCGTGACGGTCGCCGCCGATGGCGACGGTGGCGCCCTCGGCCTTGCCCTCCTCGATGTAGCCCATGATGCGGTCGAACTGCAGCTGCGAGACCTGGGGGCCCTGGAAGGTCTCGTCGTGGAAGGGGTCGCCGACCTTGTTCTGGCCGGCACGCTCCTTCATGCGGGCGACGAACTTGTCGTAGATGCCCTCCTGGACCAGGATGCGCGAGCCGGCGCAGCAGCACTGGCCGTGGTTGTAGAAGATGCCAAAGTTGGCCCACGAGATGGCGTTGTCGATGTCGGCGTCGTCAAAGACAATGTTGGGCGACTTGCCGCCCAGCTCCAGCGTCACTTTCTTGAGGTTGCTCTTGGCCGCCGCCTGCATGACGGTGCGCCCGACGGCGGTCGAGCCGGTGAAGGCGACCTTGTCGATGTCCATGTGGCTCGAGATGGCGGCGCCCGCGACGCGACCGAAGCCCGAGATGATGTTGATCACGCCCGGGGGGAAGCCAGCCTCGACGATCAGCTTGGCGGCGTACAGGGCAGACAGCGGGGTCTGCTCGGCGGTCTTGAGCACGACCGTGTTGCCCGTCGCCACGGCGGGGGCGATCTTCCAGGCCCACATCTGCAGCGGGAAGTTCCAGGGGATGATCTGGCCACACACCCCGATGGGCTCATGGCGGGTATAGGTCAGGGTGTCGACGTTGGTGTCGATGGTCTGGCCGTGGACCTTGTCGGCCCAGCCGCCGTAGTACCGCAGGCAGCCAATGGAGTGGGTGACGTCACCCTTGGCCAGCATCAGAGGCTTGCCGTTGTCCAGCACCTCAATCGCCACCAGGGTCTCATAGTCACGCTCGAACAGGTCGGCCAGCTTGACCAGCAGCCGCCCACGCTCCGTCGGGGTCACTCGCGACCACTCGCCCTCGAATGCCTTGCGGGCGGCCTCCACGGCAATGTCCACGTCCTTCTCGTTCGCCTCGTACACCGAGGTGATCACCTTTTCGTTGGTGGGGTTGATCGTCTCGAAGGTCTTGCCACTGGAACCCTTGACGAACTCATTGTTGATGAACCTGGGTGGTGAGAATCAGACCATTCATTCAAGCAGCAAGGGAAGAGGGAGACATACAAGCCTAGCGGCTGTTCGTACTTGACGGTGGGGGTCTGGATGGTAGCGTAAAGCTCGGACATGATGACTGATGGATGAAAGAGTGAGAGTATAGGAAGAGAGAGGGAGGGAAAGCAGAGGGAAAGAAGGCTATATAAGGGAAGGGAAGAAGGGCAGGCAGGGAATCTGGGCGGGGGGAAGGAAACAGGTCGGAGAAGCTCCAGCGTCGGTGCGGGGTTTGCCTACGCCACTCGCGGAATTAACAGCGAGCAGGTCAGCGGTAGAACAGCGGAATAATGCTTGGAGTATGGAGTATGGAGTACCGAATATTGGGAGTGTTTCATCTGTAGTATGTAGTAATTGTGGTGACTGATGGTATTATTTCATGCATTAGCTGTACTATACCTAGTTAACTACTAGGTAGGTACCTAGGTACTCTATATATAACTACGGATACCTATGGAGTGTGGTGGTTGATTACAGTACTGAAATTACATATAAGTTATATAAATACACCGTCTGTTACCTGTATTTTAATTGTTCCCGGTCACGGCTAATTAGCTCATCCCTGATTGGCTATTAGCTACAACCGCCAGTAGCCGCATCGGCCCGATCAGCGTAGATCAGACTGCTTGGTAAGGTATTTACCTAGAGGTACTTCGTACTTAAGTACAAGTAGGTGGTTATTGTAATTTCAAGTACTCCGTAGAGCCGATTGGATCAGCCTGAATCAGAGATCATGAGGTCAATGTCCACCCTTGCATCTTGGAAGAATGGACCCTTCGCCGGACGGGCGGAAGGCTCGTGTTGCCTGTCTATTTGTTAGACCAAGTATGGAGTATGGAGTATGCCAATCTTTATGGCTTCGATCTAGACAGGGCGAAATCAGCACAGGGGTGGGATGCATAGTAAGGTACGGAGTACGGAGTACTAATGCCTCCCATATCAATAGATCAAGTACTCCGTACTACTCCGTACTGCAGATCAACCCCGCGGCTGGACCCCGTGGTATTAGCCTAGCAAACAAATGCAGAGTATTTGGGATCTAGTATACATTAATATGTCCGGTACAACGTATTGCAGGTAATCTAGGCTAGTAGGTACCTATAGAAACAGATATCCCTGCTGTTATGCTTCCCGTCGGCTTCGGTCCGCTGCGATCTGCCGGTCGGGTTCTTGAATGGGAGAACTGAGTAGGTAATAGCTTCTTGTCCTATTGCAAGAAGAGTATCTACTTTCGCCGTGTACTCGGCATGGGCTCAAACGCATCGTCGTCATCGTCAATATCCTCGCTCATCTGTCTCGTTGCCCGCCCCGCTCGACCAGTGCTGCGTTGACTCGCTTGAGACCCGGTGAAGTTCAACGTCATCTGGGTGGCCTGCTTGCTTCTTCCCCCTGCTGTCGAGCGCGCGGGGGCTCGACGCGTTCCTGAGGCACCCAGCGTCGCGGATGAGGGGGCGGGAGACACAGCTTTGCGTGTGGCGGTGCGGCGAGTCGTAGTAGATGGAGGAACTGCATTTCGTGTTTTAGTAGTAGTAGTAGTAGTAGTAGTAGTAGTAGACCGCGGCTGCTTGACGAAAAGTGCCTGGGAATCATCATCATCATCGTCGTCGTCGTCGTCTTCAACACGGTGGGCCGTGACTGACGGCTCCTCGATATCGTCATCATCAGTGTCCAACATGATGACATCGTTTTCGTCTTCTTCATCTGAAGAGATGGCGTTCTTGCGACGGCCCCTCCCGGTATTAGCTGTAACCGCCGCCTTTTTCGTATTCGTGGTCTTGCCAGTCGTTTTGCGGGTCGTGGCAGCGGCCGCTGCAGCCCTGCCTCCACGGCCACGGCCACGGCCACGTCCTCGAGTGGAGGTATTGGTTCTTTTAGCGGGCTCCGTACCATCCTCGGCAGCATCTTCTTCTCCATTGGGATCATTGCCCTCGCTGTCGGAGTGAATGAGTGCCCCAGGCTGGTCTTCCCACACCCCATCGAATTCGGTATCCCATCCGTCAGGCTTGGGTTTAAACCGTCTCTTGCCCCTGCTTGGCCGTTTTGTGCCCTTGGCGAACAGCTCTTCCATCTGCGTACGGTATTTCTCCATCGCCGCTTGAAGAGAACTTTGCGCCGCCTCTTCGTCGTCCATATCCTCGTAGCCTCGATCTAGAGCCATGAGATGCTTCATCTGGTTCTCCAACGACTCGTTCACAAACATCTCCATCGCATGCTTGTCATCCTTGTCAATAAACTGGGTGACGGCGTCTCCGAAAGAGTTCTGGGGCAAGATACTGAGTGACTGCGCAGCAAGGAATTCTCGAACCAACTGTTCCACTTTCACGGTGTCGAGAGTGGTAAGATGCGAGATCGGAGCATCCTCCAGAGCCGTGTCCTTCTTGCCAGCCGTGGCGTTCTTTTTCTTGCGGTAAAACTGCACTACATCATTCACGTTGGCTACCTTACCAACGAAGCGGTTAGAGAATCGTTGGGGGTTCTCGCAATCGAAGCTCCCACCGTCAGGCGCCGAGGTTTCAACCCGCAAGCGTACGAGCGGCAGAGGGATCTGTACTCCCTCCTCTCCCTCCTCATTCTCCTCGCCTTCTTGAATTTCCAGCCACTCTGCTTTGGCCTCTTCGATAAGCTCTTCCACAATGGACATCAGGAAGCGAGTGAGCTCGGTCCGGTTGTTTTCCTTCCGAGCAAGCTTCCGGGCACCCTTTTCTTCCGACAGGACGATTTCACGCATCACGAAAGGCCGCACGGTTCGCAGCCGGATGGGCTCGCACTTGAACTCCCGGCCCGTAATGCTGAGAATCGCCACATGCTTCGCGACTGCTTCTCCCGGGACCAGAGAGGTCGCCACCGAGGACCCGGGCTGCATGACATGGAAATGAGTCTCTGGGTTGCGACGTGGGTTGATAAGACACTCGTGTTCATGGCCCCAAATCACCAGATCGAGGAACTCTGGCAGAAAGTTCTCGGGCAGGTAGCCAGTCTCCGTGTAGGCGTGATGGTTCTGGTGGACGCAAATCAGATTAAACCAATCGCTCTTCTGAGTCGACGGCTGGAAGAACTTGACCTTGCCGTCGCGGAAGGTACGGAAGAGTCGTTCATCGCGCACGTTGCTCATACCATACAGGGCAAGCTTTGTGCGGCCCTTTTGCAACAACACCGGCTTGATCTGGATATTGTCCGACTCCGGGGTCCGTCCATAGTAGTTGAGCAAGCCTGAAACCTGCAGCAGGTCTAGAGCCGCCAGGTGGCCCTCGCCGGATGGGTCATCATGGTTCCCGTGGATGGAAAACACTGGAATGCCCACGTTGATGTCTAGATCCTCGTAGTTGACGTGATTGAACGCCCCCTGGAAATTCTCGCTCGCGTCACTCAGCATCTCCAGCTCGCAGGGCTTGTCCCCCAGGCAATTCATGCGCAGCGACCGCATCACCTGGTACATCGACTTGCGCGACGGCTTGTTCTCGTGGAACAAATCGCCCGCGAGCAGGACCATATCCACGTCCCGCTCCTTCGCGAGACACATCACCTCGTGGAACGTCTTCCAGCTGTCGTCCCCCCGGATCGGATCCCGCTCGTTGTACCCAACATGGTTGTCCGTCGAGACCAAGATCCGGATCGTCTCTGCGTCTGCACAGCGTCAGTAAACCGGCGAGAAAGACTTCATCTCCGCTCCTAAACGCCAAATACTCACTAGACCCCGGCATTTTGATGTTCCAACAGCGTTGTAGAGTGCCTGGTTGATGGTGCTCCGTAGTTGTCGAGATGCTGCCTGGAAGCGACCCTACGGGGATGCTGCACACAACAAACAGCCGTGCAAATCCCTGCTATTCTTCAAGGCCTCTCTCTGTAGCTTCGCACGGCAGTCTGCCCTCTCCCCATCCACAATCCCAGTCTGCTTCGCTCTTCGTTGCCGAATCTCTCCTTTTTTTTTTTGTTTTTGGCTGTCAGAGTGACAGTCACGCTCACGTCACGTGTCAGACACGCGCCGCCATCGCGACCGCCGATTCGTTTTTCCCTCGTTTCCCCCCCCCCTCATTCCCTCCTCCTCCTCCTTTTCTCTCTCCGTCGCTGCCAGCAGAACAGACAAGACTCAGAAGACTATCGAGACCGCGCCGTTTCCCTCTCTCCGTCCACCTGCGACTACCCCCGGCTGATCCAGTGTTGTGTCTGGTTCGGTCGTCTGCGCTTTCACCGTTTCCCACCGAAGCCTTTTTATGCAATCAGAGCCCATCGCCGTGACTCAACGTCCTGACCCTGGCTCGCCTCCTGCAGAACCCCGTCTACCCTCCCAGAATGGCTTTCAACGCAGTGGCGGTCTGGAATCCAGCTCTCTCCCGCCAGGAGATGGTGTCGGAGAAGCCGGTGTGGTGGTGAATGGCGGGCTGGGTCTCCTCCGTCGAGGGAGTCCAGATCGGTCGACTGCATCGTCACCGTCCGTCGATCGGATCAGCCAGTATGAGAATGCGTGGACGGGCTCGCCCCGGAAGCCCGGGGAGGTGGGATTCAGAGTGGTTGCTTCGTCAGGCAGGCCTCGACTGACGCTCGAGGCCTTCCCCAATGGTTGGTGGTGCCGTGATCACTTCTGAAAAAAAAAGACCCGCCTCGTATTGACTTGTTTGTTCTACAGAGGTTCTGACGCATATCCTATCTCACTTGCCTCCGGCATCGCTTTCGTCTGTCACACTCGTTTGTCGCCGCTTCCACAATCTGGTAACAACCCCTCATGCGTGGAGAAGCGCGTTCTCGCGCTATTTCCCGGGTCCGTATACGGTTGAGAATGGGAGCCAAGCGCCAGCAGCTATTGAAGCGGGTGACGTCGTTTCCGATAAGCGTGTCTTTGCAAGGTTGACTGCGTTAGCCTCCTGGCGAAGCGAATACATCCTGCGGACCCGTCTCCTACGGTCGCTGGCTCGCGGGAAACCGACCCAATTCCAACCTACGAAGAAGCATGGCACGGTTCGATCGGCCAATGTGCGCAATGGCAGCGCTATTGTTACTTACACCTCGAACCTTCTCTATCCCGTGAGCCACTTGCATGGGTCCTTTGCCACCAAGAAGGCGCCGCTCTTCATCCATGGTGCTGTCGAACAGGGCATTGCTTCCGCCAGCGATCCGTCAACGGTCAAGGTCGGTACGTGGGGGTTGTCTGATCACCAGATGTTCCGTCACTTCGCGGACCTGTTCCCTGGTGATGCCGAGTACGGTCTGGGGGCCGGAGACATCGTCGGCCAGCCCAACTGTATGGACGTCAGCCAGCCGTTTGGTATGATCTACGGCGAAGGGTGTCCGCAAGGACGAAGCTACTTCATCTTGTCAGCGGAACACCGAGGTCGGTTTCTGAGTGTCTCCGACACTTCTTCGCAGCCGGAACTAGGTATCCCGGCCTTGAACATGATCACCCACTCGACCACCGCCGTTTGGATCGCCAAGACTCCTCAGATTTTGAAGATGTCCGGTGGCATGATCGCCATGTTAGCTGGCTCCTCGTCAGGCGTGCTCTCCGCCTACTCGCTTGGCCCACATCCAGCCTATGAAAGACGGTACGAGCGTGGCCAGGTCACGGCGCGATGGGTTTTGAGTCCCGGTGTGCCTATCATTGGAATCGCAGTGGACGACTCTTACTCCACCGCACGACAGGCACGTCGTCGTATCTTCGCGGTTGTTCTCAACGCGTTGGGCGAGGTCTTCTACCTGACAGATCTGCCGCAGCAGCCCCGGAACCTCCCAACGGGCCTGAGTGCAGAAATTCTGGATCAAATGGCTTGGAAGACAGGACGTTCCGCTCGCTGGGAGCTTGTTGAACTCAGCAGGCGCATCCCACGCCCCGACCCTTTCAATCTTGAACCTGTGGACGGCAGCTATAGCCCAAGGTCGTCGTCAGATTCCATGAAGCTCAGTGTCGATCAAATTGCGGCAGAGACCAAAGATATTGAACAATACCTCATGTTCAAACCCAAGCATTTCCGAAAGGTCTGCGAGAGTTGGAACATGAGAAGAGATCTTCAGGTTGATTTTGCCGGTGACGACGGCAATGGATCTGGCGAATCGGTCACTGTCATTACTCGCGGCACAGGTGAAGATGAGAAGGCCTCCATTCGGCGCTTTGCCAGGAAGTTGTCGCCTGTTGGTTCGGCACGTTCGTCTACGCCGGACGCATTGCCCAGTAACGTATCGAACTCCATCTTCGGTGGCCCCGTCGGTGCACCAAGTAGTCTCCCATCGTCGAGAGATTCCAGTCACTTGGACGAGTTGTCCTCCTTGACCACATATTCGGAATGGTATATCACTGATTTTCATTTTGGAGATCGAAAGGGTGTACGCATCACGACTACCGCTATTGATATGTCCATCTACTCCATCTTAACGATCGACGAGGATCCTCTTCTATCAATGTCTGGGCGTTCTACCTCGTCATCTGCCATGTCCTCCCCAATGCCTCACATGAAACAATCGTCCAGTTCGGACGTCCCCGGGCAGCGCGCGCGGTACCTCGCCGCGGGCACCGATACTGGACAGGTGTTTGTGTGGGACTTGCGAGCCCCCTCGGCCCAGAACTCAGAAGTCATCAACTCGGCCCCTCCACTCCGTGTCATCCAAACCGACTCACCTCAAGTGTCCTGCGTCGCGCTGTCGTCTTTGTGTCTTGTCCATGGGGGGAACGATGGATTGGTGCAAGCTTGGGATCCGCTTGCCTCCATCACAAGACCTATCCGGACAATGAATTCCCGGTTCTCCTCGCGTGCTCGCCGTCGCTTGGTCCAAGCAGAAGCCTCCATTCAGGGCGTAGGCAACAACTACTATGCTGCAGGCGCGATTAGTCTTGACCCTGACCCGACCGTGCTCCGCGGCATGGTGTCTCTTGGCACACATGTGCGCTACTGGTCGTACAGCTCTTCGGCGGCCGATCAGTACAAGTCGAGCAAGCGTCGTTTCCGCCACTCACAGCGTGGGAGCAACTCTGACCCTGAAGGCCAACGATTTAGCAACACGGGACGCGGTGCTCTACAGGACTTCATTGAAGATGAACGGATCGAAATGGAGCGGCAACGAGTGGCCGACGAAAAGGAACAGGCCCATCTCAGCTCTCGTTTCGGGGTGGATTTGCTAGGAGCGGACGCCACTGAGGATCAGATCCTGGCGTACGCGCGATTACTCAGTGAAGAGACGTACACTAGCGACGTCCTGAAGCGTGGACAGAGCGTGGACTGCTCCGTGGCCAGCACCTCCCCAAGCGATACAATTGGACCGCATGATAGCCCGTTTGCGCCGGAAGCATTCTCGTCCTCCTCATCGCCCTATCAGGAGACGGCCGATCACCCGGACGATGACGACGATCTGGCAGAAGCCATCCGCCTCAGTCTGCTGGATGAGCAATTGCCTCCTTTCGAGCCCTCGCCGTCGATCCCCATCAAGTATGGCAAGGGTTACAAGGCTGCCGTCAGCCAGGACAGCAACGATGGGGGGCATGCGGAAAGCAGCAGGCAACAGGAGATGGACGATCTCGAGTTTGCGCTGCAGCTGAGTCTGGTCGAGGAACACAGCCGCAACCAAGCCGAGCAGACCGGCCACCAGGAATTTCCCATCTTGCTTTCCTCTGGCGACAACAAGGGCAAGGGGCGGGCATTGTAGAGTGATTTTATTCTGCGTTAAGTTATCTTGGATCTTTCATCTTTTTTTAGGACAATACTATCTTATTGAACCAACCAGGCCTTGTACTACACTACATAAGACTACATACTCTATACTGTCCTCTTAAAGAATACTCCGCCAGCTATACTCATAAAGTCGACATACGTCACCCCACATTCCTTAATGCTCCATAATTTATTATACCTTGAGAGATCCTATTGCGTCAATAATAATAAACCGAGGCCCCTTCTAATCTCCCAAGGTTCTTGTCCCGACTAGTCAATTCTCATCTCAACCACAGAGTATACCGTCGCATTCATAATAACCAGTTCTGTAATGATGCGTACCCCTTCCAACCGGATGGGCCGGTCGAGGATTACGCAAGTCGGTGGATCATGCCTGACCCGCTCCCCAGACCAAGGAGGTGGATAATTCGATGGAGTAGGATTGCGATAGGGTCAAAGAATTAAGGGATTGCGATACAGGGTCATCTCAGGGTCAAGGGTCAAGGGTAAGGAGGGTAAGGGGTAGGGGCAAGGGATAAGGGTCCAAGTCAAGTCAACACATTGAAGTGGGATAGACGGAGCGGTGGAGGGCAAGAATTAATACAGGAATGAAAAGAAGACGAGAAAAAGAGCCAAGAAAGCCAAGGTCCGATTACTGTTCAATAATGCGTAGGAAATAATCCAGCTCTAACCTAGTCCAAATGGAAGACACCAGTTGATTTTTTTTCGGTTGGTTGCCCGATTGTATATATGAAAGAGACACCGATCAACTGGGTGGGAAAAAGGGGGAATTATGTTCAATTAAACCACCGGGGCTGAAAAGAAGAAGAAGAAGAAAATGCAGATTTACAGCGTCGCGACGGTTGCCACGAGGGCGCCGAGGAGGCCGCCCAGCATAGCAGAGGTGGAAAGCTTGTCGGCGGCACCGGACTTGGTTGACGAGGCAGCGCTGCCGGTGGCGGTTCCCGTGCTGGAGCCACTGCTGCTGCTGCTGGAGTCGCTGCTGCTGGTCGAGCCGGAGGTGTTGCCGCCGGGCTCGTTGGACTCGTCCGAGGCCTCGACCTTGAGGGCGATGCCGGTGATGACGGCGCCCGAGGCGTCGTACACCGTCTCGGGGATGGTGGTCGAGGTGACGGCGACCATGGTGGCGACGCTGGCTTTGGTGTAACCGTTGTCGATCAGATCCTGCACACCGCTGGGTCTGGCGGGCAAATCAAAGGCGTTGAGGAAGTCGTCGCCGGAGATCAAGTCGGCAGCGCAGTCCACCGCCTCGACGGAGGTCTGGGTGCTGTTGGACTCGGTGATTAGAGTTAGGTCGATGGCGTCGTACTGGGTGCGTAGGTGCTCGTAGTCGACGAGCAGGGTGACGGTGCCGTTATCGTTCAACTGGACCAGGCCGTAGTCGTTGCTCTCCTCGGTCCATTCGTACACCAAGCCGCCGGAGAAGGACTGGATCATGTCCTTGCCGTACAGGGCCTGCACCTCGGTGAAATAACGCGGCTGCACGGTGTTGCAGCCGTACTCGGAGAAGAAGGCGGGGAGGGAGGCGTTGGCGAAGTCCTCGACGAGAGTGTCATACCCGCTAGTCGTGTAGCTCGAGTTGCCGCACCACGAGTAGTCGTTGAGCCCGAAGAAGTCGGAGCGGGACTCGGTCGAGTTGGTCAGGTTGCAAGACAGGTAGTTGACGGTGTCCATCAGCATGTCCTCGACGTCAGCAGCCGAGTATCCGACGGGGATGGTGCGGTTGACGTTCTTGGCGATGTAGTCCTTCATATCACGCTGAACGGCTCTGATGTAGGCCGGAACCTCGTACACGCTGTCCTGGTTGATCACTTCGTTGCCGGAGAAGAAACCCAGGATGTTGGGGAAGTTCTTGAAGGACTCGATGATACCAAACACCTGGTGGAAGTAGGCCACGTCGTAGGTGCCCGAGGGGTCGGTGCGGTCCAGACTGCCATTGGTGAGGGGAGAGTTCACGTCGAGCAACAGGTAGATGCCCGCGGCATTGAAGATGGAGGCGCATTCGCTGTGGTCAAGCAGCGGGTACAGGTTGTACACGCGGACGGTGTTGATCTGCGACATTCCATCAGACACTCATTCACTCATCGACAACAACAACTATAACAGGGTTTGTCCTACACCCAAGCGCTGCATCAGAGCAGCGTCGCGAAGGCACGCCGTGGCATTGCTCAAAGGATCCGCGCTCGTGCTGAAGCCAGACGAACCACCGGGCTGGTAACTGCAGACGCAATCAGCGACTCCATCTTTCTTCTCCTCTTCCGCCATTGATCTCCCAGGGAACTCACTCAACGCCGATGATCTGGAAACGCTCCTGAGTCTTGCTGTTGACAAAGTCCTTGCCGAGAACCTCAAGGGTCTCGACTGCGGCCGCAGTGCCAGCGAGCGCGCAGGCTGCCGTGAGCAGGCGAGAAAACACCTGCGACAACGAGATCAGTTAAGAAGTTCCAGCGATCGCACGAGCCACACAAGATCATACCGAGCGCATTCTGATAGACCGACTGATTTCAACGGTGTCGCAACTGATTAAATGCGAAAAAGGAGTCCGGGGGGGGGAGTCTTAACGACAGTGGGTTGCTAAAGAGCGACAGCGTACAGGGAACAACGAGTGTCGAGGGAGAATATCCCACAGAAAAAAAAACAAGCAACGCAAGCAGCGGACAGAAATAGAAATCCAGCCAGGAACCACGACGTCCTCAGAAAACAGGAATTCGCAAGACAGGAGGGAGAGAGAGGAGAGACACTCGGTCAGGCCCGCAGATATAACCCAAACTAGTCGCCAGCCGAGCCATGATCCGCAGGGGACTGAGTGGAGGCGCTACAGGCCAACCAGTGTCTCAGAGGGACTGGCTGCCCCGAGCCAGCAATTTCAAGGGTGGGTGCGTGGCCGAATGGTCAGACGAGAATACTGCCAGTCTGTAACCAAGTAATGGGCCCGGTTTTGACTGGGTAGCAGCGGTGGTGGTTGAATGGCATGGCTGCTCTCGCGGTCGCTCACTGCTCAGCCACCCCTGTGTGAGACACGCTGCAGAGTGCAGACTAAGCTTGGATCCGGCAGAAATCAAGGAATAAGAAATCCATTCACCATTATTTAGGCCTGCTTCGTTTTCTTTTTAAATTACAACCAAAAACCAGCACATCTCTAGAACGGGTTGGAAACGAGACCAAGAAAAACAGATCAAGTCAAGGCGCCGAGAACGATCAAGGGGGTCCGCCGCGCTCGCCGCCATGAAATAGTGGTGCAATATACAAGTGTGTGAAGGGGAAGAGGAGGAAACAAAAAAAGAAAACAGGGAAAGTTACACGAGTAGTGGAGATGGTCTGCGAGCGCGACGGGGAGGGATCAGAGGAGGAAACTGTCGTGGACGACCAGGCCACGGACCCAGCGTGAACCGATCGATAAGCCGGAGGGAAAATAGAGATTAAAAGAGACACACGCGGGGGATGATGATGCCGGTTGGTTTACTCGACGCCGTGGCCATCGACGCTGCCGGTCTCGCTGGTGAAGCCGCCCAGCTTGAGGCTGGTGTCCATGGCGACCATCTCGGCCAGGATCTCGAGCACATCCTTAGGGACGGTCTTGTCGTATATCGAGATGAGGTCCTTGGGCTGCGGGTAGACCTTCAGGGCCTTGTAGAAGGCGAGAGCCGCCTCGACGTTGGCGGAGCCTGCAAGTAAAAAAAAAAAAAAAACCTTTGTGAGCAAATGCTGCAAAATAAAGCCGGTCGGGGCCGGATCCAAGAGCAAGCAAGCATCTATTATCTTACCCTCGGCGCACAGAGATTCGCCCTTGGCGACCTGGCCCATGAAGTATGCCTCCTTCTCCTCCAGGTCGGTGGGGAAACCCTCATCCTTGGCCTGCTGGACGACCGCCTTGATGGTCTCACGCTGCATCGCGCCCTGGGCCTCCGCCTCCTCCTTGACAGCGCGAGCCAGGCGACGGTTGTTCCGCTTCAGCGATTTCCGGAACTCCGGGTCGGTCTGGCGCTTGTGATCGAAGTACACGGCGTATGCTACAAGACACAGTCAGATGGATCAGCTCTCGTCCACTCTCCTTCGTGATGATAAGCCTGGGCAAGGCAACGCACCGAGCAGGCCGGTAATGATCGTGCCGGCCGAGACGGCCACCAGAGTCGACGTCTGCATCGTGGAACTGTGAGGAGAGACCGAGGAGAAGAAAATTCCGAAAGAATTGGATCAGATCAACCACAGTAAACAAACAGTGGACAGGAACCGGCTGGATGGAGGTTGCAACTGCAGGACGGACTGACGAGAGCCAAAAGCTGGAGCTGCCGCGATAATTTTGACGCGCGGGATCATTGTTGTTCCGGGGCTCGGGGTTTCTGTCCCGGTTGAGCTCTGGGGATAGCATCACCTCTGCCCCCTGGCCCAAGCACCACACCCACAGAGACAGAATCCCCCCCGCGTTATCGGTATGGAGGGACGTGGATTGACTCTGCGCAGCAAGCGACGGCAGCGGCCCCAGATCAGTGCGCCACAGCCCATCTCGGGTCCCCTGCCAGCAGGCAGCAAAGCGGCTGGTCCTGGCACCGGGGCGGCGGCGGCGGCAGCGACGACGACAGCTGCTGCTGCTGCCGCCGCCGCTGCAGCGACGACAGGGACGGCAGCACCGCCGGTGACGCAGCGGGATCGTACACCGTCGAATGCAGCGACTTCGGACCTGGTCAAGCGAAGGTACTCTGCCCGGTTTAACCAGACACCTGAGGTTGACGCTCCACCGGTGCCGGTACTGCCGCCCAACGCAGCCGCCTTTGGGGGGGTGGACACGGTAACGGGAAGCGACAAGAAGACGGATGGCCCCTCCTCGCCTATCACGGTTGATCTCAAAGCTCTGAGAGATCCGAGTTTGCCAGTTGATCGCTGTAAGTGGGGGTCTCGGGCGGTCCAGATCGAATAATCACTAGACTAACTACGTGTTCAATATTAGATGTGGCCCGTCTGCTCGCCAACGCGTCGGAAGAAGACATCGATGATTACAAGGCAAGCCTGCGGAAGGTGAAGAACCGCACGTCGACCGATCTACAACAGAATGTCTACCAGAATCGCACGCAGTTCATCAAGATCAGCAAGGAGGCCGAGAAGCTGAAGGGCGAGATGCGGACGCTGCGGACCCTCATGGCGGAACTCACGACGGCTCTGGGACAGACAAGCATTGGGGACTCGCCAAACCCGATGTCTCCGTCAGCCGAGGATGATTACATACCGAAACGCAGGGCCAACCGCAGCTCTGTGGCCAATCTGGAGAGCATGTGGAACGCCCAGCTGCAGACCATGTGGAAGACGGTCGAGGGCTCGCAGAAGTTCCTGCCCGCCATACCCGGCCGTCACATTGTCATGGAGACCGGCAACTGGGTAGAGCTTGACTCGGCGACCTGGAAGCCCCGGCGCCGTGTGCACATCATCCTCCTGAATGATCACCTGCTGGTGGCGGTCATCAAACGGACGAGGGTCGACCAGAACGACCAGAACAAAAACAGCCGGAGCCCCGCGTCCACCCGACTGGTAGCAGAAGAGTGCTGGCCGTTGCAGGACATCGATATGATCGACCTGGGCTCCAATTTAGGGTCGGGAGCCTCTCGCGCCGAGGCGGAGGATCGGGGCATTTCCAACGCCATCAATGTTCGGGTCGGCAACAAGCCGTTCACCTACCGGCACGACAAGCGCGACAGCCCGGCCAAGAACGAACTGCTAGCAACCTTCCGTAAGACGGTCGAAGATCTCCGGCGGACGATGCGTTCCGAGACCGAGTCTGTCGGGAACCATCTGGGCGGGCGGCAGACCTCTTCGTTTGGATCCAAGACGAGCCTCGAGGCGGCCGAGTTGCCGCGCGACAAGTCCGAGGTGCGCATTGACGTGGACGGCAAGCAGCAGAATCTGCGGTGGGTAGAGGGCCAGATCGACGAGCTAGACATTGACATTGCGCTGCAGCGGTTCGAAGAGGCCGCAGCGACCATAGAGCGGCTGCGCAAGCTAGCGCGCGGCCTCAAAGGAAACACGATCGCGCAGGACGTGATCATCGGGAAGGTGGATGAGCGCGCGGCCAAGCTGGCGAGCGTGTTGATGCGGACGCTGGTCGAAACCCACTCGTTCCCCCTGGCGACCAAGACCAACGTCGGCTGGCTCACGCGGCTGGGCTTTGAGAACCAGGCGCGCGAGGCCTATCTCAAAGCCCGCACTGATATTGTCACCAAGCGAATCAGGCCCGTTTCCCCATTTCCATGTCTTTCCCTTATAGTGAGAAATTCAAGCTAATATAAAACAGGCAATGCATTTTTGAAGGCGACCTCCCGCTGTATATCTTCCAGATCTCGTTCGTGTACTTCACCCTGATCAAGAACACGATCAGCATCTACCAGCAATGCTTCCCTGCCGTGATGACCAGCGCATGCATCAAGTGGGCCAAGGAGCACCTCGACGGCTTCAACGCCCTGCTGAGCCGGCAGCTGAGCAGTGTGCAGCGCGGGACCAGCGTGTGGCAGAAATGTCTGGATATCGTACACGAGCATGTCTCTCTCTTGGCCGAGGTCGGGGTCGACTTTAGCGATCTGGTAGCCAAGGATTTGCCAACGAACTGATACCACACTGCACTGCCCTTGCTCCACGGGCATCTACGTTGACATTTCCATCGGCTCAAGTCGTCGTCACCCTCGCTTTCATGTTCGTGTATATAAGATAGCAAATTGGCTTGGGTTTAACTACTTGCTGCCTATATTCAATCGGAACTTGGTATATACTTTTCATTCGTCAATGTCGGGATGTCAGTTTGTTGTAATTGTATATATATTCCACATAGCCATCTGCTTGTGCATCACTCCACAATGGAATAGTGATTAAAAGATCCAACGAGGATTACAGACAGTAAATAAGTCAATTACACACAGAAAGAAATTACCTAATGGTATGAGCTCTACAAAGTCATTGTTAGTAATCCAGAGATGATTTCCAAGCAATTCAGATGACAAATAGACAGCTTGAAACCAACTCCCAATATATAAATCAATACTCTAAAAACATGAGGTAAATAACTCCACATAAGGCCAATTAAGCATAATATTCACTTATCATGTCCTGGAAAGAGAGATCAGTCGCCAAACGCAAGGAAGTCGCCGAGAAGATCCCCCCAGCCTGGCGCGTTGATCCGGACATCCTGATAGAGCTCCATTCCACGGCCGACCATGCCACAGATTTGATTGCACTGAATGCCGTGCGGAAGGTGTCCATTCTATCCTCGCGCGAACTGGATATCACGGAGAACTACACCGCTGTCGAGCTGGTGGGCAGGCTTGCGAGAGGGGAACTCTCCGCCGTGGACGTGACGGTGGCTTTTTCGAAGCGGGCAGCAGTGGCACAGCAGTTGGTAAGAGCATTTATAGCTTAGCATTGTGTACAATAGTGGTGACGTTGGTCCTGATGCCAGACTTCCTGTCTCACCGAGGTGTTCTTCGACCGGGCCCTGCAGCGAGCGCACTATCTTGACGACTTTCTTCGGCGAGAAAAGAGACCGGTTGGGCCACTTCACGGCCTACCCATTAGTATCAAAGTAGGGTCTTATCTATACCTAACCATCATGGTTTGCGTCTGCTCATCCATCTTCTAGGACAGCTATGACATTCAGGGAATCCAGAGTACCCTCGGGTACGTCTCGTTTCTTGATCACCCCCCAGCGACGAGGAACGCAGCCGTCGTCGAGCTCTTGTTGAAGCTCGGCGCGGTCCTGTATGTCAAGACAAATATTCCCCAAGCCATGATGGTGCGTCTCCTTGCTCTCATGCTGCCCTAGGCTGACAATGCCAGGTCGCCGACTCGGACAACAATATCTTCGGCCGAACCCTGAACCCTCATCGCACCAACTACACTGCTGGCGGCTCGAGCGGCGGCGAAGGTGCCCTGATTGCTCTGCGCGGTGCGTTGATCGGGGTAGGCACAGACATCGCGGGCTCTGTGCGCATTCCCGCGCTCTGCTGCGGCGTGTACGGCTTCAAGCCTTCCACGGGGCGTATCCCCTACCGCGGGGTCGTCTCGCACAATCTGCCTGGACATCCAGGCATCCAGGGTTGCGCGGGACCTATCACGACCTGTCTGGAGGATGCAGAGCTGTTCATCACTGCTGTCATCGGTGCGGAACCGTGGTTAGTCGACGCGACGGCCCACGCCGTGCCCTGGAGGAGCCTCCAGATTTTCCCCAAGGCACTTCGTATCGGTGTTTTGGCCGAAGATCCTAGCTGGCCTCTTCATGCACGGGTGAAATCTGCCCTTGCGCAGGCCGTGAGGCAGCTCGCCGCCGCAGGACACACGCTGGTCCCTCTGTCACACGATGATGCCTATGGTCCTGGAACGGGTCAGCGTATCGCTTTAGATTTCTTCTCTATAGACCCTCTCGATACATCGCTCCAGTACATCGCTGCGAGTGGCGAGCCGGCGATCCGCTCGTTGCGAGTCTTGGGCCTCGACACCCCCAAGACTGCTGTGCAACGAGAGGCATGCACGATCGGACGTCTGGCAAAGCTGAACGTCGAGAGAAGCCATTACAACGACGTGTGGAATGATCTGGTCACAGATCTCGAGTTGGACGTTATCATCGCGCCGGGGGCGCAGAACACGGCCGTGCCGCATGACGATTTCGGCCTGTTTCCATATACCGTCATGTGGAATGTGCTTGATGTAGGCCAAGTCAACAGAACGAACCGTCGCCGCCTGAGCAAGCTGACAGTCATAGTACCCGGCTGGCGTGATTCCATTCTCTCGCATCGCTACAGTCGACCTGGAACAGTCCGAGTCACGGTCTCCGGCGTGTGATTCAGGTGAGTTGCCTCATTATTCTGCCTTCTTGTATCGTGTGTGTATTCTAATATGCTCGATAGACTCTCTGGCCCTCGACAGGCTTCCCTGGCTTCCCTGTGCTCTCCAAGTGATTGCTCCTCGTTTGCAGGACGAGAGGTGGCTGGCTGCTGCGAAGGCCATTGACGCTGTTTTAAATAGGATGAGATGATATATCGCCTTTACGGAGAATATTGATAGAATGAGAAGAAAGGAAAGATGTCGCCATTAGAGAAAATCTTGGGTAGAATCAGAAGAGAGGAAACATTCGAAAGAAAGAGAGAATCCTCTGTAATCATCACATTAAATCTGCCTCAGGCATCAAGGCATCAAGGCACTCAATGACCTCATCGACTCAACTTCAACTTCAACTTCAGCTTCACTTTCACCTTCTCGACCCCGTCCTTCTTTCTCTGTCACTCTCTGTCACTCTCTGTCAATCTCTCGTTTTCATCATGGCTTCAATGCTATCTCGTACTGGACTTCGTGCCTTTCGCGCCATTTCCACCATCCCCAAGCTCCCACAGGGATTCCCTCGCTCGCAGCTGGTGCAGCCCTTGTCTCGCCGGTTCCTCGCAACGATCCCACAGGAGCAGCCGCGTCTGCGTCTAGGTTCTACTGGTAGGATGCCTATCTTCTCGTTTTGGCACGGCCGCTAAGGCATACTAGCCCCCAACTTTAAGGCACAGTCGACGCATGGCGAGATCGACTTCCACCAGTTCATCGGCGACAGCTGGGCCATCCTCTTCTCCCACCCTGCGGATTTTACTCCAGTCTGCACTACGGAGCTGGGAGCTTTTGCGAAGCTGAAGGGCGAATTCGAGAAGCGGGGGGTCAAGATGATTGGATTGGTAGGTAGTCAACCACATCAAAACGTTCATGAAAAGGAATCTTTATTGAAAGGGTAATTAATAGAGCGCCGATGACCTCTCCTCGCACAAAGAATGGGTCGAGGATATCAACGAGGTATCCAGCACCAACGTGCAGTTCCCCGTCATCGCCGATCCGGACCGCAAAGTCGCCTTCCTGTACGACATGGTCGACCAGCGCGACCTGGACAACATCGCCAACAAGGGGATCCCCTTTACGATCCGCGCGCTGTTCGTGATCGACCCGGCCAAGACGATCCGGCTGACGATGCTGTACCCGGCTTCGACGGGGCGCAACTCGGCCGAAGTGCTGCGCGTCGTCGACGCCCTGCAGACGGCCGATCGGAGGGGCGTCGCCACCCCGATCGACTGGACCGTGGGCCAGGACGTGATTGTGCCGCCGTCTGTCTCGACGGAAGACGCGCGCAAGAAGTTTGGCGATGTGCGGGAGGTGAAGCCGTACCTGCGGTATACAGGGCATGAATAGAGTAAACACTGTCTGTAAACATGGAACTACTCACGAGTCAGACGTTTAATAGTAGTTACACTTGTCTATAACGCTAGTAGAGTAGCTGGCAATGTACTTGCATGTCCATGCTATATTTCAATATAATTATACACGTCGTGATCCGATCCCGGCTCCTTCTTCAGATGCACCTTTGGCGCCTTGGTGGGTTTGCGCATCGTCTTGCCCGGCTGCCAGGCCATAGCCCACGAGTCGGCATTAAGCCTGCGTCCGTTGCGGAGCACGCCCAGGACGAAATCCAACGGCTCGCTCCCGTCCGCCTGGTCGGCGGGGAGACGTACGAAATGCCGGACGCTGTCCGGGATATCCTCGCGCAGATGGCTGATCATCACGAGCGCCTGGTCGGCAGATAAGCCGCGGAAACGGATCTCGGACGGGTCCTTCTTCCGCGAGAGTAAGGGGTCTTCGCTGAGCCCGCGCGGGCGGCCGCGGGGGCCGGGAAGCTCACCGTTGTCCAGGAAATGGAGGCACTTGTCGCGCACGGAGGCTGAGAGACCCGAGAAGGGCTCGTCGAGAATGACGATGTCTGGTCGGTGGATGAGGGCGCGGAGGAAGAGCACCACGCGCTGTTGGGCGGTGCTGAGCTCCCCGAAGAGCACCGAGTCGGCGTACTCGATGTCGTAGTCTGTGTCGATGAAGTGTTTCTTTTGGGTTTTGGTCTTGCCGTTGCTGCTACTTTCGTTACTACTAGCGTTGAAGGCCTCTAATGTCGGGAAGACAGAAGACAATTCCTTTTCGACCGTCGGCGGCTCCTCGTGGACTCGTCCGCCAGCGACCCATTTCGGGTCCAGGTCGGCCTTGAAGAAGCGCAGGGCGGCGTTGACGTCCAGGTCGCGATCGTGGTCCAGCGTCGGCCGCGCCAGGAAGGTCTCAGCAAAGGCCGACTCTATCGCCTGCCGCACCGTCAGCTGGCGGGGGAAGAAGGCGTGGATCTCCGGCGAGGAATGGCCCAGGCGGGACTGCAGCTCGAAGATCGAGATGCCCGGTTTTCCAGGCTCTGGCAGCCGCGAGCGGCCAAACACCTTGACCGGCAGGCTGTATGTCTGCGGGTGATCGGACGTGATCAACGACAGCAGCGTCGTTTTGCCCGACCCGTTGGCTCCCAGGATGGCCCATCGCTGGCCACGACGGACCCGCCAGTGAAAGCCATCCTTCTCCACGCCACCCACGGTCTGCGTCCAGTCGCCGAGCACGGCCTTGTCGCCGTACTGCACGCGGACCCCGTCCATCTCGATGATCGGCTCGCCATGCTGCGTGGCCGATTTGGCGTGGTTGAAGTTGCGTTCCGAGACGAGATTCAGATCCCGGAGGAGCTGGCGGTCAAGCACTCCCTCCTCCAGCGCGGCCTTGGCTTGCGTGTAGATATCCCGTTCGTTTTCTTTCAGCGACGGTTCGTCCTCCGCAACAAGATGCTTCCATACATCGAGCGTCTGATCGACCTCGCCGCGCTGCCCTTGCACCAACACCCGGTTCATATGGCCGAGAACCATGACATGGGTGATCCAGTCCGGTACCGCGTCCTGCGGCCGCAGAGCAAGCACTAGACGAGGGGCACAATTGTCCGCCAACCGATGCAGTAATCCCGAGATGCTCTTCACCGCGGCGGGGTCCAATCCCACTGTTCTCTTAGCAATCTTCACACCAGCTTGAGGACGACAAGATATATAATCGGGAAACTCACTGAACGGATCATCCAAAAGCAGCAGCTCCGGCTGTGACAAAAGAGCTTTGGCGATTCGGGCCCGTCGGGTCTGCCCATTGCTCAGGTTCGCTACCGGCATGTCGAGCAGCGGCGCGAGTCGTAGATCCGTCACGATCTGCTCGAACAGCGCCTCGTCTTTGACGGTGCCTCCTTCTTCACCCTCCAGCGGGTTGAGCGACGTCTGGCCCCGTAAATACTGCTGTACTGTCCAGTCCGTCTCTTCGCGAAAGCTCTCGTACCGGGCACTCAGGTACGCACCACGCGTCCCGCCCGTAGCTTCCGACCCCTCTCCGCTGAACCCGATATACTGGATAGCCCGTCCGACATAGCGTAACCGAGAGTCTCTGGCGGCCACTTCGTCGGTGAGGAGGTACGGGTAGCTGCGTGCCGTCGGGGGCACGCAGACCAGCTGGCCGCGCAGCACCTCCAGCAGCTGCGTCTTCGTGGGGGGGCCGATCACCGCCCAATGCTGCAGGGATGGCGTCTTGGAGGTGGCATCCGGCTTGGAGGGCAAGGTGAAGCTCAGGTTTGGGAATAAGGGCGGGTTTCGCAGGGGATCGGTCGAGTCCTGGGCCGTGGGATACTGCTGGTAGAAGGTGCCGCTCTTGATAGAAATCAACGGCGGCGCCGTGGTGAGTCCTCGTCGTGGAAACCCTGCAACCGTAGCCCGCAGAGCCTGTGTCCAGCCCCGTGAGGGTCGCAGCATAGTCGCAGCCGCCATGTCGAGCTTGCTGGCATCGCGAGTGACGCTGTTCAGCGGGCAGTTCCAGCGTATTTCAGTCTCGCGGAGGAAGGGCTCAACTCCGAAGATCACATGATATCACATGACCCAAAGACATGTGACAGATCACGTGATACCATGTGATATTATCATGTGACCAATGACCATCAATGATCAGTCTGCAGTTGCCAGTTGCCAGTTGCCAGTCATAGTGTCTGTGTCTGTCTGCTCCTTCACTGATATCAGCTTCATCGAAGTTTAGAGACAATATGAGTAGATTTAAGTACCTCTAGCTACATGTATGTAATGGTCTCGTATTTCTGAATCATCCCTCTCTACTCGACATAGTTCTGCTGTTCTTGAGCATGCAGCTAGCCTCTATGGATATATAGTAATTATATCATACTCTTTGTCTGTCTCATTCTCTCACTGTCACTGCTGGCTGCGACTGCTGACTAAGTCTCGACACGTGCTCGCCTCAGGCACCAATTCCGTACACAGTTAGCTCCTCTGTCACTGCAACTTCCTCTCTTTTATTCCTCTCTTTCTTTCTCTTCTCCCCTCTTCTTCTCCCTCCTTTCCTCCTTACTTTCTTCATCCACCTCCAGAGTCGTTATGCTGCTATGGCTGGCAGGTTGAACTCGCCCTGGTTGTCGGCCCCAGAAAACACCCCGAGCATCCCCACTCGGGATAGCTCGGGGACAGTTCTGACGGCCGGGACAGCTGCTCTCGGCCAGCGTGGCAGAGGGTGAACGATTTCTTCCATCTGCTGCATCCGCCGAGAGATTTGTCTGGCTCAGTGAGTATCTCGTGATTCAGGTCGGGGATTAGCTAAGGTTGTTGTCTGGGGTTGGCTGGAGGTCACTAACTAGCGTGTAACAGTAACCATCTATCACCAATTTCCACCATGGCCGTCGCAGCAACCACCTCGGTAATCAATACTTTCCATCGATTTCCTTTTCCGCAGGCAGCTCGCTAACTCTGGTTGTACAGGTCGAGAGCAAAGATGAAAAGCAGGCCTCGACGACAGCTTCCATCCCGTCGCTGCCGCTATTTCTCGCCGCCAAACAGCACGCCGAAACCGAGCCGGAGAAAGTTGCGGTAGTTGACGTGACCAAAGGCCAGAGCTTCACCTTTGCTCAACTTCTGGCAGACGCCGCGGCGCTCAAGCAGCAGATTCTGGACCAATTGTCGCTCGTGGATGCTGCGGATCTCGACGAGCGACGCATCGCGTTTCTTATCCCGAATGGGTACGACTATGTGGTCACTCAATGGGCTGTCTGGGCTGCCGGAGGTGTCTGCGTGCCATTGTGTACGTGAATATATTGATCCATCAATACATTATCTTCCTGCTAACTATCAAGGTACTACTCACCCCGTCAAAGAGCTCCTGTATACCATCGGCGACTCCGATCCCTCCCTGATAATCCTTCACCCGGCCTTTGAGAAGTTCCACTCCGCTCTCCAGGATGGTATCGGCAAAGCCATACCCTTCATGGCACTCACACCCTTCACGAGCATTAGCAGTGGGAATGAGACTGGAACATCGTCATCATTGCCACCTTTTACTCCAGCCTTCTCCATGGACCGCCGCGCCCTCATGATCTATACCTCTGGCACGACTTCGAATCCCAAAGGGTGCGTGACGACACACAAGAACATCACCTTCCAGGCAAACTGCCTGGTGCAGGCATGGCAGTACTCGTCCGCCGACCGACTGATTCACGTCCTCCCTCTGCACCACGTTCACGGGATCATCAACGGGCTGACGGCCAGTTTCCTCGCGGGCACGACCGTCGAGATGCACCCGAAGTTCGACCCGGCGACGATCTGGACGCGGTGGCAAGCCCGCGGCTCCTCAACCATGTTCATGGCCGTGCCCACCATCTACGCACGGTTGGTGGACTATTTCGACGCCCACCTACGAGGAACAGACGCCGAGTCTGCCGCGCGCGAAGGGGCAGCGGCGTTGCGGCTACTGGTCAGCGGATCGGCGGCGCTGCCGACGCCCATCAAGGCCCGCTTCGCCGAGATCACCGGCCAGACCCTACTGGAGCGGTACGGGATGACCGAGATCGGGATGGGGATCAGCTGCGGGCTGGAGGTGGCAAGCCGTATCGACGGGAGCGTCGGGTGGGCGCTGCCCGGTGTGCAGGTGCGGCTGACAGAGAAAACGAGTGGGCAGGTGGTTGAGACCGTCGACGAGGACGGAATGATCGAGGTCAAGGGCGACAATGTGTTTCTGGAGTACTGGCGCCGGCCTGAAGCGACGGCCCGCGAGTTCACGGCCGACGGATGGTTCAAGACGGGCGACGTGGCCCGCCGGAGCAGCGAGGGGGCCTACTTCATCCAGGGCCGCGCGTCGGTCGACCTGATCAAGTCGGGCGGGTACAAGATCTCGGCGCTGGAGGTCGAGCGCAAGATGCTGGGTTTGCCGGAGATCAAAGAGGTGGCTGTGGTCGGACTGGCGGATGAAGAATGGGGACAACGAGTGGCGGCAGTTGTCGTTCAACGAGAAAACGTAAGCTTTCCATTCTGTTTAAAAACATGATCATTGCTAACACTGTTTCAGACCCCCCCCATTGAACTCTCCTCACTCCGCGCCCAACTCAAAACAGAAATGGCCCCCTACAAGATCCCTACCGTCTTGAAGCTCGTCGACGCGATCGAGCGCAACGCGATGGGCAAGGTGAACAAGAAGACCATCATCAAGAAGTACTGGCCGTTAGAATAGATAGATAGAATAGACCTAGATAGACTTGTACAACAGGATTTACTGATCAACTAGAACACCCCATCTGTAAAATCAACAACCTGTCCCTTCTCAACCACCCCGTCCAAACTCTTGACAAACGCCGCGTGCACTGGATCTCGACGGACGTAGTATTCTCTATCATCTTCCGAGGCGAACTCGACCACGAACGCATGTGTAATGCCGTACTTGAATAGAATTTACAATCAAATAATTGATAATCAGCAATAGTTATTATGACGTACCTGTTTCCCCTCGATGGAGTTATCAATCCCCCCCGATGAGCCGAGGATATACGGCTTCTGCGAGATAGGATCGAGGCATTGTTCTTTCAAAGCGAGCATGCGGGCACATACCTGAGTTGTTAGCAGGTATGTATAGATGGGTAATAGGGTCATAGGGTAATAGGGTACATCTTTGATGGTCGCGGCAGAAGTGCCTGCTACAAATTGGAAGAGGACAAGATGTGTGATAGCCATATTATAGTAATTAATTATGATCAATATTATTAAAAGTAGCTTTTAAGGTGTGAGATTAGGCTGAAATGCATTGGGGTTGAGAGGGGTAGCTTACCTAACAATAACAATAACCCTAGGGCTTGATATGTTTCCATAACCCTAGGGTTTAATTTATAACATTGGTTGGTCATAACCCTAAACCCTAGGGTTGGGTATACTTTCAACTTCAGCGGGCCTATGTACAATTACCTCAGCGGCTTGTCTCAGACGATTTTCTTATGTATAGAGGTTTACACTATTACCAAGCTGACAGAATATGTATTACATAGTGTCTCTGAATCAATGAGGACAGAGATCATCAAAGAATCATAAACCTAGTGATATACTGTATTCAGTGTTAGGCCTCCATCTCACTGTTGATCATTGCTCAATATTGTATTGATGTACTCTGTAGATCTACTCTATATATACTATACCAACTACTCTCTTCTACTATACTCAGTCGACTACTACTCTCTACAGTACATACAGTACTTAGCAGAATACTTCTAGGATAGAGGAGGATGGTTATTGTCTAATTAAGTGTGGTTAGTAGGCCAGATATCTTGAAACCAGGTATCGCTTTCCAAATCCATCGACTGGATCCAGACCAACTGGTCCACGTCGGGGATGTAGCTGCTCGCAGAGGTAGACTGTCCCTGTACGTCTCCCTGTGCTGTATGCTCTTGGAGGTTCCAGTGAGCATCGGCCCACAGACGGAACCTAGTCAACAATTTCGAAAGCAGATTGAAGAGACTGTCGGTGCAGTGCAGCCCCGGTTCTTCACGAGCAGTCAGATCGAGTTTCTGGACCATACAGTCCATGGTGGAGATGAGGTCGACGGCGTTGCGCACCGTGGAGCAGTCCCAGGCTGGATCCTCGAGGATAGACAGATACTTGAGCAGCGTGATGGCCAGGATCATCTGCGACCAGAAATGAAAGGGGAGGCCGACCAGGTCGCGCGGGGCGATCTGGTAGAACTTGTCCAGCCAGGCCTTGATGCATTCGACGGACTGCCAGAGGCACTCGAGACGTTCGATGCCGGGTAACAGTCCGCCGTCGCTTCGTTGACCCGATAGATTGAGAAGCGGCGAGTCCCGGCTTATCGAGTAGGCCAGCTGGTTGATGTACAGCTCGACGTAGTGTGCGTGCATAACAAGGATGTCTACAGTAGATTCAGTCAGTATTAGATTTTAGTATTGACTTTATTCAGCAAGACATACCCCTTTGATGGAGGTTCGAAGGAAAAGAAGAAACCAAGTCGTGCAGCTGTCCCTGCAGGGTCTTGAGGTATAGTAATCCCGGCACAGAGGTCGTCACCGGCGCCACTGCTGTATCGTGTTGTTCTCGGATGTACGCCGCTCGTTGCTTCAGCAGCTGGAGACGCACCTGAAAGGCAAACGCCTCGTCTGTCGGACATGTCTTGTTTGCTCCGATGACTCGGAGGGCCTCTTCCATCTGGGGGGTCCATCGGAGAGCATCTAGACGGCCTAGATGTGATGAAATACTAGTTGGTTAGTATGTATATATACATCTATAGATGATATTGTAGAGAGTACTTTGAACTTAGGAGAAAAGCAGCGAGGAGCGCTCGCTGCTTCTCCATCAACTCTTGCACTGTTTCTTCACCCGTCTGCTCATCATAGGCCCGCCCCTGGGTGATGGTCATGAGAAGCTTGACGTCCGGTGGCGAGGGCTTGAACAAGCGCAGATCATAAACCAGCGAAATAGCGAGCATCATGAGGCGCGACACGAGGTCTGCGCCGCCGAGAAAGGCGTCGGTGCTCCATGCCAGGTACGTGAGCAAACCCAGTAGCAGGTCGATATTCGACTGCACAGTGAGACACGCAGATGCGAAGAAAGTCCGTTTCAGCTCCTCAATTAGAGCCAGTCGCTTCTGCGTGGAGAAGGTCGTCACGGTGAGGATGGCCTGCAGCAGGAAGGGCCGGTCGCGGTGTAATCCCCAGGCTGTAGTTTCCGGGCGCAGATTGATGAAGGGGAAACATGGTAGCATTCGTGAACGAAAGAATTCGAGACTCTCTGCCGCTTCTTTTGAAGATGGATCAACAAACGACGTCGTCGTTGTCGGTCGGTCGTCTGAGAGAGTAGTGGTGCTCGGGAGGCTGGCGATGGAAGAAACACTCTCCTGGTTCAAAAGCTGCAGAAGCTCAGGCGAAGACGATCCAGAAGAATCGACAAGAGATTGTATTGCCGAAACCAGCGTTCCTATCTTGTCTTCCAGCCGGGCTATTCGCGTGTCGGACTCTTCTGCTCTCTGCGCATTCCGTCTGCGCGCCGAGTCTGAGGGACGGCATTCTTTTTTGAGACGGAGACATCTGATCGTTAGCTAGGATATTTATTTGCATTGAATAAGCAATCATCTCTACCTTTCACACCCATCGCCACTTGGACCAGGCACACAGCGGCATTTGGCCTTGTAGCACTGCATGCACGCTTGCCCGTAAACGCTGGAGTGGCCTAGACCGAGTCTTCGCTCCATGGAGTTTGATAGGAAGTATTAGTATTCCCTGTATGGATGATGGAATATTACCTGTATCTGTCTGTCTTGGTGGTTGTTGAGGAGGAAGATTCCGACGGATTCCTCCGTCTGAGACGAACGGACGGAGACGGAGTCGGAGTCCGTGTCCGTCTTATACTCCCTATACTCTTGCTCTTCTTATACTTCTTTTCTCTTCTCTTCTTCTTTGATAATCTTCTAATCACTACACTGTTCTACTCCTCCTCTGTCTATTATAATGCCTACCAACAAAGCAGCGTGGATTCCAGCCAAAAAAGCGGTTCCGCTACAAGTCGGCGATGCCCCCTACACCCCCCCCGGTCCCGGGCAGATCGTGGTGAGGAACGGCGCCGTCGGGATCAATCCCTTTGACTGGGTGCTGCAGATGCAGGGTCCGCTCTTCGCGCCGCATCTGCAGTATCCGATGGTACTGGGGATCGACGTGGCCGGCACGGTCGTCGAGGTTGGGCCTGACGTGACGCGGTTCCAGGTAGGCGACCGGGTGGCCGGCAGCGCCGTGTCTGGCGACAAGTCGTCTGGGAATGCCGCCGAGGGAGCGTTCCAGCTGTACAGCGTGTTGCGGGAGCATATGGTGGCTCCGGTTCCCGACGAGGTCAGCGACGAGCAGGCCGCCGTTCTGGGGCTCGGGATAGGCACGGCGGCGTACGGGCTCTTCCACGCGAATTATCTGGCTCTCGATCTGCCGCAGGTTCCGCCGCCGTCAAATCCGCGACCGAGGGAATCATTGTCTCGGGTCATCATTATCACGGGCGGCGCCTCGAGTGTCGGGAGTTGTGCGATCCAGCTCGCCGTGTCGGCTGGGTACGAGGTGGTCTCGACCTCATCGCCCAAGAACTTCGCGTATGTCAAGGGGCTAGGCGCCTCGCATGTCTTCGACTACAACAGTCCCACGCTGGTGGCGGATCTGGTGCGTGTTCTCGACGGTCGTGAGCTGGTGGGAGCCTACACGGTGGGGGCCAACGCCGACCAGGTGTGTGCCGCCGTGATGAAGGAGCGACTGGCCAAGACGCCCCAGCTGCCGACGAGGAAATTCATCGCTCTCGCGGGGGGTGCACGCAGGGGTCCCGAGGCCTTCAGGGGGACGCTCGCTCCATACCGCATGATGGGCGGGATGGTCAGCATGATGGGCCGGAATGCCGTCACCAAGCTGCTGTCCGGGATCGAGATCAAGTTCATCATGATTGTCGGTCTGGTTGAACCCGACAGCTGTGTCTCGCGTGTCTACCTTGACTTCTTGGGACCGGCTCTCGCTGCGAAGCAATTTGTACCGGCGCCGGAGCCGCAGGTTGTCGGACGGGGGTTAGAGAAGATCAATGACGCTTTGGAGATCAGTCAGGGGGGGGTTTCAGCCAGGAAGCTTGTTGTTTCTTTGCCTTAAGCATATTTTAATTAATTTTTGCTTGTATTACACTTTATCAACGATATTTCTCCATCGCCCGGGTGGTCTAGTGGTATGATTCTCGCTTAGGGTCCACCCTACAGCATAGCATGCGAGAGGTCCCGCGTTCGATCCGCGGCTCGGGCCATTCTTTTTTTTGTTTTATTTGTCTCTCTCTAGTGGAGGTTATCATCGTATTTTTACTCTATGAGATATTAAATCTATAAGCAGTGAATAGACAGGCTACTAGTATGAACTAAACTACTTGTCCAATACTACTATAGTATTTAGACTAGATCAAACGATGAACCATCTCCTATAGTAACCATGTTGCCATTTCCCAGACAGTGTGTAGTATATATATATATATATATATATATATGCCTAGCTAGAATATCTGCGTCAAGTATATTCAGTCAGATCTATCCTACTATTCCATTCCACCCAGCTATAAAGTCAGCATGAAGCTATTGTCAGAGGAGCATTGAATACCAAGAATATATCTTAGAATTTGGTGAATAGATTCATATAAACATCTACGACCACAGAGTCAGAATACTGTCCCTTATGGTATATTATTATTGTTTGTAACCACCTCTATATAGCCGTCCTCCCACCGCTTCGGTTCATCTGGCGCTGCTTTGAGAATGTAGCCGCGAGGACACTTTCACTCTAGTGATACTACCAACAGCAACAGGTAGCTTTGCTAGCGATGACACTTTCACTCCCTTGAATAATATGGCTTACTACAGCGGGTTCCAAGATGGGGTATTATTCTCTCTTATTGTTATATAGCAAATGGACCCTAGTGTAATAGTAGTATATAGACATCTTTTTCTTATATCTTACCTGGTAGAGTATACAGCTTATTTTAAAGTAGAAAAATAATCTCATTTAAACACAGCTCTTAACTAGATAGTTAATTATCTTATATGACAAATATTTAGAAATCTTAATTCAATATTATATACTGTATGAGTAATATACTCTATACTTCTAAATATTATCCACCTCTATATCATTTCCCTAAAACAGTTAGCACTTGTATGTCTGTCCAACCCGGCTTCATCTCCGTCGGAATCTTTTCGGTGGAAAATCCGACCGACGGTGTAAGGATGGAGAGTGAGATGGACATAAAAGCAGCTTGCACCTCTCAGTCTACATTCAGATCTCAGAATCATCTCATACTCTGACCTCTCAGTCAATCATCCGTCATGCCTTCTATCTCCGGCCAGAAGATCCTCATCCTCGGCGGCACCTCTGGCATTGGCTTTGCCGTGGCCAACCTGGCGCTGGCCGAACAAGTCGCCGTGACGGTTGCCTCGTCCAGCAGCGAGAAAGTCGCCCACGCCGTGGATCGCCTGCGCGCCTCCTTCGCCGACGGCCACGTCGCAGGCCAGACGATCGATCTCGCGTCCGACGACGAGCTGGAAGCCCGTCTCAAGCAGCTTCTCGACGATATCACCGACGGCGGCAGCAACCCCCTCGACCACATCGTCACCACCGCCGGCAACGCGTCCCCCCAGAAGACCAGCGAGATCACCCAGGCCATCATCCGGGGCGACGGCAAGGTCCCTGTCACTGCCGTCGCGCTTCTACTGGGCAAACTGGCCCCGAAATACCTCAAACAGCACTACACTTCTTCCCTGATCTTCACGTCGGGACAGGTCGCTCATAAACCCATCCCGGACTGGACGGTGGCGTCGGCATACGCCGCCGGTCTGTTTGGCATCACCCGTGGGCTGGCGCTGGAACTGAAGCCGCTGCGAGTCAACCTCGTCAGTCCGGGACCGACCGATACAGAGGCCTGGGGACCTATCCGCGACCAGATGCGGCAGTTTGTCGCGTCGAGTGCCCTCCTGGGCAAACCGGGAAGTCCGGAGGAGGTCGCCGAGGCGTATATTTACCTGATGAAGAATGGTGATGCGACGGGCAGCAACGTGGATTCTAATGGGGGGTCTCTTTTGAGATGAGACATAGCTATTGACTAGTATTGTTGAATACATTATGATTTTATAACTGATGTCTCGGTATCAGGGAATATACTCTGTTCTGTTTATTTTCTTTACTCTCATTGAGCTGTTCTTATTCTATAAGCACAGTAATCACTACATATAGCTCTAAACTATAGTATACTGTCAACAGTAAACCCTTTAAAAAGAACATCTCCCTCCCCCCAAGCAAACATGCCAATGACCGGCCCGACAAAGTCCAATCCACACATATCCGCCGTGTCGAGGGTATGCATGACAGTCCACTGCCGATCCTCCTTGAACGCGAACTCATACTCCTCCTCCGTGTATCTGATGCGCAAGAAGAGCTCCGTGCAGGGAGAAACCGGCATGCTCTTCTTCACCGACAGACTCGTCACCTGGTTGGTGATCTCCAGTGTCACCTCGTGCAAGGCAAAGTCGTGCGCCAATGCCACGAACCGATGTTCATCTTTGTACACTGCCAGACCGGCTCGGAGATGATCTTTCTTGTCGGAGACTGTATCCAATGCAACGGTCGAAGTGCCGTTCAACTCCCGCTGGCGTTTTCCCATGAAACTAACTGTCTGGTCGGGACTGTCCAAATACACAGATGAAGCCGTGATAGACACTTGATCTTCTTGCAGGGAATACCTTTCCAGCTCTGCATCACGGAGATACACCCAATCCACATTCTTCACGGCAGAAAGAGTCGTTCTTAGACCCTCTTGCTGTCTTATAACAGGCCACTCACCCTCCCATGAAACAGGGGTGAGGAAACTCTCTCGCCCGAGAATGAACCTGTTGCCCCGTTTCCTCACCCCGAGATAAACCATATACCATTTTCCATGAGCGTCTTGGAACAGATCCGCATGGCCCGTATGCTGGATGTAATCGTTTGGAGAAGCCGTGAAAATCGGATTCCCCTCGTACACTTCATACGGACCGTGCAGATCTCTCGACCGGGTGATGGTCACCATATGATTTGCAAAGGTGCCTCCCTCGGAAACGAGAAGAAAGTACCATCCGTCCTTCTTGTAGATGTGCGGGCCCTCTGTGTCTTTCTTGTTCCATCCCGTAAAGATACACGCTGAGGGAGCCTGCGGGTCACAGAGCGGTTGCAAGGTCTCGAGATCAACTTGGAAGTTGTGGATGTGGCATTCTGGCGCGTGTGTGCCCTGGATATACGCCTTGCCGTTCTCTTCGATGAAGAGGGAGGGGTCGATCCCGTTGAACGCGTAGTAGACCGGATCCGACCAGTGACCGGCGTGGATGTCTGTCGTGGAGAGTATGAAGTTCCGCGTCGAGTCGTTGACGGTGCCGTGCCGGACATTCGTGCAGAGGATGTATGTCACTCCGGTGGTCTTGTTATGACGGATGGTAGGGGCGAACAATCCCCCCGTGGCGATCAATTTCCCTTCGTCGATGGGGGAGATTTTGGTTGACGCTTCACGGAGGGAGAGTTGGGAGGGGCGATTGATAGCGTTTCCTTCAGATAAGCAGTGTTCAACAGCACGTCTTGATTGAATAGCTACCTATGTGCTTCCAGTTCACGAGGTCTATCGATTCGTAGATGGGGATGCCGGGGAATAAGTGAAAGGAGGAGGTGACGAGATAAAAGAACTCGCCGATCCGACAGACGGACGGGTCGGGAGCGAAGCCGGGGATGATGGGGTGCATTAGAAAGAGAAGAATTAAAAGAGCAGAAGAGAAGAGGGAAGAGAGAAGAAGAGGAGAAGTAGAGAAAAGAATGATAATCAGAGGATAGATAAATGATCTGGCTAAATACAACGCGCTAACCTTGCTTGACACGGACGAATACTTATAATAGGCTATATGGGTATGGATATAAGAATAGATAAGAACATCCGCTATATTCCATACTCTATACTCTATACTCTATACTATTACTATACTCTATACTCTATACTATACTATGATGAATGAACCCCCCCCCGGCCACTTCTATCTGGCTGGGCGTCTCTTCCCCCGGCAGAAATGGTATCGCAACGCCAACATGCGCTGGTTGTATTTTTATATCCTTGCTTTGATCATCACCAACACTGCCAATGGCTTTGATAACTCGATGATGTATGTTATTTATATCTCTGTCTATCATTCTATCATTATCATTCCATCAGTCTATATTTTATACTTATTTATCTATATTCTACATTCAATTCATGTCCATTTATATCCATTCATATTCATAGATATTCTATATTCATCTATACTACTATTCATTATTATTAATTCTACAGGAACGGCCTTCAAACCCTCTCGTACTGGCAGGACTATTTCAACCACCCCCACGGTCCTACCCTCGGCCTCTTCAACTGCGTGATGAGCGCCGGCGCCCTCTCCGGCCTGCTCTTCCTCCCCTTCCTCATGGACCGCTACGGACGCAAGCCCTGCCTCGTTCTCGGCTCCCTCTTCATGCTCCTCGGCGTCGGCCTGCAGTCGGGCGCCCTCAACTTCGCCATGTTCGTCGCTGCTCGCTGGATTCTGGGCGTCGGCGACATCCTCGTGATTTGCACTGCGCCGCTGCTGGTGGCTGAGATCGCACCGCCACAGGACCGGGCGGTGCTGGTCACGATTTCGGGCGCGACTTATTATACGGGGGCTTTTATTGCTGCCTGGACGACGTACGGCACCTTGAAGATCGAGGTAATCCCTGCTCTTGCACTCTTCCACTCTGCTAACCCTTCTCATATTCTGACTCCTGCTTAGAGCAACTGGGCATGGCGGACTCCCAGTCTGATTCAAGGCCTGTTCACCTTGATGATGCTGGCCGTCGTGCGTTGGATCCCTGAGAGCCCCCGGTTCTACGTCTCGCGCGACCAGCCGGAAAAGGCCCTGCAGATGCTCGCCACGTACCATGCCAACGGCGACGAGAACGACGAGCTCGTGCAGACCGAGTTCACCGAGATCACCACCGCCATCGCGCTGGAGCGACACGCCCGCCACTCGGTTGCGTTTCTGGATTTCCTGCGCACGCCGGGCAACAGACGCCGGCTCGTGATTGTCGTCTCTGTGGGCGTCTTCTCCCAGCTGTCGGGCAACGGACTGGTCTCGTACTATCTCAGCATCATCATGGACAGCATCGGGATCACCTCGGCGAACGAACAGCTGCTCATCAACGGCGCCCTGACCACCTTCAACCTCGTCACCAATCTGTTCTTCTGCTTCTTCATCGACAAGTGGGGGAGGCGGCCCATCTATATTGTCAGTACGGTGGGCATGCTCGTTGCTTTTGTCGTCTGGACCATTCTCTCCGCCAGATACGCCATCCACGGCGATTCCTCTCTGGGCTCGGGCGTTCTCGCCATGATCTTCATCTACTATCTATGCTACAACGCGAAGTAAGCAAACACAAACAGATCATGAAATCAGAACTCTTCTAACTGTCAGATCCGGTTTGATATCAAGCTACACAACGGAAATCCTCCCCTATTCGATGCGTGCAAAGGGTTACACCATCATGGAGTACGCGCTGTACGCCAGCCTCTTCTTCACGCAGTACGTCAACCCCGTCGCCCTCGATAACATCGCCTGGCGGTATTACATCTTCTACTGCTGTTTCCTCGCCCTGGAAATCCTCGTCATCTGGTTCTTCTACGTCGAGACTCGCTACGTTCCTCTCGAGGAAGTCACCAAGTTTTTCGACGGCGAGGATGTTGCTGCCGTCACTAATCATGAACTGCAGAAAGTAGCTTAGTCTATTCGTAATACATGATGTGAAGTCACTGCAACTAATATCATCTGTGCCGTACATGCTTTGCACCCAGTATCAAGTAAAGCAGTGCTACACCTGATGAGCCCGCCGGAAACCCTCACCAGCATACGCACAGCCAACTCCGCGAGCAAGCAGATCCGCTTCGATATCCATCAACCGATTATACTTGGCCACCCGCTCGCCACGGCACGGCGCCCCAGCCTTGAGATGGCCTGTCCGCAGGCCGACCACCAGGTCTGCAATGAAGTCGTCTGTTGTTTCTCCGGACCGATGCGAGACAAACACGCTCCAGTCGAATGAATATGCCAGGTTGGCTCTGCATGATCAGAAACTTGAATGAAAGGACACAGGAACCAGGGATGCTGGCCTTACGCTTGGATGGCTTCGGAAACCGTTCCGATCTGATTAATCTTGAGCAACAGTCCATTGCAGGCCTTTTTGTCCTCTGCCTTCTGCACATACTCCGTATTGGTGACGAGTAAATCATCGCCCACGAGCTCAACAGGACAGGAAGTCTGGAACTCCGTCCAGCTGGCCCAGTCGGTCTCGGCGAAGGGGTCTTCCAGCAGGATAATCGGATATTTTTCCAGCAGGGAGTGATACACTTCCATCAACTGCTTGGGAGTGTGCACGTTTGGTCTGTTCTTGTCCTTGAAGCCCAGGTCGTACACACCGTCACGGTAGAACTCGCTCGAGGCAGGGTCCATGGCGAACTTGACTTTACCGATGTATCCTGCTTCGGCGACGGCTTGAACCAGCAGGTCTAGTGCTTCATGCGGTTGGGAGATTGGGGGTGCGAATCCTCCCTCGTCGCCGATGCCGGTTGCTGTTGATCATCAGGAAAGAATAGTCCTATGGACATGAAGAATTACACACCTGAAGCACCGAACTTGGAGACTATCACTTTTTTGAGATGCTGGTATACCTCGCTTCCCATCTGGACTGCTTCTGTCAGAGAAGAAGCGCCAACAGGGGCGATCATCATCTCCTGAAACGCCATTGTGTTTCCCGAGTGAACGCCGCCGTTCAAGACATTGAAGAAGGGAACAGGCATGATGTACGGTTCTTTTGCTTGCGATTCTCGTCGAAGGAACTCATACAGAGGGATTCCCTTGTCGTCAGGTCATTCTTCTCTCTTTTGATTTGTTTTTCACTTACTGAATGAGCTGCTCCCGCCCTCGCACATGCCATACTCACGCCGAGAATCGCATTGGCACCGAGTCTGCCCTTACCCTTGGATCCATCCAGACGGACTAGAAAATCGTCGATCTGCTTCTGGTCCGTATCGACTTTCAATCCGCTGGCGATAAGCGCGGGGGCTATCACTGTCTCGACATTGGAAACGGCCGTTCGCACACCGCGACCACCATAGACAGCAGGATCCTTGTCTCTCAGCTCGACAGCTTCGTTCGTTCCTGTTGATGCTCCCGAGGGGACAATAGCACGGAAGGTGCCTTTAAATGCATTCAGTGGACATATTCATATGCATCCTAAAGTATTCACAAGTGTTCTCACCCTTGTCGGTCGTCAGATCGACTTGGACAGTCGGGTTACCCCGTGAGTCTAAGCGCTGGGCAGCACGGATTGATTTAATCATTCTCTCTAGTGAAAATGAGAAGAGTTACTGAACAGAGTCAGGTTATATGTCAACAGGTTATATGTCTAGTGACGTCAATATTCCGTCTTTACCGGGTCAAAACAAGCCGGAGTCGCCAGTCCAATCGACCACTTCAAACTTCCGATCTCGACAATCAAAAGACACAATCCGATAAGCACACTGGCCCCGCCATAGAAATACGCATGCCGTCTGCGTAAGCCAGACAGTTCTAGCACCCAGGTACTCACCGTGGTCAGACATCCGCAGAATCCGTCCATGACCCCCTGGAGGACTTGACAGGGAATAATCCCTGACCCTCCGGCCGTGGAATGCTGCAGCGCATAAGCCATGCCTAGGATTGCAGTGCCGCCAGAGTTGGCAGCGAAGGTGCCGAGCGGGAACGAGGCGAGTCTTCCGTTGAGTTCCATCGAGAGGAAGAACCGCGCCAAACAGCCTGGAGGGGAGAGCGCGAGCGCATATAGAACGGGTCCACGCCATGTGGTAGAGCTCCATAACGTACTATTTTGACCACTCTCTCCGAGTAAGACAGCTAGACAAATGACAGCCACCCACGCCAGAACCGCCAGGATAACCACCAACGGATCAAGAACAGTATATATCCATCTCGGGAGACGCGGTGTCCAGCGCTGTACGGCTAAAGCGAGGTGAGCGCCTAGCATCAGCCCAGCCAGCGAGAGGCCTATTTCCGTGAACAGGACTGCAAGGAGGGCCATGAAGCTGAATCCCCCGTTGGGAGCAGAGGGCACTTGCACTGCAGACCCAAACAGGGAGATATCACCATACGCGCCCACCGGAACAGACAGGTCATTCGATAGCGCAAGGAAGGCATCCCGTATAAATGTTGAGAAGGAGGTGAAGCTGCCGCAGAACCCGGTCGTCAGTCCGATATACAGCGGGATGGACTTCTTCCCGGCTGGTCCTGTATTATCCATAAACAGCTTCTTGTCTTCGCTTAGGAAGCCCATTACTACGCTTCCCCCGACGTTGGCCCATACCACGCTCGTATTGAGAGGTGTCCCCGGGTAGAAGGTGAGGGACTCAACAGCCACGCGAAGTAGTGTTCCGGCTATTGAGAAGAACACGAGGTATCCAAGTGTGCATAGTGTTGGGGGGAGAAGTCTTGCTCTCTCCTCTCTGCTATCTTCTTTTTCTTCAGGAGATACCACGCGATCTTCCAAATACTCTTCTCGTCGTACCGGTTGCTCGGATGGATCGTAGATGGGTGACGGGGCAGCAATTTCGTCCAGGTTGCTTTCAACCTGGTGGAACGATGCCATTGTTGAGAGTATTGTCGATGAGATGGCAGATGGGCAGATCGTAGAGTATGAGATATGAGCTTGTATATTGATAAGCAAGAACTAGACTCTCAGATATCCAGAAACAAGACCAGATGTCAAGCAATAAGAGAATAGAAAAGTCGTTGTTCTATACGGCAAACACGGCAATGGCGGCATAGCGGCAAACACGGAGCGGACAGCGGAATGACTAAGCAGGCCGGTTCCGCTGCCTCGTCGGGACGTCATCAACGACTCCTCCTCCTCTTGACAGCCACGATGAGAAGACAACGCGCAGGTCTAGCGTGTGAGAAGTGTCGAGCATTAAAAGCCAAGGTAGAAGTTTTTCTTCCTCTTTCTTCAAGGTAGCAGCTGATCTTCAGTGCGATGGACGACAGCCTGTGTGCGCCCGGTGCGAGGGTTACGGGTTCGACTGCGTCTGGCCCACAAGACGGCGAGGAGCAGCCGGGACAACAACACGCCCTGGGGGTCTTCGCTTACTCGCACAGGCAGAATTACAGCAGGATGGACCGGACCGGACAGAGTCTCCGGCTGGAACGCCGCAGCCGACGTATGTGGCGATGGTTGGAATGTACGAGGCGTTGATCCAGGAAGTACGTGGGCATTTAGACAGTATCCAGCAGGGTGCTCTTGATGAAGGACTACGCAATATCCGACGGCTGGCGAGTCGTGGCGTTCGTGTACAGAGTACTAGCAGACTAGAGGAGGAGACGACAGCCTCGTCGCCCACTTATGTCGGCAAAGCAAGCGAGGTGCATTTCATCCACAGTATCCGGCAGTGCGTGCATGGCACCGACACTTCAAACACGGGGGACGGCATTCAAGCTCAGAGTTACAGCCAGACAGACGTTACGGACGGGCTGGCGGACCTGAGGTATCCCCTGTTGGTGCCGTCGAATACGGAAGCGGCTCAGTTCCTTGACGTCTACCTGTCAACCATCCACATTGCGTATCCGTTTCCCTCAAAGGCTATATTGTACGAGGCATTCGAGCGCTTTCAGAACGGGGACGTCCAGGAGCCCGAGTTTCAACCGTCATTGGCATTATTCAGTAGGTCTTGTTTTCTCCTCTTGTGTGAATTCGGTTGATCTTTAGATTTCATCTTTGCCATTGGATCGTATTATACCTCGTTCCTCCACGGAAAGCACTCGGTCTCCCGGGACCACTTTCGATACTATGAACAGGGGCTCTACTATTCCCGAGAACTCAGGGCAGATTGCTCCCTCATCAACATCTGGGCGTTGCTGGTGCAGTGCTTCTTCCTACTTGCAGTCTGCCATACGGATCGGTGAGTTCTATGTTCTTCCATTCTTCTCCACGCATTCACTTACTAAAACGTTCAGCTGCTGGAATACCCTTGGCATGGCCATTCGGATGGGTCAAAGCATTGGACTCCACGTCGAGTCACCTCCCAGTGGGAGTTCCAAACAGCCATGGATGGCAGACCGTGCACACTGGCGCCGGACATGGTATTCAATGTACAACTTGGACAGATTACTGGCCCTGCAGCTTGGAAGACCGATGGCTATCCACGAAGCTGATTTCCGGGTGGAAATGCCGGCCGCAACCGACCTGTCACCCTTTGACCCACCAGGGAAGGGCGACGCCGAGCAGGGTCAGAACAAGCTCTCTGGTCGTGGATGCATGATGGACTATTTTGTGCATGTGATACATTTCTCGCATATTGTCGGTCTGGTCGTACGGGAGCTCTATCGCCCATCACAAATTGATCTTTCTCCAGATCAGATGCTGTACAGCGCGTCTGGGCTCGATCGGCGATTAACGGAGTGGAAAGAAAGTCTCCCGCGGCATCTGAGGTTCGACCTTGGCCACACGTTTGAAAAGTCCATCTCATTTCGACGACAGAGGAATATGCTAGCTGTGAAATTCCACCATCTCCGTGCTCTGATCCACCGCCCGTTTCTGTGTCTCCCGATGCTGCAGATGAACAACCAACTGTTCATGAACCTTCTTCTTCGCAACAAGGAGCGCATCTCCGAGGCGGAGTCGATCTGTCTCCACGAAGCCCAGCAAACGGCCCGTCTGCTGCACAATGTCGTCGACGAGGCTGCTCTTGTCCACGATTTTCCCTGGTGGCAGATGATCTCGTGTCTGATATGCGCTAGTTCCATCCTCTTCGTCGCCGAGGGGTTTTACGGCCACACCAATAGTCTGCTCGACGGCCGGACAATGCCGCAGGGTCTGCGTGAAGACGCTGAGACCTGTCTGACAGTATTTGAAGCTCTGAGCGTCAACTCGGCCGCAGCCAAACAGGCGGCGAATATGCTGGAGGGGCTATCACGCATGCGCCGAGCGGATGGTAATCCTCTAGCCCATAAAACGAGGCGTCCATTAGTGCTAACACTGTCTGGTTCATAGTTCATGCTCCGACTGTTCTACCTACTGCAGAAGTAGATCCGAATCCTCTTCCATCCCCGTATCTGACGGGCGACATGTCCATGCTGTGCGAGTGGCCCAGTGAGATCTCGAGCGCGATGGAGTGGTCTACGCGTTTCTTAGATTACCCTCTTGTGCCTCCAGATTCAGATCTGCCATAGCACTAGTATATATGGATATCAGATGATAGTATTACTCGTCCGGCTAATACGGATCTCACGGTCTAGCGGGAAGCAGTGACGTCACAGCCAGATATCTACAAATAGTCAGCACTATCAAATTAGTATGCCTGGAGTCTTGAACACTTTTTAGCCTAACTGGTTTAGTGTCACATTGCCAACATACTTAGGCAGACTCCAGCCAGAATAGACTTACTGCATACTCAGGTTCCACTGCACTTCCGTAATGCCATCTCAAATTCCCTCTATCCCTTCTCCCACCGACCACGAACCACTAGCTATCCACGATTCAAAGACAGCAGGTGCATCTACATATTTTCTCAATTCTATATATAAAAAAAATCCTTATCCTAGAGTACTAAATTTGTGCGAACTTCTAGAAAACGAATGCCGGATCTGCTTTGAAGATCTGCTCGAACCCTTTGCCCACCAGTTACCCTGCGGGCATATCTTCCACCGCGACTGCGCTGATCGCTGGCTATGTGGCGCTGATGCCTCATGTCCGTTGTGTCGAAAACGAATTTATGCCCTGAGCCGACCGTATTTTGTGCCGGTTGGATCGGCACAGACACCGCCACCACCTGCTTCCCCGCTACAGTCGCAGGGGTCGATGTGGGAAACGCTGAAAAAGTGGTATCGACGCAGGAGGGGGAAGGAAGAGATGGCACAAGAAATGGAAGAAAGGGAAGGGCATTAAATACAGGATTTTACTTGCACTACATAGTTACTCCGTACTACATACTATGTACAGTGATCGAGAGTTTAGACTACTCCGTAATGGTCATAGTAAACTGGGGGTCCCTGGGTCCGTGCGGTGCGGGGCCAAACAGCCACGCGGGTGGCTGCCGCTAATCCAGGGACAGCCGAGATGCACGTGTCTGGGGAGTAAACTCGGTACTTCTTGAACTATGAGTAGGATATGATGAGAATGATGATTGTATTAGAGAGCGAGTATCTTGACTACAGCGGTGATATTCCAGCCTATGTGGTGGGGATAGGGTTATACCCTAACATTGAGGTAGCAGGTTATGCAGATAAACGACCATATAAAGCACTATTAATTGTCTTGACAATTTTCAGTGATCATAAGGCTCTTCGATTGTGAATAGGAGTCTGCACAGTATATTGCCGGAAGACCACTGCCAGCAACGTTTGCTCGTTTCAGTGATTCTCGGTCTGTATACGGCCCCTGTTCGAGCCCGAAAACGACTCCATGGAATAGAGGCGACCGCAGGACTGCGTGCCAGCTCGAGACATGAGTAAGAAAACACTAGCTACCTCTGACGCAGTAGTCAAACTGGTATTTCTTGGTATTGCTTAGGGCATAGAGCATCATAGGAAGGATGATCTGGGCATTCATCTTTCAGAGCAAGACAAATTGTCTGCTGGCTGAAACTCGAAGGTTTTTAACAGATGCTGGAAGTTCATCATATGCCGGTCGGAATGAAACGTTGAGAGGTATTTCCAGGAGAAGACGAAGTGGATATCCAAGGCAGATGGCGTGTCCAGAGACTTTTGGTCTTTTTGACGAGGCAGGTCTTCCAGTGAAGAAGATATAGACCTCTAGCTAGGCCGACATGCTGCTGGAGCTATCGTGGAGGAAAGATGTCTACTGAATAAATGATGGAGGAACCGGGCTATATATAAGGAAAGACAGTACTGTCAAGGCTAGGAAGAGAATATGAAGTAGAATAGGAGGTGAGAATGAAGACAGAGACTTTTATATGTAGAATATATGGTTGCCTAATATTCAATAGCGTCAACAAAGACTCAGTGAATAGAAAGAATGCTTAACTATACCACATTAATTATAATAAATGAATTAGCCAAAAACTCTTATACTTCTACCTATATAAGGATAAGTACTATACTAAGCTATTCACCCACAACACCTCATCGCGAATCAACTCCGGCGCCACCAGCTGTATATTATGCGTCCTGGCTTTTCCTTCGGCATACACAAACCGACTGCGACTCGACAGGCTCAGATGGTCGCGTTGACCCTGTTCGTCGAGTTGTTCCATATCCTCCAGTCTCACAGCCAACCGCTGTCTGGCTTCCTCTGTCCCTGTTCCATGGGCAACTGAAAAGTCATATATCTTGCGAAAATCCACCGACTCGTTGCCGAAGATGACACTCAACGGACTGTCTTCTAGAGCCTGCATTCCGATCGGTAACGCTTCATTCACCTCTCGTCTGCCTGCTTCGCTGAGCTGGTCCTCCGCGTTAGCAGTGGGTGCGTTTCGCTCTTCCTCGTCTTTGACAGCTTGATACTCCTCAGCCGTGAGGACGTGGCTGGCATCCAACCCCACGATTGCCATATAACTGGCCTCCCCGTCTCCAACCAGCGTTCCAACACCGGGTGGTAAGGGAGTTCTTTCGCGTGAGGAATCAACAATCACCATCCCCGCCACGTCTTGAGGACCATGTTGACGCAGGAACTCTCGAATAAGCACCCCGCCATAGGAATGTCCGACGAGAATATACGGTGGTGCGATCTCTGCAGTTTTCAGCAGCAGCGTCAGTTCTCGTACTCGGTTCGTCACGCTCACTGGGTCTGGAGACTCCTCGCTAAGTCCGTAGCCTGCCCGATCGTACGAATATACCCGTACTGACTCGGCGAGTAGACGCTGCACCGCGACCCATTCGCAGTGGGAGCTGGCTAGACCGGCTTCGATGATGACGGCCGGTTGAAGATGGCCGTCTATTGTTTCGCGGGTTGGTCCTGAGGCAGAGAGGAATAATCGGTGGGTGCCGATGGAGACTAGATCAGAGCGAGTGTCTTCATTCCACGACATCTGTACTAGGTATTGTAGGTGATTGTTATGAAGGAGATAATTAGTATTGAAGGAAGTATTCTTGAGTAAGAAGCGGAAGTCAGACAGTAAGATTGATTATCTTTCTGCCTGGAGAGCTTTACTAATCATTTCACTTAGTAGGAGTTATATTATCCATAGTCTTATTAGCCTATAATACTCCTGTTTAATTATTTCTATTCTGTATATAGCTAGGTGTAAATAGGTGAACACAGTGTGAACAGATAGTGGATCTAAGTCTAATCTAACCTCACTTATAACCATCACTACATCAATATATTTAGTGACTGATTATAGACCAGAGCTACTTCTTGAATGGAATGGATAAGATTGTAGGGGCGGGAATGGAGAACATGGTTATGGTTCATATGAAGGGAGACACTGTGAATACTGGAGACTAGTTCAATAAATACAAACTCAAGGCAGGTTACTTTATGATAACCCTTAGGATATATTTTTTGCAATAAAACAATCGGGTGTGCTCAAGACCATTGACAAAGACGCGCTTTACAAGCATCGACGTCGTCAGAACCAAATGACACTTGACATGAATAGAATAGAAAGACGACAAATGGTAATTCCATCGTCTAAATCCAATAGCCTCTGATATTGGTGCTGCTAGGACCGCAACAACTGCCTGTCCAACCGATAAGTTTTCCACGATCAGGCGAAAGGTTTGGGAAGGCTCGTCTACCTGGTTCGGCGTATGCATGTATTGTCAGTTTCTCAGGTCTTGATGCAAAGGGTCAAGCACTTCCATACGCTTCCTTGAGTGAGACAGGTATTTCTTTGGAGAGGCTGTACCTCGATTCAGCAGATCGATGATAAAACAACGTCTGAAACTTCCTCGTGACGCAGGAATTCTGGATAGTTTGTCAGGAAGCCAGAAGAAATACGTGGCAGTAGGTTTGATTGGCGACTTGTCCTGACATCTTAAGGTCGACAGCAGTTCAGGGCCCCCATTGCGCCTCTGGAAACTTTGTTGGAGGCGATAGAACAAAGGTCCCAGGGTATCTTTAGCGAAATGAGAAGAATATGTTTTCTTATAGACACGACGCCTACAGCCTCCGCGATAGAATGCGTGGGACCTGTTGCATGTCCAGGCAATGGAGTATGAAAAGCTCTATTTTGTTCTGATAGGCCTATCATTTTGTCAGTCTGTGAGTCGTAGTTGATCGTCAATTCCTGACCTCCATAAAGAATGTTGTTATACCTGAACAACCCTGTCTCAGAGCCACGGATACAGTGTATAATTCCAACCACGAGATATCCCAGAGAACCTTAAGGAGTGTATAATCTTCTTGCATCATTTGATCCCAGGATTAGGAGCCGGACGATCGCGGTTGGCGCGAAAGACAACAGACCGGACTGAACAGCCAAAGACGACTGCATTCTCGTTTGTCAAAATATAGGAAGGGATATATCACCAAGACGCCATGAGTAGCCGGTGGAAAAGAGTAGGATGAGGATTTAAATATATGGAAGCATATATACGTGCGAGGGAATACTAGTATTGAAGAACTGGTCAGTGGAAGGATGGAGAGAAAGAAGAGAGAAGGCATAGTAGGACTATTTATACTTAGCTGTTGGTCGCATTAGGCTGCTATTTTCTTCTATCCTGGAAGCCAAGAGAATGCTCAGGCGTATTCACTTCACGCATTCACTTTGTTGAAAGAAACAGACAGAAAGAGATGAAAGAAGCCTGAAGGTTGCTTCACTCAACGACAGTCAGGTGACAACACGGCCTGAGGCAGCAACAGGCACTTGTGATATCCACGCCATATTTCGACTACCTACGCCCAAACACTCTATTATCACCTTGGTAAGAGTACTATTTTCGCATCGAGGGAGAGCTAAGACTACCAGGCACTATCTATTGCCAAGACAACTAATAGTGCTTTAAGTGAATGAATATTTCACCATCAAAGAAAGATTTTGCTGTGTTGTTGCGTTGGAGAACCTGCTTTTGGCGACGAGGCCAACCCCCCGTCGCAAGGCTCAGCCTTCACACCGACAATTTCTCTGGGAATATGATTCTTTCTCATACAATCATCCTCGCCCAATGGCATCCCTGTCATGTCTCGGGCAGCGCAAGGCTGACAAATGAGGGAAATGCGTTGGGATTCAGCCTTGCGCCTGAGATAGGCGCCATTCAACCCCGCTTTGGGAACAAACTCCTTTGCTGATTTCACCCCCCCAAGGACGGCTCTGTTCGTTACGTTCATCCTTATCATCGAAGAAAACCAGAAAAGAAATATCGATGGCATCGGGTGCGTTGATTCAGTCAAGTGTGCGGAGGACGGACCCTACGATCACTCTCAAACAAGCCCTGGCAAGTTTCGAGGACGCTTTGATGGACGAGCAGAAGGCACAGTATCAGACCAGCACCACATCCCCAGACGCTGCGAGTGTGATCGAGTTTGTCGCCCAGATCGATGCAAAAAACAGTACGGTGATGAGACGGTGTGTTGCACCCCGACTGTGCACATTCCTGGAGGCAACTCAACAGTTCACCAGCGTGGTGGATACATTCGTCAGCTCCAATCCTACAATCGCCGCTCTCGTCTGGGGAGGTGTGAGAACAACCCTCCTGACGGCTAGCAATGTTGCTGCATACTTTGAGAAGGTCACAGGCATGATCATGAGGATTGGCAAGTCGTGTCCGACTTATCAACAGTTTGGTCAGCTCTACCCGGGCTGTATAGATCTTCAGCGTGCCCTTTGCGATTATTTTGCAATCATCATCCAGCTCTGCATAAAGATCATCGAAGTCTCGCGGCGAAACACTGTGGCACAGACGTTCTCGTCTATACTATATCCTTTTGAATCCGAGTTCCAATCGTTTCTCAATAATCTGCAGCAAGCGGAAAAAGAAATACAACTACAGTTGTCCTTCGCCTCCAAGAAGTCCAATTATGAAGCGAGCAAGCTGCTTGAGCAGGAAGCTCGGGAAAACGTGGGCTTCCGACGATCTGCATTCGGGTTTTTCAAAGAAAGCAGTAAGGAGCAAGCGGAGATGCACCAATGGCGGATCGATAAGGCCAAAAGGGACGCTGCCAAGCTCAGATCCAGAATCCGCGAGAGCCTCTCAACCGTCAACTATATCCAACCGTGGAAGCTTGCCAAGAAGCAACACGTTCCTGGAACAGCGGAGTGGCTGCAGCAAGAGCTTGATTTCGTTGCATGGGAGGATGAAAAAGGCAGTGCTAATCTTTGGTGTTCGGGGACAATGGGCATGGGCAAGACTACCATTGTGTCCAATGTGGTTGCCTATTTGCACAAGACTCGAAAGAAAGATCACATCATATCCTATTTCTTCTGTAGGTCGGACGACGAAGAATCTCGGTCAGCTCGAAGCATCATTGGGTGTCTAGTCCGTCAACTGCTTGATGTCCGGATTGGAAACGCTCGGAATGATGATTTGGAAGGCTTATATATGGACAGCCGTCATCTGGACACGACCAACGATGTTGTGAATTTCGTTCTATCCAAGCTCGATGTTGGAAACAAGTATTATATCATTCTTGATGGACTGGACGAATGCGAGGAGGGAGAAGTTCGCGACGTGGCGCAGGCTTTGGCTCAAATCATCAACCACTCTACAAACCACATTAAACTCCTCTGCTCGGGTCGTCCTGAGCTCGAGAAGCAGCTTTTGCGGGTCATTACCCCCCAATACAGGATTCAGATCACGGAAGAAAAATTGCAGTCAGACATGGAGCTGTATATTTCAATGGAGTTGGGTCGCTGTCTGGAAGAGGAGCTGCTCCACCTCGGGGATCCAACGCTGATCCTGAAGATATCGGAAGCCCTACAGGATGGATCCCATGGGATGTAAGTCGGAAATCATTCAATGCCCATACCAGAATGTCGATGGAAGAATTGCCGAAAGACTAATATGAAAGGTTTCTTTGGACACGATTTTTTATTGAGGAACTATGTACGCAGGCCTGCGACAGTGACATCCTGGAGGCCCTGAAAAATCTTCCGCATGGACTTTCTGAGCTATTTGATCGCAAGATTCATCGCATTCAGAAGCAAAAGGCGGCAAAGCAAGCGATCAAAATGCTCCAGTTTTGTGGAGTAGCAAAACGACCATTGACAGCAATGGAATATCGAGAAGCGTTGAGCCTTGAGCCCTACCAAAAGAGTCTCGATCGGAGCAGGTTTCCCAACGACATGAATCAGATTATCAGCGACTGCTGCGGACTCGTCTTCATGGATGAAGAGGCAAGCACTGTGCAGTATGTTCATCATAGCATCAAGCAACACCTGTTCAGCCTGGCGAGTGAACACTCGGCAACCTTTGTAGCCACAACCCTCGATCAACATTTCGGTCTCCTCTGCATGACCTATCTTGATCTCACCAACTTCAAGCGTCAACTAACAAAGTACGATGGAAGTGCAAATACACCTATCGTCCCCCTCCAATTGGGAGTACTCCCAATGAGAGAGGCAAGGAGCGCCACAGGTCGCATGGCATCGAAACTTCTGTCACGCCATCATCAGCTTCAGAACATGAATGCCGGGAAGTTCAAGAGGAAGGTGCAAGACGAACTGGGAGACATTGAAGCTTCACGGCTAGAATTGGAACTTCAAACACGGGGGTTTCATTTTCTCGAATATGCCAGAAGCTATTGGATTCGTCATTCAACGAATTTGACTGATAATGACTTGGACACAGACCTATGGCGATTATTTTGTCGATGTGTGAACGGCGACGACATCCCATCATGTGAACCATGGCAGAAAAATACCGCATCCTCCGAGGAAGATGGAAAAATCTTTTCAAGGATGGTAGATTGGACGATAACCAATGAGCATTATCCTCTATTCTTATACCTAGCCATGACCACGCCTTCACAGCTGAGCAACGAGGTAAAGGATAAAATCTTTACCAGCATCTCCATCAAAAGGCTTCACCTATTTACTAATGCAATCATGCAATTTTGTGACAATACAACGGAATATGTGAGCTACAAATTGCTTTGGGTGATAAAATTGGGGTGTATAGGCGCCATAGAAAGCCTTATTCGGGCCGGAGTGGACATCAACGTTCCAAGTCATAATATAACGGGACTTGCTACCGCTGCAGGAACAGGAAATTTGGAAATTGTGGAGCTTCTACTGGCATCAGGGGCTGATGTCAATGCAGAGCCTAACGATGTAAACGGCCAAACTGCTCTGTATGCAGCGGCGGAGGGTGGCTATCTGAATATCGTGGACAGGCTTCTCAGAGCCGGCACGCGTATTGATACCCCCGTTACACGTGTGAAAGCCAAGCTTGAATTATACCCGGAAACAGGTCAGTTTCAAATTCTGGAGAACGATACCGGTTTTGGGCTCGAAAGTCTGAAAGGACGAGAAGCCCTCTCTGCTGCAGCATGCAATGGCCACCTGGAAGTAGTCGAGAGACTTATGGCTGCTGGAGCTGATGTGACACAAGATCCTATCCTAGAGCAAAGGACTCTTACAAAAGCGGCAGGAAACGGCCACCTGGAAGTGGTAGAGAGGCTTCTAGCAGCTGGAGTTGATGCCAGACCAAATATCATTATAGGGCCGACAGCCCATGCAGCAGCGGCAGGAAACGGTCACCTGGAAGTGGTAGAGAGGCTTCTAGCAACTGGAGCCGATGTCAGACTAAGTCCTACCTTAGGTCAACTAGCCCTTAACGCAGCGGCAGGAAACGGCCATCTCAATATGGTGGAAAGACTGCTAGATACTAGGATTATTTATGATCCAGATAATACGTCGAAATACCCTGCTGATGGTGGACTCGTCAGTGCGGCAGAGAACGGCCATCTAGAGATAGTGGAAAAGCTTCTTGCAGCTTACGAATTTGCCGGTAGGGAATGGAGGAGAACGTATCTACGACGGGCACTTGACGCAGCCACGACCCATAAACATTGGGACATTGTGGAGAAATTACGGCAAGCAGGAGAATTAGAAAAGGCCTTTAGCTGGTTAAAGAGTTGGTGATCATGTCTTGTAATTGTCAACTTGGCAGAATATAAAGCCGGACTTGAAACTCACCACCACACCGTGTAAGGTTCCACGATAGCATTCAGTCTATAGAATGACATACAATATTCCCAAAGTGGTAAATATACGGAGTAGAACTTACGGAGTACTCCGTACGATATATGATGTCGTAAGGATATGCACTCTGATGCATGAAAGCTCATGCATGAGAAACAACACCCGCCAATAATATCACTGATCAAATCGGGGATTTCCGAGCCCAGACCATTTGTTCAATCTATCTTGCAGCGACGAAACTCAAACCCCGAGAGTGTATTTTATCATCGGCTGGATAACATTTAACCGATGCAAAGTCTAAAGCACGCAGAAGAGCTGGTGCCCCAACTTGACAGGAGATAAGTTATGCGTTGTAGCCTGACAAGGTGATGGATCATATTTTGTAGCAAGAGTCGGTGAAGATGTAGCTGCCGGCTATGGATATAAATATGTTAGCATTCTCAGCTCAGTGAATACTCATCCAGAATCAAAAGATACTCTTCTACTCCTTAGCTTTTATCAACCCTCCAATCCATCACCATGAGCGGAAAAGTGCCTGCTGACAAGAAGGAGGTGTGCTTTGGTACATTATACCCTTCCATGATCTCGGCTGATGAATACTACAGGATGTTTATTATTCACGGGGCTGGATCGAGGACTGTTTCGATGGCTTTATGAAAGCTGTATGTTGACTCCCGGTTGAAGACTCTCCCCTTCCTGCTGAAATGGTCTTTTGCTCACCGCATCTAGGACACAAACAAAAGCTGTATGTATTCTAGTCGACTATTTTCGAGGAGTCTAGCACCGCTAACTATTAGCAATCAGGGATTATCACATTCGATGAGTTCAAGACGGGGTTGAAGAAGAAAAACAAAGACATCACGGACAAGGAAATAGAGGAGATCTTCAAGTTCCTCGACTATGACAAGAGCAAGGGAGTCACTCTGAATGGTACGTGGCTGTCCACGCCTTTCCCCCCCCCTCAACTCTGATCAACGTGCTTATTTCTCGAATCTAGAGTGGATACTTGCCGCCATGGAATACGATGCGCAGGTGAAGAACTATCAGAATGCACTTGTCATTTAGGCGTCAGTGGTTACTATCAGTTAGCCAGTGAAATGACTCATGACTTATTCTCTTACCTTCCGAGTCGTCCGAGTAGTAAGATGAGTATTGTAGATGGTTACTCAACAATTGTACTGGTAAGCTCGAAGAGAGAGAGAAAGAAAAGGAGGAAGAGAAAGATTGTGGACAGACCATTTGCACGTTGTAGTCACATGCCTGCCTCCTGCCATTTAGGAATAGTACATGCACGTGTTCGAGGAATAATGATTACGTAGTAGAATTATGCTTCCATTGCTTACTGAAATCAATAAAAAGATCTAATAGCATGAAAAGAGAGTATTCTGGATGAATATACTACTAGTAAGGAACCTGCTGGTGGAAGTACTCCATGATGAACTCGACCTGGTCCGGATCAGCAATGGAGACATTCTCAAAAGCATTGCCGAGCTCCATGACGATCTGCTCGCCACTGGGGTCATTGGGAGCCCACTCCGGCAGCTCCCCAGCACCAGAGTAAGATCCTCCCAGGTTAGGATTGAGGGTCTTGGCAAAGTTGGCCCAGTAGGCCGACATCTTGGCTTGGATCTCGTAGTCGACTTCAGTGAAAGGGTAGGTGTCGGCGTTGGCGTACAGGGCGTTGAGGGCGTACATGATCTCGGACTGGTGGAAGGCGCCCTGGCTCTGACCCGGCGGAGCGTGGGTCCAGTAGTAGGTGTAGAAATCGGAAGAGGCAGACTTGTACCAGTCGAACCCGTAGGCCCACGAGCCGACCTTGGAGATGTCCTGCGCGGCGGCGTTCCAGCTCTCGTCGCCCAGGGTGGCGTTGTTGTCGACCGGGTAGAGCTCGAAGTAGCGGGCCGACAGGTTACCGTAGCGCAGGGTGTTGTAGTACTTGTACTGCGCGACGGTGTAGTTGGTGCTCGTCGCAGCGCCGGACTCGTCCTTGGTATTGCCCGTGATCAGAGGCACGTCGTTGGCGGGACCGTTGAGCAGCGTCTCGATGTACTTCTCCGGGATGACGTAGTCGTCAAGCACGGGCTTGAAGATCAGCGGGTAGTCGCAGGAGAGGGCAGTGACCCACCAGATCCACGTGTTGTTGACGCGGTCCTGGTCGCCGATCAGCAGGTCTTCCATGGACAACTCGCGCAGCTCGGCAATGGACGAGACGTTGTGGAAGGTGGTGTAGTTCTCGCCGAAGAACAAGGCCTCGGACATGTTGACGTACGAGGTCGCCAAACCTGCCAGCATCGTGTCGTAGGGGTACCGGATACCGGACTGCGAGATGGCGCCGTGGAAGTATCCCGTAAACAGCGGGCTGTTGACGGCGTGGTAGACCTGCGAGGAGCCGAACGACTGTCCGGCAATGGTGACACGGTCCGGGTCGCCACCAAACTGGGCAATGTTGGCCTGCACCCACTTGAGCACCTCGAGGAAGTCCAGCACACCATAGTTGCCCGAGGTGTTGTAGCCTGTGGCGGCGAGACCCTCGGCGTTCAGCTCTGGGTGCGCCAGGTAGCCAAACGCGTCGTCACGGCGGTTGAAAGTGATGAGGATGACGTCGTGCAGAGCCATACCACCGCCGTACCACCATTCATCATTGCTGGTCTCGTCGGAACCCTGGTTCCAGACCATCACCGGCAGCTTAGCCGAGGTGTTACCCGCGTTTGTCCACAGGTTCAGACTGAGGCAGTCCTCGCTGATGTACGAGCTGGACCCGGTCGGGCATTGGGGCCCCCACGCGGTCGCGTCCAGGGTCTCGTTCCAGGGTTCCCGCGGCTGCGGTGGCTTCCACCGGTTCTGGTAGCCCGTGTCGGCAGCGAAGGGAATCCCCAGGTACGCCGTGACGTTGGACTCGGAGCGATTGAAAAAGGTCTCCAGGGTGCTCTGGTTGAAGTATTTGTACCCCTTGACGGGACCGAGAGTGGTCTCAATGACTTCATCCCAGAGCTGGGCCTGGGCGACGACGGCCGCCAGCCCCAGGGAGGCGACGGTCCGGACGAGGGAGGGCATGGCAGACAAGACCTGAACTGACTGTCCGATGAATGGATGGGGAAATCAAAACTCGAAGGAGGGTATTTCTTGCTGCTTTTGTACCTGGTGGCAGGCTGGTTGCCGCTCAACTGCCTCATGGTCGTCGGGATACGCGTCTCCGCTGATCAGAGGAGAAGACGGGATGGAAACCGTGTCTGCAAACAGCCATAAACGTCAGTACGGAGCGACGATCATCATTTCTGGTGGTACCCACGTAGTATGATAGGCAGAGGTGGACCTGCTCTGTCAAGTTCCCCCGGTTAGCTTGTGGGTGGACGAGCAGTTGGTGGTTGGTGGTTGGTGGAAGTTGCAGACGCTTACGTGGATGGCCGCTTGGTTTTTGGTGGCTGCATTAAGCTTAAGTCCTGCAGAGTTGTTAATGATGTAATAATATAGACAGGGTAATAGATTGATAATAAACAATTATAAATTGTCATCAGAATTGTGCAGAAAAGAATTAGGAGAAAATGAGGTGAATAGAAGAATATGAAATGGAGCAGAAAACATCTACTATTCAATCAATGTTATACGATTAAATAATTTATTTTACTAATTTAACTAGTATCACTTATTAATATTATAACCATCAACCTACTTAGAGAATGCTTCTATTACTACCCAGTATCTACCAATCGTCGAGTCGAGTCTTGGTACTTTATTGTATTAATTGCTCTACACACAGATATTGCTGAGAGAGGAAAATTGGCGGGAAAGTTTGAATATCCATTCGCTTCCTCAACAGCTGTTCTTGAAGGGTTCCGGGTCCATTCACAAGCAGTACACAGCCCTGCGATCGATCCACTGCCATGTTCAATACCCAACCCTTTTCCAGGAAAACGCAGAGACATTTGAGTTCGATGAAGGAACCCTTGAAGAAGCATCTCGTCTCCTACAGAGCTCTTCTGAGTGGAGACGGTACCTCGAACTCCTGCGCCGTGACGTCCAGATCGATAGTATCACCGAAGCGAATACCACCCTCTGGCCAGGATCGTTTACAATCTCCCGAAGACTACAGGAGCAAGTTATGACCGTGGATGGAATACCTGGCATGGCGAGACTTTCTTCCCAGGCTCCGACAAGCAAAAAGCGAGGCCGGAACTCCAGCAATGTGAAAAGTTCCCTCGTGGAGAAGATCCGAAAGCTACCAGACGCGGAGGATGAAGCAGTGCCAAATGCAGCTCTCATTGTACTGCTTCAAACCATCTCCCAGCTGGTGCCCAACTCAGGCTTGGAGTAGATTCTCAACAGAATCGAGTTTGCCCCCAAATTTGCCAGAGGCGGCTATAAGGCCTTCACGGATGGGGTGCTGCGCTCCGAAAGCAATTTTGTCCATTTAGAGCTGAAGAAAAGGGTTCGGTCTGGAAAGACGGCAAAGATCGAGATGCAGGAGGCCTGTGAGGTGGCCGGCTGGCTCAAACAGGGATCCTCGAATCTGCCTGCGTTCAATAATCAGTGAGTGTGAAATTGTTGCTGCTCCGCTCCGCTACCTGCTCTCAACTAGCAATGGGCTTCATGAAATATAGTCTTCTCCTCATATCCAAGGACCGCCACGAGATATTCGTTACCTTTGCCAAGTATACTGAAGGATATAAGGAGTATCTCAGGGGAGATGGGTAAACGGAGGACTTCCTGGTCATGAATACTTTCGGGCCGTGGGACACTGGCAAGGCATTGCTGATGGACCAGTTTGCAACGATTATCATCGCTGCCATAATCATTGCAAAACGGTCCTTTGGAGGCGCATCTGCGGCAAGTCTTTGGCAATGAGCGGAGGCTCTTTGGCGATTGTTGGTTTCCTGTCATCTCAGTAGTAACTAGTTGTTGGAGCCAGCCTCCGGAATGGTCTGATAAGCCTACGGAGTACCAGTTTCCATCTAAGTCATTAGCCTCTAGCCCACGACCAAATCTTATTGCTCAAATTGGAGATTAATCGACTATATTCAAGTGTGAGGCATTTCGTTTGGGAACCTGAAGCTTCCTAGCCGTGACGGTGTGACGATGACGACAAACAAAACTCAGGCAGCAAACGAAAAGACGTTGAACCTCTTAATCATACCCCCCCCCTTTTCTCTTCTTCCTTTTCTACCTCTACCATTTTTTCCTTCCCCATCTCTGTTATCCTTTCCTGCCACACTCGTCTCAGAAATGGCAAATCTCATTCGTTTTTTCCTCGATCGCCGTCAGGGAGAAGACGAGGACTTCGCCCAGGTCCGCCAGACGGTTATCCAAAGGATCAACGAGACGTACGATCTAGTCGAAGACCGCGATGGGATGCATATTCAGAGTGACTCGCTGGAAGGCCTGCAGATCAAATGCGAAGATTTGAATCTTCATCCTGATGAAAGCCTTGATGGGTCCCCCCAACCGGTGTTCTTCAAGCCGTGGCCGCTGGCTTCATTCCCTAGACCGCATCCTACCGATGAATATACCAGTAAACAAGTCGAAATTTACAAAGCCAAGAAATACTGGGATATCGATTCTCCTTTGCTCGCCTACCAAATCAGTCAGGCGAACTATCTGTCTTCCATAATCGGAATCTTTTTCGAAGGGCTCCTTCGCGACGTGGGCAGACCCCAGTATAAATATCCTCAATGTCTCGAGACCATGGCATCCTGGATACACAAGTGAGTTTGAGAAGTAGTCTCTCTTATACCTTTATATCTATGAGAGCTGATAACATGCTTTGAAGAGACTTCACATACAACATCTTCGCGGATGACTTCGACCCACCGCTGTGGACGTCCGTGGACTGGTATCCCGGAGAGGCATGGAAGTCGACCAAGAATGTCCCCCATATCATGTTCACTCTGATCCTCGGATATGAGCCTACTGAAGACCTCTTCCAGGTAGAGGTGCTCTCCATCCTCGCGGCAATGATCACACGACTCGAAGGCGATGAAGATCTGGCGCACAACACTATCCCAGTAAGTTGAAAGTTCCAGGTTGCGACAGCCTTGAAAGAGTATTGTGTGTGTGTGGCTCGCTAACTAACCACCAGGATAGATTATGGTCATATCGATCATGGCAGGAATGAAAGCCAGGGTTCTTCAAGCCCACTACAACTATCAAGGCCTTGTCATTCGCAAGTCCCAGATGATAAGCTTCCCAACGGTCGATGAAGCACTCCCGAACATCGACCTATTTCTGAGATTCATGGCGAGCGAGTGTGTTGGCGACACGAAGAACCCAGATATTCTCATGAAGGTGAGCTCTAGATTATTCGAAAACAGTAACATGAATGGAAGGACCTACTAAATATCACCCTTCTAGCCCGAAGTTCCTCGCCCCCCTTCTCCTCTGAGCCAATCTCGAAACGAAGCTCGTCAGCCGGAGCCGTCCGGCACTGAACACTCGAGGCGGGGGAACAGCATCAGAGACCTGGTTCACTCTTTCCGCCAACGCGACTCGGTGAACCCGACCAGCTCTCGCAGGCGTTTTCCTCGAGTCTCAAGACCGAGGATCCCTTCCTTTGGCCTCAGTAACCCGGCAGAAGAGGACACCTCGTTGCCTCACAGCCATTTGGCAACCCGCTCCGATGAACATGAGATGAACAGGCGTCCTCCGCAACAGCCGTCCGGCCATCCCATCTCCAGCTCCGACCCGCAGCAAAAGGCCAATGCTCAGGGAGAGGTATTTACGGAGACAATTTGAAGAGAGTTGAAATTTAGGGTTGTGTGTGGAGTGTGAAATTTATTGCTGCAAATAAAATTGGTTGATAAACGATTGGATACTCTATACTTTACAATGCTCCCAAGAAAGAAATATACTCTATCCAGACAACTCGTCCAAGTAACTCTCCACGGCAGCCTGACAGCCCTCTTGAGCGATTAACCCGATATATCCATCCGGACGGATAAGAACAACCGCCCCATCAGACAGCCCATACGCAGCACGCAGGTGGCCGCTGGCATCGAGCTCATCAGTGACATGGACTGTTTTGATGTGAAGCCATGGACGAGGAGCCACGTCAACCGTCTCCGTAAAGCAGAGCAGGGTGAAATGGTCACCGCGCAGGAAATCAAAGAGCCGACACACAGTCGCATCAGACGACTGCGTTGAGATAACCAGACCCGGTGCATCGGGGGCGCGATTTCCGGCCTGTACGGTTCCCTGGCGAAGATGGACCTCGCGAGTATCCCTTGAAAGCGAAGACGTAGGATAACCGACACCGAGCTGGAGTGTGCGGTCGTCCCTGGCGATGGTGACGGTGGAAATGGTGTCGTTCAGCAGTGTGGTCGACAGCGAGAGCACACCCGCCGCAACGGGAAGCCGTTCCTTCTCGTACGTGTCGAGCAAGGCAGGCGACGCCCCATGCAGCACGGCAGCCAGCTTCCAGCCGAGATTGTACCCATCCTGGATCCCGGTGTTCATTCCCTGCCCGCCTGCAGGAGGATGGACGTGTGCTGCGTCACCGGCGAGGAAGACACGACCGGAGCGGTAGGTGGCCACCATGCGGACGTTCTCGCGCCACAGCGAGCTCCAACCCAGTTGCGAGAGGATGATGTCGTTTCGTTTGCTCTGTGCGTTCAGCAGGCCCTGAATATACGGGAGGGAGGACAGATCTGGCCGTTCGTCTGGCAAAAGCAAGGTCTGGAGCTGGAATTCCTCGGTAGAGGGTAACGGGCACAGACCTATGAAGCCGCCCTTGCCGTCACGCCACATGCGCCAGGCCTCGCGGTCGAGTCCCTCGACGTGCACGTCGGCAACCAGGAGGCGGACATCTTCAAATGTCTCGCCCAGGAAGGGGATTCCAGCTGCTCTTCTGACGCTACTGTGTCCGCCATCACAGCCCACCAGCCACGACGCTGAGATGGTCTTTTCTTCTCCGTTGTCGAGGACTGTCGCCGTGACGGTTGTCTCGGACTGGTGGAAGGAAAGAAATTTGACATTGTACGAGACTGTGACTCCCAATTCAGCCAGTCGAGCGAGAAATGCCCCCTCTGTCCGCCATTGGGGTGAGACCAGGCTTGCAGCGTAGGGGGTCGAGGGCGTCGGTTCATGGGGTTTCCCGATGCGATGGGTCGTGTCGGTCGCCGTATCGGTCGAGTATATGGGTATGGCAAGACGGCCGTGCGAAAGTACCGTCTCGATGATACCTAAATCGTCAAAGACTTCAAGAGTGCGCGGTTGGAGTCCCTTGGCGCGTGAACCGGGCGCGGGTGCCGTCTGGGCTTCGATGATGTGGACGGACACGCCGCTGCGGGCGAGGGTGCATGCGAGTGCGAGTCCGGCCGGACCGGCGCCGACAATGAGAACGTCAGCCATGATCAGTTTGGTAGAGAGAAGATGAGAAGAACTGTTGGGTGAAGAAAGACCGTGATTCCAGACAGCTCTATATACACTGCAGAGTCGGAGCACGGAGCAGCCGGTTCCGCTCGGCGTCGGAGCTCCGTGTCTGCTTTAATCTGACACGAGAGGGGTCGATGGTGCAGAAGATTACTGGAGATTAATAAGAATGTAGTAGATGACTAAAATTCTTACTAAAGAATTGTAAGGATGTTATTAATATTATGAATATATTGGGGTGTGTGAGGGGGTACTCGATATGCTGCCTCAGGCATTGAATTTATACCGGATGCCCTACTATTACTAAAAGGGATTAGTGGTTGTTGACTTGGGGTCCTGCCAAATTAGGCTTAGTGTCTCTGCCATCACCACTTCGCCCTGCGTCTCCTGAATAGCTTCAAACGACGGACAAATCATTAAGTCGTGTTCTACACCTGATACGGAAGTATAATTATCTTCAGAGACCAGATCCTATAGTCATGAGATGTCTTAGGATTGAAATGATGTCAGACGGCTTGGACTACTGCCTAATCTGATCCAAGGATCAAAGAGTGGTGAACGACTCATCTTGCTGTTATATTCATTGACTGTCTCCATGCTTTCATCTCACTAATATCAAGTATTCGCACTTCTAGAACTTCTAGAACGCTTTCCTCAAACACAAGCACGCAATGACAAACTCATCGCTAGGTCTTTTCGCTAGACTCCCCCCCGAGATTCGGATTCAAATCTGGAATGAATTCGTGCCCACCGGTGAGGATCGATACGGCGTGTGGTATAAAAAGGTTGAGCGATATGGCCAGAGAACCGACCTGGCGATTCTCCGGACGAATCGACAGATTTATGACGAGATAACGAGCATTATCTACCACCACACTGCTAGGCTTGAAATCAGATTCTCATGCTGCTATGCGGGAATGAAATGTCTTGCCGAGGTCCACTTCCAGCGTCGGCGGCAACAATTCGAGCCAGCAGTATGGATATTCGAAAGCTTGACGGATGCTCGAGACCGCCACTTTGACCGGTTTCCTTTCCATCGACTGAAAGAATTAGTCGTCGTCCTTTATCCGCTGAACCCGCATCCTTACCGGGTTCCTCCTGAAAACATGCTTGCCCTCTTACGGAGAATACTTGATATTGTGACCTTGTTGAGAGAAGGATCAGAAATCAAGAATTTGACTATTCGGTTTGAAAAAGAGACCGAGGGTGAAGACTGGTTTCGTCAGGGTAGGTTTAATGAAACCGTACAATCAATCGACCTTGGCCATGACGCCATGGCAATGCCCTTCTGTACCCTGCGCAATATAACCGACATCAATCTAGAGGCACACTGTCCCAAGCTGAGGAAAGAGATTGATTGGACTATGATCAATGCTGGGATAGATGCGGTCAGAGATCGGAACAATAGCATTCCCCGTGAACCCAAGGAGGAATGGGAAATACAAGACTTTGATGTCGACCGACAGGTGATGGAGAATTCTCTCTGGCTGCTGTACGAGACATGGTATCACGACAGATATCGGCGGCTATCGCCAGATGAATCTGGCGATGATTCTGGCGACGAGAGTGAGGATACAGACTCTGGAATCTCCCTGCCAGGCGCGCATCCGGTTGATATGTTCTTCGTCCCGTCGCTTGCACGTCATATCAACAGTGACTATGCCCTGGACTTGGCGAAGCAGGATCCGGAGTTTATCGTGCACCATAAATGGTCTCTTGGCATATTCTTGAGGGAGACCCTGCCGACGGACCTATGGGAGCTACAAAACTACATGCTGGAGCCGATTCGCAAGTATATTGGATGGAACGGGAGGAAAGACCCGGACTTCGTTCGGACGTTGGAGGATCTTGTCGACGGCGTCCAGCTACCAAAGCCACCGGAATACGATGAGAAAGTATATGAAACTCTCAACTCCGCCATGGTTCTCGATGCCCTCAGCTTGCTAGATGACTATCGGACATTCTTCCAGCTGAAACGAGAAAAGTTGCGCGTATGGGATGAATTTGAGATGAAACTGAGACCGGACTATTATTTTCTTCCGGAGAATCAGCAGAATTCCGTCGACTGTGTTTTGCTACCAAGATATAAGGCAGTATAAGAAATATAAATCTAACTGTTTCCTTCTTCTACTCCCTCTTCTACTTCTTCCGTAGCCTCCTCCTGCTCTCCTGTTCGTTCCTCTTCTCTTTCTACTACTTCTTCCAAGCCAAAATCGGTATGCAGATCCTCCCTAAGAATCAACTGCTTAATTGGAATAGCAAGAACCAATCCCAAAACCCCAAAAGGCACAGCCAGCCACCACACCCAGCGCAGACTACTCTCGTACAGGTCCAGCACCTCCGCTTGCAAGAGAGGAGTGTTGCGAAATTCACGCACAAGCCCGTCACTTGCCATCGCATACGCGCCGCCATTACTCAGCTCGGCCCGCAGGGCGGCACTACCCACCCGGTGTAGAAGATGTGCCACGCGCGAATTGAAGATGGTGGTAGGGACGGCTATTCCCCCAGATACAACCTAGACTGCGCATAAACGCCCACGTAGCCGTTGCGGTGGCGACGTCCGATTCCGGCAACACAGCCTGGATAGGCGGCAAGGTACTGGAGAAGACCATGCCGGACCCTACGCCGAAGAGAACCTGGAAGCCAGCCCAGTGAGATGCGGGGGAGTCGACATTTAATAGAGAGAGTAGTCCCACGCCGGCTGTGAGACAGGTGTACCCCATGAAATGGAAGATGCGGTACTTCCCCGTCACGGCGATGAGGATGCCCGTGATGACGCCGAAGGGGGCGATGGCGGCCGTGATGGGGAGACAGAGAATTCCTGATTGGGTGGGGGAGAGGCCCCGAACGGCCTGGAAGTAGACCGGCAGGAAGTAGCCGACCCAGTAGAGGAGCATGTTCTGGAGGAAGGAAATCCATAATGCGCAGAGGGCAGTGGCGCTGGAAAAGAGCCGGAGTGGGATGGAGGGTTCGGCGCAGAAGGGCGAGGCCTGATGGAGATAGAAGAGACCGAGTCCAGCGAGACCGAGGAGCAAGGGAACAAGAATACGCCATGAAGACCAGGGGTACGAGGTTCCCGCCCAGGTCAAGGACATCAGGATAGCCACGACGGCCATGGTGAGGATGATGTTTCCCGGCAGATCGATGCGGAGGATCTGTTGCCAGACTGTGGTTCCCGCCGGTCGACGAGGATGTTTGACGCGCAGGAAGAGGAGGAGAAGAAGGAGCGCGACCGCACACAGCGGCAGGTTGATATAAAACACCCACCGCCAGGAGACGTACTGGGCAAAGGCGCCGCCGAGGATGGGGCCGACGGTGGTACCCACGGCCCAGACGGAGGCCATCATGGCGACGTATTTGCCTCGTTGGCGGAGCGGGACCAGATCGCAGATGATGGTGTCGACGAGGATGTTGATCCCGCCGCCGCCGATTCCCTGGACGGTCCGCCCGGCGATGATTGCGGCGGTGTTGTTGGCTCCGCCGGCCATGCCGCTGCCCACGCCGAAGATCACCACCGCGCTGATGATGATCCAGCGGCGGCCGAAAATGTTCGCCATCTGGCCGAAGAGCGGCAACACGACGGTCGACGAGAGGATGTACGCGTTTGTGATCCACATGTAGGCGCCCGCGGCGTGGATGTCGAGCGCGATAGTCGGCAGCGCCGTCGACAGGATGGAGGTGTCGAGCGCGGCGAGAAACGTCGTGATGCACAGCGCAGGGAAAACGGCCCAGAACCGCCATGTCTTCCCGGAGGGGGTGTATCCTTGGTCCTCCTGTTCTTCCTGTTCTCCCTGTTCTTGTTCATTTTTTGAGGCGGAGACACTCTGTCCGTCCGGCGGTGCTGGGGCGACTTCCTCTATTGTAGGCGTGGTAGAGGGTTGGATCATGGTATGGCTGGTATTGAGAGGGAAATCAGAAAAGAGAAAATATCAAATATAGAATCCTGGGAATAATAGAGATGGATGACAGTGGATGACAGTAGAAGACAGTGGAAGACAGTAAGAGAAGAAAGTATTGGCGGTTTCTTTGTTTGTTCCTCTAACCCAGTCCAGCCACTCACTGCATGTCAGCAACGCGAGTCATGGTAAATTATAATCTTGTATTATATGATTTCTACTGCTTCTAGTAGTATATGTTTAGGCCAAGAATCAATTATAGCCTAATCTCATGCATTTCCAGGGTACAGCTAGGTATCAGTTCTAATTTAATCCTTGAATTATATAGTAGAATAGAATCAATCTACTACTGCAAACAGACCTAAATTGAATAACAGACAGTGAGGGCCAGATTGATTCCCATCTATGGCAAATAGCTTGTCCTTTCTTTTCCCAAATACCTCATCTTTCTATACTCTGGTGTAGAGAAAATCCCCCATACTATAGACTGTCAACTACAAGGTACTCCCATGGTATTTTCAAGGTATTCTTTCACTAGCATTTGAGCGGTCGTTTCTACCAACTGCGGATCTCCCGTCGACCCACAATTATCATCTTGCCCTGGAAATAATCAAGAAAATCGCTCATTAAGATGGGATGTCCAGCAATCAGAATAGTAGATTTAGCCACGCGGTGATTGTGATATGATGACTGCATGGGACGGTCAGATGCGAGTCATGTCGACAGACAAGGTATACTACATATACTCTATACCTTGGGTAACTACCTTGTGTCGTCTTCAACTTATAGCACAGCCATACTAAATACATAGTAGTGCAGTATGTAGTATATTGTTGTCATGCCACCACAGTTTCAGACGCAATAGATCAAATGTCTGGAGATAAATGATTACCCTATGCGAGCACCTGGTCCATACTCCAATATCCTAGCAAGATCCAGGTATATAAGCTCTATCTGATCTCTATATTCTCACTCATCTGATATAAGACTATCTCTATAGCTCCATTATCCATCACAATGAGCGAGGATGAGGGAATCGCCATCGTCGGCATGGAACAAGTCTTCTCTTACCATTCTCCCCTCCATCTCGATCATAATTAATGCAATATTCCAGCCTGTCGACTGCCTGGAGACGTGCAGGACCCCCAGTCCTTCTGGGATCTGTTGCTGAGTCAGAGACTTGCACGTGCTCCCTTCCCCCCCAACCGCTTCAACGCCGCTGCCTTTTACAATCTTCAGAAAGGACGGCCAGGCACCATCCGCTACAACCAAGGCTACTGCATCGCCAACGATCTCGGGCACTTTGACGCCGGCTTCTTCAATATCAATCCCTCCGATGTCCTCTCCCTGGATCCCCAGCAGCGCCAGCTGCTCGAGTGCTGCTTCGAGTGCCTCGAGTCCGGCGGCGTCACCCTCGACGACGTCTCTGACACCATGACCGGCGTCTATATTGGCAATTTCGCCTGTGACTACGAGACTCTGGCTTCCAAGGAGCCGGAGAGAATCGAGGGCATGGCTGTGCTGGGCATGGGTCGAACCACGATCAGTAACCGCGTCAGCTACTTGTATAACCTTCATGGACCGAGGTATTTCTCTTCTCCACCTGTTCTCTCTCTCTCTCTCTCTCTCTCTCTCTCTTGACATATAAGTGTTACAATGGATACTGCCTGCTCGTCAACTCTTTATGCCCTCCATTTCGCCGTTCAAGCCCTCCGCAACAGAGAGATCCCAGCCGCGTTTGTTGGCGGCGTTAATTTGATTCTCACCCTGGAATATCACCTGGCCATCGGACAGATTGGCGCTCTCTCCCCAACGGCCCAGTGCCACGCCTTTGATGCCTCTGCAGACGGCTACTCGCGTGGCGAAGCCATCAACGTCTTGTATCTGAAACGTGTCTCGGATGCGATTCGAGACGGCGATCCCATCCGTGCCGTCATTCGGGGATCATCGTTGACTGCGTAAGCAATCTATCTCTCATAGTACTCCTTTGTTCCACCAGCTACTAACGAACAAGGAATGGCAAGAACAATGGCATCACCCTTCCCAGTGCTCTCGCCCAGGAACTTGCTATCCGCAAGGCATATGAACACTCCGGTCCCCTGGACTATAATACCGTTGGATACCTCGAATGTCACGGCACTGGAACCCCTGCTGGAGACCCCATCGAGACCACAGCCATCGCAAATGTCTTTGGAAAACACCGAGAGTGGTTCGATCCGCTGTACATCGGATCCACCAAGCCACAGGTTGGTCACGGCGAGGCCTGCTCGGCTATCACCAGCGTCATCAAGGTGGTTTTGGCCATGGAGAACGGAATCATTCCTGGCACGATTGGCATCAAGAAACTTAATCCTGCATGTTCGTATTCTCCGACTTCTTTAAAGATTTCTTTTTTTTTTTCTCTGACAGATGCAGTGAATCTCAAAGGAGGTTCGTTGGCTGTCATCACACAGAACACTCCCTGGCCGGAAGGAAAAGCAAAGCGTGCCTCGGTCAATTCATCGGGATACGGGGGAGCCAACGGCCATGTCGTGATCGACGGGGTGGATGAGTACTTCAAATCCATCGGTTGGGCCAACCCGGCTGAAAGGACTCCCACCTTCGACCCTTATACCATCGTTCAGAAAAGGTTCTTGTTGCCTGTGACAGGACATGATGAATACTCCCTACGTCAATCCTTGGCCAATATAACCGATGTGCTGCACCGCCAGACACACGACTTCCATGAGTTGTTATACACCATGACTGCCCGCCGTACCCGCTTCTCACACCGGGCCATCATCCCCGTCGAGATGAGCCAGAAAAGGAGTCTAACGTTGGGAGAGCCAGTCATCGGTAGGGCGAGCAGCAGGACTCCTGTTGTGGCATTTGTCTTCACGGGGCAGGGTGCTCAGTGGGCAGAGATGGGCCGTCATCTGCTGGAGTCCTACCCAGTCGTGCAGCGGACCTTTCGAAAGTTGAACCTGGCTCTGTCGCGTTTGAAACAGCGGCCAACATGGTCTCTGGAAGGTATGAATTATGAACCTGCCCCCCCCCCCTCCTGCATTTAAGGTGAATTCTAGACTATGATGAGTCCTGATGTACGTTGTCGTCTCTAGAGATCTTGCTTGCCCCCGCCGAGAAAAGCAAAATTGGCGACGTTTCCTTCTCACAACCAATCTGCACTGCCATTCAAATCGCGATGATCGATTTGCTTCAGGAATGGGGCATCCGTCCGGAAGCAACTGTTGGCCATTCGTCCGGAGAATTAGCCGCAGCGTATGCGGCGAAGCTTATCACGGCCCAAGAAGCCATCATTGCTGCCTATCTGAGAGGCGTTCATGCCACGCTCACCCAAGCTCCGGGAACAATGATGGCTGTCGCTATGAGTGCTTCTGCGGCGGAGAACTTGCTCGCCGAGTATAATATCTCGACGGTAGACGCTGTTGTCGCCTGTGTCAACTCCCCGCAGAGCGTCACCCTCAGTGGCCAGTCCCATGCCATAGATGCCTTATATCGAATCCTGAAGGAGCAATCCATCCTGTGCAAGAAACTGGCCACGGGAGGGAAAGCATACCATTCTCCGAGCATGAAGGAGGTGGGATCTGGGTACAGCGAGGCTATTCTAGAAGCCACAGCCAATGAAGGTGGTCCAGTGCGTCTACTCAATGGAGACAGACCAGTAATGGTCTCGTCTGTGACTGTCAAGCGCCTTCAACCGGGAGACATCGATGGAAGCTACTGGCAAAGGAATCTTGAGAGTCCTGTCTTGTTTGATGCCGCCATGAAACATCTCCTGAGTCTCAAGTTTGGCGAGGAACGCCATGTGGACTGTTTGATTGAGATTGGAGTAAGTTTATGCTCTTTCCTGGTCCATTGTCTTCTTCTCAATCTATCTCTAATCTCATCCCACAATTTCCAGCCACATAGCGCTTTGAAAGGCCCGATCAACCAAATCATTGCCTCCCCCGAGGTCCAAGAGATCTGGAAGATGAGTCTAGGAACCGCTCCTAAGGTAACCTACGAGCACACGCTTGAACGTGGCCACAATGCCGAAGAGGATATGATGCGACTGGCCACTAGCATGTTTATCAAGGGCTATCCCATCAACCTGTTGAGAGTCAACGGACAGCGAGACTACCGACCATCTAAGATCATCATCGACCTCCCAAAGTACCCGTGGAACCATCAGACAAAACAGCCCCTGATGGTGAACCGGGCGACGCAAGATTACAAGTTTGCCACCCATCCCCGGCACGATCTCATTGGAACTCGACTGCCAGGGGGGAATCGCATGGAACCGGTCTGGAGGAATTATCTGCGGCTGGATGATGTGCCGTGGATCAAGGATCACGTCGTATGTACTAACCACATACTCCCTTCTCCTTCCCAGCTTTCCTACCATTTTTTTTTTTTTTAAAAAACTAGAAGAACGCATCTCTGATACCCTTCAGATTGGAAGTGTGATTATAGTCCCTGGAGCAGCATACCTAGCTATGGCTGTCGAAGCAGCAGCCCAGTTTGCCGAAGACACCACTCTAGGAGGTCCCCCCTTCGACTTTGAGGATGCCAAGTTTCATCTCCAGACGGTCACGATCAAGGCTGCCCTCGTCCTGCCGGCCAGTGGGACGGCCGATATCATGATTAATTTGCGGCCCAGTGAGGCGTCGGCTGCTTCGAATAGATTGGAGTTCAAGATCTGTTCCGTGGCTGAGGGCCGATGGATCGAACATGCCGAAGGGATCGTCACTTTTGAGCTGATGCATGGAGCAAAAACTGCAAAGGTCCCCTTCAACAACGAAACCGAAGAGCCCGTCTTTGAGCAGACCTTTAGCAAGGAGACCTGGTACGAGCGACTCAAGTATCGTGGATTTGACTTTGGTCCGCGGTTTCGAGTCATCGACGAGATCCAGGTGCTACTGCATGCGTCCCGGGCCCGCGCAAAGGCTCCCATCCTCCAGACCGCAGAGGCAAACACAACGGTTATTACTGGCGAGTCAAGATATGCTATCCACCCGCTGACCATCGATGCCGTCCTGCAGGGCCGGGTGGCATCTGTCTACACCAGTCGCGCGGACCAGGAGGAGGCGACGCAGATCCCCGTCTTCATCGAGGAGATGACCATCAGCCCGTCGGCATGGGCAAAGGACCAAACTGGTCTCATTGACAGCGTGGCATGGACAGAGGGCGCCCGCAGCGGCGGATCGCACTCGACGCTGACCACCCATGACGGTTTTGAAATTATTTCCGCGCGGAATGTAAAATGGCGTCAGTTTGAGAACCAGGGCAGCCAAGAGAAGATGATGAATAAGGACACGGCCCGCGAGCCGTACTACCGCATGCACTGGAAGCCGGACATTGACTTTTTGGATACGGCCGGCGCTCATGATTTGTACCACAGCGATTTCAAATCCCCTTCGGGTGCAGCATATCTGGACGAGGTACATCACATCCGCACTAGGCTCGAGACGGTGACGGTCCTGTACGTGTGCGGCGCATTGGAGATGGTGCGTCCCGAAGAGCTGTCCACCGAACCGGTATTGAAATGGACGCATGGCTTCTACAACTGGATGTGCCACGTCAAGGCTGAAGCCGCTGCCGGACGCATGGTCCTCTGTGAACCGGACGCGACGAGTTTGAATGCCCAACAGCGCGAGCAGAGGATTGCCCAGCTCCTTGCCGAGCTCTCGGCGGATTTCCCCCAGCTGGAATTCAACGCCATATTTTATCGGAACATGGTGGAGATTATGCACGGCACCGTGGCCAGCATCGACCTTGCGGTGCAGGCCGAAATTCTGGCGCGTGTCTACGCTGACGGGTCGATCCACGATGCTGCACGCAAGAACCTGGCGTCAGTGGTAGACATTCTTGCCCATAAAAATCCCACCATGCGCGTTCTGGAGGTTGGTGCCGGTACAGGCAGCTGCACCAGCGTGGCATTGGATGTGCTGAACGCGTATGATATGGAAAGTCAGCATCATCACGCGAAGCGGTACCACGATTACACCTTCACCGACATCTCGCCGGCCTTCTTTGAGAAAGCAGAAGAGCTGTTCAGCGCCTACCCGCCCATGATCTACAAGACATTCGATCTCACGCAAGATCCAGCGTCTCAGGGCTTCGAACTGGGCACGTACGATCTTATCCTAGCCTCGAATGTGATGCACGCCCCGGGAAACACTGATCGCTTGTTGCATAACTGCAGCCGCTTGCTCAAGCCGGGAGGCAGGCTGGTGATGTTGGAAATTACCCAGACGGGCAGTTTGACTCCCGTTCAGTTTGCATTTGGCACGCTGCCCAGTTTCTGGGAGTGTCTGGACGACGTGGATGCAGACCGTCCGTTTGGACCGTTTAGAACTTTATCATCCTGGGAACAACAGCTAAAGGTCTCTGGCTTCACGGGGCTTGATATGGTGTTGACTGACTTTCCGGAGCCCTTAGCCTTGGAGAGTGTCATGGTTGCCAGCACTCACTCGTCGTCGTCGAATGCAATGGCTACATCAGAAGGAAAGCAAAGTGTAATCATTGTTCATTCCCCTGATCAAGACGACTTGGCCCAGGCCGTTGAGAAAGACATCAAGGCTCAGGGCAAGCTTAAGGCCCAAGCCATCACCCACTGTTCCCTGGACTCGGTGCCAGTGATCAACAACTTCACTTTCTCCACGCACGATGACAACATTGTGTACATTGTTCTCGAGGAGGTACAGACTCCTGTGCTGATGGACATGCAGCCTGCCCAGTTTGACGGCTTGAAACGGCTCGTCTCATCTGCGTCGAGCATCCTGTGGGTAACGGGTGGAGACCTGATGGCCGGCCAGCGCCCCGCTATGGCCATGGCCCATGGCATCAATACAGTGCTCATGAACGAGCATTCTACACGCAATCTACGATTTGCTGTGCTTGACATCGACGATCCAAGTACCAGTCAGATTTCTAAGATTACTCGCGCGGTTACAGACGTCTGCAGCACCGTGGCCACCGCGGCCTCTCGGGTCACCTGTGAGACAGACTTCATGCTCAAGGACGGCGTCCTGCGAGTTTGTCGGGTGGTGCCAGACATGCAGCTCAACCAGGAGTTCACCCTCGATACTGGCGGCGAGGGACGACTAGAACAGGTGTTTCCCACCTCAGGAAACGTTCAGTTGGCCTTGGAGACACCAGGTCTGTTGGACACGGTCTACTTCCGCGAGAAGCCGACGTGTGATATGGCACTAGGCCCTGATGAGATCGAGATTGAAGTAAAGGCGGTTGGTCTGAACATGAAAGACTATGTTATCGCCATGGGAAACTTTGAAAGTGTCAAATCGAGCAACGAAAGCACAGGCATCGTCGCCCGAGTCGGGAGCAAAGTCACTCATCTCCGGCCGGGCGACAAAGTCATCTGCCTGGAGAGAGGGCACTACGATACATTCCTTCGCAGTCCGGCCCAGAAGTGTGTGAAGCTCGACGCCAATGCAGACTTGGTTGCGATGGCCACTGTCGGTATTGCCCATGGTACTGCCCTTTACGCTCTGAACTACCTGGCAAGACTCGAAGCCAACGAGACGGTGTTGATCCAAGCCGCCACGGGGGGGGCTGGGACTAGCCGCCATTCAATATGCCAGGCATATTGGTGCGGAAATCTATGCCACGGTAGGAACGCAGCGGAAAAAGGACTATCTGATCACCGAGTGCGGTATCCCCGCCGATCACATCTTTTGGTCTCGCTCACTTGGGTTCAAGGATGCCCTCCTGCAGCAGACGGGCGATCGCGGCGTTGATGTCATCCTTTCGACCATTTCTGGGCCCGGATTCCACGAGAGCTTGAAATGCCTGGCGCCCTGTGGGAGATTTATCGATGTTGGACGAGGAAATGTACTTGATAGGGGGAATATGGGATTGCACGCTTTCAATCGGAGCATTAGCTTCTTTTCCTTTGATTTGAACTCGGTCTTGGACGAGAAACCGAAAATGGCACAACAGCAAGATCACCGAACTGTGCCTTTGATTGCCTCAAATAATGCACTGCTAATATCGCACTTTTTAGGCTACTGTCAGATACAATGAACCTCCTCCGATATGGCAAGATCACGCCCATCACACTCGACAAGACCTTCCACATCACCGAGATGGAAAGCGCCCTCCGATACTTTGGCCAGGGACAGCACATTGGCAAGGTGGTGCTGACATACGGTCCCACGGCCAACAAGGTAACCCTCAAGGGTCCTCTCCAGCCGCGCGGAATCGACGGCACTGGCAGCTATCTGCTAGCGGGCTGCCACGGTGGTCTAGGCCACAGTATGGCCGACTCGCTGATTGAGCGTGGTGCGAAGAATCTCGTATTCCTGGGTCGATCTAGTGAAACAAAGCAGGAGATTGCGTCGTTCTGTAAGAGGGTGCGAAGCCAGGGAGTCAACGTGGTGACGGTCCAGGGCGATGTCTCCAAAATGGAAGATGTTGAGCGAGCAGTGACTCATGCCATCTCCATGGGCCCTCTCAGGGGAATCGTCCATGCCGCGATGGTACTACAGGATGCCTTCTTTGACCCCATGACGCTCGACCAGTTCAACATGGCAGTCCGCCCCAAAGTGCATGGAGCCCTCAACCTCCACCAGGCCAGCGTGCAGGCCGATGCTCAGCTCGACTTCTTCTTCATGACCAGCTCGGCTGTCACGTACGTGGGTCATATCTCGCAAGCGAACTACGCAGCAGCCAACGCAGTGCTAGACAATTTGGTACGCCAGCGCATTCGCTTAGGCCTGCCAGTGGCCACTGTCTCACTGGGGCCGATTAAAGGTGTGGGCACACTGAGGAATAGACCCGAGTACGCGGAGAATCTGCTGCGTTCAGGCTTGATCGAAGCCGAGGAGTCGGAGTTCATCCGTCACTTTGAGCGCTTCACAACACATCCTCAACCCGCTTCCACGCAGTTCGACCCGCTGACACAGGGCCACATCCTTACCGGGGTGGAATATTCGAAGCACGACCTCAGCATGGTTCAAGTCACACGCATTGAGCAGGACCGCCGCTCCGCCCTGCTGGTCACCACGCTCGAATCCCGCAAGGCTGCCGCGGGTGGTATGAATAGCCATGGCGACGCGGCCGCCGACGGCAGTGTGGACGACCGTCTCCTTGCCGACCTCCCCGATGATCGGGATCAAGCACTGATTGTTCTCGCTGAGGCCATTGGTCGGCGCCTGGCCAAGCTATTGTTTATCCCACCCGATGAGATTGACATTAGCCGCCCCTTCTCGCACTTTGGTCTCGATAGCATGTCCGGCAGTGAGCTCATTCACTGGCTAAGCCAGCGATTTGGTCTGGGGATGTCCTTTCTGCAACTGCTGGCGCCTTCTTGCACCCCAAAGAGTCTCGCTGTGACGGTCTTGGAAACTGTACAGAGGAAAGCCGCAAACAGCACCCAGGGAGCGGATAGTAGTACTACTGACAAGGCCCATGGCCATGACTCCAACGGGGTGAATGTAAACGGCGATGCTCCCGCAAGCAGCATCAGTCGTTCAGATTCTATAAAGACCAATGGAGCGAATCCTTTGCACCAGGCCAACGGTCGCGTGAAGCCGGAGTCTCGATTAGACCGCTTCGCCCAGAAGGTCCGAATGGCAATTGCAGATCCTAAGCCTGTGACCCACTCATATGTGTGTATGGTGATCAATCAAAAGGGTAAGATAAATAATGCGACTTTATCCAGCACAACTATACAGGCTGGTCAATTGCTAATAAGGGTTATAGGAGAACAAGTCTACACGCTCAATGAAGGCATGATGTCTCCGGAATCGCCCACTCGAGTGGACTTGAATTCTGTCTACGAGATGGCGTCCCTCTCCAAAAGTATGACCACTGTGGGTGTCATGATCTGTGTGGAGCGCGGTCAGATTTCCCTCGACGACGATGTGGCCTTCATCCTGCCGGATCTCTGCGCCCTCCCAGTCCTCGACGGAGTGGACGAAGATGGACAGTGCCGGACTAAACCGCGTACCAAGCCGATTACACTTCGCCTCCTGATGACCCACCGGGCGGGCTGCGGGTATCACGAGAGTCCGGGGTTGACAAGGTGGGCACGACAGAACGGCAAGACGAATAGCACCTTTGACAGTGACTTTGAAGTCATGAAGACGTACCCGCTTGTCTTTGAGCCAGGCGAGGGCTGGCTGTACGGATCCGGGATTGACTGGGCCGGCGAACTCGTTGCACGGATCAACCACACGACGCTGGAGGAGTTCCTGCGAACTAACCTCTGGGAACCGCTGGGGATGGCCTCTACGACTTTCCACCCGGAATTGTGTCCGGGCATGATGGACCGGATAGTACCCATGTACGAGCGGACAGACGACCAAGGGTTGACGCCACGGGAGACGCTCTCGCGCATCCCCGCCCGGCACGACTGTGGCGGGCATGGAGTCTGGTCCACGCCGGAGGACTGGGGGCGGTTCATGGGCATGATGCTTGCCGAGGGGGCGCCCGTTCTCTCTGCAGCTAGTATGGACGAGATATTTCGGCCGCAGACCACCGACGTGCCGGAGCTGCACGCTCTGCTCTCCGGGCCTCTGCGTGCCTCGCTCCTCTCCACCATCGCCATGGAGTCCAGCAACATCGAGATCGCGCTGGGAGGGCCCGTCTACATGGAGGACATTCCTGGCAAACGCTCTGCGGGGACCTTACAGTGGGCCGGCCGCCCCAACATCTTCTGGTGGATTGACCGGACAAAGGGGGTTGCAGCGACTACATTTGCGCAGGTCATCTCCCCTGCCGACACTCGCTTCGCAGCGTTGACGTCTGCCTTGGAAACGGCAGTTTATGCGGAGCTGGCATAATCCTATCTCAATGGAAGGGCGGTATTGTCGTGTAGGTAACTGATGAATGATTATTGTCTAGTAAGAAATGATGTCTATTGTTCAACGACTATCTAGTCTCAGTATTCTAAAGCATGGACTGCCAAAATAACTAAGCCTTGTATTGAATTCAGACTCAAGAGTAGACCTTGGGGTTGTAGTACACCGTGACGTAGGGCTTCCCCTTCTTGAAGGAATAGGAGACGTAGGTGTGGGTTCCCAGCTGTGTATCGATAGCATGCGAGGGACTATAAGTAGAATATCGTTAGGATATGATTGTCGAATCAGACAGCAGCAGTAACCAACTTACAATCTTTCACGCAGGTCGTGGACATAGGAGGCCGCCAGGTGGTGCCAACCCTGGCGGTGGAAATACGTGGCCAACCCCTCTGCGACAGCGAGATCGGTGCGCGCATAGTGTCTGACAGGGAGGTAGACCTGGATCTCGGGGGTTGGCTTGCCCGGGCGCAGTTCTGCGTTGAACAAGATCCCGGCCGAGCGATGGTTATTGAGCGGCAGGGGGTCGTCATCTTTATGATCGCGAGGCAGGTCGAAGAGGAGCCCCCACAGCTCGCAGAGGACGGACAGTCCAGCGTCGATATTGGGGCCTGTGAGACGGCCGCCGAGGGTGAAGACGTCCTGGGCGCTGCGGAGGGAAGTGTGGCGAGAACGCAGGTAGATCTTCAGACGGGACTGGGAGGGATCGATGCAGTCGAAGGCGAGACACTCTGCGCGCAGTTTTGTTTCGTCGATGGCCAGGTACGTCTCTAGCATTGTCAAGGCGGAGGTGAAGAGTGGAGAGGAAGGGGTTGCTGTCATCTTCTCGTCGGGAAGATCCAGTGCCTTGATGGCGTTGCAGATCAGCTTGATCTCCGTCTCGCCGGTCAAGATGGAGCGCAGCTGAGGGATGAAGTAGGCTTTCATGGGGGGCGGGGCCGCCTGAAGGGAGGAATCGATCTCAGAGACGAAGCCGAAGCCGAAAAAGTGCTGAGACTGGTGTTCCGAGGCGGGCAGTTGGGCCTTGATCACCGAGGCGTCGGCGGGGGAGACGAGCAGCATCTCACTCAGCTGGCGGTACCAGGTCCAGTGCGTGACGGTGTTTGTGGTTTCCAGATCCTGCACGAACTGCTGCACGGCACGCTGGTTGAAGGGGTCGAGGGGGGTGCCGGCGTCAGGGCCGATGGGCTCGAAGCCCAGACGCACCGTGGCCTTGCGGTCATGGAAATTGACGCTGATCTCCAGCGGGGTGGTGTCGTCGCACATGAAGGAGCGCCAGACAGCGGTCGGTTTGTCGGAGCCGGGGCCAGACGAAGGACGAGGACGAGGACGAGGACGGGGGCCCATGATAGGCAGCACGTGGCGGTAGATGAAGAGCAGATGCTGAAGCTGGACGAGGGTCTCGTACTGGGCGTTGGTCATCAGGTTCTGCATGGTGGGCGCGATGGTGTCCCACCAGAAGCGCTGGTCGTCGTTGGGGAAGACGAGGGTATTGCTGAGGATGGTGGAGGGCGGAGAGGGCGCCATGTTGGCAGGATGATGGAGAGAGAGGAAGAAGGGGAAGTGATGAAGAGAGGAAGAAGGGGAAGTGATGAAGAGACAAAGAGAAGAGAGGAAGCGATAACTAATAGACATTTATATAGGTAGAGTGAGAGAAGTGAGAGTGAGAGAAGTGAGAGTGAGAGAAGAAATTAATAATATTAGTACAAGTAAGAGAAAAATTCTCTTATTAGTCTCTTCACTTCTACTTATATCTATTCTCATTCACTATATACTATTAGAGCTGTATATCTTTCTCGTCTTAAATCTAGTGAGTAACTAGACTATACCTTGTATAACTTGTAATCATTATCAAGAAACTTATATCTGCTAATACTTCTCACTATACAACACCAGGACTGTCACTGTCTAGCCTTCCCCCGAAGCATCCTGTGGATTTGATATTGGACAATCTTCCACTCGGACGGGGTTTTCTGAGCTTCATGCGGCGGGAACTCCTCAAACCGATCTCCAGTCTTTTGCCAGGCATCATCCGGGTCATCTTTCATCTCCTGCAGCAGCTGCGATCTCCATCTAAAGTACACCTTTCCCAGTAATTCAGCGATGTTGCCAAGATTGAAGACCACCGCATACGTGACGCAGCCGACCAGGACAGCCGTGATGATGAATGGAGCCTGCGTGTGGCTCTGGGTGATATTCGGAATGGCCCAGAGGGACTAGAGAGCATTAGAGAGAGAGAGAAAAACATGTTATGGTCTATAAGAACTCACTGCACAGAAGGCTAATGGCAGGTAGAAGATGCTGACATAGGTGAGCAGCTGCACATTCTGACCCAGGCGAGTGGAAGAGCGACTCTCCATTAAAGCACTGGCATTGAAGAGCTAGACGCTGTCAGAGAGGAAGACCACATGGTGAATAGAAACATACGCCGTCCCGCAAGGCCTTGACCGTCTCTACCTTGTGGCGAAACTGGGTCTGGAGATTCTCCAGACTCTGGCAAATTCCGTCTGCCTCTATACAGAGCTCTTGCAGCCTGTTCAAGTCGTCGAATACCTCAACTCTGGGCTCGAAAATATGTGCGATCCGAGCCTGTCTCCAGAGCTTCCACTGTGTGATATTGTCGTCGATGGTGATATCAAACTCGGTGAGACAGCCGAGGATCCAGAAATAAAGTCTTGACCGGCTGAACGTCTCGTCATCGAAGAGCAGCTTGGTGTATTCCTTGGGATCCATGAAATCCTCCACCAGCAGGCTTTCGATATAGTCATAGAACCCTCTCCAATCCGCCTCGACTTTCTTGAGTGTGAAGACGATGCACAAGAGCTCGGCCGCATAGAGAGATCTTTCACCAGCTCTCATCTCCACAAAGATTGGGTTCTGAGGCGTGAAGGATACCTGATAGTCGAAGAACCGTGGAGGAGCGAGGACAAGGATGGTCCAGCATTTTCCCCCATCCATGCGACGTCCATTCATTTCCAGATCTCCGCCGGCAGTAATAATCTATTAGTAGAGTTTAGCTCTACCTATTGGCATAGTGAAGAGAGGAAATACCGTGACGGAACTCTTATAGAAGGCCGTGTCATTCTGCCCACCCTCCTTGCTGTACAAGTGACCAATCTTCACGTCCTTCCTATTAATCACTGACCGGGCCTTTTCATAGAATGTGATATGGAAGGCTGTGCTGGGATTTCGGTATGGATTGCTTGCTTCGCTGTCTCCCCGTCGCTCCCCAGAGACATGCATTCTGGTCGCTAGGCCGACTGGATCGTCGTACTCGCCATACAGATCAAAGGGGAATCCCTCTGCTGAATCGGGGAAGAGACCCTGGTAGATTCTACCGTGATATCAGCGAGTCATTGAGAGAACAATAGCCTGATGCGCGCCACGTACATGATCCGTTGCCAGGGGGCTGTCCCGTAACCGCTGGTTTGACCAAATGGGTTCCTGTTTAACCACTCGGAGAGAGCTGTCTCATCATGGATCCTATGGAGTCAGTTAATGAGGAAGAATGAGTGGTTGAATGATATACTCTTCAGATCTTATGTCAATAGGATCATCGGCAGGTCTAGTGGCATTGATACAGCGACTCTTCAAATTATGCCATATCCAGGTACCATCCGTCGAGGGATCAATGTCCAGGACGGCGAACTCATTATAACCCTCCATATTGTCCATAAATGACTCCAGTCTGTGCACGTCGATGTCTGCAGGGAAGAGACCTACCCGTGCAGCCCAGTGGAAGTCGAATCCATGTTGAATCCTTCCATCCTGGGGGATGGAATATTTCAGTCTCTGTTCAGGGCTTTTGGGGGTGATTTCTTTTGCATAAGACTCGGCAGGATCGAGAGCCCTGTATTCAAAAGCATGCCTTTCCCTGTCGCGCAGCTGCTCTGGAGAAAGGGCGATGGAGTGATATCTCAACTGCTCCAATTCTATACTGAAGAAGAGTCAGAAGAGTTGTTAGATGAGGTTGAACACTTACATTTCCTATACCAACATATCACTCAGTTAGCCTTTCATGCTTGATACCTAATTATTAACTCTCACTCACATCCTATTCATCAGTCATGATATAGATAGTTATTAGACTAGTAACTTACAAACACCACAAAATGTCGGCTCATTTTGAATATATTGAATTATAACTAGCATCAAGACATCTCATAGATAAGTTTAAGAAGAGAAAATGAAGAGATGATGGAGGGTGAATAAGAGCTCAGAATTGCTGACGTGTAAAAGTCGATCTTAATGGAGGGTAAAAATAGCTCTTCCCCCATATACGTCTGTATACATCTGTATACTTACATCTGTACTCTACCTGTCACTTCAGTAGGAATTCTGGAGTCTCACGTACTAGAATTAAGGATGCCATTCTTATATTTAGTACTTCATTCTCCTATAAGTGTTGTTTAGATAAGAAATATCATAACAAGTCATTATGTCAGTGGCGGAAGTCAATTCTCATCGCCACAATGAGCATCTTTATTTCAACGTCCTCGTACTCAATGTATTCCATACTCAATTTATTCCGAATGAGACCGACTTTCTCTTCATGGATGATGACACGGTCGGGGTGCGTCCTCCACCCCCTGGCGTCACCCCGGATTTCCATTCCACGCCGTGGCTACACCAGGCTAATCGCATCACCGTCGCAGTTGGACTGACAGTGTCCACGCTTTTTCTCCTGATGCGACTGTATACCAAGGCGTATGTGATCAGAAAGCTGTGGTGGGATGATGGTGAGTTTCCTACTCTATTCACCTTGTACTCGACTTATTTTGTTCTAGTATCAATTGTCCTTGCTTGGGTAGGATGAAATGATAAAAACACCCGAAGAAAACATCTAACGATGAATAGATCTTCTCCATCGGGACTCAAGCAACGATTCTTTGTAAGATCTACACCCCTATAGGATCCCCACACTGACATGGATAGATGGCTACGCACATTCAAGCTTCGCAATCCACATCTGGAACATGCCTGTCTCTCGTCTCGTCGCCTACCGAACGGTACGCCCATAGACTCCATCTTTTCATCTTTCCATCCCAACTAATGAATAGACAATTCTGGCCGTCGCAGTCCTATATCTCCCCGCGCTGGCGTTTGCCAAACTCGCCGTCATCATGCTGTACTATCGCGTGCTCAAATCGGTGCGTATGTGGCAGTATATCCTGTGGGTTCTTGGAGCCGGCATCTCGGCATACAGTCTCTCTCTCGTCCTGGGGCTCATCTTCGCCTGCCATCCTATCCAGGCGGGATGGACCGTGTCTCCCCCTGCGGCTTGTAAGCGTCGATCAGGGCTGTACATGGGAACAGCCATTGCGAACACAGCCAGCGATGTGGTCTTGCTGGCCATCCCGGTCACTTTTCTATGGGGGATGCATCTCCCACTGCTGCAGAAAATAGGGATCATGTGTTTATTCGGGATCGGATGTCTGTAGGTGAAAGATTCACTGTATATCTGAAGGATGATGTTGATTCTCTAGGACGGTGATCACCAGTATTGTCCGCCTGGTGACGTTGATCCCCTTGTTGGCGTCGAATGACCAACCGCATAATATCGGCCTTGCCTGTCTTTTTATGTAAGTATCTTCACCGTCAGTTAGCATTGAAAGTAACCCTCTTCAGAGCCATCGAGGCCAATTTCATCATCCTGTGTGGCTCTGCTCCCTATCTTCGCCAATTCTTCCGCCATCATAAAGACTGGAGTCCAAGAATGCGTGTTTCGTCGAAAGATACATCCAGGACAGAGAGACCGGGAGGCATTGAGATGGCTACGGGTGAGTCTTATGAATTGGAGTATAGCACTAGAGTGTAATGGAATAGATCAAAATACTCTTATAGTAGTTCTGCTGTTCTTAGACTTTAAGGTCCATAAGAGTTGTAATATACAATTAATAGATATTTATTATTAGAAGTAGGGCATATAGAGTATATTATACCTGTGGCTGTAAAGTATCTATAGTGTCACAGATCAGATTAGACCTTTATATATTAATTTAATATTATTAGTGTTATTCTAAGCATTCTCTATTCTATAGCTAAATCAGAGTTGTCTAATAACCTAATATTATCTCTATTCTTAACATTTATTGTTTTTGATAGCTTTATATTAGGATTATAAGTATAGTATCTTACTCTTTTATACTATATTGCAGACCATTAATCCTTTAATCTATTATATACTCTATAGATAATAATACTCTATACTAGCTAAGCTAAGATAGACCCGCTATAAAAGAGGCGATTTAAGCCGAGAGGCGAAGAAGGATTAATCAATCTTAGATGTGGCAATTCTAGCCGAATTTTTGTCTTCTCCTTATTGTCTTATCTTCTCTTCCTCTTCACCCATTAAGAATCGACTTTTCACATCTTCATTCGCTATGAAGACGTCTCCCTGGGCCCTGTTGCTCCTGGCAGGGCAGGCCGCTGCAGCCGGCGTCTCCGAGATCACCCTCGTGTCGACCGTCGCGGAAACCGTCACCAGCACGTACAGCAGCACCGTGCCGGTGACAACCACCATCACCTCCTGCACACCAGTGACTGCAGGGGCTGCGTTGAATTCCTGCCCTACCACCGCCTGGTCGACGAATGGAGCCTACTGGAGCGCCGACTGTTCGGCAGCCATCACCGGCGGAACAACAGTGGTGACAGGGGCCGGCAGTGGAGCGACTGCCTCGGTGATGTGTGTCCTGAAGAGTTGCCAGGCTGTGTACGCCAATACCCGGTCGAACCTGTATTATCTCGTCACTGGCTCCTTCACAACCACCTCGCATACCAGTGCCTTTGTCTTGAACCGCTATACCACCAACCCCTGCGTTGTCACGGAAACAGCCATCTCGACCGACACCTGGTATTCCACCATCACCTTGGAGTCGACCTTCACCTATACAGAGACCGTCACGCTTTCCACTTCTCCAGTTTCTTCATCTGCTTCATCCGCTGCTTCTTCATCTGCTTCATCTTCATCGGCTGCTGCTTCATCTTCATCAATTATTCCTTCAATTGCTTCAGCCGCATCCGCTGCTTCGTCTGCTTCTGCTGCTGCTTCGACACCAGTTTCCTCTAGAGAAACGCCCTCTTCATCACCCCCAAGCTCGAGCGCCACCGATTTCTCTTCTTCTGCTGTCCAAACCGGACCTTCCAGTCTTCCCTCGGGCTCTGGAATCCCAAGCTCTGTACCGCAGTCTTCGTCTGTCGATCCAGGTCTCCATGTTGTCACCGAGACAATGTTCACCACTGTCTTGTACACTGCCTTTTCGGCTTGTTCTTCGGCAGACTCTCCTCCCTCTGCCTAGTCTCTTATAGTGAGAAGTAATTCTTACTTCATCCTGATTCAATTAATATAGAGGTTGTACTGTAAATATGGTTAAGCTTAATGAGAATAAGAATATTAATAATTTATATAATATCACTAGAGCTATATCAGTAGAACTACACGATTCTCTATGAAAAACAGTAATATATTCTATACCTCTAGTATTCTATTTAATATATCTACTATCTTACTAATAAATCTATTTTATTGTTTATTCTCACCAGTTCTGACCTTATTACCCCTTCAATTCTTCACGACCACTGCATTTTCATCACTTGCACTATGAAGGCCTATCAGTATATAAAAAGACATCAAAATGTGTATTACTCTCCTTCAATTACGATTTTATTCTCCAAACGAGGCATTGCAAGCCTCTCTCGAGGGTCCAATGAGTTATTCCAATACACAAGCGGGCGCTGGATGTAAGCCTCTGCTATTTACTTATGTTTAAAAAATCCTATGACTCATAATTTAGATATAATGATAAAACAATACACTCTGAAAGAGAGCGCATATTCAATATCGCCGGACTGAAGCGTCTGGCTGCTGAATGCATCAACCAGAACGAAGAAGACGTCGTTGGGTTCAGGAAACTCGCCGAGGGAGGCTTCAATCGCACCTTTCTTCTCACTCTGCGCAATGGTTTTCAAATGGTTGCTCGGATTCCTTATCCAGTCACTTGAACCCAAGTCGCTACTCGTCGCCAGTGAAGTGGCAACAATGGATTTCCTCCGTCTGCATGGCATCCCGACTCCGAAGGATATTTGGGTATTCCACCAGAGCGGACAATGCTGCAGGGTGCGAATACATCTTTATGGAGCTTGTTCGTGGAACGAACCTAGGGGATACCTGGTACGACTTGTGTGAAGCAGCTTGACGGACAGTTGTGACCGAGATTGTCAAACTGGAGGCCCAACTCTTCCCTCTACAGTTTCCTTCGTGTGGATGTATTTATTACTCAAAAGACTTACAACGGGAAACGAACCGCGTTGTCATACCCGCTCAGGAGCAATTCTGTGTCGGGCCAGATACCAGTCTTGGGCTGTGGTATGGAAGAAGACTTCAACTAGATGTCGACCGGGGCCCATGTAAGCAGTCTTCCTAGTCTTTCTAATGCAAGGTTCACGTTCTAGATGACCAGGCTGCAGCCTTGAAAGCCGGCGCCAGTAAAGAGATTGCATACTTGAGGCAGTTCGGACAACCACTTCGGCGTGAGATCTTCGACTATGAACGGCTTTCGCATCTGGAACATATCGAGAGCCTGCAGAAGTATCTCCAGATTGCACCGTTATATGCTATCAGCAGATGTATCCCTCACTCAGCCAACTATACGACACCCAGATCTGCAGCCGAACAATGTGTTTGTGTCTGACGACTTCAAGATCACTGGAGTGATTGACTGGCAACACTGTGCTGTGCTTCCGCTCTTTCTGCAATGAGGGATTCCAGAAAGCCTGCAGAACTATGGCGACAGTGTGTCTGAATCCTTGCAGCGTCCTTCGTTACCGGAAGACTTTGAAGAACTGTCTCTTGAAGAGCAATCCACAGAGCTGGAACTGTTCAGAAGACGCCAGCTTCACTATTTCTACGTCAAGGAAACAGAAAAGACCAATACCACACACTATCATGCCTTGACGGATGGCCTGAGTGCGCTCAGGCGCAAACTGTTTCGCCACGCAAGTGATCCATGGGAGGGAGAGACAATGCAACCCTCCAGGCGGATCTAGTATTAGCCAGTCGGAACTGGACAAAGCTTACACGTTCAGCATCGGCACAGCGGAATGAACCCATCCCATGTCCAATCGAGTACACGGAAGACAAGGAACGGCTTGTTTTGGCTGACGATTGGGTTTTTGATGATTTTGATGAAGAGGAATATAAATAGATCTCAATGGTCTGAGCTTTGGAGGTTATTTCGTGTAACTAATCATATGAGAGGCATTTGCTATTCAATAATCCTCTGGTCTTGCCACAGTGTAGACGCGGTGGAAGGTATAGTCGACTTCTTCTTTCAGTTTGCTCGCTCAAAACAGAGATACATCAATACTATCAGAGTAGTCTTTGATTGGAGTCATATATATCGCCAGTATTAAACAGGAAGAAAACATACCAAAGTATTTTGAAAAAAATGTTTCTGCGGATTCGAACCTACAGTCCGCCGTACTGCAGGTAATTTCGGTCGAAAGTTGGTCTGAGCTCAAGCAGGCTTCACTCACCACCGTCCTCCTGCAAGAAACACCCCCCAGCATGCAATTCGGCAAATCGATCGGGACGGCATGCAGCTCGTTCGCGATCACGAATATCGATGACCTGTTTGTGCTGACCACGTTCTTTGCCGAGGCGGCGACCAGCCCGACGCTGACGCCCGTCAAGATCACGGTCGGGCAGTACGTGGGCTTCACGGTGATAGTGATCATCAGCATGATTGGGTTTGGGGCCTCGCTGGTGCTTCCCTCGGAGCCGATTGGGTTTCTCGGTCTGCTGCCCATCCTGCTGGGGGTTTGGAAACTCATTGATCTGCTTCTTCCGACCGGGGAGGGGGAAGAGAACGCGGGGCAGTTACCAGACGGACAAGACGGACAAGACGGAGGGGAAAAACAACAATCCCATTTCCTCTCCAGTCTGAAGAGCATCCTGAAGGTCTCGATGATCACGGTGATGAATGGCGGAGATAATATCGGGACATACATCCCGCTGTTTGCGCAGGCCAAGGGGCCCGAAATCGCCATCTACGTCGTCACGTACTACATCCTGCTTGGGCTGTGGTGTCTCGCGGCGTTTTTGATCATGAAGCAGCGCCATGTGCTGCGTCTGGCCCAGCGATACGCAGACCGGGTCGTGCCCTTTCTGTACATGGGCCTTGGCATGTACATCATCATCAAGTCGTCGTGCTACCCATGGTCGATCAAACGCATCGACGTCTCCTCTTCCTCGCACCCGGGCAAGGCCATCATGGCGGTCGTCACCACGGTTCTTCTTTTGATCTGTATAGCTGCCATGTTATGGAGAGCTAAAGTGAAGAGAGGGCGACTCTGTCCGAATGGTGCAGAAATAGAGCACTCGTCAGACTCATAATATTACGGCAATCTGATATCATGAAAATATCTTCTGTCGTTATTAATACTCTTGAAAGGAAGTATAAGCATCATATGGTCTAGCCAAGGCCACCTGCGAGCTGACCTTTTCACTATATGTGGTGAGACATGGTCATGGACATGGCTTTGGCTATGGAGAGTTTCTGCAGGAGAGAACCGGCAGGGAAGCACTAAACTAGATAGCCGATCTGAAAGACCATAAGCAAAAGCAAGTCCTCAAAGAGAATGCACTCACGTAGAAGATGCTGCCCACCCATGCGTACTGGGTGCCCACTAGATCGAGGTTTGTCTTCAATCCGTACAGTGCAGCCGTGGCAATGCTGACCTTGTCCAGAGCCGACAGAGGGACGTTAAACCACAGTAGAGGAATAAGTCGCAGATCGAGTTTCCATCGCAGCCGCCTGGCTTCCTGCTCGGTGTAGCTGGTCTCCGCGTCGAGCTCTTCCGCCAGCTGAGCAGCGGTATTCCCGTTGGAGCTCTTTTTGTCTGCCGTTCCATCATCGTGTTCATCGCCGACGATCAGATTGTCTTCCGACGAGACCAGCGTCTCTCATCGCTCGTTACCGGGCAGAGCGAGTGAAAAAAACATGGTGATCTGAATGAGATCTGACGTTGTGCAAGTTACGTCCACAACTTGGAGCGCCGGCTGGCGTCGCTGGAGCAGTGGGTGCCTGAGGACGACAGTCACACGTTGATGCCTGAGGACGACAGTCACGCCTTGATGCCTCAGGCGAGGGATTCCCCTCCTCTTCCTTCTCTTGTCGCTGTTTCTTCTCGTTCACCACCTCCAGGCGCCCACGACAACCCCGAGTCCGCCCCTGCAGCACTTTCGGTCTCATCTATCTAGCAGGGAGCTGACCCACGACGACAGCCGTTTCGCTTCCTGGTGAGCCTGAGTCATCTGGGTGAGTCCGTCGTGCAGGAGAGCAGACGCAACAGCAGCACAGCGAGTACGACGCGTCACCAGCACGCCCTTGCATTTCCGACTTGATGATCCTCCACTTGAGCTTGTCGATGGCTATCTAGTGTCCCATTACATCCCGATAATTATGGTGATAAGGGCTGATAACTGTAGATTATAATAGCTACACCTCGTATACCCCCTTGTGAAGCACCACTGGGCGAGGATTAGCCACATAAACGAGCTGTCTTTTCTGCTCAAAGTGAACACTGCCATGTCTCAATAATCCCGCCAAAGTCCCTTCCTGGCAGTCTGCGCCCTCGTGGTCATCCCACAAGACACCCAAGGCAGGGTACTTGAGCATTTCCTTGCCGCGATACACCTTCTGCATGCACGCCTGGGCCAGGAGAGTCATCACCATCTTGAAAGCAGGGGACGCAGGATCCACGGGGGAATTCAACGCGTCAAACAAGTCTGAGCCCTTCCATCCAAACAGTTTCTCTCCTCGCCAGGCTTCATTGACGACGTCCAGCAGGAGGACTTTGTCCATGAAATAGTCGACGCCATCGAACTCGTCGCTCTGCAGCATGACCAGTCTCTGCCAGACTAGAATATGGGCACCGTAATCCATGATTTTGTCCGGAGAGCAGACATGTTCCCATCCGAAATGATTCGTGGCTTCGTCTCCATGGAATTTATTGCCCGATTCCAGCACGGGAAGAAGCAAGGGATGCGCCGACAGCCCGGAACAGTCTGTTCTGTCTTTCCACAGGTAAGCGAATAGATCATGCCAGTGTTTCACCAGGGGGGACTGGCGGCGGGCCGCGATGAAATGGTTCGAAATGCCCGTGCCGCCCATATGCATGACACACATGTCTTTCTCATTCTGGAGCAGGTCATTCCAGATCCCGTCCAGCTGGCGGAAGAGGAGAATGCCCACGTCCATCCACACGCCGCCATGCAGATATAAGCATGCGCCGCGGATCAAATCGGCGGAATGCTGGCCTACAAACGGGCCGGTCATGGCTTTCTTCCGGAAGATCTCCGGGAGCATGTTTTCGGGAATATATCTTGCGACATTATTGGGAGAGTCGGGGATGTCGTCCAGTATCCGGACTTTCCAGTCGCTTCCATTCAATTGGATCCAATCAGTTACGTTCCGGCGACACCAGGGTGGGAGAGAGGCGAGACCGGAGTGCCAGAAGGCCCAGATGTTTTTTTCCGACGTGATGGGTTGGAAGGCAGAGAGTGAATCGAGAACCTCCTGAACGGGGCGGGAGTCGAGGGAGGGGACATATTGCAGGGAGGGGGAAAGTTCCATGGTGTAGTAAGCAGTATATTGAAGGGGTGAATAGTAGTAAATAGTAGTGGTAAATATACTAGTTACATTCTACTATTATTATCCATTTACCCGTCCATCTCTTCTGTGAATATCCAGTTTGTCTTGTTTAATTATTTCATGTGACCATGTCTCCTTCCTCTTGTCTCTTCCTTCTCTCTCTTCCTTCTCTCTCCCCTTCTCTCTCTCCCCTTCTCTCTCTCCTCTTCATCCCTCTCTTATGCCAGCAACATTACATTCCTACCTGTTTTTATAAAACTGGCTCTTTAAATGAAGAGAATAATACTGCTAAAGGCCTATTTGGACTAAAAACAAAATGTCTGCGACAGTCTCTTTATTTTGCCAACCGAACCCTCCCTCCTAACACTAGGCTTTCGCCCAAGTGGCAGGCAATATTCGCCATCATGGAATAAGTGTACATGACACTGGGCCACGGTATATACCGGCACTGCTTAAATTTGGATGAGCTTGGAAGAGCCACTGAGCTCCTCCAGCGGCCTATTGTACTTATTCCTCAATGCTAACAACTGACTTGCAGACGAGCCGTGGTACCTAGATCTCGCAAGGACGATATGTCCTTGCTGCCTCCCGAAGAGGCTGCGAAGCCGACCGTTGGTGGGCGCCCAGGCTTGGGTTTCTATGGATGGGCAGGGTGGAGAGAGAGGAGGGGAGATGGCGGGGCCCCGAGGGCGGAGATGGCACAGACAGCAGCCCCAGATTCAGTTCCCCGCAAGGCTTTTCAAAGCGGCGAAGAAGTGTTCTGGAGGTGAAGATGAGTAGATTATTCTTATTATTACTAACAAAGGACTGAGATATTCTGAGCGTGATAATAAGATGTCATAATGAATGACCCTCTTATGCCCTATTGTCTTGACAGTGGCTGAGGGGTTATCTAGTCTATTCTAATTCATACCTTATTATCCATTTACCCATTGATCTTTATCCTAGTATAATCCTTCAGGATCAGTTGCATGGAAGTATAGTTACTGTAGTAAGTTAATGAAAGCAGCCAAGCCATAAATAGCCAAATATAAATAGCCGATTCATAGCCATCATAGCCTTTATAGCCATCATAGCCATCATAGCCATCCTCCACTCATCACGACACCTTCCACTGAGGATGCTCATCTTCGGCGACGCAGTCGACAAGACTGCCCTGCAGCAGCTGTACCAACTATCCCAAACACGCCCGCAGCTCGAGTATTTCCTGCACGCCGTGTCAGACGCCATTTCCGCGCATTTACACTCCGTTCCCATCGAAGAGAGAGACTCGCTGAGGGTTTCCAGTCTGATACAAGGCCAGCATGGTCGCGTTGCTTCTTGTGTCTATCTGACTATTTGTCAGATTGGGGAGTTTCTCATGTAAGTTCTTGCGAGTCCCTAATATAAGTTGTAGTGAATTTCTCATTGATAATTCAAGTCACGCACAAGACAATCCCACCGTATTGAACAACGAAGCCACGGGCCTTCATCTCGGTCTATTATCCGCCTGTACGGCTTCGGCACAAGACACCTCCCAAATAACAAGGATCGGGATTGAAGCCGTTGTGACCAGTCTATACGTTGGGATTGAACTGGCTCGACGGTCTCTTATCGATGAATGGGGATATTGTATTATCCCCAAGCACCAACAGCCCGATATCCAGCGATGGCTGGATGGCGAGAACGCAGCCCACCCCCCTCTTCGACAGGTGTATATCGGAGTGGTTGGCGATGAATGGACGGCCGTCTTCGGTCCGGTAGGGAGACTGGGCCAGATGATGCAACAAGCTTCTTCTCCCTGTTATGCACTCCATGCGTCTCATTTGACGATAAGTGCCATGCAGCTATACACCTCTGGGATACAGGAATGCAATGACGCTGCAGTCGCAATCCTCCAACAGCCTTGTCGATGGGGGAGCGTTCCTCCCGAGAGCATCGGAATTGGCGAGTTCACGTATCCTGTGGACGGATTGACTCGCTACCCTCTTCCCCGGGAGGAGATGGACGGGATCGCCATTGTTGGGATGGCAGGGAGGTTTCCTGGCTGCGATGGGGTGGATGGATTGTGGGATGTTTTGGAGAAGGATCTCCATGAAGAGGCAAGTTGATTCTTTAGGGTTATGTTAGGGCTTAGGGCTTAGGGCTAGGGCTAGACTGACTTGCAGATCCCCCCTTCTCGATTCAACATATCGACTGTTTACGATGCAAGTGAGCAGCAGCACAACTCAACCGCCACGCGATTCGGCTGTTTTCTGGCGCACCCTGGCCTGTTCGACCATCGTCTGTTCAACATCTCGCCGCATGAGGCCGCCCAGATGGATCCCCTGCAACGCCTGTTCCTGACGACGACCTACGAAGCGTTGGAGATGGCGGGATACAATCCCCTCAGCAGCGACAAATCTAGGGTGGCTGTCTATTTCAGCCAGTCGACTGACGACTGGAGAACCGTGCTCGAACAACAAGGCATCCAGTCGCATTACCTGCAGGGGACGAACCGGTCGTTCGCGCCCGGGCGGGTGAGCCATTTCTTCGCGTTCGGAGGCGGGTATTACTCGATCGACACGGGGTGTTCGTCGTCTGCCACGGCGGTCCATCTGGCGTGTGCGGCATTGAAGCGACGCGAGTGTGAGATGGCGGTGGTCGGGGGAGGAAACGTCTGTTTGATCCCGGAATACTTCTCGGGCTTCAGTCGGGGCAGGTTTCTCTCCCGCACGGGGGCCTGCAAGACCTTTTCCCCCGAGGCGGATGGATATTGTCGGGGCGAAGCCGTGGGGACCGTCATTCTCAAACGTGAAGAGGACGCGATCCGCTCGAACGATCACATCCTTGCTGTCATCAAGGGGTCTGCTCGCAACACCAACGCCGGGGAAGATGCGTCAATCACGTACCCTGGCGAACAGGCGCAAAGGGAGCTGTTCAAGACGTTACTGGGGAATCGCGAGGATCCTGCCATCAGCTATGTGGAAATGCACGGCACAGGCACCCAAGCAGGAGACCAGGTTGAAATGAAGAGCGTGACGGGTGTGTTGAAGCCGTTGCATGTTGGGGCGTTGAAGGCGAGTATTGGACATGCAGAAGCCGCCGCGGGCGTTTCTTCCTTGATCAAATGCTGTTTGATCATGAAACATGGCCTGATTCCTGCTCAACCTGGACTACTTCAGTCAAGCCTTGATTTCATCCCCAACAACCTCATTCCCACTGAAACAATCTCCCTCCCCCCCGGCGATGTGGTGGTCAACAGCTTCGATGCAGCAGGGGGGAATACCAGTCTTCTCCTTGGACAGCCAGAGAGGATTCAACGGGAGAAGAAGAAGAAGAAGGGAAGAAAAGACCCGCGAAGCCACCAGATCGTCGTTCTCTCCGGCCGGACGCTGCGTTCGCTGCAGATGAACCGCGAGCGCCTACTCGTCCATCTTGACAAGACCGACGATGTCGATCTGCCTGATCTGGCGTACACGCTCACTCGACGGATGCACCATATCCACCAGCAGAGATTTGTCGTGGAAAGCATCGAGGAACTCAAGAAAGGACTCGCGATGGGGGTTCCCCCGCCTAGGAAGATCTCCAACCACGCCGTCTTCGTATTCACCGGCCAGGGGGCGTCGTATCCGGGCATGGGAACGACATTGTACCACACCTGCCCGCGCTTCCAACGAATTCTGGACGGCTACGAGTCACTCTGCAACAGCCAGGGGTTTTCTTTTATAGAGAGTCTCCAGGATGCCAATACCCAGGCAGAGACCCCGACTGCGCTTGTTGCCCTGGAGATCGGACTGGCCACATATCTACACTCCCTTGGAATCACTCCCGGCTTGGTGATGGGCCACAGTCTCGGGGAGTACGCGGCGCTGTGCGTTGCCGGCGTGCTGTCGGTGGTGGACACGCTGTACCTGGTCCATTGTCGGGCGCTTTTGCTGCAAGAACATGCCAGAGGAAACGACTACGGCATGATGAGTGTCTCCAAGGACTTGCTGGAGGAGTTCGACTATAAAGGCGCAGGAGCTGAAGTCTCCTGTTTGAACGGGTCGTCGACGGTGATCAGTGGCCCAGTAGAGGCTCTCGAGAAGGTCAAGATTGCCCTGCAAGACACTGAACACACTGTTCAATGCACTCTCCTCTCTGTCCCGTACGCCTTTCATTCCTCGCAGATGGAGTGTATCCTGGACGAGTACAGGACGATCGCCAGTCGGGTTCAGTTCAAAGCACCTGCGATCCCGATAATATCGACATTGACCGGGGATATCCAGCAGGTCTTTGACGCCGACTATCTCATCCGCCAGACCCGGCAGCCCGTGAACTTCACAGCCGCGATGCAGACGGTGAAGAGACTCATTGCTGACGAGGTGGTGGTCGAGATAGGCCCGCATCCAACGCTCGTGAAGATGCTGGCTTCGTCCCTGCCGAACACCACAAGGAAACCCACTCTCCAGCGAGGACAGTCCGACTGGAAGGTCTTGAGTGAGTGTCTGGCGGCGCTGGATGTCGACTGGGGGGTGTTCCACGAAGACTATCTCGCCGGTCTCTCCTTGCTTGATCTGCCGACGTACGCGTTCGATGCGACGCACTTTTGGAGGGTATATAACCACGCATCTCGGCCGTCTTCCTCTGCTTCCCTCGTCCAGCTCATCCAAGGACACGTCGTGCATGGCGTGGCGATTGCGCCGGCATCGGTGTTGATCGAAATGGCAGCTCCATTTGCTCCTCCATCTCGAGATCTGGTCGACCTGCAGATGAAGACTCCCTTGCTGAACGGGGATAACGTCACGGTCGATACCACAGACGGGATGGTAACCGTGCAGTCATCGTCCACCGTCCATGCGACGTGCCAATTTGACAGCGTCCAGAAGAGAAGCGTGCCGCAGGGTGCACTCTCTCGAATGGACGGTCTCTCAGACGCATCGAACAAACTCCCCGGCCACTTCTTCTACAAACTGTTCGACCGGGTGGTGAAATACGCCCTCCCGTTCAGAGTCCTGGAGAACATCGCCGTGGATGGAGGAGACGACCGGGATGCCCTGGCCGACGTTCCTGCTCGCTGTGACTCGGTGTTCGTCCTGGATGCGATGGTCCATCTGCCTGGTTTCCTGTTGAACTGCGATCTCGATGACGGTCTGTACATTGCGAACAGGATCGAGAGGGTCTCTCTGCACGGCTCTCTCGACTCGCCATTACGGATCTACACTGTCATTACCGACAGGACGGACGACACGGCAACCTGCAGTTCCTATCTCTTCAGGCGGAACGAACAGGTTGGGGTGATGACGAATATCAGGTTTCAAAGGATCAGCAAGCAGACATTCATGACCATCACCGGCTTGTATACACATGATGACTATACTGACGCCGAATATACTAGAATAAAGCACAAAACAGACTATACCACCCTGCTGCAGACCGTGGCCAGAATGACTGGAATCAGTCTGGAAGAAGTCCAGACCGCAAGAGCATTTGCAGATCTGGGAGTCGATTCCCATCTGGGCATTGCCATCATTGCCGAGATCAACAAACGGACAGGGAGTGTTCTTCCGGCAGCGTTCTTCAACAACTTCCCTACTCTCCAGCAAGCAGAACAGACTCTCGCAGCCGCAGACTTAAAACACAAGAGCATCCTGCTTCAAGCGAGCACCGTCGATGGGAGGAAGAAAACCCCCCTCTTCCTCGTCTCCGAAAGCAGCGGGAGTGTCGCTGTATACACACACTTCCCGGCCATGGACCGCGCCATCTACGGGCTGGAATCGCCCTTTTCCTCGTGTCCCGAGAAGAACAGGCTGAGTGTGCCCGAGCTGGCTCGGGCATACATTGCCATCATGAAGCATACGCAGCCTGTGGGTCCCTACCTGCTCGGCGGCTACTCGTTCGCCAGTCTCTACGCCTACGAGATGGTCTACCAGTTGCGTCGGCAGGGGGAAGAAGTCTCCGCCCTCCTGATTATAGACATGTACGTTCCCCCGGACGTATCGATCGCGAATCGGTTTTCTCTCGATGGCATCGGCACTGGACCGTTGGCGAATATCACGACGCGGATCAGTAAGATGTTCCCCACCTTTACCGATACCCAGAAACGACACATGGTTGCTTCGATGGAGAATGCAAAGACGTATGCTCCTATGGGTATGTCGAGCTCGAATGCTCCCACACATCTCATCTGGGCAAGCAAGGGAGTCAACCAGAATGAGAATGGAGAGGAACACGACGATTCCCTGACCGGGTATGCGTGGATGGGCGGAGACGTCTCGCAGGAAACCATGACGGACAAGTTGAAATCTTGGTTCTTTTCTCCGCGGAATACGTTTGGCACAAATGGGTGGGAGCAGTTATTAACTAATATACACATTCACACAGTTGATGCTGGTATTTATCTTTATCCTATTTACAATGATACTAATGATACTGATGATACTATGCAGACCACCTGTCGATGGTTGCGCCGCCTCTGGTCAACAAATTGGGAGATGTCATCAGGGAAGCCTTGAAAGATATACCATAAGATCAGCTATACTCTATATACTCTTGTAACATGCTGATGTATTCGCCAGTAACCCTAACCTTGTACTGCTCTGAATGTAGTCTATAAAGCGCTTCCCACTCTCACTCTTGAATATCAATGTTCAGGAGTACAATGGTAAGACAGTGGTTAGGGTTAGGGTTATGCTAGGGTAATACTATGGTTAGGGTTAGGGATGGGTTAGGGTTAGGGTTTACTATCCAGATGTTCACTAGCGCGCGCACAGACCAGCCCCCGCGTTGATCCAATTCTTTCTTTCTTCTTTTCATCTTTTACAATTCACTTTGGTTCACACCTCACATTATTTATTATACTAGAAATATAAGCCATGAATTCCTACACCTGCGCAGACCATGGCGACTACTTCTGGAGTGCAGCCGAGATACTCGAACACTTACGGGACCACCATGCCAGCTTCATCGGACAGCCGGGGCTTCCGGGTGTCATGGACAGCCATGGACACATTTGGTATTGCTTTGAGTGTGAATCTCACTCCACCAAACATCGAGGCTTTGATTCGGACCAGGCCATGCTGGATCACCTAAAGCAGCGTCATGGAAATATCATGTCTTCTGTATATATCAATTAGCTTTTTACAGATTATCAGGAATATCCTATATTATTAGTCAATCAGCTAGCAGCTTAAAGACTTCCTACCTTGCAGAATATTCAGCTAAATGTAAGAAATAGTAAAAGTCGTGATTGAGTCTAGACTATTTATATTAAACTACATGTTGACTATTTCAACCCTGGCGTTGTCTGAGGTATCAGTTTGGTCACGTGGAAACATGTGATTCCATGTGACTTGAGAGGGTGCATCATCTCCATCATCTCATCATCTCATCATCTCATCAGAAATCCCCTTCAAGTGCTGAATAATCGCTAGAAAATAGTACAATTCAAAAACATGCGCCGATCTATATCTGCGCGTCTTTGGTGCTCTGTTCAAAGGACAATACACTCCCACTCGATCTCCAAAACCCCAATATCATCATATCACCACCAGTCGACCAGTATGGACTCTCCTCAGACAGGTAAGCATCTAGAGCACGGGTTGTTATCTTCTGACTCATCTCCAGACTGGAATTCCAATGATGAATTCTTCAAATTCACACGTGGCCGCTTTCTGGTAGAGGAGGCAGAGAATCTTCGCAAGCGAGAGATCAGATTCGACTTGAACAGACTTGCAAGAGTTGCAGCGGACTCCGTCGGTGCTGCTCAATGTGTTTCAATCACAAAGTATCCCGACGGCATGTTCAATAAAGCATTCCTTATAACAATGGACAACGGCCGAGAAGTCGTCGCCAAGGTGCCCAACCCGAATGCTGGCATCCCACACTTTACTACAGCCAGTGAAGTCGCCACAATGGACTTTGTATGTTGACTCTATATAATTATATTCTAGGAATATTATATTCTAGGAATATTATATTCTAGGAATATTATAGTCCTAGAATATAAAAATTTGCTGACAGCTGGTCAAGGCCAGGAATATTCTAGATACTCCAGCACCTCATGTCTACACATGGAACTCACAAGCAGAATCACACCCTGTCGGGGCTGAATTCATCATCATGCAGAAAGTAGAGGGTATGCCACTGTCCCAAGTCTGGGATAGAATCTCTCTACCCCAGAAGCTCCAGGTGCTTCTTGCCATGACCTGTCTCCAGAAGCAGTGGCTGAGCGTTTCATTCTCACACTACGGCAGTCTATATTATGCTGGCGATGTGCAGCCATCAGTAGACAGTCACTATGTCAAACATGATACCATCGTCAGAGATCCAAAGTTTACTATAGGCCCATCTACAGGCAGGGATTGTTGAATATTGAAAGAGGGCCATGTAAGTATCAGTATGATTCATGTCTTATACAGCTGCTGATGAATTGATAGGGCCCTCTCTTCTACAGCATCTGCAAGCAGTAGGAACACGAGAGATCAAGGCAATCCAGTCCTTGAAACCCCCTAAACAGATCGCCTTGTTCTGTGGTCCTAAGCTTTACCAGCCAAACACAGAGAACAAGATCACGGCGTTGACATGGTATCAACAGATTATTGACTTCCTTATCCCAACTGCCGTAGCCATCACCAAACCATATCTATGGCACAATGATCTACATGACGATAATGTCTTTGTAGATCCCCAGAACCCAGAGAGGATCACAGGGATCATCGACTGGCAGTCTTGCCACATCTCCCCCCTCTTCAACCATAACCCTGACCCAGCCTTTCTCGACTTTGACGGCCTGGAGCCTGAGAGACGCTTGATCTGGCGCCACGGCCGAGTCTTACCGGGCTTTCCCCAGAGGACCGGTTTGCAGCTGTACAGGAATATACTCTACAGAACATATTGGTTGGATGGCGGAAACTCATGCATGCTAAGAACGCAAACCTATACCGTGTAGTCGAGTTCCGCAAGACGGCGGCGTACGGGCTGATTTTCCTTGCCCACCGGATGTTCGAGTACGGCGAGGCGCATTTCCAATCGCTGCTGGTCGATCTGGAGCATACATGGAAGGATTCACCTGCCGTCGCCAGCGAGGTTCCATTCCCGATTCAATTCATTGAGCAGGAGAGATATGCTGAATGTAAGGCTGTCCTTGCACAGGTCAAGAGTCAGATGTTGGCCCAATTGGCTGCAACGGAGGAGGAGAGGCTCGAGTATGAGCGGTACTGGCCATTTGATCCATAGTTAGATAAGATTTGAACAATGATTTGGGTCAGAAGAGGTAATCTACAGAACTCTACTTGTCTCTTTAGAAGTGATACTATAGCAAGTACTCTATATACTGGGAACTCGTGCTCATCGTCGACTATCATGGACTGGGCAAGAGACGTATATCTAGGGGAACCAAGGGCAGCAATGGGAAAAACCCTAAGCCCAATTCACTAAGAGGTGCCAAGTGATATGATTATTCAGATAGTCCAGTATATGAAGTTCTTATATTAAATAATCATGACATCAACATATATAGTCTTAAAGGGAAAGCTGTTTGACTTTTGTTTTCCTTAACTTGTGGATTGAGTAGGCTCTAATCCAGGCATTTATAGCTTTTTCTAGTGTTAGCCTGCCCTCTATAGAGTACACTGCTTATCAGGATGATAGAATTCATAATATCAAGTAGAAACTTAATCAGCCTTAAGACAGCCAAGACTGTTGATATAACTACAATAGAGCTGTTCAGAGAGTTAAATTAATCACTTTAGTAAAGTTAAAGATACCTTTTAAGATAATAAGCCTAAACACCACTCCTAGTGAATATAGAGCATAGGATAAGACTAAAGGAATATGATTTTAAGCGTTGAATCCATCAAGGCTCAGTTTATATACTACCAGGGTATATTCTAGCTGGAGAGATGAGCTCTGATAAACATGATCATCGCATCAGTATACAGCTTGGACGTGGGTACTGTGTGTTTCCCCGGGTGCACCAGAACCTTTTCCTCCTCCGACCCAGTCGTGGCATCGATCAACGTGCGGCTCCTCTTGTCAAACACGATATCGTCAAACTGGCCGTTAACATGGAGCATCGGCCCCGCGATCTTGGGGGAGTAAAAAGCCTTGTAGCGAGGACTCAGTCCCGCAAATCCGCAGCAGGTGATGGAAAACTTGATCGGGGGAACACCCTTGAAGGATTCTGGAAAGGGAATGCCTCCGCTCTCTTCTGTCTCTGTGGCAAAGATCTGCTCGCGGCCGGGTTCGAGCAGGCTGGTGATCAGGCCGGCCAAGAATCCCCCCTGGGAAAACCCGATGACTCCTGCAAAGGGCCCGTCGTCGCGCATGGTCTTCCCCAGCTTGTCCAGCCCGTCAAGCAGCCCCGGGAACTCGTCGTCGTCCGGGACTTTGTAAAACCAGCCGTACCCGGGATCCGTCCCGGGGATATACCGCGCCCAGTCGGTCGGTTTGAGGCGCCAGGTCCCCGTTGGAAACACTAGTTCCACGCCCCCGGGGTAGTCGGGGTGGAAGCCCGGGGCAGGCGCCGCGGGGAATGCGTCCTGCAGGGCTTGCTCCAAGGCCTGGATGTCGGCGCGGAACGATTCCCCGGTCTCTGTGTACCCTAGGGTTTTGAATGTTAGGGTTTCCGTTTCCTCTTGGGGTTCACATCCTGGCATGCATACCATGTATCATGAGGATTTTCAATGAGGAACAAATCGTTCCATTTTTTAAAGTGCTGTCCATGGTTGGAGTCTACCAGGAGAGAATTACCATTGGCAACGCTGACGCGTACTACTTATACCTGAAGGATTTCGGGGCATCAGTAATCCAGGTACGCGATAGGGCACCAAAGAGGTAATTCCTGGAGACCATTGGCTGATCGGCCAGGACAAGTCGAGTCCCCAGGGTCTAAATCTAAAAGAGTAAGCCTTCAATATTGGTATAGTGAGAGATAAGGTATCTTCTACCTTGTGATAAAGAATAAAGGAATTAGGGCCAATGGAATTGAATAAAACATGTAATGATGATTGTCTAAGCTTCCTAAAGGTGGTACTACATAGATATGGGTGGAGGCCAAATCCTTAGTGAGTAACTACTAGGGTTAGTATATACTATTAAAGCTAATTAGTATTATTAAATCCTAGCACCTAATACTATCTTATTAACAGCTACTACCTGTTCATCTTTATGAGTCTAAAGGGCTTAAAGGTGATACCCCATTAACTTTTATTTCTCTCTCTAACTCACTTTTACCTTTGTTTAAGCATTTATCAATAACCTTATCACACTAGACTTATAGTACATACTATATATTATATATATTATATACTATCTATGTATTATAGTCTAGTATATCTTATTTATACAGTAGACGCCGGGATCCCCAGCGCACACCTCGCCAGTAGATCCGCAATGGCGACATTGATAGGCTTCCCCCGACTGGAGAGGAGAGTGATGCCCTCGCCGGCAATCATCCCGCCCATCAACGTCGCCGTAAAGGGGACTCCAGTGAAGCCGTTTGCGAGGCTAACAGTCAGCAAAAAAGGATTGGATATATGAATAGTAGAGTCCACGAACCATGATCTGACATCCTCCTCGTCAACAGACACAGTCAACCCTTTCTCCGCCTTGATACTCTCAATCAAGGCGATGACCTCTCCCTCATGGCCGGGCAGGGTGACAGCCCCGGGCCGATGAGCAGGCTGGTATCCCTTGACGGAGGCGAAGACCGCTCCCGCCGCGTAGAGGAGGGCGGCGCCAGATTGGAAGGATGGAGAGGAGAGGTCAAACTGTTCTTTCAGAAGAGCGGAGACTATATACCGTTTAGAATATGGCAAATCTTGAATTAGGAAAAATCTTCTTCTCACCTCTTTCGCATTTCTCTGGAGTGGCGTCTTCCGGATGGGGGACTAGATCGATGCCCTCAATGACGGTCGAATCATCAAGGTCTACCTACACTTAGTATTGAATTGATAGACAGAAATCTTGAGGGAGAGAGGGGAGATACTCTTGTGGGAACGATATTGACTGCGCATCTTGACGTTGAAGCCATCGCAGCGAGAGATGATCAGGGCGCGGGGGGGTGCTAATAATCAGTATATAAATATAAGATATAAGATGATTTATAAGAATACCCTCGTATAGAATCTTTCCAAGGAACACTTCCACCTCCCGGGGTGCGTTCATGGTGATGGCGAGTGAGAAAGAGAGGACATCTTCTGTGAGGAGGGGGTTCTTGACTATCATAAGAACAGAACATCAAAGCGTCAGGAAATACATTAATACACACCTCGACGCGGGTTTCAACCGTGACATCGTATTTTGCCAGATGTCTTGGTATAATGTTAGCTTTGATGATTATTATGTCATACTGCTTTAGAAGAAGTAAGTACCCCGCGATTCCCTTGGCTACTGGCTCCCCCACCCCCGCCGAGAGCCAGGGGTTTCTCGCCACATCTGCCTCGTCGAGGATCTTGTCGTTGAGGATGGTGAATTGTTTGGCTCCTGTTTAATTAGCATTGCATGGCTCAGCAGGTATTAAAGAGGCACTCATACCAGCGGCGATTAACTGGCGGAAACACTCTTCGCCGGCGGGGTCGAGGCCGACGTAGAGGATTCGGGCGGTGGGAGCGATTGTTCTCATTTTGAGATAGGAAAGGAGATTAGATGGAGGCTAGAGAACTGAGAGAGAAGAAGAAAAAGAAAGAAGAACTGATGGATTGATGGAATGATGGAATGGATTGAGGAATTGAATTAATTCATCCGGACGGAGAGTCCGTCCGAGGCCGAACTCGGCGGACCGCGATAAGATAAGACCAGTGAATAAGGATTATTCTAATTATTCAATCGCAGAAATCATCATAGCTCTTGCACACAGGGTGGTCGCCATCCGCCCCCAGAGCATCCAGTCTCTCCATCTGTTCCTCCGAGAGGGTGAAGTCAAACACCTCGATGTTCTGCTTGATTCTCTCTGCATGGTCCGACTTGGGGAGAGGGATGTATCTATTTCGAGTAAGTCAATAGGAAGATGAACAGTGTAAATATAAAAGAAAACCCACCCATGTTGGATCGACCAGCGGAGAAGAACCTGCGTCGGCGAGCGGTTGACGCTCTGGGAGATCTCCTGCAGCACAGGATTGTCGGCGTGTTTGTTGCGCGCGTTGGGTGCGTAGCATTGCATGATGATGCCTGCTCATTACTAAAAAAAAATTCCATGTATATTCAAATTCAATGAGAAAAAGTACCATTCTTATTGCAGTATTCCACCATCTCGCGGTGTTGGCACCAAGGATGCAGTTCCACCTGGTTCACCACCGGCTTCGGAGCAGGGAGGGTAAGAAGATGCTTCAATCCACTAGAGAGTTAGAAAAAAAAAAAAGATAGAAGAGTGTAGAATGATCATACAAATTCGACACGCCGATATCCTTGGTCTCGCCGAGCTTTTGCAACTAGGCAAGGTGAGTATACATCAAAGAAGAAAGGATCGATCAAAAGATAAATACCTCAACCAAAGCCTCCCACATGACAACTCTCCCCTCAGGCCCGATCACCGGCTCATGGATCAGGAACAGATCCACACACGGCTTCTCCATCCCAGGACACATCCGTCGCACCGAAGCCTGCAGCCGGGGGAGAACCGTCGCCACAGTATCGCCGGGCCGGTAATCACGGCATTTTGTGAGGAGATATACTTGCTCGCGCACGGGGGTGGTCAACCGGCCAATATCTAAATGGTGTTAAATAAAGATGGAAGAGAGAGAGAGAGAGAGATATATATATATATAAACGTGGAGGGTACCATTTTCAACAGCTATATTGTCAGTATTAGTCGTCTACAGTTAGAAGAAAGGGAAAGACTTACGGCCATATTCCTCTGCACAATCATACAATCTTTGATGATCCAGTCAGTATCACAATGAAAGTATAATGACTTCCAACACACCTGTAACCGCTTGCGTACGCCGCCTCGAATTTCTTATCGAAGAGATCCTCCGCCGCGTCGGGGCCAGTGCCCCAGCCTGCGCATCCGAACCCGATGGCGGGGATGGAGTTTCCAGTATGGAGTTGAGGCATTGCAACGATTGTTTTAAATTGAAATTGAAATGAAAGATAGAAGGGAGAAGGGAAAATAGTGCGGGGGGAAGTGGGTGCGGGGTATAAATACTTTCCCGCGTTCCAGCCGACCCAGCCGAGATAACCTAAAAAAAAAAGAAGGAACGAAAACTAATCTGAATGCAGTAAGTGAGTCATATCGGAGATAGCGGTATGTCCTGCTACCGAGTTCATTCATAAATTGATGAAAAATGTCTATTTGCCAGGGCAAGTTATGGAGACATCCAAGTGGACTAACTAGTCTACTACCTCAGTAGATACTTGTATCACCAGGCTATTGACCTTGTAAGGACCTTATGTATAACACAACTAGTTAGTATACTATAGCCGGGTTCATGGCACTACTACATTGTAATCAGCTGACTGACCTCTATCTACTGAAAATCGGCTATTCACTCGTATACTGATAAGAAACAACACACCATGCTGTACTCTGGGTACTCTGGGTATACTCTGCAATGCATGCAGTCGAAATACTCCATGCAGAACAAGGGTGCCTCGTGGTCTCGTTCGAGCCTCGTGGCACATGCGTGGCGGAGGAACTAGTGTCGGGCCGACCCGGCGCTACTGCGATAAGCGATAAGCGGTCGCGGCTGTCGAGGGAGTATGGAGTACTAGTACCATCTAGATAATACTCAAATTAATAGACTAGACAGAAGTACTATATATTATAGCATTGTGACTATGGAGTAGCCTAGACACCAAATCACGGAAGAAATTGTGCTACAAGATATCGCAGGATCCATACGTTTGAGCCTGAGGGGGTCCCACGGAGACAGTCTCCTCGCCCACCACAACGGTCTTGGTCCCATCGACCCCCGTGAAGGTGCAGAATCCGCCGCCAGACGAGGAGATGCTAGTCACGCTGAGGGGGTTTGCTACAACAAATCAGTTTCTGTCTATCTCATCGCAAACCCATGACTCAAATGGGGCAACGGACTAATCTTCACGAGGCTTGTGTCGGCAGGGAAGTTCTGGCTGAAGGAGGAGCCGTCTGCGCCGTTGAAGGTGATCCCGACCTGGAAGACGTCGCGCGAGGTGACGGGGTTGGCGCCTGCCAGAGCGGCAAAGGCAGAGAACGCAGTAGCAATGGCAGATGTCTTCATGGCGATTGGTTTTATACTTCTTTGATCTTGGAATGTTGCTTTGGTGCTAGTCTTGGTGTGTCATAAGTGAGACCAGCTGGGTCTTTATACCTTTCACCTTTTTCAGGCGTTCTATCATGGGTAGTGAACTCTGTATAGTGAAAGTCTTATTATCTCTATGGATCATCAGGCCAGCCACAACAAGATATGCCGACATGCTCAACTAGATTTAAAAAAAAACAGCCCATAGCTAAACCTAGTTTTAGTAAGGTTGATCTATTCATTACTGTCACAAGCTAATCTAGCTGGTCAAATAGTGAAATACTTATGAATCGAGTAGCTTAAGTCAGCTATTTATAGAACCCTATACTTATAGAACAGTGAAGAGGCAGAGTTTATTGCTTATCTCAACAGCAATAATTCAAGGTCATTCATTAGGCTGACAGGCCAGTCATCGGGTTCGGGTAAGCAAAAAGGCGACCAACTAAAAACTGTATCAGGCGTCCATAGATATATTTCTAGAAGTGTATGTAAAGCGGCTTAATAAGCTTATATAGAGCGAAATCCTTCCGAATCCGTCAATCCACAAGCGACGGAAAATGACCGAACAGGACGGGCCTTACTTTTGTCAACGCCAGGGGTTCCGCCAATAAACTCGCCATGGCAGAGGGTTTCTGCGCTGAACCCATCGCCATGAGAACAGCTGACGCAGCTGGCATGGCCCAAGATCCATCTGTAATCCATTTGTGACCTGTCAACTTGTCAAGTTGTCAACCATGGCTGAAGTCGTCAACCCAGACTTGATTCCCGATGTTGTTGGAATAGGCGGCGAATCAAAGGATACGGTGGAGACTGATGACAACGTCTCACTCAGCTCTCGCGGCCGATACCAAAGCTTCCGCAAGGGCGAATATTGAGTCGTGAGTTTCTTTATTGCTGCAGTGGAATCAGCCCAAGATCTTCACTGGAGTCTTGGACTGGACGCCTGAGGAGGTGGCCGAGCTCACAATAAATACCTTTGACTCTGTAAACTACCTAGTTAGTCATGCGAGGGGAAGATAGAATAAGTGAGTTGAAGTCTTACCACTAAACTAAGCTAATCGCCTGGCCTAAGAATGAAAGAATTATGAATGCTATCAAGTCAAAATACTGGAGAATGTTTCCAACGGCCGGCTGGCCTAGTGGTTAAGGCGCTCGTTTCCGGTGCGAGAGATGGCAGGTTCGAATCCTGCGTCGGTCGATTTATTTTTGTTCACATTTTTGTTTTTTTATTTATTAGTCGAATATTCTTTTATTTATTTTATTATTAGTTTACAATTTAAGTACTAAATCAATTATTGATCATTATTATTGATTATAACTAGTCAAGACCATCGCATAATGAGCCTCCCACTATATACGAAGATAGTACCTATCTCCAGAACAGTTAACCTCACTAGCCTATTTTTCTTCTTCTTTCCATGGTGTACTCTATAATGGCTTATTCACTGATGAATTCTTACATCAATCCGCCATAAGTCCGTCCTTCTTCCTCCAGCTCCTCGTCCTTGCGCAGGTAATCGCGGACTTTGTCCATCTCGCCTTCTTTCATGGGATCCGGGTGTGGATTCTGGTCCATGGTGTTGACGTTGTCGTTCAGGTTATTTTCACCCCTGCTCAAGTCCTGCTCTTCCTTTCTCGCCATGTCTTGCTGGACCGGCTGGTCCTGGTTCAGATTCTGGTCCTGGGTTTCCTTGTGGCGATGGTGGTGATGGAAGAGCCGGTCCATCAGGCCGTGGTGCTGGTTATCTATCAGATTAGTATATAATCTCTTATTATCCTCTCTCCTAGCTGACGTACCCTGAGACATGATGAAGAGCGTATCAATAATGGTAGCAATAATGATATCAATAAAGATATGGTATGGTGAGATCGAGGACCACGCCTGAATAAGTATTCAGTGATATACTTCAATATACGCATCATAGTCTCCAGGACAACTATTGTGACTGGATGGAAATTCCCACACCATGGTTCATTCATCTTAGAGTTGACATTTTGGTCGGGTCATCTGATGAGAAAGTCTATCCATGATGTCATTCGATACTTGATATGTTTATTTTCATGTCATGTATGTAGTGGCAAATAATCATACACTACAGTTACAGGTGGAACAATGTCCACATAGCTAGCAGTATATCTAATACAGAACCAGCTGCATTGAACCAGTTACATACAATGAAGCTTAGAATGCCACCACTAGTGACGACGAAGACGGTGGCCGTGGCCGTAGCCAGAGGGAGAGGCACCAGAGCCGTCAGAGGCACCACAGGGAGACTGCGAGGTGACGGTGACCTCGACCGTGGAGACGACGGTGGAGGTGACGACCGAGGTGACGACGGAGACGGAGACGGCGGAGGTCTCGGCCACAGCAACAGCGGCAGGGGTTGTTGTCGAGCCCGAGTCGGCGGCGGCGACGGCGACGGCGACGGTGGTCGCGGAGTCGACGTTGACGGCCACGGAGGAGTAGGAGGCCTTGCAGGCTTTGGACTTGGAGGGGGAAGCAGAAGAAGGTTGAGTCTCAACAGCGGATGCAGGCATAGTAGATGCCTCAGGCATGTGAGATGCCTGAGGAACTGAATAAGCCTCAGGCACTGAAGTGGATGCCTCAGGCACAGGGGTCTCAGCAGCAGATGCCTCAGGCACCGAAGAGCCAACAGCAGCAGCAGCAGAAGTGGCAGCAGAGGCAGCAGAGGCAGCAGAAGAGGCAGCCGTCATGGCGGGAATACTAATGGTGGCAATGGACCAGACCTTGCCGCCCTCGCTGGAGGCCAGATCGGTATAGGTGCCTCCCTCGGCGACGGCGATGGTGTCGCCAAAGTCGGGATCGGCGCTGCGCAGGGTGATGGTCGTGTTGATGTATGTCTGGGCGGCGACGGTTCCGGAACAATCATCATCGCATTCGGTGCCAGTTCCGTACCTTGATGAGTTAGTATATAACTATCCTAGGTAGTAGTATGTATATATATTGTTATGAAAGCAATATCGAGTTGTATAGAGAGCTCCTACCCCGTCATGTACGGCCCCGCCGGATAGGAGTAACTAGACAAATAAGCCCCCGTGCGAGCGTTGGTGACGTTCTGGATCCAAGTCACATCGTCGGCGAGCAGGGTATATTCGATGCGAACGAGATCGTCGCCGCTGACAGGCTCGCCCGTGCCCGAGAGCTGGCCAAAGGAGCCGAAGATGGAGGCGCGCACGCACCACTGGCCCGTCGTGGCGCCGCACCAGGCGTTGCTGGGCCAGCTTTCGAGCGTGGTCTGGATGAGATCGCCGGTGCCGTTGCTCATGCCCGGCCACAGGAACAGCTCGCCGTTCTGCGTCGGGGGCGCCTCGCCGGGGATGATCGTCGTCACGGCGTGGATGATGTCCGACGTGGTTGGGCCGAGAGAGACGCTGCCGCCCCAGGAGTCGGCGCTGACGAGGGACGAGAGCGACAGGAGGAGAAGAGGGAGCATTTTGATTTCTCGGAATGAGTGGAAGAGAAAGAAAGAATGAAAAGATGGAAAGATGGAAAGATGGAAAGATGGAAAGATGGAAAGATGGAAAGATGGAATGGAAAGATGGAAAGAAAGAAGGAAAAGCACCAGGCTATAATGTCAAGTGGGAGAATCAACTGGTAAGATAAAACTAGGATTTATGGTCATACTTATAGTGATGGTTGATACTACCAGGGCTGATTCAAGTATCGGATTTGGTAAGATTAATTAATTTCAGACATCCCGTGTTATAGACCGAGACATCCCAAGCTTACAGATTAAGGGTCCACGAGTCCCTGGAACGATTAATTGCGGGCCGCTTCAATCCTAAAATACCCTTTAATGACCCTGAATATTTGTAGTCAATAGATATTAATAGTTATTCTGTCTATCAAAGACTGCAGGTGAACTGCTAAGTTGTTGATTAGGGTTAGGGTTTTACCTGATAACTTGCCATGTTTAATCTACAGATTACGGGATTGACAATCAACTTATACAAGTCTGAGATCATGATTATGCCATTAGTGATATTCTATCAAGTATAAATATAAAGAAAAACATGCAAATGTATATAAAAATGTAGTATATGCCAAAAAGATTCATATCAATCACTCATCTGGCTGTTCCGAGCACTGCCGGCATCGACAGTCAACCGACTGTTGCGAGTATAGTCAACCGTGAGCCGGCTGCCATCGACGGCGGTCATCCGACTGCTGCGAGTGTACCACTTGCGCCATTTACGTTCATCATCCGCGTCATCGACCGGCTGGACCAGGATCGAGAGCCGTTCCTTTTCATTGAGCGTGATGCTCGACACGTTGGACGAGGCCGGGCCGCGTGCGACGAAGCTCTTGCTCTGGAACTTGCCGAGCCAGAGCATCTGCTCGTGCTCGCGCAGGTACCGGTGGCTCGAGAAGTTACGCAGCACGTTGGCCCGCCCGCGCATGCCCAACTGACGTCGCTGTTCGACCTGCTCGTACATCCGTTCCGAGATGGCTTGCACTTCCTCCTCGGTCGGGTACAGGCTGAAGCTGGGGACGGGCGCCGCGGGATCCTTGGAGAAGGCCGCCCACTCGCCCAGCAGGGCGAGGATACGGATCTGCGCCCGCGCCAGCGAGTCCCCGTCGTTCGGGGCAACGACCTCGCTGAACCGCTTGCCTGTCGTTCGGTCCGTCACCACACAGAAGGAGGCCCCGACGTCCGTGCACACCACCGGCACACCCGTCAACGCGGCCTCGCCCATGGCTAGGGGCAGGCCCTCGGAGATACTCGAGTTCATGAACAGCCAGGCATCCTGCAGCACGACCGTCGGGTTACCCAGCCCCTTGAGCACGACGTGCTCGCGCAGGCCCTTGGAGGCGATGATCTCCTGGCACTCGGACGCGTACGCCGGGGCGCGCTCCATGTCGCCGTAGATGTGCAGCCGGTAGTCCTTGAAGCCCCACCGGTTGACAATCAGGTCGGTCGCCATGATGGCCGTCTTAATATCTTTGACGTAACGGATATGCGACAGCATGACAACGGTCGGGGTTGCGGTCTTGATCTCCTCGATGGGTGTGTAGCGTTCCATGTTTGTGATGCCGTTGACGACCGGGTCGATCTTGCGCGCAAACGCCCGGCGGTGCTGCAACGCACCCTCGGCCGTGCCCAGCTCGACCTCCCAACCCGGATTGAAGTATTCTGCGCAGGGCAGGACCACGTCCGCGTGGTGCTCCAGCAGCACGCACGCCAAGTGGCCCAGCGGAATCAGGGTCGAGTTGACAAACACCGAGTCAAACGACACAGCCGAGGACAGAAAGGTCGTCATCTCGCGGAAACTGATGCAGTGATCCCACACGTGCAGGGCGCAACCCCGCTTGACCTTACAGATGACGCCGTACGTAGCACCCGTGAAGTGGTGCGAGGCCTGGAACACATCGGGGATGCGTTCGGGGATGGGGATAGAGAAGATGAAGAGGTCTGAAATTAGTATAGGCGTCTTTAACGGGGTAGATAGAAGAGGAAGAAAAAAAATAAAACTTACATCGATGCCACATATCCAAGGCAGAGTCCATCTGACCCAAGATAGGGGTCTCGCCCATCTGCTCGACATTGAGGCCGCCGGGGATATACTCCAACCAGAGAGCCCTCCAGGCCTGGCGGACGACGTCGCTCATCCAGACGTCGTTCCAGCTGCGGCCGGCCTCGAAGTAGGCGTTGAGGTCGACAAGAGCGGTGGTGGCCTGCTCGATGGTCTGTCGCGTCCATTTGATGGTGCGGACACAGCGCACCAGACTTGCCAGGATGGGCACGAAGCAGCGGCGGATATCATCTGCATTAGTGGCGTGTGAGCGCTCGACAACTTCGGCATCGAGATAGTTCTGGAACACGCCGTGCGTCGGGTTGAGGAAGTCCAGCCCCCACTGCGGTAACACACTGAGAGACTGCACATTGCGCTCGATCTGGAAGCGCGGCACGCCGTAGTCGTTGGCTGCCTCGGCCATGATGTGCCACCGGATGCCCTGCAGCTCGTTGACGAGATCGCGCCGACACGCAGAGACACCACCCGGTTCGTTGGGCCAGGTGCCCGTGTCCATGGCTAGAACGTGCAGCTGCTTGTCTGTGTCCTGGATCTGGGTGGAGAGCGTGCGGGTGTTGATGCAGGCGTCACCGCCCTGGCCGAAGCTGTACAGATCGCTGATCTCAAAGGCCAGGGGCGTCCACGAGCTGACGGCCGGGTCGATGTCGATCCGCGCCATCACCGTGTCGACCTGTGCGTCGAGGTACTTGCTGGCACCGTCCAGCCAACCCCAATCGCGCCGGCGCCAGTAAGGGCGCAGGGCCGGTTCTTTGCGAAGGATGCGCTCGTCCAGCCAGCGTGCTGTGACCGCATCGAACATCTTGCTACTCTTCCAAGCGCGCCAGAGCACCGTGCGGGCCTTTGCGGTGGCGATGCGGCGCACGTAGATGTGGCGACGGAAGGCCCTGGCCAGCCAGCTGGTCGGCAGCTTGCCTGGGTTGCGGCGGCGAGCAAAGGGCAACAACGGGTGGTCATCAGCGAAGCTGCATCGCTGCGGCTTGTCCAGGACATGGAACCAGTCCTCCTCGATCATCTCCGGGGTCTTGACGGGGCGGCCGTTGAGCGTCGTGGTGATGTGCGGATGGTACTTGTGATCGTACGTCCAATAAGCTCGGTAGACTTCCTCTTCCTGGCCCTCCTCCCGATCGGTTTTGACGAAAGTGGCCTCGGTGACACGCGGATACGGGACCCAGTGTTCCCACCGTTGCGGCCGGGTGGGCGGCGGCATGCTCCATGCGACACGAATGGTGATGTGTGGCAAGACGAACTCAGCGTGCAGTAGTTCATCGCCCTCATCCAGCCCCCCGCCAGGGTGCTCGCGGTAACGGTAACGGAAAGCCACACGATTGATATCGCGCAGGGCCGAGCCGGAAGTGATGTAGCCCTCCGAGTTGTACTCAACGAGCTCACCGGAACGATCACCACGCACACAACGGCGTTGCAGCGGGTAGATCTTCTTATTGTCGTATTCGTAGACGAACTCTAGGTTTCCGGACTTGGTGAATTCTTCTCTGTGCTCCAGAACCAGCTTGGTCGAGTACGTGTTGATAGCCTTTAGCTGCTTCGTATCCGTCGGCTGGGAGTCATGACGCCCTTCGTAACAGTATAACAGGGAGCCATTCTCGGTCGGATGCAGAAAAGCAGTCATGGGGCCGTCCAGGTAGTCGAGGACAATTCGATGGCGCTCCACCGTGATCGACCAATTTTGCATTTTGTGGTAGAGCGACGAGACCTGTTCACGGCCATGGAGCTGAATATCATGTTAGTAGAATGGTACAAGATAGAATCGCATATATGTAAATCCTAGACATACCAAAACAAGGGGGAAAATAGCCTCCTGAAACGCCTTGGTATACAACCAAAGGGTATTCAAGAAAACCATAATCGGCCAGGCAACGATCGCCGGCGTGTTACGCAGCGTATAGACAAGTTCGCGCTGGTACTCCGGGTCCGCGATGAGAGAGAGGACCGTGAACTTGATGGCGATCCGGAGCTTTTGTCTGAAACTGGTGATACGGTCGATAAGCCGGCGTGGGATTGACTTTTTGGCGAGAGGGTCGATGGCGTGAGGGAGGAACGGGTGCTCGTCTGACAGGATGGAGGCATGGGCGACGGTGCGCGAGGCAACACGGAGGGAATGACTGCAACGGGTGAGAAGCGAGTGAATATCGTCTTGTCTTTCTTCAAACTGCCACTTCCCTGCCAATCGCATGACGAGCCACTCTGCTGCGTCGAGAGAGAGAGAACTTGATTCACCGTACCACCGGCGCAAGAGGAACGTCCTGACATTTAGGGGCAGCTTGTCCCAGTCGTCATCAGCCTCGAAGCCCAACAGAGCGTGGCGGAGAAGGAGGGTGGAGCGGGAACCCAGAAGACGAGCACACTGTTCTTCGTTGCGCTCCAGCTGCCGTTTCACGCCTTCGGGGATCTCGTTCTCGCTCGGGACCACAAAGGACTCGGCCAGGAGGGATTGATGATACGACCAGCCCAGGACCATCTGGCAAGTTGCCTGGACCAGAGCCTCGGCGATCATCTGGTTGTTGCGATGAATATCTTCGCCTGTGGCCTTTGTATCCGCTAGGACGTAAATGTAGAGAGTCTCTTCGTCCAGACGGCTGACGGTGCGTAGCTCAGTCTGGATATGGCGAGTGGGGACGAGCTCGATGACGGTGGTCCCTGCCTGCCAGCGCTCCAGAGTATGAGTGAGGACGTCGGCAACGGTGGCTGTGGTTGACTTTTTCGGTTGCAGCAGATGGAGAACTTCGTGCGACGGGCGGACGTGATGGCGCAATCCCTCCGGCACGGCGCGGATGATGTCCACCGTGTGCGAGAGGGTGGTCTGCGACAGCTCGAGATCGGGCTCCAGACAGCTATATCCATGAGGATGGATCACTGGCAGGGTTTCGGTCTGATCCTTTGTATCCTTGCTCTTGGTTTTCCAGATACCCGACATGGCAAAAGACAGGATCGCGCTTGTCCATGTTCCTGACGCGAGGCCGATGACTCCCGAATAGGCAAAAAGAGGCATCGAGAGTCGTAGAGCCAGACCGGCAACCAGGCCCAAAAGAGCACCGCCAATCAGGGCCCGCGCTGACTTTTCCGGGCCCGCGAAGATGCGGTTGAACTGATAAAAAAGCAGGCCCGTGTAGGAACCGACATAGGTCAGGTACAGGATAACAGCGTCTCGGTGGCCCTCGAAGGACCAAATCATGGCGGAGGTGATGGCGATGGCCCAGAGATGGAAGAAGAAATATTTCACCACGTTGTGGATGTACAGAGAGCGGCGTTGGAGGGTGTGCTGGCCCGTGGCCTCCCGCAGGGATTCGAACGAGTTGATCACCGTGCGGCTGTGGTTCTGCGAGACGGCCGTCCACAGCGGCTGGGAGACGGCGTCGAGAATCACGGCGCCAAGGAGGTAGTATGCCAGACCGAAGCCGACGGAGAGCCGGTAGGTGGTGCTCGCGCCGGCGGAGAGGCCAACCAGGTCTCCCTGCCCGGTGATGAGGGCCGTCCATTTATCCAACAAGGCCAGAACGAAGTAGAGGATGCCGCAGGCGACGTCGGTACCGGTGTGGCGCCAGTGCAGGAAACCCGAGTGCAACTTGAGACCCTTCTGCATGTCGCCGAGGGTATCGATGGCGGCGCGGAGCTGCAGGTTCCAGGTCGGACTGTACGCCAGGGGCATTTGCGTGCGGGAGTAGTTGCAGTACCAGGTCAGGAGGAAGACGGTGGAGGGATAGCCAGCAGCCAGACGGTCGACCAGAGCATCCTTGCCCTTCTCTTTTTTGAGGGTTCTTGGATCAGTGACGCGGGCCAGGAGGGCTTCTCGAGGGGTCAATCCGCTGTTCTGGTCGGTCGACTTGTACCACTCGGCGACCTCTTTGTCGGTGATGGTGGGGATGTCCAGGTACCAGTTATTCCATTTGGCCATTACGCGCCTGGCTCCAAGCAGCAGATTGAAGAGAAAGAAGTATAGAATGCACAGATACACGACCAGGTCGTGGTCGGTCACCCACAGGGTTATAACGGGCGAGGCGAACAAAATCGGGATGCACGTCATGATCACGCTGCGACCGGATTGGAAGGAGAAGCCGGGCATCTGGTAGACGGCCATCGTGGACAGGGCCATGAGGTAGGTGGCGAGCATGGTGAAATATAAGGAGAAGACGAGTCCGTTGACGATTCCCTTGGTGATGGCGATGCTTACCAGTGACACGACAGCGCCCACCGATACGACAGCGAGCCCGGCGGCGAATCGCGTCAGCACAAACATGCTCATTGTCGGAAAGGCCATGGCGTAGAGGTAGTAACTACCGCCGGAGCTGATCCAGGAGCCAAACCCGCCGCACACGAGGAGGGCGAGCATAAGGGCGGTGGTGGCAAGGGTCTTGTGTTCATCGGCCATGAAGGTGGTCAGGTACAGGCCACGGCCGACCATGGTGAGCATGGAGATATCGATGAGGGCCGGCACGGCGAAGATGCCGAGAAACGTGACGCGGTAGTACCATGCTTGCCGGAGGGCGTATCCGTCGTCCAGATCGACCTCCATCGAGGCGTAGGTGGTCGGCAGCTCCGTGAAGCCGTTGTCACGGCGGGGAACGGGATTTGCCTCATACCAGCGCAGATACTTCTGGCGGAGCACCGTGCCCAGGGCCTTGGGGCTTGTATCGAAGAAGGTGTCACAGCCGGCCCCGAGCGCATAGGCCTCAGCAAAGCAAGCGGCTTGCACGGAATGACCGTTCGGGCGAGGGTTACGATCCAGCACCTCGAGTTCGATCTCATCGAGGGCGCAGACGCGACAGATACAGAAGACCGAGAGAGCCAACAGGTCGGCGTAGACGTCGATTTTACCAGGCTGGATGACGGTGTGCAGAACGGCAGCAAATTGATCCAACCTCTTGCTGTCGGCCCAGAGCAGCAACATGGGATATAGACGGCTGACTTCGTTGAATAGGTCAAGGGCAGCATCATAGTCCGGGCAGGGCAACCCTAGTTCGCGATACCAGGCGAGTCGGTCGGCGATGAGCTCCGCCGGCGAGACCTCACCGCTGAGGTATTCCGTCGAGCACATCACGCGCCGCTGTGTCACTGATGGGACTACCAGCAGCTGGTGCTCGCAGCGGGCCTCGATCCGTTTCATGATCTCGTCGTCGCTGCGGCGGTGAGCCTTTAACCACAGCAAAGCCTCGGTGGGCGTGAGCTGCGCCAAGTCGGCGACCATACGGGTAGTCAGCCCCCAGGCCGGGTTCAGCGAGTTGGTCGCGTCGGCGAGGGCGATCTCGGCCCGCAGACAGTCCAGCTGGTTGTAACCACGGCTCGCAAGGAAGGTGTGTAAGATGGTCGCTGGTTTGTCGACGGCCTTGGCTGAAACGTACATGGTCATGCCATCGCTGGTGGTCTGAAACATTCCCCAAACCGGGGCGTTGCGGCGGGTACGGAGACCCGACGCGAGGCCGACCAGAACGGTGATATCACCGGCGAGGAGCATGTTGATAAGCTTTTGGACATGGGAATCATAGGCACCCAATGGGCGCAGTGCCTCGGCAACTTGGGCGATATCCTCTACAGACATGCGGTCGGAGAGCTTGAGGTCCTCAATGGTGCTCTGGGCTTGCTGGAGGTCGTGGATCTCGCCAGCCGTACAGTCGAGACCCAGGTGGGGGCAGGCCGGGATGGACGAGTCGTAGGACTTTATAAACACATCGGTGTCGAGACTATCAACAGGGATATCGTCTGAGGTGTCTTGCGTGGTGGGCGGGTGCAAGACTAGGCTGTTGAGGGCCGGCAAAGCGAGAGATTCGTAGATGGGATCCATGTGTTCCGAGGGGGCGATCAGGAACTCATTTTCCCTCCAAATGGTGTGCGACGACATGACCTTTTCGTCCTTGAGAAACATCATGGCAGTCAGCGGTTCGGTCTGGATGGTGGAGGCGAGGGCGAGATCGGCGTCGTTGAGGCCGCTCTCACGGCCGAACCAGCACAGCAGACTGTTATAGCTGCACCACTTGAATGAGCGCTGGGCGACATGATGACCGAGAGGCACTGAATCGTCGACGGTCTCCCAGACGGCGCTGGTCAGGGGGGACCCCTTGGAGTTGCGTTTGGCGGCGACGCGCATGGCGGTGCGCATACCCTCCATCTGGAAGAAGTCACGGCGCTCCCCGTGCGGCCAGAGGGTTCCATTCCGATAGATGAGGCCGCGGACGTTGGCGAGATCGATCTGGGTGGAGAGAGGGTAGTCTGGCGGGGCGAGCTCGAGCCAGACGGCGAGCCCGCGCTGGCGGATGGCGGCGACGAGGATGTTCAACACGACGGGCGGCAGATGGGGTTCCCAGTAGGCCAGGAGAACACCGTTCAAGGGGAATTGGCCATTTTGGGGGCGTTTCCAGGAAAGCAGACGGGCGGTAAGTTTCTCCAAGATGCTGACAGTTTCGGTTCCCAAGCTAGCCAGTTGGTGGATGTCCAGGCGGCCGATGACATAGCCAGACGAGGGCGAGTCCGCAATGGCATCCAGCACTCCCCACTGGTGCGGATCTACGACGAGCAGGTCCCATTTAGAAAGAATCGCCGCCTGCGCCGGGGTCGGGGGAGACGCCATGGCGCCCAGGAAGACGCCAAACGACGAGAAGGAGGCATCAGTATATGTTCGTAAGGAAGCAGAATTGGCAAAACGAGAGACACAACGCGCAACAGCGGATGGAAGTGGAGGCGGTTTTTTCTGATAAGACAGACGATTAGCAGAGGATCAGCCTGGACCCTCTTCAGATCGTCTCTCCCGATCTCACGACGATCTTCTTTCAATTGCAGAAGCTCACCTTTAAGCGAGCGTGTATCCTTTTGGAAAGGACGTAAAGAATGTAGATGCCCCCAGCAGCAATCACGGCCAGCAGAAGAGAGGCCAGCACCTTGACAGTTATCAGTATCGCATCCAAATCAACAGCAGCTGCTCAGGGACGTAAGACTTACCAGATCCCACCAGGTGTGGATCATCTGGTGCCACCCTATGGCCGTGAGGCCCAGGAAGAGCGCCATGGTGAAGGAAAACGAGTGACACCCAACGCAACGCGTGTCCAAGGACGACGGCGTGGAAAGCGGAGGGGAAGGATGAGAAACGAACGAAGCGGCGGGAGGGAGGAGGAAGAAGAGGTAGGAGGGAGAGAGGAGAGGACAAGAGACGAAAACGAAAAGACACGAAAGAGACGAAGAGAGACAAGGGGCGAGAGAAGAGGAGATAACAAGAGACGAGATGAGCTGATTGCAAAATCCGCCCAAGAGGATGGACAAATCGGCCAAACAGGCCCAAAACTGCGCGAGTCTGACGGGATTTTGTTTTTATTAGGGGCGGCCTTAGAAAAACCAAAGACCCCCAAGCCCCGCGAGTTGTGCAGAGTTTCTTCGCAGCGCTCTCAGCTTTTTGCCGACACTCTTTTGGGGGAATAGTTTTCTGAGGGTTTTCCAGGCAAGATGCAGCGGAAAATGATTGCTATTATTGTGACGTTGGTGGTGATCTGTTTGGTGGCTCTGATTACTCCCTTGGCCGTGCTGCTCCCTCACCACCACCCCAAACGTGCCACCGTTCTGTTTCCCCTGTACATCTACCCGGACAACAGCAGCACCTGGGCGCCTCTCTTCAAGCAGTACGTATTGGTTTCTGTTTCTCTCCTCTACGCTTCTCCTGGTCACACTCGCGCTCTGTTCTTCTCCTAACACTGCTCCCAGACTCGATGACTACCCGACGCTCAACTTCACCGTGGTGGTCAACCCCGACAGCGGGCCTGGCGACGCCGCGCTGCCCAGTCAGACATACATCACCCAGATCGAGCGGCTGAACAGCTATGACAACGTGCAGACGGTGGGCTACGTGCGGACAAGGTACGCCACACGAAATATCACCGTGGTGGAGGAGGAGGTGGGGGTGTACGCCCGGTGGGCCGACAATTCCTCTAGTCTGGCCATGGACGGGATTTTCTTCGACGAGGTCCCCAGCACGTACTCCGCTGCGGCTGAGACGTATCTGAATACCATCGATGCCAAGGTCAGAGCGGCAGATGGTCTGAATGGGAATATGGTGTGTTCTTTTTCCTTTGTTCCCTGTCTCTCTCTCTCTCTCTCTTGCGTGACGACGGAGGTTGTACGGGGTGCGTGCAGAGGGCTAACGAGGGTATCCTGATAGGTCATCCATAACCCTGGCACCATCCCTTCCAGCGAGTTCAGTACCACGGCCAATGTGACGGTTGTCGCCGAGATCTCGTATAGCAAGTATCTCGACACCAAGAGCGAGCTGGCGGCAATGCCCTCCGACCGCTCCAAGTACGCCTACCTGCTCCACTCGATGCCTAGCATGACGGTCCAGAAGCTTCACTCGTTCCTCGACACTCTCGACCGCCGGGCGGAGTATCTGTTTGTGACAACCCTGTCGAGTAATTACTACGAGTCGTTTGGGCCTGATCTGGCGCTCTTCTGCGACGCCATGCCCACTGGCTCCTAGCTTACCTGGGAGCAACAGACTAGACGGACTAGCTACTCGCCAGGCTTCTAGCTGCAATTGTAATACCTTCCATCCCGCTATAAATAGGGCTTTTTTGTCTAGCTATCCATTGGTTCTTCTCCTACTCTTCTTTCCAACTATTCCCTTTCTTGCTGGTATCACTTCCCTAAACTAGTCATGAAAACCACCGTTCTCGTTCCCTTGTACATTTATCCCTTGCCCCAGGCGTGGGATCCATTATTCCAGGCGTGCGTATTTTTTCCTTTTTTCTTTTTTTTTTTTAGCGATCTCTCCCTCCTCCTCAATTCAAAGGCTGGCTGAATATCTCGCTTACCGTGGCCTCCTTTCCTCTTGCCTCCGCTCACTCACATCTTTGACCTTCTCTCTAGCATCCAGGACTACCCTCACGTCTCCTTTCTGATCATCGTCAATCCCAATAGCGGCCCGGGAACCCCCGAGCAGGCTTCCCCTGATGATGCCTACCGCGTGGCGGTTTCACGGCTGCACGCCTTCCCCAACGTGGCCACTGTAGGCTACGTGCTGGTCGACTATACTCGACGCCCGCTGCACGAGGTCACTAGCGATATCGACCGGTATGCAGCCTGGGCGGCTCTGCCGGGCCTGGCCCTCGGCGGCATCTTGCTTGACGAGACCCCAAACCGCTGGACGCACGAGGCTGAGACCTACCTCGCAACTCTGACACGGCAGGTAAGGCAGCAAAGAGAGAGTGAGAGAGAGAGAGGAGAGCAGCAGCCTTGCACTATCTATTACATACTTACAGGTTTCCATCCCGTGTGCTCGTATTCCTTCTGACTTGGCTCCCTCCAGATCAAGAAATCCTTCCAAAATGCACTAGTACGTTTGACGTCGGTTGGCTCTCGTCAGCCACGGTTTCCCCCCCCCTCCTTTCGTATTTTTTCTTTCCTTGATTTCTGCTCGTTTTCTATTTGTCACACCATCAAGTTTATTCATTCTTGTTTTTCTCCCCCCGTTTTAGGTCGTGCATAATCCAGGAACACCCCCGGATCCTGGGCTCACCCACTCGGCGGATGTGGTGGTGACGTGCGAAGAGAGCTACTCCCGATGGAAGAGCGACGAGATCCAGACATATCTCCGACGGATGCGGTATCCGCGCGGAATGGTCGGATACCAGCTCAACGCCGTGCCGATCGGGGCCCTGGGTAAAGTGGTCCGTGAGGTGCACGAGGTGGCAGCGTACGTCTTCGCGACGGAGGTGGAAGGCGACTTCTACGAGCGATTCGGGCGGACCAGTTGGAAAATTCTGCTTGACGAGATATCCCAACTGACTAGCCAGGCCGAGTCCACGGTCCAGTCCGTCGATAAGGTGCTCGGATAGTGCAGGATGGGTCGATTTGCTAGCCGCTTCCCTTGCTACCTGGTGGGTCTGCGACACGAAAGGATCGATAGTTCTCCGGGCTAGACAGACAGGCCCTGGGATCCTTGCAACAGGGGTGGTGGATTCACTGACTGCTGGAGAGTCTAGTAGAGGGCTAGAGGTGACTGCTGGCCACCCTGGTGAAATGCGTCCCAGCCATGCTGGTGATTGGTAGTCGTTGCCCATCGAATCGTGCATTGCGTACTCTGCATTTGTTGCATAGGGCATTGCTGGGGTTTTTAGCTATAATCACTTAGTGAATGATAGTTATAGAGCCATCATTACTACTGCCATGAGGTCAATCATCATCATCGACTAATAATAAATAATAATAGCACACAGCCTTACCAGTTAGCCTGGCAATAGAGTTCAAGAAAACGACTCACCATGGCTGACGACAGTGGACTGGCCGCCGTCGTGCTGCCTCCGCCGAGTATCTCTGTCAATTCCTCTACCGTGTCTCTGGCCTCTCTTGCCTCATCGTCAGTGTCGTCTTCCCTCTCATCGGTTCCTTCATCGCCGGCGTCGACTGCTGCGCTGCCTTCTGTGTCGTTTTCTGCCTCCCCCTTCATTCTGGTCACCGGCGCCCTTGGCTTCATCGGCAGCCATACCACCCTCGAGCTGCTCAAGGCGGGACACCCCGTCCTGTGCGTCGACAATCTCACCAACAGCTTCCGCCATGTGTTCGACAGCATCCTGTGCGCGGCCCACGACCATTTCGCCCTCGTCGGCGGCTGCTGCCCCGCCGCAGAACTGTACTGCATCGACTACAGCGACGAGCCGGCCATGCGCGCCCTGCTGGACGTACATGCGCCTGCCATCGGCGGGGTGATCCATTTCGCGGCGTGCAAACAGGTCGAAGAGAGCCTGCTGAATCCGCTGAAATACTACCGCAACAACATCGCGGGGCTGATCACCCTGTTGACTCTGCTGGATGAGTACGAGATTCGGTTCTTTGTCTTCTCCTCCTCGGCCACCGTATACGGCGACAGCAACAACAACAACAACAACAGCAGCAGCAGCAGCAGCAGTGGCAACGGCAAGATGGTCTCCGAAGACAAACCTATCAAGGAGACCGACCCGCTCAACCCACCCCTAAACCCTTACGGCCGCACAAAGGCCATGGGGGAAGACATCCTGGCCGATCTGGCCCAATCCAACCCGTCCTGGACGGTGGTTGCCCTGCGCTACTTCAACCCGATCGGCTGCGACCCGTCCGCCCTGCTGGGCGAGAACCCGCGCACCCCGACCGTCTCCAACCTGCTGCCCGTCGCCCTGCGCGTGCTCGACGGCCGCCAGTCCGAACTGCACATCTTCGGCAACGACTGGGCCACCCCGGACGGCACCCCGATCCGCGATTTTGTCCATGTCTCGGACATTGCCGTCGGCCATCTGGCCGCCCTTGCCGGCGCCCGCGACGGCCGCATCGCCCCGGGCTCCCTGCGCACCTTTAACCTCGGCTCTGGCCGCGCCCACTCCGTCCTCGACCTGCTTGACGCCCTCGAGTCCGTCACCCAGAAGCCCATCCGCCGCCGCGTCGTCGGCAGGCGCCCGGGAGACGTCGGCGCCAGCGTCGCCTGTGTCGACCGCGCCAGGGACCAGCTGGGTTGGAAGGCAGAACGCTCATTGCGAGAAGCCTGCGAGGATGTCTGGCGGTGGGTGCGGCGGAATAATACAGTATAGTAACCTTGAATCAACTAGCATGGGTCAGTTTTGGTTTTGGTTTTGGTTTTTCTTTTTTTTTTTTTTTTTTTTTTTTATCTCCTCCCCCTATAATTCTATATAATAATTAGGTTCAGTCCACTGCCATCTAGTTAGAATCCACTATCACTCACTTACCTAACTTCTTTCCTGGCCTTTCTTTTTGTAATGGCCGGTGGAGAGAGCAGGATTGAGGCAATTTCCACATCGGGCGGACTTAGGGCTAGGGCTAGGGCTGACGTGCCAATATAGGCCCACCCAAAAGAGTTTGGCTCCTCCTTGCTGCACACCGCCTGCCTAGGTAATCGATCCTTTGACGCTTCCGATTAGCTTCAACTGGGCTGCAAAAGGGGGAAGCTGTGGCGGCCATTGGTAGGAGTCAGGGACAGAGATTTGAGTAGGGGCCTACCAGTGCAGTAGTCAGTTGGTTGGTTTCTTGTAATTAGTAGACTAGTTACCTAACTAATAACTAGTTAGTTAGTTACTCGTATATACGGAGTAATAGACCCTCCTGCAGAGGATTCCCCCTGTGATCAGATAACCTGATTTAGTACTCCATACGAGGTCGGTATGGATACAAACTCCGACCTGGAGCCCAGGTCAGACTAAGCTGTGAACTAGTGGCGCACCTCCAACCAATAATGCAAATGTGCCTCTTTTGCCCTGCTCGTATGTCATATGCCGCCAAAAAGGCGCCTCTCCCATCGTGGCTGAAACCTGGCCAGTTGCCAGCTTCTATTCGCCGATTCCCTTTGCCGCCCTGCCTCATACCACCGATACAGCCATTGCTTAGCCTGGTAGAGGCCACACGTGGCGCATATCGATTGTGGGGATTGGCAAAACCGTTTTTCGATGGGGTAGCCGCCTTGCCGTAATCTCCGAGCTTTGCTGTCATAGCTACTCCGCGGCCCTGGCCCTTTTCTCTCCGCTGTGCTCAGTGACTCCTGGTTAGGAACGAGGTATTAGCCAACAAGTGGGTTCGTCAATAATTATTCAATTCAGTAGCTGACATCGAACTATGGGGTCACTTGCTCGTTAGTTCACTCGCTACTCCGAACAAGGGGAGTAGCGAATGGATCCATCGCTGTAGGTCCCACTTTGTGCCTAAGGACTTATCCTGCCGGCATCTCCGGGTGCCATCCGTAGGCCAATAATATCAATCTCGTAAGCGAAGCCTTCGAACCGAGCATGGGGGGGCCTTGCGAATAGTGTCAAACATCCCTGGCGAAGGAACATTATGACCAAGGTATAATTGACCTGTACAGGTGTTCCAAAATGACTTGGTCAAAACTCGCTCTCCTTATTCGTGGTTGTCATCCTTGCCCTCTTTGTTCTATAGATAGTAGACAGACGGGTGATATCTTTGAGAACTCGGCATATCACCCTCCCTGGATGGAGCAACATGTCTGTGCTTGCAGAATAGGCAGGTCTAGACTGTGAGGGATTTGAATCAGCCATTTTGTAAAAGTAGAAGCTGGTTTGTGAGACCAGTTTGCTCCAGAGGTACAATATCAGTGGCGGTAACATCTGATGGTCGAAAATAATGAACAAGATATGCGATCGTTTATGCGTAGCATAGGATTATTATGTCTGCATTGCCTGTCCGCATTGGAAGGAGCTTCCTTTGCGAGACTCGACGCTGACTCCAGTCAGCTTCTGTCGACGTGATTCAGACGAAAGGGTGCCATGTGGACGGCGTAAGATGAGTCGACAGAGCTCTTTGTAGAGTATGGATCTATCTTCTGTAGTTAGCCAGAGCACAGGCACAGAATATACCACATACGTACCTGATTTTGGTGAGCCATGTATCTTCCAAACACAGAATAGTCAGCTACGAAAATATGTAACTAACTATACAGACTCATGGAGTCCCTCTTTAGAGCGAATTTTGCTCCTGAATTTCATCAATAACAGCCGGCTTTCAGGTCGTAATGGAAACTTCTCTGATGATGCATCATTCCAACACAGATTCCATGAGAGTCCTTACTGGGATAAACATGTGGTTTATGAGTTCTCGAATGAAGTTCCTCCTCCATCGCCTTCCTGCCGTAGTTCTCCGTCGACTCTTGCGAGTTGCAACGATGGATCCATCATTTGTTTTATTCATATCTATCGAATCTGCTCCCGTTGTCTCCAAAATATATATAAAGTTGATGATGCCAGCATACACGAGGGGAAGTCTGGGTTCAATGACCGCGGCCAGTGTCGGATATATATTCCGTCGAAACGATATATAAACTGAGTAAACACTGGGAAAATATCAGTCATCAACACAACAAGTAGGATACAAGGACTCTTGAATGACGAAAAAACAAAAAGCTCACTCGAAATCAGTGCGACTGATAGAAAAATACCTTAAAGTCCGCCAAACTGACCAACAACACTGCTGTCAGCCCCTAGGAAGACAAAGACTGCCTCCCTTCTTCCTGAACACCACTCCTATCACCTTGAACTGCCATAGCCAAGACCACCATGACTTGATTGATGCGTGATTTTTGGAGTCCGCTTCCACTGATTCCCAACGTCCTCCTTTGTCTCATGGCGAAGGCCTGTCGGTAATCCGACTCCGCTGTATCGTAGCAAGTGGCGTCTGTGGGAGTCTCGAGCCCAATCTCAGTGGTACGAATGATGCGACGATGGCAGGGAAGCTCTTGCAAGCGGATGGTTGTCGGTCGTGAGGATTTTCTTCCCTCCAGAACTGAGAGACGTTTCTGAGAAGGAGGGGTTTTATCATGTGATGACGCGTTTCCCTTTGCGGAAGGAGGGGGAAGTTCCGCGTCTCGCTCTCTTTCACCGTCCAACTTCTCGACTCCTCTCTGGGATCAACTCATCTCTGCCAGTCCCCATCTCCTCCATCTGAATATTCACTCTGACGATCAAGACAGGCCGCAAAGGTGTCGGAAGTGAAGAAGTTCCATCGCTGGCGAGACAAGATGGCGTTGGTGCCAGTCTTATCTTGTTCAGATGCACGGCTGCGTTTTCGGGCTTTCGATCTCAGCCCCCCCCCCAGGTATTCCCTCTGATAACCCAACTACTCTAGCCTTCTTATTGGAGGAAAGATGCAGGAGATGCTGATAAGTCTGGGTCTGTTTGGTTTCTGATAGATCACTCCATACCCCGGGCTTCCGGGCGTTCTTCGATTGCCAGTCCTTTCTACGCTTGTGGGTCTATCTTTCGCGCAGTTGTCTTGACATAATCTATCTATCTGGGGTGCCTACGTAGCCTCCACTACCAGCGTGGTCCCCCAGCTGTGTTCGACACCCCCTGCGGTCTGCTTCGGCTTGATGGTTGGCATCGGGGGAGGGGTCCCTACCAGCAGCAACGATATTCGACTAGGGGACTTGGTGGTGAGCCATCCAACGGGGACACTAGGTGAAGTGGTGCAATATGACTTTACAAAAGCGATACTTGATGCGGGTTTGAGCGAGTCGGGGCCTTGAACAGGCCCCCAGATCCTGTCCTCGCAGCAATGGCGCAGCTCGAGTCACAATCTGGACCACAATCTGGAAATCACGATACATATACTAAAAAGTTACAAGATCTATAGGTTTTGCTTACGTCTGAAACACCCACCGGGGATCCTTGTCTCCCAGAAACTCTCCCTCTGCAGCACCACCCACATCTCCTTCCAAGGCACCCAACCCTTGGGCTTCTCTCACTCTTGCTTTTGCCGCGTTCTCCCACTTGAGCACCCACCACAGCCACATTGTCACGAAAATACACGCTGTCATATACCCGAGAGCAAAGCCGTGGCCGAGGAAGAAGCGCGGGCTGGTCTCGGTGCGATACAGCTGCGTGCCCAGGACCGCACCCAGCATGCCGATACTTATCTGCAATGCGTTGGCGACCGCCCGTTTCGTCTGGCCTGAGACGTTATTCGCCGGCCAGGATACCATGATGGCGACGGCTGGGTAGATTCCTGCCGTCGCGAAGATGGTGCCCGCATACGAAACACCAGCACGATGCTGAGATAACAGCATGATATACCCGATGCAGGCGATGACTGCTGATCCGACGATGAAGGGGGCACGCAAACGGGTCCGTTCAGAGAGAACGGCGACAGTGATGGTGAGGACCGTGGCCACCACGTACGGCGGAATTGTAAGCAGCTGTGCCTGGGCATCCGAGTATCCCAGTTCAGCGATGATGGTAGGCTGAGGTCTCATTAGCTTGGGACAAGACGAGCTTGAGTTAGGTACTTACCAGGAAGAGAGCGAGAGTGTATAGCGGTAAGGTGAGGGTGTGAAACCCAAGTCCATATAACCACACCTTGGGATCCGAGAATGCCTCCCACACGGCAGACCACGAGAAATTCTCATCGCGTGTGGCATCACTGTCATTCTTGAGGCGGAACTTAATGAACTCGCGTTCGGCCTCCGTCAGGAATTCGGCCGTCGACGGATAGTTGTATACGAACAGGTATGCAGTGGCGGAGGTAACCACCGTGGCGAGACCTTCCTGGTCTTATTAGAATTATGTTTCTAAGATTGGAGAAAATGAAGTTTTTCCTACCAGGATGAAGATCCATCGCCATCCTTTGTACCCGCCAACATCTTTCATATGCCCGATTCCCTAGACGAATGAATGAGAATGTTTGTCTCCCCACTGCACCCTGGCTCTTTTTTTCTTGTCTCCTTTTCAAACTCACCCACGCGAGAATGCCTCCAAACGCCCCCGCCAGCGCGGCAGCACTAAAGAAGAGCGCAACCCGATAATGCTGCTCGTTCCGCTTGTACCACATGGACAGATAGAAGACGACGCCGGGGAAGAGGCCCGCCTCCGCGACGCCCAGAAAGAACCTCGAAGCCAGGTACCCAGGGTAACTCTGCACGACACCCTGCAGGGTTGCCACAATGGCCCAGACGAGAGTCAGGGTGGGCAGCCAGATACGCGGCGTGGTACGTTTGAGGACAAGGTTGCTGGGAACCTCGAAGAGGGCGTACCCGATGAAGAAGAGGGTCAAGCCGGTGAGATACTGATCTCCTGCTGGACAGATTCAACCAGTAAGGAAATTTACTCTCAAAAAGAGCTCCAAGAGAGAACCAAAAACGTACACATTTTGATATCGGTAGTCATGCCATCCAGACGGGCATTTCCAACTAGTTGACGCCGTCAGAAAAGATATTCATTACCTCGGACAATATAAAGTTCCTCCTTACCATTCGTCCGATCAAGGAATGAAAGAAGATACAGAACCGTCACAGGAGGGAGTAGTCGTCTATCCAGTTTCCTCAGCAGAGCCTTCTCGTTGATCTCGAAGACGTTCGCCTCAATTGCATGGGCAGAGTGCGATGGATTGTCGTCGGGTTTGTCTTGTTTCTCCATGACGATACCAGAATGCCAGAGTGCCTACTTGATTACCTCGCGGACGACAAAATTTGTTTCCCCGTTTCTTTCTAAACTGTTCGGTGTCGACCGTTAAATAGGTGGACCCAAGCCCTATTTTCTTACATTGAGTAGTTATGCAAGGAGTCTAACATGTCTTATCTCGTGTCACACAGCCAAAGCAGTGGTAGAGTATACGGAGTGTATAACTGGGTTCATCTACTCTGTAAGGGTGTCTAGTGTATCAAGGGACCCCAGTATCCCTTACTCTAGTAGGCGAAGAGTTTAATGGACTGACTAATTTTTCTATAGACATATGGAGGGAGTTCTTGAATATTCCGTACTACTCTATATTATCATTACTGCATAAAGTACTGAATATGCATGTCAAAGTCGTGTAGCGTGTCAAATGGTAATATTGACGTACTACGTTCCAATTATAGCCACATAACTTCTTCAAGCAAATCAAATTGTAATGTTTCATTCAAGTTTTCAATATAAAGGCTGTATTATTGCATGGAGATATGTCGAATATAGGCATGAATCTAATAGAATATACTCTTCAATCGGGCGCCTAACGCCACCCCTTCCACGCTGGTGAATTATTTTGACAACATTTTCCAGTAACAAGCAATCTATAAGGCAGCTCCATGATCTACTTGAATCTGCATGGCATCTATAAGATCTATAGACAAAGGAGCAATAGGTGGATTCCTATAAATTATATGCTCAGCATTAACATTTGCTCCTGCTTCTAACAGCAACTGAAGTTCTCGCTAGTGAGAGCACTGATCCATCTAATTTAATAATCCTCTCGCGATGAAGGAGGCATATTCATCATGGTTAATATTAATAGCAGTTAAATAATAAGCATACCTGGATAAGAGGCCAGACTAAATAAGAAACAAGGCGGCGGAATGAGGGGTAATTTATGACTTTCTGTTCGGTGACTCCATATCAGGGCCCTGTTGATACTTGAGGTTGTCAGTATATAAAAGTCGTCTTGAAAGACCAGGCATTTCATCGAGATGAAGACCATAATAGCATGGCGCTTCTAGCCTTGTAAAGGCCGTATTGTATTCCAAAATATAAGGCATGTCAATCCTGTTCAACTTCCGGGGTATCTCAATCCAGACAACTCCAAAAAACAAAAACCAGAAGATAGAAACCAAAAGATAAAAGAAAAGAGAAGAAAGTGAAGAGAAGAGAAGGGAAATAGAAAAATAGGAAAATAACACACGCCACGCTAAACACGACATAAAACATGAATAACACATAACACACACAGAACATACACAACACACACAACACACACAACACGCAACACATATATCACGTAGAACACATACACACCACATCACATCATAGAGATGGGAAATTATAATCATACAAAAGGAGATTCATCTAGTCTATCGCGGGTGATTCTAATACCACTTCCTCGCGAAGATCCTACGCAGGGTACATCTCAAGGTACATCCAAAAACATGGCAGCAGGCAACTTTTGGCACAACACAGCAGTCGAAAAGCAGAATAAAACCCAACAGGTGCGTCACAAAGCCTCGCTTTTATATATAACACACTGACGCGGAATTGTAACGTCCTCCCGGCTTAGTGGGCCAAGACCAACGCCAGCAGCGCCATGCGGCAATAGAGACCGTATCTCATCTAAAACAGCCGTTAGCATGCACGTCTAGATTTACCCAAAAAAAGAAAAAGAAGGGAAGGGAAATGGGACAAACCTGGCGGAAGTAGGCAGCCCGCGGGTCGAAGTCGACCTCCTCGGCGATCTCAGCGTTGCGAGGCAACGGGTGCATGACGACCATGTGGCTCTTGGCGTGCTTAAGCAGAGCGTTGTCGATGACGAAGCTGTTCTTGAGGCGGTCGTACTGCGCAAGATCGGCGAAGCGCTCCTTCTGCACACGGGTGGAGTAGAGCACGTCGGAGCAGGCAACGATCTCAGGAGTCAGCGTCTCGGACTCAGCGGCAAGCTGGCCTGAGGCAACAAGCTGCTCGCGGAGGTCTGCCGGCAGAGAGAGCTCCTTGGGGGCCACCAGCTGCACACGGACATCGTAGAACCGGAGCAGCTTGAGCAGCGAGTGCACGGTGCGGCCGTACTTGAGATCACCCGTGAAGGTGATGGTCAGGCCGGTGACAGTGCCGAGTTCTTCACGGATGGTGAACAGGTCCAGGAACGCCTGGGTCGGGTGCTCCCGGCTGCCGTTGCCGCCGTTGATGACGGGCACGGGGGAGAACTTGGCGGCAGTCTCGACGCAGCTCTCATCCGGGTGGCGGAGGACAATGGCGTCTCCGTAGCAGCCCAGGGTGCGCAGGGTGTCCTGCAGAGTCTCACCCTTCTTGGTCGATGAGTGCTCGGTCGAGATGGCGATCGTGCGACCACCCAGGCGCTGCATGGCAGCATCGAACGAGGCCGAGGTCCGGGTCGAGGGCTCGTAGAAGAGGGTGGTGAGGACACGGCCCTTGAGGATGTCGAGGACACCCTGGCGCTGGACGCCGATCCGCATCTCCTGCGCGACGGTGAAGAGCAGGTGCAAGTCCGAACGGGTGAACTGGTTGACGGACAGAACGTGCTTCTGACGGAAATTTGTGCGAGAGAGCAGGTCCGACAGGGAGGACGACACCTGGGTTGTCACGGGAGTGTACAGCGGGGGGCCAAGCTCAGTGGCGGCCGGTTCGGCGGGCCGGGCACGGATCGCAGGGCGAGCCGGGGTGCCTGTGAAGGAGAGGCGACGGTTGTCGAACGAGGTGTCCGGACGCACCCGCGGGGTGGTGGCCTTGACGGACGGAGACGAGGGAACAGCGATCCGGTGGCCGGACATGTCCTTGCCGTGGTTGGCATCCGCGGTGATCTCGCCATCGAGGCAAGACGTCTTGCCCTGGAAGATCACGCGCTGGACCGAGCCCCGCATCTGTTTGCCGTTGAAGGGCGAGCCAGCATCAGGGCTCTGGAAGAGGTAAGGACGGTCGATCTCGATCTCCAGCGAGGTCTCGGTCTGATCATGGAGCTCGAAGATGCGCTTCGGGTTCTCGTACAGGCGAGCAGTGACGTCCTCGACGGTCATGCGGCCCTCGGCGACGGCAGTGAAGAGCAAGGGGAGCGACTCGGCAATACCCGCTTCGGGAGAGGCATTCTTGCCGGCCAACTGGTAGGGGATGCTGCCGATCGAAAAGACATCGATGGTGCAGATGTGGTCCCACAGAGCCTTCTGGTCCTCAGCCGAAGGCAGGAAGTTGCACTCGGGAAAGTCTTCGCGCGAGAGGAACAGGCAGAAGATAGAGACATCGCAGGTCACCTTAAGACCTTTCTCCTTGCTGAGGGCGATCAGCGCAATATCCTCCTTGGAGGTCACGCTCATGACGTGGATATTGCGGCTGTGCAGGCTGGCCAGCAGTAGGATGGAGGCCAGGTCAGTGGCCTTGGCATCCGTGATGATGGGCTTGCTAGCGGGCCAGGCACCAAAGTGGTTGGTGACGGCGGCGACCTTGCTGATGTTGCCGGACAGGTGGTTGAAGGGGATGAAAAGGGAGCCCACATCGCCTGTGACCTGGCCGATCTGCTCGGAGTTGGTAGACGTGGCCGCCACAGAGAAGTTGAAGTCACAGAAGGAGCCCTTCTGGGCGTTCTGCTGGGCGATCTGGAGGGCACGGCTGTCGGTGACGGAGCTCTCGACACCCATGGGCATAATGCGAACCATGCTGAAACCGGCCGCGATGGAGGCCCGGGTCACGCGCTCAAAGTCGTCGGAACCGGGGGTGGTCAGGCCGGGCACAAAGGCCGCGATGTTGATCAGGCCCGGAAGCACGATGGTGCGGTGGCTCGTCTGGTAGTCGATCGTCTGCACGTTCAGGGCAAAGTGACGAGCGATGGCCTCGATGAGGATCTTGGCATTCTTGACGTTGGTCACCAAGGGGGTCTGGTAGTCCACGGCCATACGACGGGTGCGGTAACCCTTGCTCATGTAGTTGGCGGGGCGGCGGAAGCGGTTGCTCGACGGCAAGTTGATGTAGAGATCGATCAGGTTGTTAGCAAGAGCGTGGCTGAGGGAGTACTCCGACTTGACATCCTCCTCCTGGTCAGGGAGGATCTCGAGGAACTTGACGGGGATGCCGTGCTCCTTGAGGAAGTCGGCAGTACCGGCCGTGGCGAAGAGATTGTAGCCGATCTGGTGCAGCTTGCGGATCGAGGGCAGCATCTCGAGCTTTTCCTTGTACGAACCAATCGACAACAAGATGTTGCTCTTCGGCAGGCGGAATCCAGTGGACAGGAGGGCCTTGAGATAGGCCTCGTACTTGTCACGACCAAAGGAGGCCACCTCACCGGTGGAGGCCATCTCCACACCGAGCACAGGGTCGGCACCCGAGAGACGGGAGAAGGAGAACTGCGGCACCTTGACGCCGACGTAGTCCTTGGGGATGGAGACGGGCGGGTACTCGGTGAATGGAATGCCGAGCATGGCCTTGGTGGCCATCTCGATCAGGTCGACACCCATGACCTTGGACACGAAGGGGAACGAGCGTGAGGCACGGACGTTGCACTCGATGACCTTGATGTCGTTGTCCTTGGCGATGAACTGGATGTTGTACGGTCCAGTCACATTGAGGGCGTTTCCGATCTTGCGGGTCGCCTCTTCGATGCGGCGGACGGTTTCCGGGTCCAGATCTTGAGGAGGCAGGATCAACGTGGCATCACCAGAGTGCACACCAGCATTCTCCACGTGCTCAGAGATGAAGTGGCCAACCATGACACCATCACGGGCGACAGCATCCATCTCGATTTCCTTGGCGTTCTCGATGTACTTGGTGATGACGACCGGGTGCTCGCGCGACACCTCGGCGGCCTGGTTCAGGTAGTTGGCCAGGTCGTGCTTCGAGTAAACCGTGTTCATGGCCGCGCCGGAGAGCACGTATGAGGGACGGACCAGCACAGGATAGCTGACCTTCTCGCAGAACTCGGTGGCTTCCTCGATGCTCGTCAGCTCCTTCCAAGCGGGCTGGTCAACACCAATGCGGTCCAGCATGCGGGAGAACTTGTAACGGTTCTCAGCGGTATCGATCATCTCGGGAGAGGTACCCAGGATCTTGACATTCAGGCGGTGGAGGGGCAGAGCAATGTTGTTCGGGGTCTGACCACCCATGGAGATGACGACCCCACTGGAGGATTCGATCTGGTAGATGTCGAGCACGGTTTCCAGGTTGATGTTCTCAAAGTACAGACGATCCGCCTCATCGTAGTCGGTACTGACGGTCTCCGGGTTGTAGTTGACCATGACAGTCTTGTGGCCCTGTTCGCGCAGGGTGCGAATGGTGCGGACGGAACACCAGTCGAACTCGACCGAGGAACCGATACGGTACACACCAGAGCCGAGGACCATGATACCGTGGTCGTCAAAGGTGAGATCATGGGCAGACGCATTGTAGGTCAGGTAAAGGTAGTTGGTGACCGAGGGGAACTCGGCAGCAACAGTGTCGATCTGCTTCACGATCGGGGTGATACCGGCCTCAACACGCATGCGTCGCACGGCGAGCTCGTTGGAGCTCAGGAACTTGGCAAGCTGGCGATCGGAGAAACCGAGCTGCTTGGCCTGGCGGATGAGGGGGAGGGGCACGGTGGTCGCGTTGTAGGAGGTCATCATCTTGCCAAAGTCGTTGAGACCCTTGAGCTTGCTGAGGAACCACTTGTCGATCTTGGTGAGCTTCCAGATATCATCAACGCTGTATCCAGACGCCATGGCGTTGGCGATGGCGAACAGACGCTGGTCGGAGGGAGTCTGCAGCTCCTCTTCGATGGACATGAGGGCATTGGTAGCGTTGAAACCAAAGTTGTGGAAGTCGACAGAGCGGATGGCCTTCTGGATGGCTTCTTCGAAAGTTCGGCCGATGCTCATGACTTCACCGACACTCTTCATCGAGGAGCCGAGTAGGGTGGAGACACGAGTGAATTTCTTCAGATCCCAGCGGGGGATCTTGACGACCACGTAGTCGAGGGAAGGCTCAAAGCAGGCACAGGTGACCTTGGTAACCGAGTTTGAAATCTCATTCAGGGGGATGTTCAGACCCAGCTTAGCAGCAATGAAAGCCAGGGGGTATCCGGTGGCCTTGGACGCCAGGGCAGAAGATCTGGACAGACGGGCGTTGACCTCAATAATGCAGTACTCCTTGGAGAAAGGGTTGAGCGCATATTGAATGTTGCATTCACCGACGACACCCAGGTGACGGATGACGTTGACGGCGGTGGTACGAAGCATGTTATAGTCTTCGTCCGAGAGCGTCTGGGACGGGGCCACGACGATGGAGTCACCGGTGTGGATACCGAGAGGGTCAAAGTTCTCCATGTTACAGACGGTGATACAGTTATCACGGGCGTCACGGACGACTTCGTACTCGATTTCCTTCCAGCCCTTCATACTGCGCTCAATCAGCACCTGGGGACTGGCCGCGAAGGCCTTGGTGCACAGCTCCCGGAGCTGATCCATGTCTTCGGCGAAGCCACTGCCCAGACCACCGAGGGCATAGGCGGCACGGACGATGACGGGGAAGCCAATGTCCTCAACAACACGCAGGGCCTCCTCCAAGGTCGAGGCCGAGGCGGACTTGGCACACTTCTCGCCGATCGACTCCATGCTGCGGGCGAACAGCTCACGATCTTCGGTGGTGATGATGGTATCGATGGGGGTACCCAGGACCTTGACGCCGAGGGATTCGAACTCATCCTTCAGCTGGATACCGACCTGCAGAGCAGTCTGGCCACCGAAGGTGACGTAGATGGCATCGGGACGCTCGTGCTTGATGACCTTGCGAACAAAGTCGGCGTTGACGGGGAGGAAGTAGACCTTGTCGGCCAGACCCTTGGAGGTCTGGATGGTGGCAATGTTGGGGTTGATCAAAATGGTGTAAATGCCTTCTTCCTTGAGGGCCTTGATGGCCTGACTGCCAGAGTAATCGAACTCTCCAGCCTGACCGATGCTAAGACCACCACTGCCCAGCACGAGGACCTTTTTGACCGAGACGCGGGGCGAGGCCTTGGTGTTCTCTTCGATGGAGCCTCCGGGGAAGGAAACCGGCTGGGTCAAGGCAGCGGGGGTGGCGATGGTCTCCTTGATGGTGTTGATGAAGACATCAAAGAGGTACTCGGTGTCGCGGGGACCGGGAGTGCTCTCCGGGTGGAACTGGACACTGAAGAAGGGACGGCTGGTGTGCCGGATACCCTCGTTGCTACCATCGTTGGCGTTGACAAACAGCTCCTGCCAGTCGGTGGGCAGAGAGGCGGCATCGACGGCGAAACCGTGGTTCTGCGACGTGATGTGGCACTTGCCGGAGACCATGCTGGTGCAGGGAATGTTGTGACCACGGTTACCGAACTTCATCTTGGTGGTCTGGGCACCGACGGCGCGGGCGATCAGCTGATGACCCAAGCAAATACCGAAGACGGGAGTGCGGGCCTCCTTGATGGTCTTGGTCAGGTTATCGATGGTGATGGAGAGCATTGCCGGGTCACCAGGACCGTTGGAGACGAACAGACCATCGTAGTCCTTGCCCGCCAGGGTGGGGAAATCGTAGTTCCAGGGAACAACGAGGACTTCGACACCGCGAGCGAGCAAACAGCGCAGCTGGTTGAACTTGAGACCGACGTCCAGGCAGAGAACGCGGATGGGACGACCCGAGGGGTGCTTGAGGGCAACATCCTTTGGCGGGGAGAAAAGACGAGGCTCCTTGATTGACACTTTTAATCTGTCAGGCCGGAATTCATTTCTTCAAAGAAAAAAAAAAAAGAAAAAAGAAGTTAAAAAAAACCCCCGATTTTTCACTCACCTTCGGCGACCAAGTTCTTCTTGTTGGGATCGACCCACTCGACCTCCTGGAAGGAGCCCTTCCAGTTCTCGCGGTCAATTGTAGCCGACTGGGGGAGATCGGCCTTCTGGAGAAGCATGCGTCCCAGCATGCTACCCTTCTCACGGATACGCTTGGTCAGAGCCCGGGTATCGACACCGTGCATGGCGGGGACGCCTTGTTCCTTGAGCCATGTGCCGAGCGACGACTGTGCGAGATGATGCGAGTAGTCCTCGCCCGAGTATGTGGCCACGACCAGGGCAGCGATGTGGATCTCGGTGGACTCGAAATGCTTGGGCAGGGTCTGCAGCAGCTCGTCCATGGTCTCCCGCGAGGGGACACCATAGTTGCCCACCAGCGGGAAGGTGACGACCAGGATCTGGCCACGGTAGGAAGGGTCGGTGATGGACTCCGGGTAGCCAACCATGCCCGTCTGGAAGACCAGCTCACCCGCCACGCTCTTCTCCGCACCAAAGCTGTAGCCCTGGTAGACGGTACCATCCTCGAGCTCGAGGGCGACCAGCTTGTCGTCACCGCCGAGCACGCGGGACGAGGCCGGCAGCACAAAGGCCGACGTAGAGATTGATTCAGCCATGATGACAGCCTTTTCTTTTTTGATGGAAAAACGTCACCGTTGTCCAGAGGAGGGGTTGGTGCACTCTGGGCAAGACGCAAGGGAGAGGGAGGGGAGTATCTCTGGTCCTCTTGGGGACAATTGCGGCAGTAGAGGTCTCTACCGTAGCATCAGCAGCCTGCAAGACAACACAACGAACTCGGGGAGGGTGCGTGGGAGGTCTTCGCTGCTGCTTCAGCACGGAGAGGAGAGAGGAGAGGAGAGGAGAGGAGAGGGAGGAGGAGGAAGGAACAAGTGGGAGAAAAAAAAAAATTGTGTACGGCGGGCGGGGGGGAGCTCCCCCATTGGCTGGGACGCTCACCGACCTGGGCTTGCTGCCTACCGCCTTCCGCTCTGGGATTTGGACGGGAGAAAAAGAGCAAAAAGTGGGAAAACTTTATTTCCCCTCTAAGCGAAGCGTGAGCATGAATAGTCAACTTACCCAAGGTGAAGAGGCATATTTACGAAGAATTCTAATAGGGAACCTCTTCACGTATGAATACTGTATATATCTTATTCTATACAGAGCACTTGTTACTCCGTATTCTGTACTCGGTACTCGCTTGCCACCACTACTATTGCATCTGATCGCCATTGTGCAGGCGGTGAACTCTGGGCTAGACCATTGAGGCCAATCATGGGCGCATAGGGCGGGAAACAATTGCATGCGTGGCGTGGATCAGTACCAGGTAGTACGGAGTAACTCTAGGTGGTGGTGGAAATGACATGAGACGTGCGTGGTAATTATCATGAAAACTATGGCCTTTTCACCATGTCATAGGCTTATACTGACCATACCTTTTTAGTCTTAGCTTAAATTTCTAATAATATATTTATATTGTATAGGCTGAGCCAGGCGCATATATTATAAGTAGATATAAATCAGTGGCCATTTACTAGCTCTAAGACTTTTTCCTTATTTATAATCTACTTAAGCTTATCCTTACTTCTCTCCTACTGGCACCATGACTAGAAAACGCATTGTAAAGCCTAAATTAAAGGTTAATTAAAATACTTTAGTTCAAGAATCTAATCCTAATATTAAATATAATTAGGACTAAAGTACTAGAAACTCTATAAATCAAATATAAGGCTTATTTAAGAAGTGAGTTATAATTATATAGTATACCTTCTTTCATCATCTATTACTTATGGTGTATAGATTCACTAAGGAACTTAAGCCATTAGATGCTAATTATTAGCTTTAGAACATTATATTAAGAGTAATTAAGATATTTTTAAGGTGGTATATTAAAAGCCACAATATCAGGCTTCAATCAGGATTTCTTATTTGTATATAGTATTAGAGAATGTACTAGTGTAAATAGAGAAATGAGGTATTCTCATATAACCTTAGACAAAGACTAATAAATATATATATATATATCTAAAGTAAAGTAGTCCTTATACTTACTTTATTAGTTAATATGCCTAACACTTACTAATAAATATAGGCTTAATTATAGGGGAAAATTATAGCCACTAGTCAATATTACTGATCTTCTTTATAGCACCTATTATCTAATAAGTATCACTAATATGTCTTTTCTAACTATATAATATTAATACTAACTTAGTACTCTCCAGAAAATAATGACTACTACCTCTATGCGCCCAGGAACTATTATTCTGTCATCTAGGTATATAAGCCACCTAGATGCTTTAAAGTGGGGGGATATTAAACTATTTATGGTGATACACCTAGAGGACTAGACAACTTAAACTCTTATTATATAGGCTAGACACTAATTAAATAAGAGAAAAAAAAATAAGGGTGTCGCATAAGTAGATATACCTAATTAATCCCAGGCATTCTCTAACCTATTATTTAGGCCAGTTTTTACTTATATAGAGCAAAATAATAACCTTAGCCTTTATATTATTTAAGATATTCTTAAGTATGCTTTTCTAGATAATATCTTTATAAGCAAATACATCAAGACACCATAAGATATCTAGGAATTAACTAATGTTCTAGACCATCGGTTAAGCACTCTAATTCACATTAAGAAGGAGATAAAGGAGATTTTAATCTTCTGGCACCTAATAAAAGGTCATAATAGAGTTTAAATAATGAATCCTACCCTACCTACAACCTATAAGTAACTACTTAGATATAAAAAAGTTGCTAATTAATCTGCTAGATATAAGGATACTAAAAGTCTATATAGATACTATAAAGGAGCCACAGAGAAGTTACATAAGTACCTATATATTTTTATAACTAATTATTCTATAACTAACTAGATATATAAAGGACATCTTAATGAATATTTATATAATTAAATTATGGGTTAAAGACATGGCAGCGCCTTTGTATACTATATATAAGTCTAAGATAACACTTAATCTACTTTTATAGGGATGCCTTTAAGGCTCTTATTAATATAGTTAGCCTACTATATAAGCTTAACTTAAGACCTATCTGCACCTTAAAAGCTTACTAAAGACTAAAAACATAAGACTAAGATAAATAAGGAACTTCTTAATCTAAAAACTAAGTATAAGGAACTATAGAGAGACTTAATTATGCTATATAGTTAAATTAAAAATATAGAAGGCATATTACTATATAGGAACTATTATAACCTTTAGAGATTAATTAAGAATAAATAAAAGTAGTTATAGAATTAAGCTCTAGAAGACTATTATATAAACTTCTTTAAGATAATTAGAGATATAATTATTAAACTAAATTAATAGAGAAAACTGCTGACTTATGAGCTAAACCTATTATATATCTTACTAGAGAGAAGGCTACTTATAGAGATTAAGTTTAGAAACAGAGATGTAGATAATATTAAATTTATAGACCTACTTAAAGATTAAATTTAATCTTTAGAGCTACAATTGGCTCTATATTAAATTAAAATACCTAAGGCATTAAGTAAATAAATTTAATTTAATAATATACTGGATGCACTGAACAAATGCTTTTAAATCTTAATAGAGGAACTATTCATAGTCCCTAAGAAGAGTAAAACTAGTCTAGAATATCCTATATATCTAGGTAAACCAGGACATCTAAAAGCCCATAAATATTTATATATATATAAAGATAGCTTATAGAAATATTTTACAATATATAGATTACTGGAGCACTTTTCTAAGGGCCAAGAATATAACTATCCTAGCTATAAGACTTTTTTTAACTTACTTACTCAGTATAAATATCACTAATAGGAGATATATAGAATAAGTCTCTAACATTAATTAAAATATAAATATTCTATTAATTTATATATAAAGTAGTAGATACTTAAGCTCTAAACCCAGTATTGCCAAAGCGCATTTAGTTTTTAAGTAGAGTACTTCTAAACATTAGATTAATAGTATTTATCCTACCTTAGTAGCATGTGACCTTAGTCTCCTAGACTCTAGAGTCTAGAGACTTGTAATGCCTAGACAGGCTGATATAAGTAGAGACCACTTTATTTAGTATAAGTCTATTATTCTTCTTTACAGCCTATAGTCTTAATATCCTATTTTTCTATTTTTCTATTCTTTTAACTACTTAACTTTTTAAAAGATTAAGGGTCTTCTTTTCTTCTACTTCATCTATTCCTCCGCCGGCCTTTAGCTATTGCCTAACCTAATAATAAAGCACTCTCAGCCCTAACTGTCTAGAAATCCTAGAAAAAAAAGTGTAGTAAGGACTAACTCTAATAGGCTTAGTAATAATAGTACTTATAAGACAGATCTAATTAAGCTAGATAATGCCTAAGCCCACAAAAACATCTATATTTATACTCTACCTTAAGCTAGGACTCTTTAACACTAAATACTGATTATTTACTATATAATGGTGATATTAGTCTCTTTAAGATTCCTGACAACTTCAATAAAGGACTAGTAGGTATAATTAAACAACATGAGTGGGTAGTTTAATGTTTAAGTTGACAATAACTACCAGGCTTATTAAATTTAAGAAGATTCGCAGGTGGAAATTACTATTTATTAATAAGTATAATAAATACTTTTATAAATATTATAAGTTTATCTAACCCCAGTTAGTCAGCGGCTGACATATTCTATAGGATTAATAAGTAAGGCACAGCATATATTTAATATAAAGCCACTAGACCCTAAGACTTTCTTAACTACTCTTATCCTCTATAGTCTATAGCCTTAACCTAGATATAGAGCTGACGCGAGCCGTCACGCAATAGAGTCATTAGCAAGATATATAATAACACCTATACTATTTAACTCACTTGCTGAAGGGTGAGTAGAATAGGCATAATATAGGCGTTGCAGCTGTACTATAGCCTAATATTAATTAGTATCTAATCACCTCTTATAGCTAACTCTATTACTATTAGCTCTTAAGTATATAAAGGGCCTCCCTCCTCATCACTAATTACATAGTATTCTCTCATCATATTCTTTCTAGAACACCCTTATCTCAATCTTTCTTCCCTATGCGCGACGACCAGGATTAAGATGATAAATCATTTTAACCCAATTCATATACTGGATAATAAGGCAATGCCAAATCTTAAGCTAGCTGGCTCATAACCTTAAAGAGCCCCTCACCCTAACTACAGTTATTAGGAATTTAAGAGAGTAATTAAGTCACTTAATAATAAGCTAAATATAGGGCCATCATATAAATATAAAAGAACTAAAATAAAAGAGCCGTCTTCTCTAGTACCACTTCCTAAAATGATCTTATCCTTCCTTTACTAATAGTAGACTAGGATGCTATATTTAATAAGGTTTAAAAGAAAGTTAGTCATAAAGTTTAAAAGCTTAAAGAGAAAAATAAAACTCTTTAAGATGAGCTTTAATAGGAGAGGGAGAAGTATTAGAAGATAAAGGAGAAACTTTCTTAGCAAGAGGAGCTTTCTCACTAAAGAGAAGGGAGTCTTCTAAACTATAAGATCTGCTATATGCACCCAGATCATTAGGTGATAATACTTTATAAATATATAGTCTATAAATCATGCTTAGAAAATCTTTTAATACTAAAGAAGTGTCTAATCTATTAAGCACCATTTACAGGATATATCAGGTGCTACCCTTTTACAGGATAAATTATATATCTAGCATTATAAATCTAGCTATATAGTTAATTTAGCTAAGGTAGATATTGTGACATTTAGTTTAAATCTCTACTCTTACTAGTATTACTAACCCTGGGATCCCTATATATCACTAACCAGCTCAAATAAGATCAGAGACCTAGTCTTTTAGTTACCACTTAATTAGGTATACTTTATCTAGGTAAGAGCAGCCGCGTGCTGATCCTCTTAGT